AAGAATATAACCTAAATATATAAAATAATAAGTACCTTAAAGTAATAATATAGATAAGGGGAAAATAGTATAATACCCTAATTAATAGTAGTATATAAGGAAACTTTATCTTACTAGATATAGTAAATAAACTATAACTCTTATAAGACCTTAAATAAGACCTATATATATTAGTAAACTATAAAGGAGTATTAGTTAGTTATAATAATAGATAGATTAGATAAGAGACTATATACCTTAATATTAATATCTTAAGCTATAAAATATAGATTAGCTTTAATATTATATAAATTAGCTACCTAGTAGTCTTAGGTATCCTATAGCTTAGGAAGGAAAACCCTATAATAGACTAGAGTACTAATCAGCTTACTTAGTAGGGCTAAGGAGACTCTATTAATAACTTAGTCCTTAAATAGTAGTAACTAGGAAAGTCTACCTTAAATAAGCTAAGAGCCTTTAGTATAATAATATATATTAAAAAGCTTACTACTATAAGTTTAAATATATTACTAAAAGGAAAGAAATACTAATAAAATAGAAAAATAAAGGCTATATATAGTATAGTTACTATAAGAATAAGGGAGGAAGTACTATAGAGCTTACCCCTATAATATTATAAATATACTAAAGTATTTATAAAAGAACTTAATACTAGCTTACTAGAATATAGCTAGTAGGATTATAAAATTAACCTTAAACTAGGAGCTATACCTAAGTTTATACTAATCTATAACCTTAACTAAGAATAGTTAAAAGAACTATAGGAGTATATCTAGGAAAATATTAAAAAGGGGTTTATTAGACCTTTAGTATTACTAGTAGGGTACCTAATACTCTTTATACCTAAGAAAAATAGAAAACTATAAATATATATTAACTACTAATAACTAAATACTAATATTATTAAAAATAGATATCCCCTACTATTAATCTTAGAACTATAAGATAGACTAGGGAAAGTATAGTAGTTTATAGCCCTAGACCTAAAAAGAGCTTATAACCTTATTAGAATTAAGAAAGGAGATAAATAGAAAATAGTATTTAGGATAAAGTATAGATATTATAAGTACTATATTATACTATTTAGGTTAACTAATATACCTATTATATTCTAAATAATAATCAACTATATACTTAGAGTATTTTAACTAGTTTATTATAATATACCTAGATAATATCCTAATCTTCTTTAATATATTAGAAGAATATAAAGAATATATTAAAAAGGTATTATAAAAACTATAGAAGGCTAAGTTATTAGTAGAACCTAAGAAGAGTTTCTTCTATATATAAGAGGTAGACTTCCTTAGTTATACTATTAAACTAGGTAAGATATAAATATAGGAATCTAAAGTATAAGTAGTCTTAGACTAGCCTATACTATAAATAGTAATAGAAGTAAGAGGCTTCCTAGGCTTTACTAACTTCTACTAATAATTCCTATAAGACTATAGTAAAAGGTAAAACCTTTAATAGACTTTATAAAAACGAAAACTAGTTTATTTAGGGAAAAGAATAATAAAAAGTATTCTAAGAAATAAAATAAAATATCTATAAATAACTAGTACTTTATAATATAGACTTTAATAAACTATTTAAAGTTAAGACTAATATATCTAACTATATAATTAGAGCCTAACTTAGATAATAAGACCTTAAAAGATAACTAAGACCTATAGCTTTTATATTAAAGAAACTTAATAGACCTATAATATAATATAAGATCCCTAATAAAGAGTTAATAGCTATTATAGAAGCTTTTAAAGAATAGAAATACTACTTTATTAGAGTAAAATACCTAATTAGTATATTCTTAGACTATAAAAACCTTACTAGCTTTATAATAACTAAGGAGCTTAATAAATAATAAACTAGATAAGCTAAAATATTATTAGAATATAACTTTAAAATTATATATATTAAAAGAATAGAAAATAGAAAGGTAGATATACTTAGCTAAAGGCCTAACTACTTTAAGAAAATACCTAATAAAATAAAAATAGTATTTTATAAATATACTAATAGAAGCTTATAATAGCTTACTATAAGCTACTAGCTATAGTATAGCTACCCTATTATATAAGCTATTAAAGAGTACTATAGAAAAGGAAACTATATAAATAACTATAATCACTAAAGATAACTAATATTAGAATATCTAATAAGAAGTCTTATATAAATAGTATATAAGTCTCTAAGAGGAGGATACCTAGATATTACTAAAATAGTAAGTAAGATACTAGGTAGCTATATAATTAAAAACCTTAGGAAATTAATATAAGAGGAAGTTATTAAGTATAACTTATATATTAAGAATAAAGTAAATAGATATAAACTATATAGACTCCTATAACCTATACTAGTACCTAAAATACTATAGTAAAATATAACTATAGACTTTATAGTTAAGTTACCTAAATTAGAAGATCTAGTTATAAGTTAAAAATATAATAATATTATAGTAGTTATAGATAAGCTAATAAAATATATATATTTTATACCTTATAGAGAAGTAATAAATATATTAAAGTTTACTAACCTATTTTTATAAACTATATTAGCTAACTATAACCTACTAAAAGAAGTTAATATAGATAGAGGAGGTATATTTATCTCTAAGTTTTAGTAAAGTCTTATAGACCTATTAGGGATATATTATAAGTTATTAATAGTATACTACTTTAAAACCTAGGGAATAGTAGAATAAGTTAACTAAACTATAGAAACCTACCTTTAATATTATATTAATTAAGACTAAGATAACTAGGTAAAGTACCTACTATTAGTATAATATATATATAATATAAATAAATATAAAAATATAAAAATATTACTATTCTATATAAACTATAGAATTAAACTAGAACTAAGGTTTAAACTATAAAGATAATATTTAGTAGCTAAATAAGTAATTATAATAATAGAATAAATAAAGAAGTTATATTAATAACTTATAATAGAACTTAAATTTATATAAAAAATAATAAACTATATAAATTAAAAGAGGATTAAGGGACTAACCTTCTAAGAGGGAGTAAAGTCTACCTACTTTAAAAAAGTAGGAAAAAGGGATCCTTAAATTACTATAAAAAGACTAAATAATAAACTTAATTATAAAAAACTAAGACTATTTATTATTAAATGAAAAATTTTAGAAGTTAACTATAAACTAGAGTTACTAACTATAATAGGACTTAAATACCCTATCTTTTATATATTACTATTAGAACTAGTATATAATAATATACCTATAGAAGAGTTAATTATAGTTAAACTAGTAGAAGATAAATAGGAAATAGAAAAATCCTTAACTTTAGCTATAATAATAATAGAAAAATCAAGTATCTAGTAAAATAGAAAAATTTTAAATATAGTGAAAATATATAGGAACCTATTAAATACCTTAAAGGGAGCTAGGACCTTCTAGCTTAGTTTTAATAGAAATACCCCTAAAAACCCTAAGATCTCTAAGTATATTAAAAATAAAACCTATTATATCCTAATTAATAACCTTAGAGGTACTAAGGGACTATATATCTTTAATAGCTTACTAAATTACTAGGGTTATAGCCTCCTCCTTATTATTTTTATAAAAGCCTTAGAGGCTATATTTAAATAGTACTATATTCTTCTCTTTAAAGAAGCCTATTAATAGTAGAGATAGTTAACCTAGGCTAGGGCTTCTATAAGGTCTTCCTCTACTTTAGAAAGGTTATCCTCTACCTTATAGGTAGTAGTAAGGGAATAAGTAATTAGGATAGGATATATTAGGAAAAGAAAGAAGAAAAGGGATAATAGATATATAGGAAGAAGCTACTAAGTTATTATTATATCCCTTCTTTAGATAAATATACTTCTAGTAATAAGAGGAGCCTAAAGAGAATTAATATATAGTCTTCCCCTAGTAATAGTAAGAATATAGTATATTCTTATAAACTAAACCTTTAGAAATAATTTATTAAACTAAAGCTTTAACTTTATAGGCCTTATAAGTATTAGTTAATAGATAGGAGTAATATTTAAAAATATAGCTTATTATAGTATTAGTATAGTAGGAAGAAGAAAAAGAAGGGAAGATTAGAATTAACTAATAGGATAAAATAATAGGGTAGAACCTAAAGTATAAAAAGTCTTTAGGGATAAAGACTAAAGGAGGGAGGTATTATATTATAAGTAGCCTAAAAGGAGACTAGGAAGTAGTCTAGACTAGTAGAAAAGGATAATATTTAGAGGAATATAGTAGCTAGTCTAGAGGGCCTATAAGGACTAACTAGGATAAGGTATTAGTCCTAATAAGGAATGATAATAGAATAATATTAATCTACTAATAGAATAATAGGAGTAGAATATTAGTCTACTCTAGACTAATAATAGGGGACTATTAGTCTTAGGATATATAAAGTCTATATAAGGAAATAAGTAGACCTTAGAGGAAAGGAAGTTTTATATCTTTTCTAGTAGTTAATTTAAGTATACTTGACCCCTATATTTAAATATATATTATAGATAATAATATTATTATATTATTTGATTACCTTACTAAGCTACTAATAGGCCTAACTATTCTAACCCTAATATAACCTAACCCTAAGTAGTATGTCCTAGTGTTAGAATGTTATACTTATTAAGACTAATACCTTATTCTAGTTAGTCCTTATAGGCCTTCTAGGCTAGCTACTATATTCCTCTAAATATTATCCTTTTCTACTAGTCTAGACTACTTTCTAGCCTACTTCCTAGGCTACTTATAATAGAGGAAATATTATAAATAACTATAACTATTAAAGATAACCTATACTAGAATACTTTATAAGAAACCTTATAAGAGTAGTATATAAGTCTCTAAGAGGAGGATACCTAAGTATTACTAAATTAATAAATAAAGTACTAAATAACTATATAATTAAAAACCTTAAGAAACTAATATAAGAAGAAGTTAAAGGTTGGGGTCAGTCGTCTTCGCGCATCTGACTCTGACGTCCTCCCGGATACCTCGGTCTATGTGTAAGTGTAATTTTCCCTATCTACCTTTTCTTGTTTGTACCCCTTCAAGCGCCTACACATAGTTCCGCGTTTCTAACACCTGGGCTTCAGTAACCCTGCCCCCTTTTACTACGACGAGACGGCTGCGGAGGGCGAGGGCCCCAGCATCCTCGCCGCAATCGATCCGGAGGACAACTTGTTCTTCCCCGTCGTCTGCACGTACAAGGACGCCTCCTCGGCCAAGATCTATCTCGTCAATGCCGACATCGAAGCCGGCATCCAGATGCTCCAGTCCGCCAATTTCAAGTACACCATCACCAATGGCGACGTCGACAAGTGCTATCTGCTCCGCCTGTCTGCCACGAACCGCGGCGAGGGCGACTGGGCCGAGTGGGACGAGGAGGTCGTGGCCGCGTACGAGGAGGACCCCCTGGTGTGGACGTTTGACGACTCGCTGTTCGGCGAAGGCGACGACGACTGGGCGTGGTTGGACGAACTGCTTCTCGATCTGGAGCACCTGGACTGGTCTGACGAGGACTTGCTCGCGATTTGGGGCGATTTGATGTTTGAGGATGATGACTGGGAGATTCTGGACGACGAGGATGCGTGGGATTTGTGGTTCGACTATGACGAGACTGAGGAGGATGCCGCTTCCGAGGCCGCGTAAGTTGGGAGAGAGACGGCCATTCCTTCTTTCCTTTTAATCCTTTCGTCTGGGCAGTGTGACGCCTGCACAGAGTAGAGAATCTTTTTAACTCCTACCCCGGAGTTTACTACTCATCTCCATACGTGTACTCTTCAAGTGACCCGTAACAGCATGGCCATCGCAACGTAGAGGGTTCCCCAATTCAACGGGGTTAATTCTTCATCAAATCTAATCCCCCGAAAGGTACCGAATCCTTTCTGCCTTCATCCCCCACTTTTGTAACCATTTTTCTTTTCCTTATTTTATTCTTTATTTTTATTTTTATCTACCATCGCAGGTTCGTGAAGTAGCGGAGATCTTTTGCCGATGCTCCGTCCCGACACCCCCGCCAGCCGCGTCGGCCATGGTCACAGCTCGATCCTCATAGGTGCGGGATCGCCAAACGGAACAAGGAAGCTCAGGCAACTAAAGGGAAAGCGCGTCAACTGCGATTGTGGCTGATCTCGCAAGACCACACAGCTTGACTTCACTAATCGAAATTTGTCAGCCAATTTGTCAGCCCCATTCGATGCTTTTTCAGCTCTCAGCAACTGCGTGGGCTGGGATCGGAGGTACCAAGAGGGGACACACCAGCTCTCTGCTGTCTGATAGGACTTGTCCGCGTGAATGAATGCAATGGATAAATGATGCAAGGGCCGCTAGTCCCGGCGGGGATAGGGAATAAGCTTTTTCGACCTAAACTGACTCCACCATTTAAACTCATCGCGATCTCATCTCACAAGACTTAACTCCAAGCATCTCTAAGCTGTCCACTTTTTTTTCTCTTTCGAAGTACACTTTATCTCATTCCATTTGACTCGTGCACCAGAGCCCCTCCGCTCAATGTCTTCCCTGAAGCCCGTCCTCATCTCCGGCGCTGGCCTGTCCTCGCTCCTCCTCGCCCAATCCCTCCGCGTCTCCGGCATCCCCTACCGCATTTTCGAGCGCGACGCCTCCTTCGTGTTCCGCGCCCAGGGCTACCGGCTGCGCTTGTCGGCCGAGGGCCTCGACGCCATCGAATCGGTGCTCGACCTCTCCCTCTTCCAGCGCTTCTGGGAACGGTGCGGCAAGACGGGCGGCAGCGGCTTCGTCGAGTTCAACGCCGTGACCGGGGAGGAGACGGAGCGCAGGATGCAGGAGGGCCTGGCCTCGCGGGGCGGCAAAGTGGTGGGCATCTCCCGCGGGGACATGCGCAAGGTGTTCGCCGAAGGGTGCGAGGAGCACATCGAGTGGTCCAAGCACGTCGTGGGCTACGAGGTGACGGACGACGGGGTGCGCGCCCTCTTCGCCGACGGGTCCAAGTCGGTCGAAGGGTCCCTTCTCGTGGGTGGCGAGGGCATCTATTCCAAGGTGGCTCGGCAGCTGTCGGGGGCAAGCTCAAGGTGTACGACACGGGGGCGCGGGGCATCCACGGCCAAGCGCCGAGCGCGGCGTTCAAGGGGCTGGGCGAGGGGTGTTCCGCCTCAAGGACGATACGAAGCCCGGCGGCCTCGCCTTTATCATCACCAATGTCCGGCCGGGCGAGTTAGACGACCCGGACGTGCAGTTTGGTTGGACCATGGGCGGCCAGCCCGGGGTGATTCGCGCGCCCAACGACGACTACGCCATCGTGGGCAAGCAGGCGGCCGACATCGCCAAGGGCATCGCCGAGCTGGCACCCCCAGTTCAAGCCCCTCTTTGACGAGATGAGCGAGACCGACGCCGCGTTTTGGAAGATTACCTGCTCCACGCCCTCGGGCGTGCCGAGTGGGACAACGAGCCCCGTGTCACCGTCATTGGGGACGCTGTTCACTCCATGACTCCTGCGGGCGGCATCGGCGCCAACACTACCGTGCAGGATTCGGCGTTGCTGGGGAGGTTGCTTCGCGAGGCGGGCGGCTTCGGGCCGGGCGTGACGGCGGCGTACGAGAAGGAGATGAGGGTGTATGCGAGCGCGGCGGTGGGGCAGAGCTACTCGATGGCGGTGAATTCTTTTGGCATCAAGATTGACGAGGAGTCGAGCGCGACCGTGTAGTTGACTGTATCTCACTTTTGTTTGTGGGCGTTTTCGTTTCACGGCCTTGTCGTCGGTCTTTTACATGGTGCTATAATGCGTCTTATCGATAATGCAATGATTTCTGAATGCGGACAGATCCTACCCCGGCCCCATGTCTAAATGGTGTTAACAAAACAGCCCTTTTCTGTGTTCTGGAACATTGATGATAACTAAGCGTGGCTCTATCCCATTACGTTCTACATCGTGAGAGCAAACCGATATCTTCCTTCTATACAGGTATGCAGATAAGACGACAAAAGGAAATAAAAGGTGAAAAATTGCTGAAGAAGAGGAAAGAAAAAAAGAAATCGTTGGTCAGTATGAGGGTCGAACTCATGACCTTGGCATTTACTTGATAAACCGGATAGTTTATTAGTACCACGCTCTAACCAACTGAGCTAACCGACCGTGTTACTCGTTGGAAGGCGGGCATCGAAATTCAACTTGAGTGCGATAGGCGGGCCTGGCACAAGACTATTAATACGTGGGCGTGAATATAGATTATAAGCGGGAGGTTCGTTCGATGCCGGCGGTTGAGGTGGGATTCCTAACAAGGGCGGGAGCAACAGAGTAGAATCGCTCGTGAGCTCTATCATGTAGCCACGATCCCATAGTAATGCCACGTCCTTTAACAATCCACTGCAGTTAAGATACAGTCACGGTGTGGCTTTAAGAATCTCGATAGTAGTAGTAGTAGGATGGCGGACATCATTGCAGTCCGTGGAAGGAGTGCGTAGAAGAGCAGCGGCACCCAGTGGTACTACTACAACGTTGCAAGTACAGTGATGTGTAAGTGTCGTTACGTGGCAAGGTCTCTCCATCACATGCAATTTCGCCCGGATTGTCTAGAAATAAGGCATGGAGACAAGCGCAGAGCTTGGGAAATCATGACGCTTTAGGCTCTAGTTGGGCTGTAGTCGTCCCCGTCGAACCATGTTTGAGTTTCCGCCGCTATCACTCATGCAAAGTCAACCTGCGTAAAAGGAGTCAACTTGCATGACGGAAATCTTTGCGGATATAGCACCCTCTGCTCCTCATCTATCCTATACGTTAGTCCCTAGGACTTTCCATCCCGAGTCCGAGGCTTGAGGGTTGGGTTGCATCACTTGACGCTTGAGCAAAGCAACCCACGACGTAACCATGGTGTCAGCTGTCCACAAACGTTCCGCTACGGTAGCCCTACGCGCAAAGGAGTGGGTATCTGCCACCCTGAGGGTTCGGAGGGGCACAACGTAGGAACTCTCTCGAAGATCGCACATCACCCGCCGACCAAGCGGGGCGTGTGCCTGGCGGATCGACATTCCATATAGACGCAAGGTTGCAGAATCGTGGATGAAACTGGGAACCGAAGAGTACCTTGCATAGAAGCTCGTCGAAACTGGAGAAAGAAAGGGGAAGGACCATCAAGGTTGCGACTTGCGAACTATATAACTATGGATGGCCATCCTTGATGGCGGTCGGCGACTAGGCGCTGGGTTATGGAATCGCCTCTTTTAATATACACCACATGGATCCGGCCGAAGAGGCTAGAGCTGACCGCCCAAACCCGCGCCTAGGAAGACGAGGCTGGCGAAGGGTCTCCCATGGGCGGAAGCTATCGAGAAACTTACGCCATAGCTTGCGAGCCCGGCAGGTACCAAAAGTCAGTCATCGTAAACCCAGAAACACACCGGCAGGACGCTGCACGTTATGCAGGAAGACGTGTATTTGCTGCCAAGCAAACAGAGGATGACTCTTCCCAGCTCAAGAAAGATTGGGGATATTTCGAATTCAACAATATCCCCTTCGCTGACCGAATCTCCCGACTATTCCCAGCTACGAGTCTTTCCCCGGGCAGGCCGGTACACCTCGTAGTAGAGGCATTCTTGGCGATTTCCCGAGTTCCGAAGATTACTTGTCACAAACCATCATCATCCAACATCGGTGGCATGGAGGCAGTTGGATAAACGGCCAATTAATCTTCTGCTCCGGGTAGGAAAGTATTCAACCTAACGGGACAACTTCGAAGTGGGAGGCTCTACAAGCTTTGGACCACAGGCCGACGAAAGACAGAGAGAGAACACCCCCACGTGGACCAAAATCGTGCTTGAACTGATTTCCCGTGCAGGTAGTCCCCGTGTTCTACAGCCTGCTCCTCTCTACCTCTCCGTATGCTGATGCCGATCTTCCTTTTTCTGGGACAGAAAGCCGGCTTGGCAAGTGGAATGGTGCGTCCGCGCATTATCTTGTTCTCGGGGGCAGGGCATTTACTTAGGAAATTAGCTTTTCTCGGAGCAAGCTAAAGAGGGAAATACAAAGAAAAGAAACAGAAAAGAAGAGATAGAATGGCGAATGATGGTGGATGCGACGGCCGTTGGATCTAAAAAGCTGTTGACAAGGATGATAGCGTAGGGTCGCATCGAGACGAATCGGGCCAATCAGCAACGCCACGCCGGCCACGGGATATCGAGATTCGCCAAGCTCGGCCGACAACGCCTCCATGCATGCAACGAGCACTAGGAGACGGGCTCCGGATGATGACGGCAACCAGGGCTTTTCCGGGAATGGCTGCTGGCCACCCCCACGGAGGTTTAGTTCCACTTTTGGAAGGCAAGCTCAAGCTTGGTGTTGAAGCAAAATGCGGCATTGGAGCCAGTCAGAAAGCTCTAATTGCGAGAGCTTTCTTTCTACGACGACTCCACCAGGCTCACTGACAAAAGGTCTTTCTCCCACTCTTAGCTCCGACGGATTGTAGTCTTCCTTCCCGCAGACGCGTGAATCCATGAGCTCAAGACGCCTAAAAAAATGGATTGAGGAAGGACCTAACGGAAAACAGGAAAGAAAAAAGAAGAAAAAGAGGAGGGGCTTAAGGATCTAGATGGCGTAGCTCATGCATAACTCCATCTTTGCTCGGTCTGGCTTTTGACGATCCTCTCTCCAGCACGTGCATCCGTCACCTTGAACGAGCCGCCCGAAGCCTCAAGCCACCCCGGCTTCCATCACCCCACACACGTGCAATCCGCCCCGTCTCCAACGCCGCCGATCGTCCGTTCTCCATGTCCACTTTCCCTTTGCACGTCCAACTCTGGACCCCCTCTTCTAATCTTTCCAATCTACTGGGAAGGAGGAATGCCCCATTCTCGTCCCCACCCACCCACGCCCTTTGCTCCCTTGCTCCCGCGCCGGAGCAGCACTCCCTCTCCCTATCATAGGAGAGGGTTACCTCGGCGTGAACTTGGGGTCTAGACATGGAGCGCTGAGAGGTTGCCACACTTGCACGGATTCGATCACCGAGACCGCGTTGGGCCGAGCTTTTTCGTTCTCTCTTGGCTTGACGCGACGGAAGCGTTGGGCCCCTCCATCGAAATGTGACGCTTGCGCGCATGGCAGCTAATTTCTCGGAAAGGCAACACTGCCCCGCCCAATTGGAAAAGCAAAGAGGTAAGACGAGGCACGGCCGCAAACCCACCTCTGGGCTTCGGTCTCTGTTCGCGAGGTGTCATGACGTCGAGCCGGGTAGGATATTAAAACCAAACCTCCCGCCTCCTCCTTCCTCTTCTTCCTTGCTTCTTTCTTGTCTGTCAGGCGCAGCTTCCCAGCCACTGCTTCCCATCGCTCTTGCCCCTCACCTGCACCGGGTCTCTCTTCCCTCTTTGGGTTCACCCTTTAACCCCCTCCTTGCTCCCAATTTCCGGTACGTCACCCAAGCTTCAAACCCCGCTCCCCAAAAGCCAACGCGGCCCCTATTCTAACCCAACGAAGAAGCAGGAAAGAAACCCGCTTGTCGCAACAATGGTGTCCCGTATCAGCGCGGCCGCCGCCCTCCTGGGCGCCTACATCTCCGCCGTCTCGGCCCAGACCTACCAGCGTCTCGGCGCGTGCCCGGACCTGGGCTGCGTGTTCCCCCGGACCAGTCCGACTTCCTCCCCGGCCAGTACTTTGACCTGCGCGTCGAGGTCCACGCGCCCGTCAACGGCACCGAGGCCTTCAACAACGGCGTGCCCGACGAGGAGTTTTCCGTCACCATCACCAAGAAGGGCGGCAGCGCGCAAAGGTGACGGACTTCTTCGGCCTCGCCGAGGAGCCGAGCTCGAGACGTGGAAGTTTTCCTGGTACGAGGATCTCTTCGCCGAGGATGCCAAGACCAAGAGCCTCATCAACGTCGCGTCCAAGATTTACAGGCGTATTCGCCTCAGCGACCCCGGCGAGTACGAGGTTTCGCTCTCGTACTACGGTGACAAGACGACTGTCGCCAACTGGGTCGTTCGCCCTACTTCCCACAGGAAGAAGGCCAAGAACGTCATCTTTTTCATCGGTGAGTCGAGGGCACATCCCGGGAAAAACGTTGGAAAATGAGGGGGTATGAAAGGTTGCTAACAGGGGCTAGGTGACGGCATGACCACCAACATGATTACCGCCGCCCGTCTCCTCGGACACAGGAGCATCAACGGCAAGTACCAATCGCTCATGCAGCTCGACAAGTTCCCCGTTCTGGGTCACCAGATGACCCACTCCATCGACTCGTACATAACCGACTCGGCCAACTCTGCCGCTGCCCTCTACAGCGGCCACAAGGGAACCGTCAACGCCATGGGGTAAGTACAAGAAAGAAACCCCGATACCGAGGAAAGAGTTGCCCAAAGTTTCGAATCAGTGTTAACATGTCATTCTCATAGTGTTTACGTTGATTCTTCGCCCGACCCATTCGATGACCCCAAGGTCGAGACCATTACCGAAATCCTCGGCCGCATCTGGGTATGTTAAACTTCCTCCGACTGAACCACCCATCTCTTCCTAACACTTCCCCATTAGGGCTCCGTCTGGGGCGCGGTAACCACCGCCACCATCTCCGACGCCACCCCCGCCGCCCTCACCGCTCACACCCGCCAGCGCGGCCTCTACGGCCCCATCGTCGAGCAGGCCCTCAACGGCATCACCAACTACACGTGGACCGAGCAAAACGGGCCCGACGTGTACTTTGGCGGCGGCGCCGAGCAGTTTCTCCCCGGCGCGGGCTCCTACCAGGGCAAGGACTACTACGCCGAGTTCGCCAACAAGGGCTACACCGTCTCCACCAACAAGACCTCCCTCCTCGCCGTGGACCCCACGGAAAAGGCCCTCGGCATCTTTTGCCAGGGCAACTTCCCCGTCTGGCTCGACCGCAACGTCTACGTCGAGAACCTCAAGGCCTTCAAGAACAACCCCGCCGGCGGCTCCGACCCGGCCCTCGACCTGCCCGGCCTGAAGGAGATGACGGTCAAGGCCGTCGAGATCCTGCACAACCGCGGCGGCGACAAGGGCTTCTTCCTCATGTCCGAGGCGGCGTCCATCGATAAGCAGATGCATCAGCTCGACTACGACCGCGCCCTCGGCGACCTGCTCGAGTTCGACGACACCATCAAGGCCACTATTGAGAAGCTCGAGGAGCTCGGCGTGCTCGACGAGACCCTCATCGTCGTCTCCGCCGACCACGGCCACGGCTTCGACGTGTTTGGCTCTGCCGATACCCAGTACCTCGCCGCCCAGACCGAGGAGCGCAAGAAGCGCCGCGCCATCGGCACCTACGCTAACTCGGGTCTCTCCCAGTACACCGAGGAGGTCCCCGGCATCAGCTACAACACGGGCGCCAACTTCCCCGTCAACTGGACCCCGCGCTACGCCATTGCCGCCGGCGTCGCCGCGGCCCCCGATCGCCGCGAGGACTTCAAGATCCGCGAGGGCGGATCCCGCGTCCCGGCTTCCAGCGTCAACGGCGAGTACTTTGTCAACCCCAAGGACTCCCCCACGGGTACGTCATCAACGGCACCCTCAGCACTAGCGAGAGCGTGGGCGTCCACTCTCTCACCGACGTGCCCGTCTTCGCTATGGGTCCCTGCCAGAATCTCTTTGGCGGCGTGTACAACAACGTCGACATCTTTTACAAGATGGCCGAGTGTCTTGGTCTCGGCCACGTCGGCAACGCCACGGAGGAGTGCACGGCCAAGCCTAAGAAGCAGAAGAGGACCCTTCGTCATTAAGCGGAGGATTGTGCAAAAGGATGGCAGAAGGATAGATGATCACTAGAGAGAAAAAGAAATTGTTTTAGGGGTTTAGATGGAGGTGATGGATGATGACTTGTATATAGATTGGTGGCTGGCCGGGAATGGCCGTTACTGGAACCAACCATACCTACTTAACTTCTAATGTTATTTGTTGAATTTGACCCATTCACTTTAGGAAGTATGCCGAACTAGAGGAACAACTAGATCTACATGTAGAGTGTGATGGTGAGAAGGGTTTGTGTGGGAATATGGCAAGTGTCCTAAGGGCACTTCCGTGGTCTAGGCCATGACAGAGGGAAGTCTATCGATCTAGAAAGAAGAATATGCATTTAGTAAGCGAAAGAATCCTAAAGAAAAGTCACCGCGCCCAGGTTTTGCGGATCGAAAACAACTAAAAGATATTCCTGGCCTTCTTGGTCATCCGCGATGCTGAAGTTTTGTCCTCCCTGCCGCCAATAGTCGAATCTACTAAAGCCTGTGTCACCATGCCAAGACCTAGCTTGGGGAAACGTGATAGAAATTGAGGAAAATGCCTTACGCGTCTCACAGGCCGTGAAAATTGTACGACGTGCGCGCTTGCCTGACTACACTTACAGGATCGTTGACGGGCAGGATTTGACACGTGAGGCACAAACCGCAGGTTCACGCACATCTCTGGGGGTTGAAATCGTTTACTCCAAACGGTTTTTCGTAGACGGCAGCCAGCTCGCCCGCCCGCGGAAGGTTGTGTTGGTAGCGAAGATGGTGGTGGGAGCTGTGAGCTTCCCGCGCGATACCCGTGATGGCCGTGCCGTAGACGCGCAGCGAAGTGGGGATGGGAAGGGGGAGGCACGGACGCGGATTATGAAGGATCCATGGGACGAGGTAAACGCTGAAGGAGGTAAGTCAGTCCTCTGAGAGGGGCGAAATGGCAGTTGTCCAGACCGCATATAATGGATAGTTTGTCATCAAGCTATGTCGGAATTGGCTCAACGTCGCTGGTGATTGTTATCTATCAGGTTTCGTTGGTGCTCGGCGGAGATTGGCTCCCATGTTGGCAGGATCCTTTTATTCCAGTCGCTACCGTTGAAAAAGTCTATAGCTCCCAAATATACGGCCGCAATCCAGTTCCGGTGGGATCTCGGTCTTGTGACGCGATACACATTGTTAATTGCCGAGAGGCGTGACCATGCAACTACAAGACAATAGATGGTTTCGAGCCATGTCGAGCGTTTCGCCTAGCACCTCGACAATAGCCAAGGGATTCGATTCTGAATAAAACAAGCGAAGATTGTAATAGTATGCTGTCTCCACACGCACCCCGAGTAAACTCATCAATGACCAACTCGAATTGTGAAGGCAATACTTGGGAGGCTGGGAGGATAGAAAACTGCGAATTTCGGATCCAGGATGTGGAATGGCCTACACAGGAGAAATGAATGTGCTGGAGATCTAGTGAAGCATAAGCAGCATCCGCTTGTATTGAAGATACCAGACATCAATTGATGTAGCTACCTCGGGATTGAGGTGCAGCATAGCACATCTAAGTACGCATTTTTCAGTGACAGTTTTAGCTATGATATTTGCCTCCTTGGTTTTCCCTGTATTTCTTTAAGAATCCAAAATCTCCTACACGTTCGTGGATACAATCAGCATCTCCCAAGGAAGAACCAAAAGTCCGACAGGTGGGTGATACCGCGATCCTGGAGAATCCTTGCAGATCCTTTGCGATATTGCCTCAGATTGGTGAGCTTCTAAAAATGGAAGGTGTGCGCGGGATGTAAGTGCACGGCTCATATATTTCTTGCCGTCGCAGCCCTCAATCAAACCTGTCGGTACCGAACACTCAAACTTACGCCGCATGTGCGGGGAGCCATCGCAATATGATGGAATCGCGATGAGTAGGCTCTAGCTTGATTCAAGGACTTTTGGTACTATCATTGATCTCCTCAAAATTTTATGAACTTTCAACGTTTGGGTCGCGGGCGGTGATGTTCAAAGCAGATGTTGGAGACGTGAAATTCATACAAAAGGGCTGGCCCAACAGCTCAATACCCCATGCTTCTATTGTTTAGCTGTTTTATCTCATCACTGCCACCACGACCCTTCTTTGTTCCCTTGATCTTGTGAATCTCGCCTTCGTTGCAGAAAATCTCCAATTCGTGGAAATACCATCCCTTGTTGCCGTCCTCGCAAGCGTCTTCACAATGCATCCTCGAGTATTGCTCGCATTCCTGGGCCTCGCCGTCACAGCCACGGTAGGAACGACGACCGTGGATGAAATCAAGATCATAAACACCAGATTTGTTGGATCTGGCTGTCCCAAACACCCCATTGTCGATTTGACGAGCGATGACGTGAGCCTGCGCCTCCCCACTTCCCTTTACTCACTTATAAGTCTAGTCAAGAGAAGAAACAACAGATTCCTAACATGGCGCGCAACTAGAGAATCGAACTATCTCTCGCCCCCTTTAGTATCGCCGTTGGTTCCAAGTCATCCAAGCTCAAAGACCAGGTCGAGTGTCTCGTGGAATTCGAGATCAGCCACCCCGCTAACCGCCAAGTCCGCCTTCACGATACCACGGTCGTGGGGGCCATCTCTGCGGATGGAGACGTCTCCGCCCAGCTGTCGGTGACCACCAATCTCGGCAAGGACAAAGCGGATTACACCCGCTCTATATCGAACAGCAAAGATAAGAAGGTCAAGCTCTTCTTCTCGGAGTATCTGCGGCCAGAAGAGCAAGGTCGCGCTGCGGGTTGCGGGGAAACAAAAACGCGCCTAGTGCTGGACACGAGTTTACACCTATCGACGAAGAACGCGCATATCGGTGGGAAGCTATCTTTGGAAGAAGTTAACAATAGGGTTGATTTTACGCATGAGCTCAATTTAGCGTGGACGGACTGTTGAAGGACATGACGGAAGGGACATGGAGAGTTATCCTGACTCCGTTGGGTGGACCAGGGTCTAGCCCAAACATATATAGTGAAACCAAATCAATGTCTTCACACTATGGCTCCTTTATATTTTGGGTGGCACGAACAGGCGTATTATTCGTACGGTAAGGTTTTGAACATTCCAGTGCCCCAAATGTAGTAGACAAGTTAGACTCGTTGTTGCGGTCAGGTGAGACACAGTTGCTAGCTCACCAAGACGCCCGCCAATTAACATCCATGGAACGTTCTTACCAAAGGTTCCCACGTTTGTTCATTCTTATTTCTACACGTCACAAAAGTAGGGAGAAACTGCACAGGAGAAAACAGAGTCATCCTCTCTCATAAATCGTAAATGGTCGTGTAAGAGTCAACAGTTTAGGGTTGCGCCATACCGAAGAGTTGTGTGAAGAAACACAGGTAGAAAACTATATACATGAAGATAACACTTTGGGATGCCCGTAGGCTCCTCATTTCGTATCACACAGACCAAAGCCCGTCACCTTGGAAAAATCCCCTCCCGTCTCTGACGCCTAGATATATATCTACAGACACACAACAACAACCACTCCCCTTCAACTCAGCTTCTCGTGTTTGTTTCGAAAAAGCTCTTTTAGTTCCAGTTAATCATGGTAGTCCTGGAGACGCCCGCGCTAGGGCTCGACTCGCAGTACTGCACCCAACCGTCGAGCTCGCTCGAGTCCTTCTTGATGGCGGTGCTGAAGCCGGCGTTGCCCACCTTGGCGGGGTCGCGGTTGCAGTAGCGGTTCCAGTCGCTGCTGGAGAGGGTGTTGGAGCCGGCGGAGGAAGGGTACTCGAGGTCGAAGACGGGGAGGCGGCGGCCGTCGGAGCGGAAGGAGCCGGTGACGAAGCCCTGGAGCTCGCCGCACCAGTCGCCGGAGCCCTGGCAGTCCTCGAGCACGGCGAAGTCGACGTTGTTGGCCACGGCGCGGGCGAGCTGCTGCGAGTTCTTGAGGCCGAACATGAGGGGATGCCGCGCTTGGTCTTGAGGCTGTGGGCGTAGGTGGCGAGGGTGTTGACGTAGTTGGTGGACTCGGCTTGGGTCAAGCCGAAGCCGGTCTTGTCGCCGCCGCGGGGAGCACCATCGGGGTCCTGGTGGGCAAGAGTTAGCAAACTTGTTACGGTACTGGTGGGGACGAGAGAGGAAGTGGGGCTCTTACCCAGCCGTCGACGTTGTCACCGTCGATGCCGTCGCAGCCAATCTCGGCCGCCTTGGCGATGCGCTTCTTCATAAACTCCACGACGTCGGCGCGGCTGGTGTCGATCCACCACTCGGGATAGCCGTCGTAGCTGTTGCCGATGGCGGACGAGGGGAAGCTCTTGTAGTCGGCCTCGGACTGCTGGATGGCGCCAATGTTGATGTAGCAGAGGACGACGTTGTCAACGCCGGCGGTGGGGCTTTTCTGGAAAAATGGGGCAAGAGGCGTTAGTAAAAAGGAATAGACACATGTTGGAGAGGAAAAGAAGGGGTATTGGGGTGCTTACCAAGAAGGGAATGATTTTAGAGTTCTCGGCCGAGTGGAAGTAGTCGACGACCCAGACGCGGGCATCGGCGGGCGCGAGGGGCTTGGTGATGTCGACGGGGTTGTGGATGACGATCTGCCACTTGACACCGGGGGCCCACGAGGAGGGGAGACCGGTGACGGTGGAACCAGATCCGGCACCAGCACCAGCACCAGCACCGGCACCAGCGCCGCTGCCAGAGCCTGAACCACTGCCAGAGCCTGAACCACTGCCAGAGCCAGAGCCAGAGCCCGAACCACTGCCGGAGCCGGATCCGGAGCCAGAGCCGCTACCAGAACCAGAACCGGAGCCCGAGCCTGAACCAGAGCCGCTGCCGGATCCAGAACCAGAGCCAGATCCACTACCAGATCCTGACCCAGAGCCTGAGCCCTTGCCGGGGCTGCTGCCGGAACCCGAGCCGGAACCACTGCCGGATCCGGAGCCCTTACCAGGCTTCACGACGGAGCCAGAGCCGGAGCCACTGCCCGAGCCCTTTCCAGAGTTGCCACCGCTACCAGAGCCAGAGCCGTGACCGGAACCTCGGCCCTTGCCCTTGTTGGAGCCCTTGCTAGAACCCTTGCCCTTGTTGGAGCCTTTACCGTGAACGCGACCACGGCTGGAGCCACGGCCAGGAACGCCGGCGGGGACGACAGCGGAGGGGCGGGAGGTCTCCTCGGCGTTATGGACAACGTGGGGGTGGGCGGTAGCCGCGCGGTCGGGTCGGATAGAGACGTAGTGGCGGTCCTCGTCGAGCTCGTAGGCGGCGCGGTGCGGGGCGGCGAGAGCCCCGGCGGCCAGGAGGAGAGATAGAATGGTGGGACGCATGTTGGATGTTGTTCGTGTTTTTTCTTGTCCAGAAAAAGTCAAGATAGAGAAGAGAAGAGTAAGATGTGTTGGTTCTTGCTTCAACAAGAGTCTGCGCCTGGCGAAGTGAAAGGAGTCGTTGGGTGGTTCTGTTTGTCGATAAAGACCTTTTTGTTTCTTCTTTCGAGTTGTGAGAAAAAAGGAGTGTTCAAAGAGACTGGCTCAAGCAGTCTAGCAGCAAGGATAGAAAAAGAAGGGCGGTGGTTTGTTGTGGAGTGAAAAAGGAATGTGGTGAAAGAAAGAAAGGAGGATCAAGGCCGAGCCAAGGCAGCCGGTAGTTGGTAAAGTGGAAAGGAATGAATGAAGGTTGACTTGGTCCTTGGAGAGAAAGGAAAAGGGAAAGGAAGGGGGATCGGACGAAGGAAACCGGGAAGGGCCCGACGATAAATACAAAGTTGGACGAGAACACACGATGGTCAAGGCACACAGACACATCCACACACGTCCGGCTAGGCTAGCCCAGCCCAGCCCAGGGCCAAGGGATCCCCTCCTCCCAGCCATCGATCGTCGTGGACCGGGTGTCTTCCCGCCCCATCGGAAGAGCCAACAAGCGCATGCATGCAGAGCGTAGAATAATTCAGGGGCGCCAAGCTTCCATGGCTTCCTACTTCCCGGGATGGAGCTAGAGCAATCTACGAAACCAAAAAATCAAGTATTATTACATGTATAGTATGGAAGAGGGTAAGCAAGGGAACTAAGAAAAAAAGAAAGAAAAAAAAAGAAAAAGAGAACGGAGAAATAAAGAAAGGAAAAAAACCCCGCGCAGCTCGCCCGCTTTCTTCCCTCTTCCAATCGACCAATGAAGAGGCTCCCTGCAAGCCAAAAGGGGTGCTCAGAAAACGCGTAGGCCACTTTAGCTGAAAGAAGCGAAGGGGGAACCTTGTCATCAGGTGGTGGACGTGCCATTTTTGTCCGACGGACGACCCAATGCGCACAGTAAGCGCTGCCCTTTTTCTTTCTTTTTCTTTCTTTTTTTCTTCTTCTTGTTCTTTTGCCATCCTAGATGTCAGAGGCGCATCGTGGGTGCCGAGCAAAGGGAAGAGGGGGTTGTACGGTATTGGTTGGCGGAGAGGGAGGGGAAAGGGAAACAAACGAAAACAGCCTAGCTAGCGAGACATGTTCCCCACGGATACACTGGAAGTGGAAGTGTGTGTGCAAGTGTTCAAGTATGCGAGCGTGGAAAGTGGGCGCGTATGACAGGTCCGTCACGTAGGATCCTGACCTGCATTCTTGTTTCAAAACTTTTGAATTTAGATTGGACGGATTAGCTTGGGATTGCTCGGTTGATCGGGTGGTACCTGCAGGGGAGCTACGCTAAGCCCATCCTGCCAGGGGCTAAACAGGAAAATGGAATGGACAGAAGAAGGCGGAAAAGAGATGGAGATGGTTTAACCGGGATGGAAAGAGGGGGGACAGGATTGACCAGGACCTCGGTAGGTAAAAAGAGGGTGGGAAAAGAGAGAGGATGATCCCTGACGATAGAAAGACGGAAAAAGAAAAAAAAAAAGAAAAAGAAAAAGAAATAAAGGGTGTTTTCAGTGAGACCCGCAGAGGTCATGTAGAACGCAGGGCGGAGATGCGCTGGCTAGCCCGGTAGAGCGCGAACATTGAACATTGAACCATTTCAGGATTCAAGGTCCTGTCTGGCCTGTCAAAAAGCAGAGCTCGGAGTCGAGTGGACGTCGGCGGAGCCCACAACTCCACTGTCTCACCTACCAGTCCCCGCCTTGGTTCCCCTCTCTGTCCCCTCCAATATCTAACACATTGTCTCCTTTGCGAGTGGATGTTCTTCGCTGCTCTCTCTCTCCGTCGACTCGAAGCGAGGCATCATTATGAGTCTCTGCCCATCCATCTCGCAATGACAAGCGAGACACAAACAAGAATATGAGCCGGCCAGCAAGAACACTCTGCCGACTTTCCACAACCTGGCGAGGGCGGACGCACTGACGGAGGATCGCCGCAGGCAATATCTTCCGGATATCAACAACCTAGCCCATTACTCTTCGAAAATCAGTGTAGATAAACTAGGGAAAAAAAAAGAAAAGAACAGAATAGAAGAAATCCCCTCCCCGCCTCCTCAATTTGCCCGGGACCAAGGAATCATCGCGCCAGCTGGGCTTGGCCTTGGCTTGGCTGACCTAGATGCAAGAGCTTTGGCAAAGTCAAGCTTTGCCAACACGTTGCTCCCGACTAGCCCGGTCACTTCCTGGATGTCCCTGGTGGCTAGGGGCATTCGGTATCCGCAAAGGCTCTCTTGGCGATGCACCATTTTCCGCTCTTTGCCTCTCTCCCCCTGCATACGTGACGAACGAGCGTGCCTGGATTTGCCATCGCTGCCCTGTGCTGCTTACTTGTGGGCAGGCAAGCAGGACAGGCCATGCTTGCACCAATTTTTTGTCCCCTTTTCCCCATGCCCTTTTCGTTCCGCTTGTTCCTTGTGCGCTCTTGGCATCCCTGAGCCACTGCAGCACGCAGAACAGGCGCCCCCTTCGACGGACGCGCCCGGGGAAAAAATGACAAGAGCGGAACCAATTATCCGGGGGCAAAGACGAAGAAGAGGGTAGAACGAAAAGCAAACGCTCAACCAACCTGAAAAAAAGGCGCCAAGGGGCGAAACTCGGGGCACGGCTAGATGCGCGCAAACGACGCAGGTGGGCGCGACGGTGAGTATTCGAAGCCAAGCTGTCCTATGGACTAGAATAGCGTCCGGAAGCGAGAGGGAAAAAGACATATTAGTCCATTGATAGTGCACACACTTGGATGAGGGGAGGGTGGATATCAGGTGCGCAAGGCAAGACGCCAAAAATAATTGATCAAGCAAGTCCAGTGTGGTTCCCAATGTCTCAGCTGGAGTGGTGATTTAAATGGGATTAAAGGAGGTTTTGGTGGCGTTGGCAAGTGGGTCCTGCGATGGAATGATGGAAGAGGGGGAGAAACCCTCCCAACTTTGTTTCTCCTTCGTGCGTGAAATCACACTGCGGCAAGGCTCGATGCTACCATCAAGAGTAAGACGAAATTGTCTTTTCTGGTTAATCCCAGTTCAGTCCATCCTTCGACCAGGTAGGGCTGAGAGGGCGAGTTAGTGTATGATGAGACCCAGACAGTTGGTTCTCGCAAAGGATTCCCACAGGTACGAGGGAAGGCATGGATGGTCCGAAGGACCCGAAGACAAACGTGAGGCCAAACATTGAAAGCGAAGCTCGAAGGAGAGACGAGCAAGAGTGGAAGCTTGTACGATGTCAAAGTTGGCCAGAACTGCTATTGGGAGGGTTCACGCCCAGTCCTCGCTCAGGCCAATTGTGTGGCGAACCGTGGAACTTGCGACCGGGAGCCAGCACAGCCAACGCCGGAGGAAGGCGCAGACTCCATTCTGCTAAATTCTCGCCGACTAGCTCACGCTCCAGGCACCATATCTAATTTCGGCATTTTCGACAAAAGGTGCGTTGAAAAAGCCTTGACGCCGCACCGCCCGACGCCAATCGCTCAGTATTTTAGATCGCAAGTTCCTTAGGCTTGCCTAGTGTTTGGTCGTAGGGCAAGCTGAACTGGACACTGCCCTGGAGCGAGCTAAAAGCTAGCGTACGCTATTTGTTGGGAGGTGCGCAGCGCAGGACACACCAACCGTGAACTGAATGACGGTCCCCGCCTCTGTTCCTGTTCCTGGGAAATGACGAAATCTGAGAGCGCGGGCCACCACGGACAGCCAAAGCCACCGCCGCTTGATCCTTTTGGGTCCGAGCGGGGAGATGAGATGCTGACAGCAACAAGTCCACGGTTCCATCCACGGTGGAGGGCTTCCAGCTCACCGAGATATTCACGTGATATTGTCGCTGACCTAATCACGCAAGCTCGGTCGACCAGATTTTGCAGTCCTTGCCAGTCATCAATTTCTATGTGAGTTAGCATGACAGCGTCGTTCTTCAGCAGCAACAGCAGAGACAACATTGAAAAGCGCATTCCCACGTGGTCGCGCGTGGTTTTCAAGTTTTGTCATGTCTTGACTATGTCTTGCTTGTTTTGATTCTTCAGAGAGATTTCAACATCATAGCCAGATAGAGTCAAGGGAAATGAAATAGAATAGAGGTTTGTCCGCCTCGCACGTCAAAGACGGCATTCGAGAACCATTGTCGCCACTGCGCATATCGATGAGATCCCGCCAACAAAGGATCCCAAAGACGGCTTGAGTCCAACGTCCAATCTGCGCAGCCAAGTGCCGACAAGCACCGCGTCACGGAAGCAAGAATTGATCAACTCGGTAATGCAGGTTGGGAGAAGGATCGATACCCTTTTTTATTTTATTTTTTCTCTCGACTTCTTCATCATTTGTAGGTCGCATGTCCCAAGGGGGCGAAGATGAGCACGCATTCCCGGCCGAGGTTGATGTTATCTCTTCTCTTGCGCCTCCGTCATGCTTCTCTCCCCTCATTTCACGCGGGTCCTTCAGAAGTTCCTCGGACGTGCGCAACCCCCGTCATGGAAGCTCAATGCATCGGCGCAACGTCCGCACGGAGTCTCTGGCGTCCCGCCAAGGCACGTGGAATACTACCGGACGTTGGCAAATAATGCAAAGATCCAATGGACGTAAACAAACACCAAATTGATCGTCCATGATAGCTCCCCGCCTCCTCAATTGTTTTTTTCCTCTTCAGTTGGTCTCGCGTAGTCGCCCACGGAACTTCTTATCTTTGCTTTCCTCAGAGCACCACGCCCGTCTCCAGTCCCTTCTCCGGTCCTCCGGGGGCGGCTGTCTGCCATCAATCTCTCACTCACAGTCTCGCTCGCTTTCTCTTGCCCTGTTGGTGAATCTAGTCTCCTCACGATCCAGCCATCATCTATTCCAACCCCCAACAAAAACCTAGCCTCACACCTGCATTGCGCTTCCTCTTCCTCTTTCTGCTGACATCTCTTGCATGCATGACTTTCAATGTTTGCCCCCGCCAAAGCGATTGCGTTCAACGTGGACTTGGGGAAATTTAAGCATCTTGGCACCTTGTCCCGCGCCGCACGTGAGTCCGTCGATCTCCTTGCGCGACGTTGCCTTTGCCCGTGCAACCTGCCGTTCAGAGCCGGCAACCTGCCCAGTTTAGCCTAGCACGTCCTGCGCTTCCCGTCCAGCGCCGCCCGGATGGAGATACTTCCATATTAATTAATCGCCCTTTCCCACCCCGCAAAACACAAAAGCCTCCCAAAGTGCCTCTTGCTTGGCCCTCTTTCTACTATCTCTCTAACCCCACATGATCAAGCATGGCACTTTGGCGTGTGCTATCTGTCCAACTGTCAGCGATAAGGCCACCGTCTCTGCTAGACGCCCCGGTCCAACCCTTGTCCGAGGACGAAAGTCCCCTCGACCGAACATAAAGACCAGAAAGGACAAACAAGGGCAAATTGAAAAGAGAATAGAAAGAGGTTAGGTGAAAAGAAATTAACCTCTCCCCTCAAATCTAGCGTGCTTTCGGACGCAAGGCAACAGTAGAAAAGAAAGAGAAGAAGGAAAAAAAGTTCCATTAGATCTCTCCTCTGTGAACCGATGCCACTCTTTGATCCCCGGCCCCGGGAATGCCACCCCAACCGACCGATTTCATGCGCTGACCCGGAGACTGGGGACGAAAAGAGGGGCCCGAAATCATGAACAGCACTGCGAGTAAAAGTTCCATTCCATTGCCCAGCTTCCCAATACGTCCAAACGTCGCGTTCCTGGTGGTTCGTGGTTCGTCTTGGCGTATCATTGCAGCTTCCACGTACGGGGATCGCAACAAGGAAACCGAAAAAGAAAGAGATGAGAACAGGCACACACACACACACGACGAAGAAAAAAGATTGGGCCGGAGTGACGCTACCGCGTGTCTGCCCACCTCGGCGATGGCGTCAAAGTGAGAGAGAAAAACGAAGGGGCACCCGTTCTATAGTGACATGGTACCACAGCAGCATCGTGCATCTCCGCAATGTAGATATAAATGTCAAGTAGCATCCCGCTCTCGATATGAATGAAATTTCCTCCAAAACGGCCAGGAGCGAGAAAGAAAACTATAGCTTGGGAGAAATCACACCGCAGATCGTCGCTGCAGGTTTTACTACATCTTCAACCCTTTCATCTATCTGCCCTTGCTCCCTTGTTTTTTTTTCTTCATCCTCTTTTTCTCCTCTTCCAGCCCCTCCTCCTCCTCTTCCGTGCTTGCCGACCGTGCTGCTGTCCCTCTGCCTTTTTCCCCATTTCACCCCATTGACTCGCTTCCTCCAAGTCCCGAGCCGGTTGCAATCACTTGCTACCTTGTTTAATCTAGAAGCTTGCCTGCTGTGCTCGCTTTTTTCCCTTCTCCTCCACGTTATCATTCACCCGCCCGCCCCTCGCCAGGGAAAATAACACTCACCCCCACTCACACACACGCACGCACGCACACACACACATACACACAGGAAGTCACCCTCGCACCCCCTTTCGTCGCAGCAATGAGACCCACGACGAGCTTACTCGCTACCTTTGCCCTGGGACTCCCCGTCCTCGGCCTTGCCGGCGGTGACAAAGGTCACGGCGGTGGCGACAAGGGTCACGGCGGCGGAGGTCACGGCGGAGGCCACGGGGCCCGAAGCCGCCCCGGCCCCACCACGCACCCTAGTCACCTCCAAGAAGCTCCAGAAGCACATCACGCTGGACAACCTCTTGGCCGGATCCCAGAAGCTGCAAGATTTCGCCGACGCCCACGGCGGCAACCGCGTCTTCGGCAGCGGCGGCCACAACGCCACCGTCGACTGGCTCTACGACACCCTCAGCGCGCTGGGGTACTACGACGTCGTCAAGCAGCCCTTTAGCGAAATCTTCTTCGAGGGCCACTCCGCCATCACCGTCGACGGCGCCGCTCTCGAGAACACCGTCATGACGTATACCCCCGGCGGCTCCGTCAGCGCCCAGCTCGTCTACGCCCCGGTCTCGGCTGCACCGCCGCCGAGTACCCCGCCGCGGTGGAGGGCAACGTCGCCCTCGTGTCTCGCGGCACGTGCACTTTGGCGAAAAGGCCGCCGGTGCCAAGGCCGCCGGCGCCGCGGCCGTCATCGTCTACAACAACGTCGAGGGGAGCTTGGCGGGTACGCTGGGTGATCCCTTTGGCGAGTACTTGCCCATCGTGGGGATTAGCCAGGCGGATGGCCAGGCTTTGATCGCGGCGCTCGAGGCGGGTGAGGTGGCGGTCGATTTTGAGCTCGACGCGACGGTGGAGGACCGCGTCAACTTTAACGTCATTGCCGAGACCAAGGGCGGAGACCACGACAACGTGCTGATTCTCGGTGGTCATTCCGATTCCGTGGTCGCGGGTCCCGGTATCAAGTGAGTTGGGGCCTTCTTTATAGGGGTTTTCTCCTTCTTCTTGCTTTTGAACCATGTGTTTTCTAACGTGATTCTTCCAAAGTGATGATGGCTCCGGAACTGTCGGTGTCCTCAACGTGGCCGTTGCTCTGGCCAACTTCCGCATCAACAACGCCGTCCGCTTCGCGTTCTGGGGCGCGGAAGAGTACGGCAAGCTCGGCTCCTACCACTACGTCAAGCAGCTCAACACCTCCGCTACCGAGCTCGCCAAGATCCGAGCTTACCTCAACTTCGACATGGTACGTACTTGTTCCTTTCCCCCTTAGGCTATGTCTAGTGCGAAGCACGGCAGGGCAAGGAGTTACAGCAGTCACTAACCGCGACTCTGCGCACGACAGATTGCCAGCCCCAACTACATCCTCGGCATCTACGACGGCAACGGCGACGCCTTCAACCTCACCGGCCCCGCCGGCTCCGACGTCATCGAGCGCGACTTCGAGGATTTCTTCGACAGCAACGGCGCCGGCCACGTCCCCACCGAGTTCAGCGGCCGCTCTGATTACGCCGCCTTCATCGAGAACGGCATTCCCTCGGGCGGCCTCTTCACCGGCGCCGAGGGCGTCAAGACCGAGGCCGAGGCCGCGCTGTTTGGCGGCGAGGCCGGCGTCGCCTACGACATCAACTACCACCAGGCTGGCGACGACATCAACAACCTCGCCCACGATGCGTACCTCCTCAACGCGCGCAGCATCGCCAACTCGGTCGCCAAGTACGCGACGAGCTTCGACTCCCTGCCCGCCGTCAACCTTGCGAAGCGTGGGTGGGCCGCGCACCGCGCGCGCTTTGTCAAGAGGGAAGATGGCGCGGGGCACGGGCATTCTCATGCGCATACGGGTCCTTGCGGCGGCGGTGTGCCGGTATAATAAGTGAGAAGGTCATGGTATGGATGGGAGGGAAACGGGCGTGTTTGCGAAGGGAATAGTACCCGCAACACGTATGAGCTATGTAATGCATAATGTAAATAATCATTGAGTCATGCTTGTCCTAATTATGAATGGTTCCAAAGTGTCGGTGTGTTTGGTCTCGACTGCATGTCTTACAAAATCTGGCATTTTTGCCTCACAGCAGACCATTCTTCCTTGGTGTCATTGCTAAAACTTGATTCACCCTGCGCATTGATGGGAAGAAGCACGGATAATACCTTGAGAAGCCTTTTTGTTGGTTCGGCAAGGACGCTTCGGCATATGCACACCAGGTGTCATCTCGCACTTGCGACGGGGTGATTGGGGCCATATTTCTGATTGCTGTCCGCGATCTTGTGATGCTGCATTGGATCGATGAGTATTGATGCTTTTATGCTCGAGAAATAGAAAAAGCAACAAAAGGAATGGCTTCAGCGATTGTCCGAAGCGCATAGGATAACGACCATCGCCCGCCTTGGCATTGTACGTGACAGTCCTGGAAAGGGGAGGAAAGAACAGACAAACCTCGATGGCGGAGTGGGAAAGATAAAGGCCCAAAATACGTGCGAGAGAAGAAAAAAAAAAAGAAAAAGACATACAACACCGGGGATTCGCTGGTCGTCACCGACCCAACTACTAGTCCGGCGCTTCGCAGCTTGTGTACAGGGAGCGGACGGGACCCTCAATTATCTGCGAGCTATGGTCGTATGTGCTGGTGATGGCTTCAGAAGTGACTTATATACTGTGGCATCGATATCACTGTCCTCGTCCGGTATGAAGGGACCTCTCGCGCAGCAACACCGTCCGTTCCCTACGGCCAACCTCTAGTATGGGGCCTATTTCCTCATGGCATCAGGTCATTGCCCAGTCATGTAGTGCCCTTCACACACCTTATATCTCATCCACGAGGCCTAGGGGATCATAAAACCGGCTGCTGAGGTGAACTACCTTTTCTGACGCAAGCAGACTCATTAGCTGAGGTTTTGCTGAGCGGCCGAGGCCGGCGAGATTTTGAAGTCAGCATCTAGTGTTAAGACGGGAGTAGGCAGCTCTGATCCAGCCATTCTCCGCTTACGCTCTGGCGCGCATGCACTTCGGGAGAGCTGTTTTTATCTTTCCAGGCCCGCCGTATCTGCGCAATCGAAGCTTTATGTCGCAGCTGGTGGCATGGACGCCAACGACATTGAGTCTTTGGCAGTCCCCGTCATATCTACGGCCTCGGATAGAAACAAGGTCCGGAGAGTGTGATTTCTGGCCCAGAATCCAGATCTCGCAAGCCAAGCCGGTGACCCATCTCGGGTATCACGACCACAGGCACAAGCTGATCTCCTGGAGGAGCGGGCGGCCTCGATTTCCGCCGAGGGAGCCCATGTTTCCCCGGTATTCAGCTCCGCCCTGATGCAACGCGACGTTATATGCATGTGCTTCCTTGGGTCGGATTGGTGGCCCTTCAGCCCCGCGACCGCCGTGCGTCCACCATCTAAAGTTGCCGACTGTCAGCTGGTGATGGATGAGAGAGGGTGTCGGAAGGATAGTCGCCCCGGCTGATGGACTGCCACTCTTGTAGAGTCTTTTCTTGGATTATTTAACGTGATGCCCCTCTCTTTCCTTTCTATATTGAGAGGACATTACTCTGAAAATATTTCATACGTCGACAGCGAGGAAAGGAAAAGAAAAAGAAGGCGGAAAGACCAACCCATTCGCAGCAATATTAATTCATCAGCGATAATGCATCTCTCCACTCTCGTCTCGGCCCTCGCCCTCGTCATTGGCAGCTACGCCGCCACCTCTTCCTCCAACATCCACACAGCCACGGCAACGACGCTCCACTCCACGGTAATCGCGGTCGCCACCCCGCTGGCGTGGTTCGACGCGTACGCGTACTGCCAGCAAATCGGCCACACCATTTACCCCGTGCCCGCCACGCCGACGGACCCGGTGCTCGAGGCGTTCGAGGCGCTCCCGGGCGATCGGTACTGGGTTCAGCGGCGGACGGGCCAGTCGTGCACGTGTCTGAGCGAGAACGCCGGGTCGGACATGGTGGAGGAGGCGCCGTGCGGGGATCTGCTGCCCTTCTTCTGCAAGGACTGCACGTGGGGCGGGGACGGCTGTTGAACTCGGAGAGGAGAGGGGGTTTGAGAGGCCGGATATCGGTTGAGGGAGGAAAGCTGCGCAGGAGGACGTATGGTGTTGTCGGGGAACGCCCGGAGCCGGGTCAAGATCCACCGGTGTGTGTGTTTTTGTCATCCGGTATTGGACTACCTCTTTGGAGAGAGACATCTTAGTTTGTGTTGAGAGGATACATATGCTGTCTGGCACCCGTGCTTGAATGGGTAAGTTGACTGAGAGATTGTATCTTAGTCACAATATTCTTTGTAAAGGCAGGACAAAAACAAAGCGATGATTCTTTTGCGAGACTAGACCCTGAAATCATGTCATGCGGACTAGGACCTGGGAATCTTGTCCGATAAGAGGCTTAAGCCGTTTATTCGTCACATCGCACATCGCCCATACATCTCCCATCTGCGTACGCAATTACATGCAAGTCTTGGCAGTAAGTGACCGGGTTAGCGATGGTGCTGGATTTTCTTGCCCAAAACCGCGGGCAGTTCTTCACGCAAGCCGGCACATGGAAGCGGGCCGCGAGCACCATATCCGCGCAAGTGATGGCGCGATAACCGGGGCCTCCTGCGGGGATGGGATCCAGCACGCCGACAGCCATTATCCGCCCCCTTTCCAGCCTTTCCCGTCAAGTTGAACGGTTCCCCCACCTTGCTCTTTTTACTATTACAGCTACCCAACTACGCGAACTATGACGAACCTGTAGGGTCGGCTCACAACATTTACTTACACACTGGTCACCGGGGTGTTTCTTACGGTCGTAAGGGGGCTAGAGGCAGCAGGAGAGGAGATAAGGGTAGCGAAGAGCTATAAAGACCCCGACTATGATATGTTGGAAAAGCTTACAAAGGTCGGCCGCTTAGCCGTAGTGATATCATCAGGATGTGTCGTTGGCTGCCCCAACCGTCTTTCTTGATGATGCCCTTGCTCATGCTCGCGGACGGATGTGCCAGCCACGTAATCTCAATCTAGATCCCAATCCCCGGCGTAATATGCAACGATAATTCTAAAAGATGGCCTCGAGATGCATGATTGGGCATCGACAGCGTCGGGGACAAATGAAATACGTTTGGCGGTCGCGCGCTGTGCGACGCACCTACGGCTGGTATCAAAGGGGGTGTAGTTTACGTGAAGGGCCCGCGACGGCGCACGCGTGGATATCAGCATTTCAAATCACCGTACAAAGAAGGCATGGAGATTCTCCACATGAATGAAAAAAAAAAAATGTCAATCACGGGGAATGAACTTTTGGAAATGGGTTGAAGAATTCACCGAGTCCGCGCCGTGTGGCTCATGTTGCCCCGGGTGGGTGGTGGATCATGGGGCATTTTCTGGGAAATGGCTTGCTCGGGCGAGGGCCTGAAGGGAGGTTTGCGATGTAGATCCGGTTTCGAAAGACGTGGGTGAGCTTAAATGAGCAAATACTGGGGATCTAGGCTTCTGGCCATGCTAGGTGGCACCCTCTGCATGTCATTCGCTCGATCTGAGATGCAGATAGATCGAATGGATACTTTTGCACGCGAGCTCAGGTGTGCGTGGCGACAGAAAGGAGAAGGTCGAGAAAATGTGGCAATATAGAGGGGGTTTCACCCGAGCCCATTCTGCTTAGAGGCGCGTTCGTCGAGGTCGGTAGCTGCGGCCTCGAGTCGCTGGCGTATCTCCGGGTGGGTAAATTAATGAACGGCGGGGGCACGAAGGGGGCCATCGCTTCGGTGGTCTTTTTGTAGCTGTTGCCCGTATAGAGCTACCAAGAGAGGAAGCTGCCGAGAAAGGTGGAATTCGGTGCTAGAGCACGTCTAGTACAGACAATGAATGTACGTTGATCCATTCCTCCATGTAAGCGTCAGGTGTCTACATCTACATGGAATGGAGGCATGTATATTGCAACCACCTCTCTCGCGCGCAAGGGTCTGGCTGTCGCGGGATGCAAGCAAATTCCCGAGAGAGCCAGTCAAGCTTGGAATGTTCCGAACCCGAACCTAACAACGCTGAGCAGAGCTACTAGTACTCTTCCGCTTCGGAGATGGGGGTGTTGAAGAATCACGGAACCAGAGGGCGCGATTGGCTGGGTCTTTTAATCTAGATGGGAAGCCAGCAGCACTTCAAGTTGGCATATTTATTAATTAGGCCTGGATTGGTGGTCGCAGTCAGCTCACGGCCAAGGACATGGCCAGTATTGGCCCCTCCCGCCCCCGACCCGCTCGTGACTTGGCTTTGCTCTCCGATTGTGCTGTCTTTGGCTGGTCATTGTCCAAACTTGAGGTATTGCCGTTTTACACGAGTACATTGGCATTTGACGTATGTATCTTGAATATTGAAAGGGACGAGAAGCCATGGTCCCCGACTCCTCGACCACGGCACATGACGCATGGGATGGCGAAAAAGGATCTCAAACAATGCCCTCGAGGATAGCGCTCTCTCTACCTGCGACGCCATGCTCGCCCCCTCTCCCTTCGATAACGAATTCCATCCCCGCTAATTTTTTTGAACGACTGACCGTTGAAGCCCCTCGTTCCTTTTTCTCAAACTACTGCAGTGGCTTGAGTGGGGATGCAGCCCTCGAAAAGACCGGCGATCGTCATCGACAAGTCCCTGCGCGGCCAATCAACTGCCGAAGGGGGGAATGGAATGGAAGGGGCACTATAAGGAAAAGGGCATCAATGAATCAGCGTGAGTGAGAAAAGTAGGGAGAGGAAGAAGGAATGCATGCGGTGGGAAAGAGGGGCGAGGGAGGGAAGAATATGGCCGAGCGATGATTTGCGTCGAAATCGCTGGAATTGAGTCGTGATGTAGTTCATGCACCTCTTGTTTTCTTTTTTTTTCGTTTTTTACCGTTCTACTTTTCCTTCGCTCCTGTTTTGGCGGCCGAGTCAACAGTTTCCGCGTGGGCCATTTTGAGACCGAGGGAATTGATTGAGCCCAGCCCTTTGAACCAACAACCCTCGATCGGTGCTGTATTGTTCGTTGGCTTGTTGGTTCCAAGAATCCGGCGCAGAAAAAGGGTTGATTGAATGGATGCGCGGACCAACAACACTAGCTCTCAACTCCCGGCCTATTTTCCTCTCTCAAACATCCGTAGATCAACGGATCTCTCACCCACGCGTTTCCCTCCATTGACTCTCCCAACCTGCATTAGAAAGGGTAGCACTGGGGCCCTTGACTGCCGACCGCCTGCCCGCATTGTGCCCGATAGGAGCGCCATCAATTGAGCAGTGTTATTATTACATGGATCCATCCTGGATGTATTGCGCGTGGGAAAAGAGAAGAAAAAATAGTGGCAACGCATATAAAGTACATAGTGTCGGGAGCCGGTTATATTGTCACCCACCCCCGAAGGAGCACTTCCAGGGATGGAACGTTGATATGAATGAAGAAAAGAGAGATACCGGACCACATCCGCCCCAAGCTGCCAAAAAGCTTCCATTTTGACGTCTTGCGGTAAATACATCATTGTACTGAAACAGAGGTCGGGTTAGCTCCATCCATCCATCCATCCCCCAATAACCCCCGCCCTGTTTAAACTTGTATCTCTTTTCGTTCCTTTGCACCCGCCCCATGTAATGCCAAACTAACATTGTTGATTGGGCTTGCGGGGATTACCTCCATGCTCTTTTACGAAGCACGGTTCCACCTTGAGTCGAGTGACGGAACCGGAGATGAGGTCCGACTCCACACACCACAGCAGATCACGTCGATCTAGAAAACATGACGGAACGGGTTCGGAGGACGGGCAGAGAGAGCTAAGATGGGCCCCTCGTAGGAGGAGACACATGGCTACTCCAGATAGTCTTATGTGAAAGGGGATGCGCTCCTCCTGTGATATACGGGTGTGGCTATAACCGCACATCTAGTCCCATTCCTGGTTCGTTCGCCTCCTCGTCCCGGAACCCCACACTTTTCCATTCTACCCTCGCAGCTGGTTCCCGTTAGTCCTTGCAGAGGTGCGCGCCCGCGCGCTATTGCTTTTCTATGGAAGTTCAGTCTCTCTCTTTCTCTCCCGTAGATTTCTTTTTCCTTGGTCCTCTGGCCGCCTCCCGATCGTCCTGCACGCCGAGGACCGAGAAAGCGGAACCCTTAAATACAAGCCTTCTTGGCCACCCTTTCCGTCACTTCCCCCCTTTTACTTCTTTTCCGTGTGTGCGCGTGCGTGTGTGTGTGTTCTTCGCCTCCCTTATCCCGGCCTTCTTTTATTCTTTTTCTCTTTCACGTGCACGTGCGAGGCGAGAGATCTATCCCGTCTCAGTCGAGGATCAGTACGCGCGGCGGCCCCAAGCCTGACCAAGGCACGAAGTCGAGACAAGGTGACGAAAAAGATACTACTAGACAATAGTGGCTTCGCGGATTGTAGAGAAGGATATAAAACGCCGGCTCTACCTTGACCACGTCTCGGAGGTTCTCGCCAATCTCTCAACGCAGAGGTCACCACTAACCGTTTTTCAAACCGAATTGTTTTTTCTTCATTCACCAATAATCAACCATGGTCAACTTTAGACGTGCGGCCGTCTTCCTGGTCGCGCTCGTGCCCTTCGCGGCCGCCAGCCCTTTCCAGCGCAGGGCCGTCGCGGGCACCCCGATCCAGGACCAGTACATCATCACCCTCAAGGAAGACTTGACGGACGAGACGGCCACCACGCATCTGGCGTGGGTGGAGAACGTGCACAAGCGCAGCATTGGCAAGCGTAGTCTCAAGGGCGTCTCTGCCGAATACAATTTTGGGTTTGGTGGCTTCAGGGGCTACGCTGGTGAATTTGACGACGCCACTATTGAAGAGATTAGGAATAGCCCCGAGGTAAGCCGCCTAAAAGCTGCTCTCGTCCTTTTTTCTTTTTTTTTTTTTTTTTTGCCTTTGCGCCAACCCGTCCCCACATCGAAACCCAACGAAAAAAAAGAGGAGGGGGGGAGAATGGCGAGCAAGAGCTACATGTAGGCATGGTGAACCTATCTAACATGTCGGGCGTGTAGGTCGAGTTCGTCGAACCCAACCAAATCATGACCTACCAAGCCGTAGCGTCCCAGGAGCAAGCAGAATGGGGTCTCGGCACCCTCTCCAGCCGCACGCCCGGCTCCCGGCTCTACAACTACGACAGCTCGGCCGGCAAGGGCGGGTTCGCCTACATCATCGACACGGGACTGTACGTCGAGCACAGCGAGTTCGAGGGCCGCACCGAGCTCGGCAAGAACGTCCTCGAGGCCGACGGGAAGCCGTTCGTGGACACGGACGGCCACGGATCGCACGTCGCGGGCACGATTGGCGGCAAGACGTTTGGCGTGGCCAAGGAGGCTACCCTCGTGTCGGTCAAGATTATGCATAACGGCATCACCGATTCGAGCAACGTGCTCACGGGTCTGGAGTGGGCCGCCGCGGATATTGTCGAGAAGGGGCGCGTCGGCAAGGCGGCCATTAACATGTCTATCGGTACGTTGAAGCCAGTCCACCGGGGGCCCTCTGACCTTTTGTGGGGAGGGGGTCAAATTTCGTTTTCTCTTTTTTTTTCTTCTTTTTCTATTCTTCCCCCTGGCTTTGCTCATACGCTGATAAATCACTATCTAGGTGGCGGACGCATGTTTTCCATCAACAGGGCGGTCACCTCGGCCTTTAGGCAAGGCATTCTCGTGGTCGCTGCGTCTGGTAATACCGACGACCTGGCATCGTCTAGCTCCCCAGGATCGACTTACGAAGCCCTCACCGTAGGTGCCATCGACGAGGAGTGGAACGAGGCCGTTTTCTCCAACTGGGGTCCCACAGTCGACATTTTGGCCCCTGGCGTCGGCGTCGTCTCCGTGGGTATCACTGGCCCCAACGCCCGGCAAACGCTCGACGGCACGTCCATGGCGGCTCCGCATGTCACGGGCCTGGCTGTCTATCTCATGGTGGCCGAGAACATCACCGACCCGGGGGCGCTAACCACCCGTATCAAGGAGCTGGCGACGAAGAACCAGGTCAAGAACTTGAAGTTTGGGAGCCCTAACCTTATCGCCTACAACGGCATCGCGTAAATGCTGCGATAGTGTGGCCTCTTTTTTCTGTCTTTTTTTCTTGTTGCTGGCTGGGCTGGGCTCGTTGGTTTGTTTGTGTTTTCATGTTGCTTTCAAGGCTTGCACTCCACTGCGGTCCGGATGCCTCTTCATTCATAGGCTATAGGCTAGTTAATGATATCTCGAGAGAAAGGTTTAATACCCTACAATGTCCGGTCTATACTATTTGGGCTTTTTCTTTCTTCTTCATTTCTCTTTTTTCCCGCCCGCTTCTCCATCTTCTGCCTATACGTGGCTGCAACAAGCGTGAGGTTGTCGCTTCGCTGCAACTTCGTACTTATTCTTCCTCCCCGCGCAGGATGTCTAAACAGTCGCTGTTGATTGGTTGTCAGTTGGACCGAGCCGGCCCGGTCCGGTAATTCTTCAATCGAGGGGCTGGGAAAAATCGAGCAGGAAATCCACTGTGTCTCTGGGCGCATGTTTGGAAGGATTCTAAAACGGCATGTGGCTGCACGCTGCTCTTGTATCAAACATTGCGTCTATGAAGAAACAAATGCAACGGGCCTGACTGCTGTTCATTTAGTCATGGATCTGGAACCAGAAGGCAACTCATAAAGACACGAAAAGAACGGGGTCGTTGCGTTAATGGTGCGTGCTCGGCGGATCGTGCGTAGACGACTAGTGTAGGCTTACGGCATTCCGCCGGAGGACTTGGCGGGGTGTGCGAAGGTGTATCGGTACGAATCCCCATCTAGCAAATTTGTCATCAGCATCGTCCTTTTCCATGTACATATACAAGTGGGCTAATTGTCAGACATGACCAACGATGTACTCTTGGTACTCTATTCGAGATGCTCTCTCGCCTCGCCTAATAAACCTGGAGCTCATCCACTTTCTCAATTCATCCTAGCTCCGCTGAGTGGGGCCCCCAAGCCCAAGCAGCTGCTCTCCGCAAGTCACCTTGAACTTTGCTCTTGCATTAACTTTGCATGCGACGAACGACGTCTCAATCCACAGCGCGCGCCGCCACTGCCCACCTCACGCTCTCGACCTGCATCGTCAGACATTGATATATCTCCTGCGGCGTGCCGGGCCCCGCCCGAATTCCTCCTCTCGTCACTGGAAGACGGACTTTCCCGTCACCGAACGGGCTAGACGCGTGGACCCCGAACGAAACCATTTTTGAGGAGGGCCAAGGGCTGTGTGGGAAAGGACCCGTTCCGTTTTCTTTTGAGCCGCCACTTTCCCGGAGGGAGAGCGGCTGACATTACGTTACGCGCAACACGACCATGGACTCGTCCAAGTGGCGCGTATCCAAGGCGTGCCAGGAATGCCGCGCCAAGAAGATTAGGTGCAACGGGGCCGAGCCGTGCCAGCGATGCAGTGTGCGCGGCCTCTCGTGCGTGTACCGGGCCAAGGCCCGCAACCGGCAGCGCAAGGTGCCCCTGCCCCCGGATTCCAGCATCGCCTCATCAGACGACGCCCACTCAGCCGCCGCAGCGGGTCGAGCGGCGTCGGCGGCTACGGCTGGCGCGCCCGGGGCGCCGCCCGGTGGCAGGAGATCGGGGGCCAAGAAGCCCGAGGACGCGGCGCTGGAGGGCGGCGACGGAAGCCCGAGCATCCACATCCAGAGCGTGGCGGCCACGCATAGGGCGTCGCCCGGGTGCTACCTGGAGCTCTACTACGGGCCCTCGTCCAACTTTTCCATGCTGCACTCCATCTACCACCAGATGGAGGGCACGGCGACGGCTCCCGGCGCGCCGCAGCGGGATGTCGAGGAAGTGGGGCCGGGGCTTGATAAGCTGGGCAACAGGCGCATCTTTTTCGGGGACTGGGCTGATGGTCGGGACTCGCTCCTCATCCCGAGCGACTACTCGGCCATGTTTCTCGACCGCGCGCTGTCCCAGCGCCTCATCGAGACGTACCTTTCCACCTATTGGCATATCCTGCCCGCCCTCCCGCAGACCGAGTACCGCCGCCAGCTCGACGACATGCACCGCTCCCCTGGTATATTCTCGTACGACTCGGCCGACAACATCATCATCATCTTGGCTATGGCGCTCGGTGCGTCGGTGCTGGATGAGGAGCATATTGCTGAGTTTTTGTTCCAGAAGGCGAAGCAGGGTGCGGCTAAGATGGATGAGGTGGTTAATGTGCAGGCTGTTCAGATTCCACTCATGATGATAAGTACCTTTCCTCCTTTTGTATTGATTTTTGGGTCGTTGAGAGTCTTGGCTAACGCGCTCAGCACGCTCAGTTCCAGTCTGAAAAGGCCAGACCCAACGCCAGTTTCCTCCATACGGGGACGGCGGTGCGCAAAGCAGTCGCCGCGGGCATGCATAAGGATGTTGATGGCCGCAGTGGGCAGACACAAGCAGACTTGTTGAGGCGTCGAAAAACCCTCTGGAGTTTGTATTTCTGGGAGACGTAAGCCATGCTCTTTCCCCGCCCCCTTGTATCAATTTGTCTCCCCTTCTTGAATTGTGGCAACCCATCAAGTGACTTCCCCGTGATGGGCGTGTGCATGTGATAAAACAGATGCTGATATCTGATATCTTACAGATGGATCTGCTTCAGCGTTGGCCGCCCGCGCTCCATACCCGAGCCGTCCGGTGTCCCCGTGCCCCCTGAAGAGCGATACCTGCGGTCCCTCGTGGCCCTTTCGCGCATCATGGCCAAGTGTGCTTCCAAGATCTACGACGACCATCACCAGTCGGTCCTACCACTTTGGCACGCCGCGAATGAGATTCGTCGCGAACTTCACGACTACGCGGAGCAGCAACAGCAGGACATGAATTTCGGTCTGGTTGGGGACGCAAGTTCCGGAGAGCTCGGGGTATGTCAGACGATAGTCTCGACTAGTAGGTTTCCTCCCACACCCCTCTCATTTCTTTTTCCAATCAGAGTGGCGGGTAAAAATGACCACCGAAAGATACGGCACTGAAGTAGCTGCTGACCTTGGCTGGAAACTAGTGTACCATCACACATTATTACTAGCGTTTAGGCCTTTCCTGGTCCTTCGGGCCAAATTAAAACAACAGCGAGATAGGGCTGATGGAACAGGGCCAGCGCAGCCGTCGCCGCCACCTTGGCTGGATACGGCGGCCGAATACTGCCTCGACGCGGCGCGCCATTCCATTGGCTTCCTCACCGGCGCGTGTGAGCAGAATGCCCTCTGCCAGGTGAGTTTCATCCACAAGCTACTTGCATACGCTCGATGTCTTGAAAATACATTGTTTACGCTGTCCATATACTAATCCACCCAACAGGGTATCAAGTACCATGGCTTCTTTTTAGAAGGCGCCTGCTACGTCCTGGCCTTTGATATGCTCCGCGCTCGATCCTCGTGCGACGTCAACATCCCTGGCTGACCGCAGGCCTACGGTGCGTCAACTCCATCCTGCACAAAAACAAGCCCACCTCCACCCAACCGCCACCGCTCATGGCCACCCTCGAGCGCATGATATGCTCCATGATTCCAGACTTTCGGCTCGAAGACGCCCTCGCAGGGTCGCCGTGGCCCGAGGAACCGAGGTATCAGCCGCAGCAGCAACCGCAGCAGCAGCAATCTATGGCGCAGTCGCAGCCGTATGACGCAGCTCATCAGGGAAACGGCGGCGCGCTATCGACTGGGCCCGAAGGTGACGGATCGGATCAGCGGGGCTTCAGCCACCGACGCCCATCTCCGCCACTATGAACTCCAGACCGGCGCGCCTCTACCCTTCCATGCCTTTTGGATTCGATACCAACGGGCCTCTGGTCACGCAGTCTCCCTCGGGGAGTGCCTTGGACGAGCACATTGATCTCACGGCGGCGGATATGGGATGGTCGTTCGACCTAGGGACGATGGATATGGACGCGTTTCTCTCGATCGATGCCAACCAACAGTTTAATTTTAGCACATAGTTCAAGGCTGGCCTGCCTTCCCCTATCTTCCCCTCCACCTTTCACATAGCTCTTTGCCTCTACCCCGGTCCGGTGATAACAAACAGCGGGTTTAGGCAGGATAAGGCGGGCCGATCGAATATAGCGAGACCCCGGAAACAAACAACCCGAGTCTTGCAACTCCACTCACGAAAAAAAAATTGTGGGATTTTCTGTCTCAACCGGAGCTAGTGGGATCGTGACGACCTTTTTCTTTTCTTTTTTGTTCTCATAGGTTCTCTGCCTTGCTATCAGTGGAGCACAGGCGCGTCGATTTCTAATGAATATTCGGCCGATTGCGGATTGGGAGCTTTGCAATATTATCTAAGCAACGTGAGTGACTTGCATTTGGCTGGTCTTCTGCTAAGGGAGCCAGGTAGCCTGTGTGAAAGCGGAGGTAAACGCGCTGAGAAACCCAGCCACGGAAATGGGGCGGATGTACGGAGTTGCGGAAATACGGGACTGCGGGACGAACCAGCGATAGCGAGAGCGTTGCGGATCGCGGATGTGAGGCTGTCTAAGACGCCATTGACGGAGAGGGAAGAACTACTTGAAAAAAAGATGGATCCCTATCTCGCTCGTTTATATATATACTAATAATGCAATTTTGAGATTTCGTTCCCTTCATTGTCTGTGCTGCAAGTTGGTGTGATTGGCTTCAAGACCTCCCATCCTCTCTTGGTTACACGCTGCCCTCAACTATTGTCTTTCTTTTTTAGCTTTCAACCAAGATGCAGGTTTCCGACTCGGAAGGTACCCTAGGGGACCTGATCTCGACGCCCCCGAATGGTCGAGCCAAGAAAAATGAGAAGCCGACGGCCCGTAAAGCCACAGACCAGTTCCACTCCTCGAGCGACACCGACGTCGATGTTGAAGTCGAAGCCCAGGACGACAACGACTCGACGGGTAAGGATTACATACAAAAGAAACTCACACTCACTTTCAAGTCCGTCACGGTGCTTGTAAAGGCGGCTGAAGAAGCGCTGGGCGAGACGTTATGGTCTCGTGTTGACCCAACACAACTGGTCGGCCTTCGCGGAGGTCGTTCTTTACCAAAGCGAGTATGTTTACCTTGTTTTGCTATTCTATTTATAATCTATCCCTAGCTTCCGGCCATGGTGAAGAAGCTTTTGGGATCTTGGGCTAACAATCTTGGCAGGCTATCCTTAGCGATGTTACTGGACAGGTCAACCCGGGGAGATGGTACGTCTTCCCAATTTACACAATCCCAATGACAATCCCCTATACACACTCTGGTAAATTCAAGATAAAGTCTCCTAACATGAAGGCAGCTCCTCGTTCTCGGCCGCCCAGGCTCCGGATGCACATCACTCCTCCGCGTTCTCTCAAACCACCGCGAATCCTTTAGCGAAGTCCAAGGCGAGGTCCGATACGGCAGCATGACGCACAAGCAGGCTCGCGGGTACCGCCAGCAAATTGTCTTCAACACCGAGGACGACATCCACTTCCCCACCATGACGGTGAACCAAACCATGAAGTTTGCCCTCAAGAATAAAGTGCCTCGGGATCGTCCCGCCGAGGTGGAGAAGAAAAACGACTTTGTCAAGGGCAAGCGGACGGGCATCCTAGATGCTCTAGGTATCGGACACACGCAAAAGACGCTGGTTGGCAACGAGTTTATCCGCGGTGTGTCTGGCGGTGAGAGGAAGCGTGTGTCCCTCGCAGAGGTCATGGCTAGCCAGGTAAGTAGTAGGAAGCTCCCTAAGGCTCTTATTTAGTTGGATCCTAACCTCTCGTCTTAGAGCCCCGTCCAATTTTGGGATCAACCGACTCGAGGTCTCGATTCCAAAACCGCCCTCGAGTTCGCCGCTACTCTCCGCGAACAGGCAGATCGAAACGGCAGGACCGTTGTTGCGACCATGTACCAAGCCGGCAACGGCATCTACGACAAGTTCGACAAGGTTCTCGTCCTCGCCGAAGGTCGCGTCATCTACTACGGCCCTCGCGTTCTCGCAAAGTCCTACTTCGAGAATCTCGGTTTCGTGTCCCCGCGGGGCCAACATCGCCGACTTCTTAACATCAGTCACGGTGGCGACCGAGGTGACCATCGCTCCAGGGTTCGAGGGCCGAGTGCCCACCACACCCGCCGAGTTCGAGGCCGTGTATAAGCGCAGCGAGGTATACAAGCAAACGGTTGAATTTGCGCGGGATCCGGAGACCTTGGCGAGCGAAACAGAAGACCTTTGCGAAGCTGTCAGGCGAGAGAAGAAACCGCGACGTTTTGGGGGAAGAATCGCAGTGTTTACACGGTTGGGTTGAAGGAGCAGGTCATGAACTGCACCGTCCGGTATGTACTCTTTCCACCATGAACACTCCATGAGCAACAAGAACAAGGAAATCCTACCCCTGGTTTTGAAGAAAGAAGCTGACGCGTAACTTTGCTTCTACAGTCAATTCCAAATAATGATGGGAGACCGTATCTCGCTCGGCATCAAATTGGCTTCCGCCATCATCCAGGCATTGGTATGCGGTAGTCTCTTCTACGACCTACCGAGCACTAGCGAGTCCATCTTTTACGCCCCGGCATCCTCTTCTTCCCCGTCCTCTACTTTTTACTCGAGTCCATGTCCGAGACCACCGCCTCCTTCATGGGACGCCCCATTCTCGTCCGCCACAAGCGCTTCGGCTTCTACCGCCCAGCAGCCTTTTGCATCGCCAACGCCATCACCGATATCCCCGTTGTTATGCTGCAGGTGACGTGCTTTTCTCTCATCATCTACTTCATGGCGAGCTTGCAACTCGATGCCGGCCGATTCTTCACGTTTTGGATCATCGTCAACGCTAGCACGCTGTGCTTCGTCCAATTGTTCCGCATGGTGGGCGCCCTTTTCTCGCGTTTCGGCACGGCGTCCCAGGTCTCGGGTCTGCTGTCTACCGTCTTCTTCGTCTACAGCGGCTACCTGATCCCCTTTGAGAAGATGCACGTCTGGTTCCGCTGGATCTTTTACCTCAACCCGGGCGCTTACGCCTTCGAGTCTCTCGTGGCCAACGAATTCGGCGGTCTCAGTCTGGAGTGTGTCGCGCCTCAGTATATCCCCTACGGCCCTGGCTACGACGGCCAGCCCGCAGCGAACAGGGGATGCACCGTCATTGGTTCAAGCCCTGACGGCATCATCAACGGCGAGGAGTACATCTTCAAGCAAAATAACTACTCCACGGGACACATCTGGCGTGGGTTCGGCGTTCTGGTCGGCTTCTGGATCTTTTTCATCGCCGTAACGGCGCTCGGATTCGAATTGCGCAACAGTCAAAACGGGTCATCCGTGCTGCTGTATAAGCGGAACTTCCGGAACAAGACCAAGGTTGCCGATGCCGAGGCGGGTGCGGTCAGCGAAAAGACGAGTGCTGCTCCGGCGCCTCAGGAGGTTAAGCAGTCAACGTTCTCGTGGCATGATCTGGACTACTTTGTCAAGTATCACGGCGAACAGAAGCAGCTCCTCAACAAGGTATTTGGTTACGTGAAGCCCGGCAACCTTGTCGCTCTTATGGGCTGCTCCGGTGCTGGAAAGACAACGTAAGTTTTATTCGGGGTAGGGTCAGGCGTTTTGGAACCTACTTCCTACTTACTAACTAATTATTTCGCTTAATAGTCTCCTCGATGTCTTGGCCCAGCGTAAGGATGCTGGTGAGATTCGTGGTTCGATTCTTATCGACGGAAAGCCCCAGGGTATCAGCTTCCAGAGGATGACTGGCTACTGCGAGCAGATGGACGTGCACGAAGCCACCGCCACCGTTCGTGAGGCACTTGTTTTCTCTGCTCTCCTTCGTCAGCCCCGCGAGGTATCTGAGTCGGAGAAAATGGCTTATGTAGACCACATCATCGAACTTCTTGAGCTTCAGGACATCAAGGATGCTCTGATCGGAAGTAAGTTCCAGTGTCGAGTGACCATCCCCCACTTACCCCCTTGGATTAAGACTAATCTCGAGATAGTACCCGGTGCTGGCCTGAGCATCGAGCAGCGCAAGCGTGTCACCCTCGGCGTTGAGCTTGTCGCCAAGCCGACCCTCTTGTTCCTAGACGAGCCCACCTCCGGCCTTGATGGCCAGTCAGCCTACAACATCATTCGATTCTTGAGGAGGTTGGTTGACGGCGGACAAGCAGTCCTAGTAAGTGTTCTTCCAACCCAAGCACACCAAGGCTTCTCTTTCTAATAACATTGCAGTGCACTATTCACCAGCCTTCAGCTGTCCTGTTCGAGGCTTTTGACGCCCTTCTATTGCTCGCAAAGGGAGGAAGGATGGCCTATTTTGGAGAGAGTAAGATAACCTCACAACCTACTATAGCCCCTTGCGAGCTAGCCCCACTAACCTTGACGTTCCAGCCGGCGAGAACTCCGCCACCGTCCTCAACTACTTCTCCCGTAATGGTGCCCCTTGCCCTGACGAAGCCAACCCGGCTGAACACATCGTCGAGACCATCCAAGGAAACACGGAGCTACCTATCGACTGGGTTGATGTTTGGAGCAAATCCTCCGAGTGCCAAGAAGCACTCAAGGAGCTCAAGACCATTGATGCCATGGCACTCCAGGGCGCGCAGGGAGAAGAGGACACGGCAGATTTTGCCACCTCCAAGTGGTTCCAGTTCCGCATGGTCCTGCACAGGCTCATGATTCAACTTTGGCGCTCTCCCGTAAGCACATTCGTCCACCCTCAACGTGTCTATGAACACCTGACTCACAATATATTGATTCTAGGATTACGTATGGAACAAGATTAATCTGCATATCTTCGCGGCGCTCTTTAGCGGCTTCACGTTCTGGATGATTGGAAACGGCTCATTCGATCTACAACTGCGCCTCTTTGCCGTCTTCAACTTCATTTTTGTCGCCCCGGGCTGCATCAACCAAATGCAGCCATTCTTTTGCACAACCGCGACCTCTTCGAGACGCGTGAGAAGAAGGTAAGAAACCTCATTTACTCCCAGGCCTATTTTACCTCCCCCATTAATACCGCTCCGACCATAACATTTGTTAACTAAGATAGTCCAAAACATACCACTGGCTTGCCTTTATCGGCGCGCAGACGGTGTCCGAGATTCCGTATCTCATCATCTGCGCCACGCTCTACTTTGCCTGTTGGTACTTCACTGCCGGATTCCCCGTCGAAGCCAAGATCTCTGGCCATATGTATCTGCAAATGATCTGTAAGTCTTCGTCGTCTTGAAATCACCTTTCCGTGGCACGCGCTTACATATGCCTAGTTTACGAGTTTCTGTACACTTCTCTCGGCCAAGCCATCGCCGCGTACGCCCCCAACGAGTATGGTGCCGCCATCCTGAACCCCATCATCATTGGAGCTGGCATGATTTCATTCTGCGGCGTCGTTGTACCCTACTCCCTTATGCAGCCCTTCTGGAAATATTGGCTCTACTACCTGGATCCCTTCCACTATCTCGTGGGTGGCCTGTTCGGGACCGTAGTCTGGGACGTTCAGGTGCAATGCCGACCCGAAGAGCTCACCACGTTTGAGCCGCCCAGCGGCCTCTCTTGCGGGCAATACATGTCGGACTTCTTGGCGAAGGACGGCGGATACGTGGTTGACGCCAACGCAACGAGCGCCTGCCAATATTGCCCGTACAGCACTGGAGCTGACTATGCCAAGTCTTTCAACATTAACGAGGCCTATTATCCCTGGAGAGATGTGAGTTCAATCGCCCCCTTTCTCCTTTCCCCTTTCCCCTTTCCCCACCCTCTCTCCTATGGTATCTAGGTGAATACTAATTTTGCGTATGCAGACTGGTATCACGGCACTATTTTGCATATCATCGTATGCACTTGTGTTTTTAATGATGAAGCTTAGAAGTAAGAAGACTAAGAGCGCAAGGTCAGAGTGAAGGGGAAGAAAGATGTCGATCTTTCAGTAGCATATATCAGCCTACCGTGACAGAAATCACGGAGACTAATTTCAATATTTATAAATAATTATAGACATAGACTAGATGCAAATTCCTTAGAGAAACTAACTATATAATCTCTCTCAGGCCCGTCTTTGAATCAAGGAAGTCTAGGCAACACGCCAGGCAAGTCCTGGTACGGATTAGGGTGGTGACATCTACTCTGTCGTTGGTTCTACGGTTGCCGAGCGCAAAGAAGCGGGCATCAATCGGGTTGTCAGATACGTCATAAATCACGTCTGTATCTTCACCCCGCCGTTCTAGGGGAAACATGTGATAGCCGTGTGTACTTTTCGCTTAATCCGGCACTTTTTGGGTGGCCACAGTTTTCGGACTTGACAGCTTGCGACAACGCCAAGAGGCATTTTTGGGGTTCATAAGTCCGCAACTGGATACCCCGTGTGCAGCTAGTTGAAGGCTTGCCACAAGGCAATCTTCCTCGGCGTGGACCCGCCAGGTAATATGCATCTGCCGAATGTTGGCAGGGGATTTCACTTCTCTCATGTTGATTCCTATAGGAGGGTGATCGGTCGACACGGCGATTGAGTAGTCTGTTTTTTCAAATTGCAATCTCCCCGGCACACAATATAGCTCGAGGTAACCGTCGCTTTCGATGTTGAAATGATCGAATATAGAAGGATATATAACCTGTCCCCTGTGAGCGGACATGAGCCAGCGGTGTTTTAGGTCGAAGACACGGACCCTGCTGGTGTACTTGCTAGCACCAGCGAGGTCGAGAGCGGTTTCGAAGAGATAGTCGGCAGGTAAATGGGGATTCCTATATTCCATGTTGCCAAGGCAAGCCCTAATCAAGTTCACGAAGAACGGTTCATCATTATGCCTATCGAACATCTCTTTCTGCCAGAAAAGTAGAGAGGCATCTGTTGGGGAGTGTAACAAAGATATTGCCAAAACTCTTTTGAGGATATAACCAAGATTGAGATAAAGCGCATTGACTTTACAAACTCCATATTCTCTTCTATTTCGCTGTGTCACAGAGCCTGGTATGCAAATCAAGCAGGCCTGTACACATCGGTGATCACCAAGATATTTGGCGGTCTCTGGCAACTTGTAGATTTTCTGCCCTGGTACCATCTCTGAAAATGAGACAAGGTTGACGCCTAAAATTTTGGATAGTACCCTCTCAACTTGATGGTGGCTGGAGAATGGCGAAAGTCGTTTCCAGCTCATTGTTGCAGGTATTGAAGAGGCTGGGTGGGAGGCTCCCGGATCGTACGATTCGGCTCCATCAAGTGACTGTTTAACAAGGTAAGGCATGCACTCTTTGATGACAGCGAGAACCTCAGGGTCTTCGAATCCCATAATTCTTAACATCCCTTTCCCGTAAGTTTCTATTGATACCATGCCACGCCATTCCTGATTTTCTTCTCGATAGATGAGCTGCTCAGGTCGTTTGATAGTGTGGTGCAAGGTGATGGAAAGCTCGGCGACAATTCCCTCCTCGAGTCTCACCGTTACAAGAGCACCGGTATCTTCTGCAAAGGGGATGCCTTGAAAGACTAGAGCTGGTGGCTTTCCGAGACACCAGGTCAAGAATGCAACGACCCAAGGAGCGCAATCCCTTGCGCAGATAGTAATGCTAGAAATCGTTGCTTCACCAATTCGAGCAAGCTCTCGGAGTGCACCCACGAGCCCTTCAATAGCTTCAGCAGTCGGAAGGCGGCTACATGTAGGTATTCGACGGCGCGGCCTAGTGGAGCGAGTGGAGGTGTGGAGACCCCGGTGACCGGAAAGCGCCAGCTCCCATCCGACAATCTGATTGCAAAACCCTGCGAGCACAAGGCGATGGTCTATCGCTTTGAGCAAATTATGTACTTGACCTAGTGGCGGGATTGATGATGAGTCGGTGGCAGTAGCCCTCATCATCGAATATATAGCCGTTGCGGCGTTGAAGGAGTCCATGCTCGTTTCTAGGGCCGCCGCGAGTGCCAAGAACTGCACGCCCGCTAGCGAACGACCTAGAAACGTTACTGAGTCGTGACGTGAATAACCCGCGACAGATTTGAGGAACTTGACCGCTCGGGTCTCGCAGGGTGGCAGGACGGAACGCTCAATCCTGCGGCAAGTATCGGGCGAAATGGCGAGAGTAGCGCCGAAACGCTCGCAGGCGAGTAGGGCCAGGGGCTGTACATTGTCGGTGGTCATGGCCCGCACCAAGTCTTGAGAGAACGACGCGACGGATGTCGTGGTGGCATCGAGGCTCCATTGGGCTTGGAGAGCCATTGTCTCTACTCTCTTGGAGAAGAGTTTAGTCGTCTACTAACGGGCAAAGGTGATACGGCGCGATTGGAGCCCCCAAGCTGTATAGGGTCCTAACTCAAGCTCTTTCGCTGGCCGTTCATAGGAGAGGGCATCATGAAATGCGGGGCAGACGGTCTACGCCCCCGCCCCCTTCTTTGCTCGTCGATTTCTTTCCCTCTGCTGTTCGGAAAAATTCCGGTCTTGATTGGGAGACAGGCCTGCAGCTGCGATTGGGTGCTTGGTCCTTGGACCCATGTTCACCCGCCTCGTGTGTGGCGTTCTCAGCAATGAAAACTTAAAGCGAGCATCAAGATGTGAGGCGAGCCTGCTGAAGGGTTGTCCTTGCGCGGTATCTTTTCCGAGGCCGGGAGGAATTCAAAGCCAGTGCGGGTGACGGGGATCTTTGTCGAAATCACCACTTTCTTCGCTGCACCAATTTTACGTTCAACTTGCGTTATTAGAAGCGGGAGCCCTGAAAAATATGGCAGCCCGGAACTTGGAAAGGCTTGGTATATTTGGTTTTCGAGCACGAGGACTGATGCGTCGCTGGAGGAAGGACCGAAATTTACGAGTCTTACCCTATCATTGGTAGAATAAGCTCTAGCTCGAAGGCCGAGGGACGGGCGCCAAATAGCCAGCAACAATAGAAGCTGGGGACGGAACGGGTGCGGAGGGTATTGTGAGCCGGTCACCACCAAAAGACGACAATCTACTGGCGGTATGTATAGCTGGTCCCTGATTACCTTTAAGTGGTCTAAATATAGGTGAAGATGGTGTAGCCAATGTGTTACCTCCCTCCTCGCACAACCATAGCGTGATGTGCCCCAAGGCCGGCGATGGGTTTGCCAATCCATTAGACATGGTGCTGGGAGCCGGGCCAGGTGCCTCGAGCATCGAGAAAACCCTAACCCTAACCCGTGTCCATATCAAGGACCTCCGATTCCAGCAAAGGTAAAAGTTTCTAACGGTAAATATGTGGAACTCTCCTAGCTCTCTATACTACAAGTCTTACATTATGGCCCCTAGGCTTCTTGTCCCACCTTCTGAGCGAACAGCATGTTGACCCTGGAGACGTGGCTGTCCGTGCTCAATGTGTTGGCAGGCCCAAGCGTACGGCCGCGACTCTCTAGGGCCTAACCAATGTGTCGTCAAGGCCCGCCCGAGCGCCTCCAGAGTTTCCCAGTGCCAATGACCTTGCACAGCGGGCTGCTGCAGTTTTCCACGGTGAACGACAATGAAGCTAGGCTACGCTGGTTCGTCGCGGCCGCGGCGGTTTCGATGTAGGAAGGAGTTGGGAGGGTAAGGCTGGCGGGTATGAAGCTTTTGTAGTATGTTGATAGATTAAGCTAGTGCTAGCGGTTTCGTATTGCCGCGCTGAAATGCACAAGTAGCCCGCAGGCCGCGCTTTCTCCTTGCGGTGTTCGCTCGTGAGCGGACGACTGGAGGATCCGTACGTGAGCGGAATGGCGGAATCATAAAAGCGGAAAAGGCTACATCCTATGATTGCAACACTTGCTGGCCACGGAAATATTTCACCCAATCGCCTCTTCAATACACCTTCCAAGTGTCCTCACATACCCCTGAGTCCACGTCATTGTGCGGAAGGATTTCGAGCTGTCAAATTAAGCGCCGGCCTATTTAGCGGCCCTGCACCGAATTGGCGGGATTTTAACCCTAAACACACAGGCGCGCCCTACATGATGGGTCCATTCCAATGAACATGAACGGATCAAGACACTAAAAATGCACGACTACAAATTGTGGTACTAGAGGTGGTCTGCTTCGGTCCCCCGACTAAAGACTAATCATAAATTTAATGTTACAGGTATAGCTGCCGACACTGCGATTTGGAAACATCCATGGAAAGGATAAAGGAAACAAGTGAGGAAAAGGGTAAAATGAAAAAAACCTGCCCACCATTTTGTACAACGGCCCCAAGCTTTCAGCCCCATGCAGGGTATACTAGTGCAACCCCCAGCGCTACCCAATATCCGGGGCCGAGGTAACCGATCCCTGCAGCCCCTGAGGTTGGAATTGGACCCGTATGAGTTCGGATGGGGGTGTAGGTCGCCTGCGTGGTTACCTCTGGCACCGTTCTGTCGGTACTCAAGCCTACTGTCGTCTCTGGCGTCGCCTTGGCTGGGGTGACGTCCGAAGTTGGGGCGCTGGAACCGTTGACACCTCGCGTAGCTACAGGTAGTATCTAGTGTTAACTCGAGGTGAACAATTCCAGTATTGTCAAAATTCAAACTTACGAGCGCTACCCTGCGTCAGGTGGCAGTAATCGTCAAAGACCTCCAACGCCGACTGAGCGGCAGCACGATCGGTGGGACACTTGGATGCCACGGCAGTGCTAATGGCGTTGACGAAGCGGGTCGAGCTCTCCACGCAGAAGCAATTGTATGAAGTGGTGCGACCTCCGTCGCCGCACCGGAGACCATGCCACGCACGATCTGGCTCAGCGGAGCCTCGGCGCAGGCGGGCAAGGCAGAGTATTCGGGCACTTGATTGATGAAGATGTTCTGGGCGTGAGCGCTCCAGGCGAGTGCGAGAAGCGCGGCGGATGCGTTTACCAAGTGCATTTTGAAGTAGAATCAGGGACGGAGGTTGATCAATTGATCGCCTTCGTGTCTTTGATTTTCGGTCAAGGGCTGAAGTCTATGTCTAAGTGAGGGGAATTGACCACATGGACGTGTACTCGTGAGTGAGGGGATCGACAAAATGAATGATGTGGATAGGGCTGCATCTTTTCCATGCCAGGGGACTAGGATCTCTTTATACGCAATCATCATCAATGCTCTCCGCGATCTACCGCATTCGGTCACAACAGGCTAGGTGGGCAGGCTCCTCATCATAGGACTTCTCTGTACGTATCGAGCGGCCCTCTCAGGGGCTCCCTTCAGTTCCATCTCTCCTTCTTGAGTGGTCATATTTTTTGTCCCTTCGTACCTGAGCTGCTATTTTCGGAGGATGCGATCCCGGCCATCAAGCGGCCTCGCTCATGCCAGGCTACCCCCAAATGGACTCGAGTGCCTGCAAGACATGTGGCGCCCAATATGACCACCCACCAGCACACGCACGCCTCCGTTTTCCGCGCTACGATATCGCCCGCTTCCTTTCCCAGCCCCAACGCCGACTAGTGCCAGTTACCAAATCGCCTCCAGATGCTCCATGGCGGCCTAACCCGGTGTTGTATTTTACCTATCGCCATTGGCGCAATGCGCGCCACTGACCCCAAGCTGCTCTTGGAGACAAGGATCCTGGGTATACCGGGGTGTGGTGTCTTGGCCAGATGGGGAAAAGGCCTCTGCTGTGCGACCGAAATACGGTCAGCCCTCGCGCTTTATTCGACTACATACATGTATTGTTGAATACGTAGACATGTAGTGACAGACATGAGAACGACGAAGAAAATGTATAATGAGGCGGTGCGGCACGCGCACCCTCTGCCTTCTTTTTAAAACGAGGAGCTGAAGAGCCTGGTGCTTGTGCGGTAGCATTTCTTTTCACGATGGTCTCTTATATTATCATGCCATGCGTTTCTACATGTAGCCTGCCCTCCCCTCGTCCTTTTAACTGGACTATGCTGACCCTCAACCTGTCACTCGTTCACCATCAAGCGTAGTCCCTTCATTCTGTTACTGTTTTGCCATCTATCCTGGTCCACTCATTCAGCTACTATTCCACCCTTCGCATTGTCACTCCTTTAGGATTCCATATAAGTCCCCTTATTCTGTCGCTCTTGTACTGATTATCGCAGTCCCTGGATTTTGTCAGTCTTTTACATATTAGCACTGTTTTATTATCCCGACCCCATCTCCTTTTCACATTGCTACGGGCCTAACATGATCTCTGGCCCATACGCTCCTTTACAATCAAACCAGCTTGACGAGCCAAACGAGCCAGTCATGGACCCCCTTAATCCCGACAAGAGCATTGTGTGCTTTCTCCGCTGTTGCAAGGGTGAGCGGTTCATGTGCCTAAACCTAGTCAGAGCCAATGTGTTCCTCTGGTTTCTTTGGGTCATCGTCACGGGGTTTTGTTTCATGCAGCGGCTCTCGGTAGGCCCGCTGGTTGTCACAGTTGTGGCGGCGGTATCGGGTGTCGCCTTAGCTAGTCATCTTGTGTACGCCGCCTGGGGGCCCCGGAAGCGCAACTATAGCGCGAATCTGAGCAGCACCTACTTGACATTGCTCTGCACGACGATAGGTTTGCCTTTTCTGTACTGGGCGTTCTGGCATCCTGATATGACTCGGGATGTGGTGGTTTTCAGCCAGGATAGCGTAGTGAGTTCCAGCGCATCTCATTATACATTATTTCTCATGGAGCAACCACATTCTATGCATCTTGGACTTCTCTTCTTCTAACCAGAGTGCAGGACCAAGTCTATTTTCCCTCTCTCACCCTCTTCCAAAGATCCGACTGGACCTCGCAGGCCCGCCTCGGCACGGTCGTGAAACCCAAGTGCTTCGTCGGCTGGCACCAGGAAGCGCCTGGCACGCCTGACTGCAGCGAGGTGGGAATTGACGATATGGGTACGCAAGCGTGTAGGTGCGAGGGGAGTTGGGCCGAGGAAGTCGTCGATTTCACCTGGTACAACACAAGTTACCGAGCCTTAAACTTCAACTCGACTGCGGCGCTGGCTAGCAAGACGCCGACGACGCAGATGATTGTGCAGGCTTTCTTCGACTGTGAGTACATTAAGTGCCGCTCTACTCCTTTGGCAAGCACTCCACGAATGGTGGAAATTTCTCGACTAACCCGTATATAACTGTGCGTCGCATAGTCAACACTCAAAAGGCCCGTGAAGACTCGTCCCACGTCTTGTCTCCCAGTCTCTGGGTCGCCATCTACGATCCAACCCTGACGCTCGAGCAGGCGTTGGAGGATAACTACACGCGCATGACACTCATTAACGCCAACGGCCTTACGGCGATAAACCTCGGGCTCCACTCCCGCCAACAATTCGACAAGACCCCCGCCCTTGACTACCAGCTGTCTATTTCCACGATTCCGGCTACGGACCTGCCTTGCGATACCTCGTCCGGGGAGGCGGCTCAGCAATGCTTCATCAGTTTGTTCATCCAGTTCCCCACGTTTGAGAGACGAATTTCGGTCCAAGATAAGGCGATGAATTTGGAGGTATGTCTCGATTCTCCCTCTCCGTGCCGCCAAGGCAGGAGCGCGCAGCGGCTAACGTGTAGGGGTTGGGTTAAAAGGATGTTCTGGCAGCTGCCGGTTCCTTCTTTTCGCTTTTCCAGTTGCTTGGTTGGGTGTTTTCGGGCTTGGCATTTCACGAAGGATGAGGGGTTTTCTACCTAATATTCCCCTTTCTTGTCGTCGTTATGTTGCGCTTCATATCAGTCGAGCCGCCGAAAAATCTGATACTCGGAGCTGAGTCGCCATTGACTTTGTCGTGGCCTGTGAAGGTCGGGGTTGCACTAGAAAGATCATTGATGATGCAGATAGCTAGTTGCCTCGGCCTACCCTCGTCTGCTTGCACGGCATTCGTTTCGAGACATGGGACGTAAGGGTTCTCGAACTCAGTGTTCGGTATATATACCTCTACGGCAAGCTCCAGTGATCGCTTTCTTCGCCGGCCAGGAGCTTACCGCCCCTAATGAGTGAGGGCATCACTAATACCGCAGTGTATAAATACTCAATGCCCACGGAAAGCTTGTGGAGAGTACAGGTATTACGGGCCGTTTGCTCTCCGGGGGTTAGCCCCATTATCGACTGGTGCTTCGGAGGCGGTCGAAGAAGTAGAAGTCGATAGACATGGAAAGGATGGGGATAGGACGCAGGAAAGATTACATGTATGCACCTAGGATTATCTACCTATTAATAATAAAAGAAGCCGTGTTTAGAACTGAATGTTTATAGCGCCCTATAATCACTAAGATTGAGCTGGAAGACCGCCGTTGCATTAATAAGCCGATGTTCGTTCAAGGTTCCGAGGAAAGACCCTCGTCGGGGATTATGAAAGGCCCGAAACATCGAATCAAGCGGGGTTCCAATGAGCTAAATATTTCCCGCTCCGTCCCAAGTGCGACCCCGTCATCAATTGATCCTTCGTGGCTTGGGGAGACGCAGCCAGCAAAACCATTGGATGTTAACTGACTGACTTCGGGACAAAAAACCCTGTCCTCTCAGGCCGAGTAATCATTTTTCCTCCGGATTTTCTCGCCCGTCATCCATTTTCTCCTCTGCACCAGCGTATATCATAAGGGCTCACTTAACACACGGGACACGCCCCACGATTGATAAGGAAATAGCCCTGTCAATACAGATGCTGGATGCATACGTTTCGACGCATTGCGTGCCAGTCTTGTAGTCGAGGCTGTCGTCAAGAGAACGTGCAATCTTGCGGCTTGCAACCTTTAGCAAGTGACAAGGACCTGATTTGAGACTTGCCGACGATTTCTATCCGTCTCCACCTTTACCGCCGACCCTCCACGTCAGGTCAGACAAGCGTAATGGAACTGGGTCGCCGCCTGATACTTGCATCAGAGGACATATCCCAATCGATACCAACGCAGTGGGACACCCCTTGGCCGAACGAGCCTCTAACTTCCCACAACTGAGAGGAAATGAAGGATCATACCAAGTCGCGTCGTGGCTGTTCCCAGTGCAAAAGGAGAAAAGTCAAGGTATGGATGAAATGTTCGTTTCCTTATGTGTTGATTGGACATGCTGGGCCGAGGGCGGATGCATTTACCGTACATTACGCCCCTGCAGCGCTTAGCTGCCTGGGAGAAGCCATTCACCGAAACGGGGTTATGCCGAGGCTTAGGTTGGGATTGATAGAGTGCTAAGCTAACGACACGTTTTTGGATTACATGAAGTGCGACGAGACAGTTCCGTGCTGCAACAGATGCTTCCGCCGCCGCGAGACCTGCTCCTTCATGGAGCAATTCGGACCCCCACCTCTCGTCGGAGTAGCCCCGGCAGCCAGCATCACTCCGTCGGCTACGGCTCGGGCTACGTCACCCCGTCCACGCCCGCCCCCACCCAGTCCCTCGCCGCGCAGGCTGTGGACCTGGAGCTGACGCACTTTTACCTCACCCATACGTACAAGACGCTCTGGGGCCGGCCTGAAGTGCATCCCATCTGGCGCGACGTCGTCTTCTTCGACGCTATCCGCCACCCCTTTTTACTCAACGGCCTCTTGGCTGTGGCTGCGATGCACAAAATCATCACCTGCGGCGATCCGGACGGGACGTACGCCTCAGCTGCCCTGCGCAAGCAGACGGCGGCGCTGGAAGGCTTCGTGCCCTTGCTGCACGACATGACGCCCGAGGCTGCCGAGGTAGCTTTTCCCATGTCTATTCTCGTATCCTATTGGGCTTTTGCGTCTAGGAACCTACCTCCGGAGTTGAGCATCCTCTCGGCGACCGAGGATCTGCTCCCAACGGCCTTTGCAGACCAGCACACCAATTCCTCTACTGCCAGTCCCGCCGCGACGCCCACGGCCGCGCCGGAGTCCGTCCTCACTCAGTTCCTCGAACTCGCGCGGAGAGTACGCCCCACCCACGCCGTGCACAGCTCCGCGCGGGAGACGCTCCTCCGGAGCAAGCTCAGCCCGCTCATGAAGGTGCCGGACCCCAGCGAGCTCCCCGAGCTCGACGAGGACACGCGGCGGGCCCTGGCGCGACTGCACGAGCGGGTCGACCCCTTGCTGGGCCCCATCTGGGACGCGGGGGCCAAGCCCGAGTTCCTCGCCCTGGACAACCTGTACCGCGTGATGCTGTGGCCGCAGTGGGGGAGCTGCTGCTCGCGTGGCCGGTGCGCGTGTCGGAGGGGTTCCTAGAGGAGCTGCGGGCGCGGAACCAGGCTGCGCTCACGGTGCTGGCGTACTGGGCCGTGGCGCTGCATAGCTTGGACGATCGGTGGTGGGCCAAGGGCTGGGCGACGCCGTTGATCGAGGAGGTGACGTGGATTGTGCAGGGCCCGTGGCGGGAGCTGGTCATGTGGCCGAGGCGGCGGGTGGGGTTGGACTCGGATTTGGGACTCCATCGCCCGCCGTAGGGGAAGGCTGGTGGTATTTTGTTCTTTCTCATCGGGAGGCTTCGATGTGTTCTGTATTATTTGGTGCACGTTGGTGCACGCATGCCATGTCTCTGCTTCTATCTATTTTTCTCTTTCCCTCGTTCTAGGAGCCGAATTCGAGTGATGATGCTGCCAGAATGATATATACATAAAACGGGAAAGCGCGCCCTAGGGGTCGTGATAAGAAATTTGATGCGCCCTCGATGGCTGGTTGTTGTCGTTACGACTTTTGGATAGTCTAAAATGGTCTATAGAGCCTTCCGGAATAACAAAAAGGGAAAAAAGGAGACAAATATAAAGCAACGCGCAGAAATGCTACAGCGTACACGCTCAGACTATCGCTCAAGAGCAAACTCATCAATCTAGGTCTCATAGGCCCCCATCCATCAAACCTCCTATCTTTCTCTTTCGTCTTCTGATATTATCATGCGCGGTTGTGGGAGTCTGTCGAGATAAATGAAGGCTCCACTGATTCGAGTTGGACTCCTGTTCATCCCGGTCGACGTATCCGGTTCGCATGTATGGGTAAAAGATTCCGGGGTGGAAAATCGTGAGGGCAGCACCGGCTAGGGCAATCATGCTATAAAGGTCGAGGACACAAGTGGTTAGCTGCATGATCTTTTATTCTAGACAAGTGGTCAAGGAGTTGGGGAGGGCAAAGGTTACTTACAGGCCATCGAGAATCATGAACTCGGTTTGGTTTCTCATCCGGGGTTTCCCCAGCCACCAGCCATCTCGGGGAGTCTGGATTAAGCGTATCACATGTTAGCATTCGTTTCTTGGTATCCCTCTTCCCGACTCCTAAGCGTTATGCGCTGTCAACGTACCGGTAGATGCATCGGATGAGTACCGTCAAGTAGGCAAACGCTACTCCCATCTGGAACATGACGGCCTTGGAATCCACAGTCCTGCCCTTGGAGGCTGACTTGGAGGACCGGTTGCGGTACCGCCGAATGCTGTAATCGGCAGTGAGGACGCCACAAAAGACCATGGTAACTACCTGGAAAGCGATACCGGCGATAATGATGTTGTTGCCAGTCTTGAGGAGCTTCAAATTATCCTTGGCCGCTCCGGCGAGCCCACCACCGATGGCCTGCAGGCAGATGGAGCCAATATCACAACCGATAAAGATCCAAGTATAGAGCTCTGGCTTGAGCCGCGAATGCTCGGGTCCGTTGAGGCGGATAAAATGTTTAAGGGTCAGGTAGATGCCTCCGGCGATGAAGGAGGGTCCGATGATGAGGCACACGATTTGCAGGCGCATGCCGGAGTCGCTCCAGGGATTGTCGTGCATGATGATGCGCCCCGCGTAGCCCAGTGCCTCGAGGAGACACCCCGCGGCGATGGCGAAGGAGTAAAAGTAGACTTTGGTCTTGAGGCCGATGGCGATTTGGCCGAGGCAGAAGAGGGCGTTGAAGGCGAGGAGCGCGGCGTTGGTCCCCAGCGCGGGATAGTAGCCGTACGTCGTGGCTTCGACGGGACAGGCTGGCGTCACTTCGACGCAGGCGGCGAATCCGCGCGGCATCGTGGCGGTAGCGTGGGTTTTCTGGCGTCGGTGAGGAATAGGAATAAGTTGCGGGTACGGAGCGAGGGGATTGGTAAAGGGCGTCGTGGTCCCCAGTTGGGCTTTGGGTTATTTCTTCTTCCTTTGCTACATGTATGGGCTCGGGTCTCAAATCGAGGGTCTCTTGACGAGGTTTGTGTTTTACTGCTGCGAGAGCAAAGGTCGATGGCAGGAACACCACATGGAGGGACCAAAGGGGGTGTGCCAATCGATAGCTTATGTATAAGTATATCATTATTAGAGACCTAGGCCACTACGTTTTCGCCCCTCCCCTCCCCTTGGCTTGGTCCTCATCTGCGTCCGTTGGTGATCGGTGATAAGGTTCCGCGCCACTTTCCCAATGAAAAATATTCCCGGAGCAGAATCCACTAGCGCGTGGAGACTCGTGGTTCCACCGTCTACGTGAGTAAAAAACCCACCTCCGGCACCTTCGGAGACGAGTCGCACAGCGTTTCCTGCCTGTCAGCGTCGGCGTCCCGCTGGCGCCAAGACCCCAATCCGAGGATCTCGCTTCCGGAAAGGGTTTAGTGTGCGAGGTCTCTCGGATTCCTTCCTCGCAAAAGGCGCAAAAAGCGGGTCGGGTCTTGACGTGCGCTGGTTCCAACAAAAGGAGAAAAACAAACAAAAACCTTGGAAACTGCTTCTTGCAATTGATAAGCGACATTTATTAGGGCTTTGCGGCTTAAATTGGGGGTTTTGTTTCCCTGGACTCGGTACGGGCTCCGCACGCGGGCGACAAAAGGGGGAGGGTTGAGGCTATGCCCATGTGCCAAGCGGCGAGGCCCGCATCTCGGACCGTATGCGAGATGGCTTAAACCCGCCGAGAGCTCGCTGAGCGCTGAGAGTGACGGACATTTTCGGACGTGGTTGTTGAAGCACACTACTTTTCGGTGCATTATTGCAGTCGCAGGTGTGTTCCATTGTGCTTTATCATTTTTGCCATTGCTCTTCCGTCACCCTAGTTTCTGGCACACGCGTAAGGGATCTGGGAGGGTGTTGCACAGATAGATATGGAAGTTGGTGGCTTTAGGCAGCCATGAATTGACCCATCCAGTTCTTCTCGAGCTTTGTTGGGCAGTGTGTAAGAAGCCGTGGACGACGAGGCGAAACGTGTCCTGCATAGATAATCAAGGCTTGATGGCTCCAAGAGGGAAACAAACAGTTGAGAAAGCACTGATAGTTGAGGGAAAACGATAGAGAGTTGGGAATTCCATAAGTTAATCCTCTAGATACAATGCCATGTAGGCTCAGAATGATGTGTTGCAACACACACATTTCTATCCCTCCGCCATATTCACCACCACATGCCCAGCATCGCCGTCTGGGGCGAGCGCCGTCAAGCAAAGTCCTCCTCCGTACTCATCGTGTGAAGAGCCCCGTCCCCAAACACAAAATCGTTCTCGATCTGCGAAAACAGAAACTGATTCGCCTCCTCCAGCGACCACGACCACGGCGTAGCCCCGTCGAGAACCGCCCCTGCTTCCTCATTTCCCGACGGCACGAATCCCATCGGCGCAGCAGCCATCCGCACCTCCGCGTCTACCACTTCGCCGAGCCTAACCCTAGGCTCAACTCGGGGGCCCTCGCACGTACTCGCCGAATCGTCCTCCATCTGCAGCCTCGCCGCGGTCGAGCGGTCCAAGTACTGGAAAAACAGCCGGAGGACCCAGTTCTGCACCTCCCACGTCGTCTGGAGCTCCTGCAGGCCCAACAGACACACCTTGGCGCGGTGCTCCGCAATCGCCCGCGTGGCGCTGGTGCTGGCCTCGCGCAGGAGAGGGTGTGCACGCACAGCGTGTTGAAGAGGTTCGTGATGACGTGCACGTGCGCGTGCCGGAGCTGGCCGCCGGGGAGCATGTCCTCGACGATGCGGGCGTTGCGCGAGGCGGCTTGCAGGGCTACGCCGCCGTCGACGCCGCGGCTTTCGGGCCCGCCGATGAAGCCGGCGCGGTAGAGGAGAATTAAAAGGTTGTTGTAGGAGAGGTGGAGCATGTTGGCGTAGAAGCTGGGCGGCGCGTCGAAGTCGCCTTGGTCTAGCCGCATGGCGCGGGGTAACTCGTCTTTCCACCGTATGAGGTCGTCTCTCATTGCGTTTCTGTCGCCCGTCGATAGTACTTTTCCCGGGAGGTAGCCGCAGTGGCAGAGCCTGCCTAGGGTCCTCGCTAGCTGCGTCATGCTAATGACGTACGCTACCCATTCGGCGGCCACTTCGGGCGGCGTAGATGGCTGAAATGCAGAAGTGAAATCCGCTTCGGTGAGCATATCCACGTCGCAGTCTTCGTCGCGGACTCTGTTCGGTAAACCGAGTGCAGCAGCGCACTGTCTCTCTCGGGTATATAAGGACCACCAGAGCCGCCGCTTCAACCTATCTACCTTTGTCTGCCCCATGCCGGCACATCTGTGAAACCCCTTACTCTGTGCCAAGGAGAGGGTGACGCCGAGCCAATGCCGCACGTCCTTCTCGAAGAGTGCGCCGTCTCTCCAGAAGCTCAGGTGAAACAAGGCCTGAATGACGACCAATTTCTTTTGCTCGAAGCCAACGTCGTAAATATCCTTGGCACGGTTGTAAAACAGATACTTGGCCCGTCGGCGTCCGCCTAGCCCGGCATCTCGCAGGTAGTCCTCGTCGCAATGTAGACAGCCGATGAAGAGCATGGCTTGCAAGAGGAAATGTGAGATGGTCCCGTCTCCATATTGACGCCAGATGTCAGGCTCATCCACGACGGCGAAACAAGGGTGGAACCACTGGAAGTAGGCTTTCAGGATCTCTTTGACGACGAGGTTATCTGGGTATGAGAAGACCCCTTGCGCGCGGAGCAGCTCGACTTTGGTTTCACGCCTCTCGACCGCCCACGGCGGAAGCACGCTGGCCGCCTTGATCGCGTTGGGGATGGAATGGTAGAATCGCAGGTCTTGCCTCCGGCTCTGGTTGAGGCGCGGGGAGGCCTCTGGCCGGAGTGGATGCTTCGCTGAAGTAGCGGATGGAACTTGACTCGCCGAGAAATACGGACCCTTCTTCGTCGGGTTGGAAGGTAAGGCCAGGGCCCTCGAGAGATTGGGTTGGTCCGGTCACGGGTGGATTCCGTATTCGACGTCTTTCGGGGTTCGCCTCTACATCGCTGCCAGGGTCCCGACGGAGAGTTGCTAACACGTGCGACGCCGCGATATCTTCGCTCACACGGCTGCTTCCCGGGGTCAAGGTATCCTCATTCGCGACACTCGGCGTGGTCGGAGCCGGAGTCGCCACACCAGCCTCGCTGGTTTCTGCGCGGCGTGACGATCTCGTCGCGGCGAGGCCACGGGAGTGTCTCGGGTGTTTACCCCGTCGGGACTCCCGGATCTCGCACACCGTGCCTGCCGAAGAGCAATTGGTGCACGGGGTTTTATCGCCGGCGTCGCACTTGACACGCCGGGCGTTGCACGGGACGCAGGCTTGCTTCGCCCGCTTCCGGAGCGGAGGCCGGGCCATCGAAGGCGGGAGGTGGCTTTGCTTCTCCGGGCCGGGGAACCGGAGTGGATAGCGGTACTCGGATCAAGGAATAAGCAATATAAGAACAACTGGTAAAAGCCCGGCTTCGGCGATTTGTACGGGGGCGGCGAGACAAAGAGAATAGGGAAGAAAATGGAAGAAGCCGAAACGGAAAGTCGGCGACGGAGTAAAATTCGACGCTACATATTCTTCAGGGTTAGTGTGGGGTTGTATCGGCTATATGCACCGCCGAGTAGCCGACATGGTGTGATTTTGGTCCGAGGTCTGGGGATGTGGGAATCAGCTCGGCCGTTGTTTGGCCGGGACGCCACGCTTGCCGCAAGGTGACGTGGGGTAGCAGCGGCCTTGGGACGGACACCTCGTGCTCAACAGTGTCATCGTATCAAGAAAATCATTTGCCCTGTTTAGTCCTTGGTTCCTGAATCGCGAACCATTAATCTATAGTAACCATGAATTTTCGCTGCAGCTGGACTGTGGCTGGGCGCCGCGTATCATTATCAAGCCAGTATAGTCGGCCATCGAGGAGATGGATATCCAGTACGGCTAACTGGCAGCATCCATCGTCATCACCTTCGCCCTATGAAACAGCGACGATTCAAAACCTGCGTATAGACAAGGATACACGGGTCATCTACCAGGGTATGCAATGAGTGCAACCTACCCGTCTCTCATTCATTGGTCCCGTGGGCTAACTCAGATGGTGTAGGGTTTACTGGAAAGGCGGTATGAGCTATCAATTGAAGGGTCTCGGGGCACGATGTGCTCGTTCTCTCTTATTTTAACGTTTCCGAGTTTCTAGGCAACAGTAAATGCCAAGGACACGATAGAATATGGCACCAAGATCGTGGGAGGCGTATCCCCGGCAAAGGCGGTCAGACTCATCTTGGTCTTCCCGTGTTTAATACTGTCAAAGAAGTGGGTACCAGGCGGGAGAGCAGCTGCATTGGCGACGAATGGCCGGCTAGAAGAACTAAATAACTAATGGGTACATGTACATCAGGCAATGGAAGAAGTGAAGCCGCACGCTACGTCCGTCTTTGTACCCGCCCCGTTCGCAGCCCAAGCAATCCTCGAGGCTATCGAGGCTGAGGTGCCCTCGTTGTTTCCGTGGCCGAGCACGTCCCCGTACATGATATGCTGCGCGTTCACGAGGTCCTGAGAACACAGACGAAAACCCGACTGGTTGGGCCCAACTGTCCGGGCATCATCGCGCCGGAACAGTGCAGGATTGGCATTATGCCGTATAAGCAGTACAAACGGGGCAAGGTGGGCATCGTCTCCAAGAGCGGTACTCTAAGCTACGAGGCGGTCGGGGCAACTACCAAGGTCGGCCTCGGGCAGAGCATCGTTGTCGGGATGGGCGGGGATATGCTAGCTGGGACGACGCTCGTGGATGGGCTGAAGCTGTTCTTCGAGCATGACGAGACGGAGGGCATCATCGTGATTGGGGAGATTGGGGGCGAAGCTGAGCTCAGGGCGGCGGAGTTGATCCGGGAGTATAGGAGGAATACGCCGAACCCGAAGCCCATCGTCGCCATGGTGGCGGGTCGGACGGCGCCTCCCGGAAAGATGATGGGCCATGCCGGAGCGATCCTATCCCCGCGCGACGTTTCGGCGGACGCTAAAGCTAAGGCGCTAGAGAAGGCTGGGGCGTTGGTTGTTCCTCATCCCGGTGTTATGGGCGTCGAGATGAAGAGATTGCTCGAGAGCCGTGCCCCTACTACGTAGTACGGCAGGGTGGTCATACGAAAGATTTAATCTTTATTGATATATGTGTCCCTGATTTAGGCTATAGAAGTCTACTTAATAAGCCTTGCACCAAAGTCTTATCCTATTTTTCAGCTCCGACACGTCCTCGTGATCCAGGCTGCATAGCTAAGATGGACCAACACACATATCCTCATCCCAGTTTCTTATGAATGCACGATCGACCCACCCAGGCCATATCCTCAGTATTCTCAAGCTTGGCAGTTCTCTAGACCCGCTACAAGTTGAGCACATAGCTCCCTCTCGCTCGCCTTCTCAGCTTCCTCATCACTGCTGTCAATCATGAGGCAACTGAGCACAACGTCGGCATACGTGTCGCCACAGACCCATCTAAGGCGGCCGAGATACTCGTCACACACCCAGCGTCTGCGCTCGTAGTGATCCTCATCCCCGTCGCCAGAGTGCTTGTAGTCATGTAATTCCTTCCAGAGACCGATCTCAAGCAATAGAATGCCGAGTGAGTAGACATCGTACGCGTGTCGATACAAACGTCTGGGGTTTGCATGCTTGGCCGGGTGTTGGTAATAGTCCAGCGTGAAGCCACTAACAGTGGAATCTTTGGCTACATTTTTGAGCATGCCTTTTCCTACCATATCAAAGCCGTAGATGCTCTCGGACCGGCGACGGACTTCTGCTCTTTTCACTGGCAAGGGAAGCCTCGATGCCTCCCAAAAATAACTGCTACTTTTGTCTTGAACTGGAGGAAGAGATCGTTGAATAGATGGTTGAACCGTGGTCCCTGATTCTTCTTTATTAATGCGATTTGTTCTGTGTTCTTCTTCGTTTATCAGTGTTGATAATGGAAGGCCTGCCATCGGGGTTGTATCATCAGGCCGCGAAAAGATGTAACCCATCAGGATAGGGTTCGAGACATCAATAACCGTGTTCTCTTCGTGAGTGCTCTCCTCGTGACGGCTACCATTTGTGGTAGCGCTCCCGGGTTGTTCGGGGAAGAAAATGACCGACTGGGCGCGTATGTTCTTGTGCAGCCAGCCGCTCGAGTGAAGCAGACACACAGCACGCACAAGCTTGCGCGCTAAGCGGAACCGCGCACCGAGCGAGGCATCGATGCCTAACACGCGCTCCATGCCGAGAAGCGACTTCAGCGCCACAGGAGCACGAAGCTTGAGGTTTTCCGCAGGCCGCTCCCGCGTTTGGACTCCCGTCGTGCCAGGTAGCTTGTAGAGGATGCTGCAATGGCCCTTTCATCGCCTTTCGTGTGGTCGATCATGGCAACGATGTCTAAACCCTGGATGCCTGTCATTACATTTTCACCCTTGAATGTGTTGAAGAAGTTTTTGACAACGGCACGCAGTCTGGGGTCGGCGGGCCTGACAATTTCAATCGGCGCGACGTCCTCATCCTCATCCTCCTCATCCTCCTCTTCGCTACTGCTACTGAGGCTGCCCTTCAACGAACTTGAGGCATACTTGCCATATGAACGAGCCGCTGAGAAGGCGTTGTTTATCGTGATTGCTTCGAGTACTTTTCGCTTTCTTCGGTCACGCTTCTTCCTTTCTTGCTCCTTGATTTGCTTCTTTTGCTCCGGGGTAAGATCGGAGGGCGGCCCGCGGTAGTCGCGCATCTCGACATATACGACCTGCCCTTCAAAGGTCCCAAGTCCCTTCCCCAGATAATGCAGTTGAGGTTGAGCCTCCTCGATGCTGGCTAGAGCCTCATCGTTAGGGGTTGCCGTATTCCCTTTGTTTTCGTTGACGGATGCCTTGAGAATGGCCGCTGAGGCTAACAGCTTATACGCCTCTTGCATTGAAAAGCTATCATCGACTTGAGCGTGTTCGGCCGCAAGCTTGGAAGTCCACTTTAGTCCCGCGGGAGACTCCTGTCCCGCCACGCATTCCATAACGAAATAGATGTTCATCGAGGGGACCGCATTCTCGGGGCAGAGGCGATAGAGTGTGTCGCCGTGGAACTTTAACTCGGCGATGAGTTTCTTGAAGTTCTCTCTATCCTTCATAGCCCACTTAAGCTTAGCGAGAACAGAAAGACGGTTCTTTGCCTCCGCGATGACTGGCTCGATTTGTATGATTGCTGTATCCGGGATCACCAAGTCGATGCCGCCAGTATGCGCCGATTCATCCTGCGTGGTTTCAGTGCGCCTGAGTTGGATGCCATAGCGATTTCCGAGTTTGTTCTGATCAGAAAGGGTATCGACAAGAGCCGAAAGGGCTTTGAATATGGCTTCGGCCTTGTAACGATTTTTCTGGAGATACTTGTGAAGTTTGGTCGGTGTTCCTTCGTTGTCGTGGGGAAGTATCGCCGCCTTGGTGCCATCGTCACCGAGAATTTGCCAATGAAAGCCCCACGATTTGAGCACCGCCTGCTGAATTTCGAGCTCTCGCATATATGAAGAGGATGATGCTTCAGCTGTTCTCGCTGCAGTGAAGAAATTGTAGCAATCGTAGCACGCCCTATACAGTGACACGATGCCTACAGCGAGACCCGCGACGTCCATTATGGCAAGTTGGGGAAGAATGAATAGGGCCAACTAAAAATGTCTTCGGGTACCTCGAGGAAGCCCACCGGATATTGTATCGAATCTTGGCTTGGAACCCTTGTGTGTGACAGTATCTCGTATAACTTATTCCACTTCTTTATGGTTGGCGGACCAAGTAGCAATATTTAATGCCCTTGCTTAGTCCGAATGAGTATCGAATGCTGTGAAACACAAGCGGGGATACCGGTTCAATAAGGCTTTAGCGGTTGAGTGTCTTCGTGCTAAAAATACACTTCGATGCCGATGTGCATATCGAACTGTCAATATTCGATTAGTTCAATGTTCTGCTGGTTGAGGCTTGGCTTTATTAGGCATCAACATGCCAAGTTATTCAGTCGAGTAGATGCGCCCGCTTCGCGGCCTGATGCCTCAAGCTCGGGGTCTTTGCTGACCCCCGCCCACGCATACACACCTGCCCTCAGAGCCGTAGTGACATTGGAACCATTTTGGATTACATGATTGTTGTCCGCTAAGATCAGGAGTATCTTTGGCAGACGCCGTAGATACAGTCAGGTAGCCATTACCGAGGAAAATTGCCCGAGGTGACAGGAGGACTATCGTCCCATGATGCTTCCCATTCGACAAGCCCTAAGATTTCATCTACCTCATCTACCTTGCTTCTATATCGCTAGTCGAACTAGAACTGTGCCTGGCGGTAAAATGTACCAGCTATCCGTCCTAAAAGTCTACCTTGGTCACATTAATTGATCTCCTTCCATTCGTATTCGTGACCTACTAACTCGCAGAGCCCACCACTATGCCGCTTCACGCCCTGAGGAGGAAATAACAATTCTCATGTGTCAGGTTGAGAACGACTGAGAGATGACGTAAAGGGACGTGTAATCTAAACAGTGGCTTCTTGCGTATTGAAGAATATGGATCCGCCTCGGCCTCCCTCGCCGCACTGATATTATATGTCGAAGTATAGGCGGCCTGGTGCCGTTTGCGCTCTCCATAGTAATTAGTCGCCTTGGGATAGCTCAACCACCTTCCGCGCAGCCTCCCCAAACTCGGCCTCGGTATGAATCCCAAGATTCGCGTCATCAAGCTAAGAGATCGGCGTGTCAGATGGAAGGAATCACCGGGCATGATCGAACGTGTCCGTTATAAACTCACTAGTCTTAGTCCCTCCGCAGAATTAGTCCCTTGCAGTCTCGCCACCACTGGTACCCGGAATCCCCCAAGATCCTTGGCCGCACCGATGATAGACTCGGCAATCATGTCGCAGCGCGTGATGCCCCCATACACGTTGACCAAGATGGCCTTGACCCGCGGATCCCGTAGGATGATCTCGAACGCCTTTTGCATCGTTTCCCGAGTAGCCTGGCCCCCGGCGTCTAGAAAATTAGCACTCGCCCCACCGTGATGCGCGACGGCGTCGTTTGTTGCCATGGCTAGGCCGGCTCCGTTGACGACGTTGCCAATGGTGCCTTCCATGCGGACGTAAACTAGGCCATACTGTTCCGCCTCGACTTCCTCGGGCACATCGTGGGCGGGATCTCGTAGGGCAAAGAGGTCTCGCTGCCTCTTCTCAGCGGCTTTGTCGAAGGAGAATTTGGCATCGAGGCCGGTTAAAGAGCCATTTGCTCCGAGGCCGAGAGGATTGATCTCCAGAAGCGTGGCGTCTTTTTCAGAGAATATTTTGAAGAGGCGCTCGAGGATATCTCGTAGATTGTTTGTCTCGATCTGCGACGCATCGAGACTCGTGGCCACGTGTTTCACGAGGTCGGGTGTTATCCCTTGGGAGAGACTAAAGTGAAAGGTATGCAGCTTCTCCGGGGCGGTCCTCGCGAGTGTTTCGATGTCGACACCGCCGCTTCTAGACAGGATGATTACGGGAGAGTAGGCCTCTCGGTCTATTGTCATGGCAAGATACCACTCCTCCTCGCACTGGACCACTTCAGCGACATGTACCCTGTTGACCACAAGGCCTTTTCAGCTGTCTGTGCCGTCTTAAGTCTGTAGCCAAGCATACGGGCAGCAACCTGCTCAGCCTGGTCGGGGCTCTTGACGAAATGGATTCCTCCCTGAAGCCCATTGTCAAAAGATCCCTTTCCCCTGCCACCTTTGAGCATCTGTGACTTGACGACGCATTCGCCGCCTAGTCGCACAGTTAGCCTTTTGAGTGGCCAGTTTGTGGGTTGATTTCCAACTCATCGTGTTTACCTAGATCCTTGACAATCTCGCGAACCTGTGCGGGCGTTTCCGCTACCTTTCCTTTGGGTACCGGGATTCCGGCCTACGAACATGTTAAAACATGTAGTCTTTGAATTTCTAAGAGTGGGTGGAGGAGACGGGAAGAAGCTGTCTCACGCACCTCTCTCATGAGCGCCTGTGACTGGTACTCGTACAAACTTAGACGCCGTCGCTGGTGAAGTTGCCCGACCTGCTATACATGAAGTCAATAATCACTTTCCACCGTAGTTTGGGGACACCTAGGGAACTAACTACCCTCACCGCCCCGGAGGGCCTGAGTAGACTCGTCGTAAATCGGTTGAGGGACATGGTGTGTGGTAACGACGGGTAATTGGCAGCGGAACGAAATGGAAACTAGGTTCGGCCTGCCTACCTAGATCTCGATGTTGGACCGCGCAGAGAAACTAGTATTCGATGCTATATGTTGGTTTACGGCATTTCATGTGTCGTCCTCATTGAGGGGCTACGTTTGGCGCCGTTGGATTGGTGTGGTTGCCGAGGTATGCTGAAGTCGGCTATATGGTCAACTCCATTGATATCCTCTCGTCCCCTCCCCAACCATCGTCGGTCGACATCAAGTCCCACCTCTGACCTTCTAATAACACGCCGCCTATATAATGAACAATCCAGTATTTGACGAAAGTGCCCAATTGAACCATTCAAACCTAATTTTGTGCCCACGAAGGATTCAATAGTTTAGAATGCGGACATACCCGTAGCCCGTATGCCATTCGGCAATCCTCGTAGCTTAAGTAATCCGATTCAGCGACCCCGACGACTCGGCCATTGACTTCCGGCTTTGAGCCGAGGGACGGACATCTACAACTTAACCCAACACACCTTCTAGTCATCTCGAACATCAGAAACAAAGGAGCGAGGTAGGCGTTTCCACGATGCAATCCTGGCTCTCGCGCATCCGCGCCGTCCCCAGCCCCTCGCGGCTCTCCCTCCCCACCACTATGCCCTCCCCAGGCGAACACTTTCCTCCCAAGCCCTCGCCGCGGAGATGAAGGCCCGGCAAGTCCCCACCGTCTACGACTACATGACCCCCGGTCCTCCTACCTCCTCAACATGACGCTCTGCGACTATCTACCAGCCTACCCCGCCCAGGACTCGGCCTACACCACACCCCGACTACCCTCTACGGCACAAAACTTCGCCCTTCCCCGGCCACCACCTCATCTACTTCCCCCATGATGCGCGACGGCCGCACGGCCCCGGACGGCACGGACCCTCGACAGTCCCCCGGCGGCCCTTTACCCGGCGCATGTGGGCCGGCGGGGAAGTGCACATGAACCCTTTGCCCGAGCGTAGGCTGCGCCTCGACGGGTCGCGCGCGGCGTGCGTGGAGCGCATTCTCGACGTAAGCGTGAAAAAGGCGGAGACGGAGAACCCGCTCGTGTTCGTGTCGCTGGAGCGGCGTATGGGCCATGTTGGGGAGAGCGAGTCGGATGAGGCGGTGCGGGCGAGGCTTCTGGGAGACGATGGGGCGGTGGCGGTGAGGGAGTTGCGGGACGTGGTGTTTATGAAGGCTGCGGGACCGGGAGGGAAGGCAAAGACGCGTGTCTTGGAGCACAAGGGACGGGAGGATTTCAGCCATACCTTGACGACGAATCCAAAATTGTTGTTTCGGTATAGCGCGCTCACGTACAACACGCATGCCATCCACCTGGATCCGAATTCTGCAGGCAAGCCGAGGGGTTGAGGGGTCTTCTTGTCCACGGACCGTTGACGCTTACTTTGCTGTTAACGCTGTTGAAGAACCATCTCATCCAAAATAGTTCGGGTACTAGTTACCACGAGGTCAAGAGCATCAAGTATAGAAACACCTCTCCGTTGTTCGACGGCGAGCCGGTAAGGTTATCGGGACGCCAAATTAACGAGAACACCTGGTCTCTTTGGGCAGAAACACCGGAAGGGGGTTTGGCAGCGGTTGGGGAAGCCGTGACCGAGCTGGTGGAGGGTGTGCCAAGGAAGGTGTACGAGGACGTTCAGTCGCTAGGTATATAACATCAAAATCCAAGAGAGAAGAGAAAGACAATGCATCCAGCCAACGCCCTGATTTTGGATTTATTGCCATTATTCATAAAATACGTTCCCTTTGCCCAATTCATTCTTTTTACCCCTTCCCATCGCTATCCTGGAGCCTTTTAGTCTTCCTTGGGAGGCACCCCTACGTACATGTAGTTGTCAGCCGCGATATTCAGGAACCGGGCTGGAGACCTTCCTTGAATGAGGTCTTCGATGGCTGAGCCGTATTTTATCAGGAGATTCTCTTTTCCGTGCGTTTGCATGATAGCCAATCCAAACGGTACGTCTGAATCTCTCATGTTAGCACATGACCAGCTCACGACAGATTATTGGAGGCTCATTGACTTGCCATCCTTGTTTTCTGCGATGGGCACAGTGATCACGGGGTAGCCTAGGAAACTAGTCAGAACTCCAGAAGCGCTTCCCTCGCTCATCCCGCAGGAACAAGATGGTGCAAAATAGGTTGATATGCAGACGCACCGGCTTTGGCCGCAACTTGGTTCGCCACCCCGCTATCGACCTGTATTGGTATCAAGATACCGTCAAGAGGTTCACCCTTGGCGTTGATAACAGCGTCTATACCTTCCTCCCTACTCTTCTGGCGGATATAAGCAAGTGCCGACTTGTACGTGTCGTCCTTCCTCCCGCGTGTCTCGGCGACGTGGTGAAAGGTATCCTGGCCTGTGGGCCAGGCGCCGTGCAGATCTGGCCAGGCACCCTCCTCCTTGGGGTGCCTTTTGTTGAACTCGATGATGTCTTCGACGCCCTTGAGGCTGAGGGGGTTTTCGGCGAGGGAGGCAAGGTAGTCTTTGAGGTCGTTGTAGAAGTCGACTTTTACGACCGTCAACTCCGATTTGGCTGGGTCATCAGGATAGTTCCTTTTAGTGAGAGGCGGTTCCGGCTCGCCAGGTTAGTCATCTGAATTATTCCCTTCATACCCTTGTAGTTGCACGTAACTTTCTGGACAACCTAAGAAATTTGGGGGACGTACCAATCCCACTTCCCAGGGGATATTATGTCCTCGGCGCTCGGGAAATCAACGTGTTCGTACACCTCGGCACCAGCGTCCCGGATGCGGTCAATCGTCTTCATGAAGATGTTGTACGGATACTCCTTTTCCGATGCCAATTCCCACACCCGTTTCCAGGGCATGGCGAATCTGGCGCCCTTGAGCGCGGATTTGTCCGAGACAAACGACTCATACGGGGTGTCTTGCGGGAGCCGTCGGGTTAGCATAGATCCTACCAAGCGTGAACAAGGGATACGGGCTAAGAAACGCAGTGGCTAACCTAGTGGATTCTTTCGTCGGCCCCGGCGATGGCGCTTAACGCGGCGGCAGCATCTTCCACCGTCTTTCCAAACGTGCCGACTACATCGAGGCTACTCGATTCAGGTATCACTCCCTGGCACACCGTGATGCCGAGGCTGGGTTTCAGACCGACCACGCCATTGCGATCGGCAGGGTATGTGACCTGTAACGTACGCTCGTTAGGTTGGTTGAGTACACGTGGGTCTCCTGGCTTGACTTACGCTTCCGTCGGTTTCAGTGCCAATGGCAAAGGCACACATGGAAACGGACACGGCGACGGCGCTTCCACAGCTAGAGCCGCCGGGGTGCTCAGCAAGGTTGTGCGGATTGCGGCACTGGCCACCTCGACTCGAATAGCCTTCGGAGCTAGACGCGGCCAGTTAGCGGTTCTGGGAATCTTTTTACGTGTATGGCCCCTAGTCGAGCGTCGAGGAAAGAAACGGCCGAGGTGGAGTGGCAGCCAACATACTAATACGAGGAGCGCATACAAGCCCACTCGGACAGATTAGAGTGGCCGAGGAGTACGGCACCGCCGCGCCGGAGCTTCGTAATAACATGGGCATCCGCGGCGACTTTGGTACCGATCAAGACTAAACAACGAAGGATGGGGGTGAGCAAGGGAAAGAAGACCCTTGATGGGGTGATCGCTACACACCTTTTGAGCCTGCCGTTGTTTGCATCTTGTCGTTTGTGCAAATGTTCTATTCGGCGTTACGGATACGATTAGCCGGATTCCCCAATGATCGCCGGCCGCGCACTCAAAGAAAATAGGAGCAGCGCGATACGTACATCCTTGCATACAAAGGGGATGCCATGCAATGGGCCCCTAATCTTTCCAGATTTCCTCTCGGCATCACATTTGTCGGCGATGCTTAGGGCGTCCGGGTTCACCTCAATTATCGCACTGGAAGGGTTTGTTGTTAGCAATGTTTTTCCCTAACCTCTCGATCGATGACCAAGCCTAGATTAGAGATGGCCTCTTACTTGAGCACCGGGTTCACTCTCCGGATCCTCTCAAGATAGCACTCAGTTAAGTCCCTTGCGGAGAAGGTGCCCTCGGTCATGAGCTTCTGGAGTTGGGCGATAGAGAGGTCCTGTATGTCGACGCCGCGACATTGCGGCATGGAAGTATCGACATCGCCCGTCGTAGCTTGGTGGTCGCTGCGAATGATCATAGTGGAGGAAGATGGCAAAAGGAGGGGAAATGCAGCGGTGATGACAATGAAGATGGGATGAAGTCAGGCGCAACCCAACTTAACGCGCCTACCGTCGAGCAAAGCTCCGGTCCGCTTTCGAAACCGGTGAATTTGTTATGTAATCGGACAAGGCGAAAACGAGACGGGGAATTTGGCCAGCCAATGTGATGAGATACCGATACGAAGAACTGGGCAATTGTGTGAGAATGCCATTGTTGTCAGAATTAGTATTTCGTTTTCATGTGTCATCTGTCGACAGATTTGATGTGATTTGGTGGGGAAGCTGGCGAGTTGACGTAACTGTGATTCCAGGGCGGCGCATAATAAAACAGAACATTGACTCGATTCCATTGGATTAAAGTAGCTGGAGCTCCCCTCTCGCGTCAACGTGCCATTCCTGTAGGTCTCAGCGGCAACTGAAGCTGCTGATAATGACGCCTCAATTGTGAACCCCGCTAGGCTCTTCGGGAAGGGGCTTGGCAGGCAACTCCTTCACGGTCCGATTCCACGGACTTGATCCTCCCACAACCTCTACTTGTCCCGTTGATGCTCCTACACTTTTATATTCTTCCCTTTCCTGTTGTGCATCCTCTTATTTCTTTTCCTGTTGTAGATTGGGTCGGGTTTGCACACGTGTGCCCCTGGACTTTGCTGACCTGAAAAATGCCGTCGAGTTAGGCGACAAGCAAAATCTCTTTATGTGATGAAAATGCGTGATGAATTTCAAGGATTGGGTTGGAGCTTGGGTAACACCGCGCTTTGTGGGCAGGCTCCCGGCACCTCAATAGGCACATCTCTTAAACTTCCCTTGATGCCCCTTCAGCCGGCGTTCAAATATTTCTTCTCAGTCCGCGCTTATGTGTTGGCACACTTAAAGTCGGTGGAAAAACGGTCCGTGGCAGTGCACATAGGAGAACAGGGTGGGGGTTGAATGGGTGTGGATAACGGATGGACATGAACCAGTCAAAACAAGCAAGGGGCAAAAGAAATGGAAATTCTACTCAGCTTGCACTGCACAGCCAGAAGCCAGGCAGCCGCAAGTTGGTTGGTTGAGTAGCCTCGTTTTCGTCCCGGCTTACCTAGCTGAGCTCTAAGAAACAAATATTGATCATTTCCCCCTCTCCCATCATCACAGACTACATGTGGGGACAAAAGGGTCACTCAGCGCGCATTTATCGGGAAAGTAAACAGAAAAAACATAGACAAAGGAGCTAAGCATAACAAGCTAGGGTTGAAGCTAGGTGATTTTAACTGAAATAATAGCGTACCAAGCCAAACATGGCGGACGCAAGCGTGGACGCAGCAGCCCTCACAAACGGTGGACACGAGAATCTCCTGGGGACAATCCTCGCAGACGATCTTCTACGCGTGTTTCAAGGTGTCGTCGTCGCTTCTCGAATCAGTGCGGAGGACGTCGAGCCGGTTCGGTTGTGGTTCTTGAACCCCGCCACCGATTCTGATACCCCGCAGCGGCAACAAGAATCGCTCCCCGACACCTCCGAGCAAGGCAGCGCTCGACAGCAACTCTGGACGGAGTGGTGCGCCGAAGCCGACGCGCGGTTCCGCAACGAGCCAGACCTGCGCCATGTCGCCCTCGTCACCATCGCGGTAACATTTCTCGGCAGAAGCGGCAGAAAAGGCGTGCCGGTATCGCCCGAAGAACTCGAAGACATCTGGAAGCTGATCCACGCCGCGCTCAACCCAGCCACAACGGGGAATCCAAGCTCCGCTGGGCAGCCAGCCGAAGCGCCCAGGGCTTCCTGTCCGTTCCCCTATGCAGCCTCATCCGCGACGGCAACATTGACGAGCTATTCCGTCTCCACGTCTGGCTCCCCGACGGCCACCGGGGCAACGCCGATTTCGCGCTGCACTCGCACCAGTCGTTTGCCCAATCGTGGATCCTCGCCGGCGAGGGTAAAGACACACCCTACGAGGTCGAGCCCGCGGCGACCCTCCAGGACGCGACCCACGCCCGGTACGCGCTCGTCTGGGCGGACGACAAGGATCAAGCCAAGAGCGACGCCACGTTCAAAACCCACCAGCAGTCGTCGACCGTCATCAATACGGGCGACTTGATGGCGGCGCGGCCGCTGCGTCCCGCAACGCACGCCCGCAACGCGACCTACACCGTCCCGCCCGCCGCCTTCCACACCTCCACCGTCCGACCGGAAACCGTGCACGCCACCCTCTTTTTTCGACTCGTCCCGCGGCTTCGTGCGCGACGCGCCCGTCCTCGGCCCCGCGGACGCCGAGTCCTTCACCCAGATCCGCGATCCCGCGGGTACTACCCTGCCGAGCTCGTCGCGCAAGTCGACCTCGTGCGCCGGTGGGAGGTCTTCATGGCCCGCGGCCGCCGCCACATGGAGCACGCCGAGTGGGAGCACGCGCTGCGCGAGCTCAACAGCGCCCTGCACCTGTGCCAGGCGGCTCCCGAGCCCGAGAAGAACGGGTTCCCCAACGCGCGGCGGTACGCGTGCGTCGTGCACGGCGAGCTGGGCAACACGTACCGCCGGTTCGGGCGCTACGAGCAGGCCGAGGAGCATCTGCGCAGCGCCATGGCGGGGTTGCCCGTGAGCTCGGAAAAAGTCGAGTTTAGCGGCGAGCTGGGCGTGTTGTACCGGCACATGGGCCGGATGCGTGACGCGCGGGCTGCTTTTGCGGACCAGTACGATACGGCCAAGGCGCTGGGCTTCCGGGGCCCGTGTGCCGCGCCGTGGGGAATCTCGGCATGGTGAACTATCAGCTGTTCGTGGAGAGCGGGGATGCGAGCCTGTTGGATACGGCTATCCTTAACCTCGATGAGCGAGTGGAGCGCGCGCGTGAGCTGCAGATCGACGCCGAGGCCCAGCTGGGCACTGATGGGTCCGCCGCATCCACTAAGCGCCAGGCACATACGTGGGAGATTATTGGCCTTACCCGTCTCTCGCTTTGCCACGCCGCGCGCGGAGACACAGAGACCGCGGTGGGCGTGGCCTCGCGCGCGCTGGAGCTGGCCACGTCATCGAAAGACACTACCGTCGTGGCCATCACGCGCATGTTTTACGGCTTCGCCCTGCTAAAGAACGGCAACCGCGACGAAGCCCTCGCCCAGTTCAACCCGCCACAAGGGTGCAGCCCCGCCATGGCACTTTGTAAAGAACCGTCCGAGGAGCACGTCGGATACCTGCGAGAACTCGTGGACGCCGGCGCAGACCTCGACCTCGTCGACGAGCAAGGCTACACCGCACTCGACTACGCCGTATTCGCCGGCGACCCTCCGCCGAAGCCGTCGTGCTCGCGGGCCTCCGCCGCGTCCCCGGCCGCCACGACGACGACGTCGCCAAGCTCCGCGCCGACTCCCTCCTGCGCAAGGGCTACCGCGACGTTTTCCAGGAACAGCTGCGGCCCGTGTTGTTCGCGGGCACCGGCGGCGACGGATCCATCGCCAAGCTCCGGGCGCGCTACGCCGCACACCTGGCGCAGGACCCCGCAGCGATGCCCTGTTTGACCGGCTCAAGTTTGTGCGGTATACCGACTTTCTCGCCTTTGGTCGGTTTCCGCGGTCGGATGACGGGCTCACGCGCACGTTTGCGCCGGGAGAGGATGAGGGCGCGGAGGGGGAATTCGTCGTCTTCGTGTCGTATAGGTGGCTGAACGTGGCGACGGAGAATGATTCCCCGACGACGCGAACAATACGCAGTTTAACCGCATGGTGGCTGCTGTGCGGAGCTTGCTGAAGCTTCATCCGGCGATTGATCCGTCGCGGCTTAGCCTTTGGTTGGTATGTTGTGATTCGACCCATTGTCTCATTTACTTTGGATTACTGAGGGCTTGCGCTAACGCTACTTTATAGGATTACGCGTGCATCGACCAACAGGCTCCAGCCAAGGGCGTGGTCGCCTTGCCCATGCTTCTCGCCCAGTGCGACGCCGTTATTAGTCTTGTGAGCGAGGACTACTACACGCGCGCTTGGTGCACAGTCGAAGTCATGATGGTGCAGACGCTCAAAGCGTCCTATCACCTCCACGAGTGGTACGAGCAAGTCCCGGGAGATTCTGGCGATGATGAGGGATCGGGTTGGATTCTGCGCCCAGGGCCGATGGACATGGTCATCTCGATGGCGGAAACAAAGGTTACGTACGAGGAGGATCGAGCCAAGACCCTCTTCCTTGAAAGGCAGGCTCGACTTCTAGGAGCGCAATGATGAGATATGAGAAGCAATTTTGATTTTCCTTGTTTTATACTTGCTATGCGTGTTGCGTCTTAGGCAAACAGCGATGTAAGGTCATGATCAAACCCTTTTGTATTCCCGGTTTAGTTTAGTTCAACAGAAACATGAAGCCAAACTCCTCCCAAAATAAAACCAACTAAAAAGAACAAATTCAGGGAAACGTGCCTGTGCCCGTATTGCATTCATCAACAAGAGCGCAACACCCTACCCACAACCGAGTCGAACGCCCCGCGCTCAATCGTCGCCCCAAACTCAAAACACTTGACCACGCCCACGAATTCCCGCTTCAAAGCCTCCACCACCTCGGGCAGCATGAAGGAGGCAGCGGGGTATCTACCCGCGAGCTCGAACCACGCCTGCACGGGAGTGAGGTCCTTGTCGTCCACAGGAAGGGAGGAGGCAAGCCCGTGTAAATTGCGCAGAGTAAGTGCGGGGCCTGCCACGGACTTACTGGGGGTGGCGACGAGGACGCAGAGGACGACGACGAAGAACTGTGCTGGAATTGGGAGATTTGGTCGAATGTGGGCGTGGGAGCGTGGGATAGGCAGAGAGTTGACGCGAGGAGGGCGTGGGAGGATTCGGGGAGGGAGTCGTCGCCGTGGGCGGGGAAGTCGTGGAGGTGGAAATGGTCCCAGCAAACGTGCTCGAGACTGATAGTTTCGAAGGGGGTGAAAGAAAATGGGAAAATGATTAGCAAAGTCTATGGACGGGATTGCACGCTTTGGGTTGGCAAGACAAGCGAAAAGAGGTTTACGAGTGTCACTTACGCCAAGATAAAGTTGATAGCTTGGACCTCTTGTGCCGGGGATAGCAAGGGAAGAGCACCAAAGTCGTGCGCGGGTGGCGTGGCCCACGACCCGTGAGGATCCGAGACGATACGATAGCAAGGCTTCCTCATCACTTCATCCACAACCAGGGTAGCCGAGACGGCGTCACCCAACAAGGCGGTAGAAGTAATACCCGCAGGTAAAGAGCCCGAAAAGCCTAGTCCCAGCGTACCTGTATCGGGTAGCGCGGGCAGGGGCTTGTCGACGGGTACGCGCCCCAGCGACAGGGCCTCGAGTCTCCCCTGCATCACGACGTTCTCCCGCCTGAGAGCCGCTACATCCGCCTCGGCGTCCGCGATGGCGTCTCGCAGGTTCGCGGCGTCGAGCTCCAGCTTCTTGACGTAGTTGGTCTTGCGCTGGCGGTGCTCGACCTGGGCTTTTCTTACCTGGGCGCGCCGCGCCTGGGCCTTTGCTCTCGGTCTTCGGGGCCGATGGGGGCTGCGTTGCATTCGATACCATTCGGTATACGGGTTAGCTTAAGCCTTGGCACGGAATAAACGGTAGCCAAAGACATATCAGGAGAGAGAGACACATGTACGAGACCCCACCGTTCGTCTCTCGCCTCTTCTTCGGTCTGCATCCCTCCCGACGTCCAGGCTGGCCGTCAGGCGGGTACTGACAAATTGTAGCTTGTCTCATTGGAGGCCATAAAAGCCCACATAAGAGTTGATGACGCAGGAACAATGAGACAGGAGTATACGTAACTGCTTTCCATCACATATTCGGCCCTGTTCACCGTCCCAGTGGAGGGTATAGACACCTCTTTTTGGCAACATGTGCATCCGCGGGGCAACACCCATCGGTTCACACATTTGCACGTGCGCGACAAAGATAGAAAAGGAAAACCACAACGTACCTGCGGAAGATGCGCCAGGAGGCGAGAATTGGACAAACTGAGTTTGCTGGTCGCCCGTCTTGGAGCGCTTCCAAAAGCGCGAGAAGGAAGGGCGGCCCTCATCCTCTGCGCTCGTCATTGTACGAACCCCGCGTGGACTATGATTTTACCAGGAAAAGAGGATGGTCATGGCAGGAAGAACGGCGTCAAACGTAGTATAACCCTGCGGCCGAACAAGGTCATTAGGCTTCCGGTCTTGCTTCTCCTTTTTCCGCTCTTTCTTTCCGATCCCCCACTTGCATGGCTCATCTATTCCTTTTCCGCTCTACTCGGTTCAATTCTCTCTCTGCATGGGTTGACGTCCCCAAAAGCACTGGCGGGCGCGAGTCGTGCTGATTGGCGGGAGGGATATTGGGGGCTTTGGAATCATGATTTCCATTTTGGGAAGATGGATCGGTAAGGATCATCTCGAATTAAGCGCGTCGAGCCCCGTTTCATATTTTTAGGGGCAGGATGCAGGCAGGCCTAATTGAATCCTAGAGAACCATGGGCAGGGATGTTACCGCTTTCATAGATCTCTCCAAAGTTGGGGTCTGGGTTGTAAAGAGCATTGATCTTTTCCCGTTCACAAATGGCCCAATATTTCAATCTCCTGGTTACCGTCTGCTCCCTGCCCCGCATAGTTCCCGCTGTTGCTCTTTCTTACTTAGCCTTATCCTATGTAAATGCAGGCAGTTTGACCAATACAGGCTGGAACCTGCCATGGACGCAGAATATTGTAGGCGGGCCTTAGTAGGGCCTTTACGATCATCAGAGCAAACCAAGAGATTGCGGCTTAGCGTCGTGACACGCAATGGTCCAGGGTCATAAAATCGCCAAAACATTACCTTGGTGGACAATATCAACATGCAAAGAGTTTATCCTGGGCTGCAAGAAACCGCTTTCCCGAGGTTATTTGAGGAGCGGGAAAAAAGGCGGTGCAGTAAAGGCTGACGTCGGTTCCAGACGAGAAGAAGAAAAACTGGGGGCCCCTGCAAGCATCACTGACGACGTGAAACTCAGCCCCTAGTTCCGCTGGTTGACGTTCTTTCCCGAATAGGAAATCGTGATCTGTCAAGGCATGCACCCAAATCCAATGGCACAGGTTTACGCGACACTCCCACTTCCCCTTCTCTAACAAGTCCAAGTGTCAGCCCTTATTCGGCCCAACTTGGCAAGTCTTGATCTGTCAGGGCAGCAGAGACGGAATCCGGGAACATTGCGCGCGCAGCCACCCGTGGGAACTTGGGGCGCCCCCACCACCACGCGTGGAATACAGGGAGATAGGGCTGGCGAGAGGTGAGATGAGCTGACAGTCGTAGGCCCACATCCTGGGACAGGCCCCGCCCCGTTGGAGATCCTCGCCTCTAGGGCCCAAGGAGTTCGCGCGGCTGGACGGTTTCTCCTGTTCAAAGCCGCACAGCCATCTGGCCCCCTGCTACTTGTATCATCGATGTTGGGGATTTAGACGCGATTTCCTGATATGGAAGAAGCGATTCCATTCAAGGGGGCAGAGCAGTGTTACTCTATTCCTAGCCCCATCGTGCACTTGACATCTATCAAAGCTGGATCGTAGATGCTATTTAAAATCAGATGGCAAGGAACAGCGTATAAGTAGACCGGCTCGCATCTCTTTCACTGGCATTCCTAGACTTCTTGACTCATCATCATCATCTCTCTCAACATTGTCCGTCTCTCATTACAAGAGTGTCTTCACATTTCCATCTTTTCCTTGCTCCCTTCCCCTCCTCTTTGCATCTGATTCTCTTCAACAACCCAGCTCCCTGCCAAAATGCACGTCTCCTCCACCTCTTCCCTTCTTCTCTCCATCCTCTCCCTTGCGAATCTCGTCACCGGCCATCCCGGATGTCGACCAAGCCACCGCCCAGTCAAGACTGCCAAGGCGATCTACTTCCTCACTAACGAGGATGTCAACGGTGTCGTTGCCCTACCCGTCAAGCGAGACGGGAGTCTTGCCAGCGGCATCGTAACAGAGACCGGAGGCGCCGGCGCCACAAGCTTGGACGCCAATAACCAGCCCGCCGTCCCCGACCCCCTTGTGGGACAATCTGCATTAACCGTGGCCGGCAAGGTAAGATTTCACTTTCCTAGGGTCCTATTCACATGAAAGATTAAATTTTTCACAAACCTCTTTTCATCTTTGTATAGTACCTCTTTGCCGTCAACGCCGGCTCCAACACGCTAAGCATGCTCTCCATCTCTCGCTCTGATCCCACAAAGCTTCGCCGCGTCGGCGAGCCCGTCGCCCTCCCCGGCGAGTTCCCCAACACCGTCGCCGCTTCTTCCAAAAATAACCTCGTCTGCGTCGGCACGACCGGTGCATTGGCGGGCATTTCGTGTAGCTCCTTTGGGCGCAACGGGCTCGGACCCATGGACCAGCTCCGCCCATTTGACTTGGGCCAGACGACACCTCCAGTAGGACCCACCAACACGGTGTCGCACGCCTTCTTCTCCGATGACCAGACCATCCTGTTCACCAACGTCAAGGGCGATCCCGCTACCAACAAGACAGGCTTCCTCTCGGCTTTTGCCGTGCAAGGCTCGGGAACCGGAGCTTCCCTCAGTACCAACGAGGTCCGCAGCACGCTCGACGGCACAGCCGTGCTCTTCGGAGCACAGGCCATCCCCGGAACGTCCAATATCTTCGCAACCGACGCGGCCTTTGGCGGCGCCGTCATCTCCGTTAACCCCGTTAGCCTCGAGGGGTCCACCGTCGCCGCCGTGGCCGTTGAGGAGCAGGTGGCGACTTGCTGGGCGGCCATCTCGCCCGTGACCGGCACTGCGTTCGTGGCCGACATTGGCGCCCCGCGCCTGGTGGAGATGAGCCTCGCGGATGCCAGCATCATCTCCGAAGTTGCCGTCCCCGACTTGCAAAACCCTGGCCTGACGGATCTCCGCGCGGGAGGAAGCTTCATCTACGCCCTCTCTCCCGGGAATGGTACCTCCTCTCCCGTCGTTGCCGTGGTGAGCGTCGCTGGCGGGTCTGGGGCCGGCGAGGTCGTGGAGCTGTTTGATATCAGTGATGTTGCCGGACCGCGGGCGCAGGGGATGGCGGTTTTTGAGTAGCCCGTCATTTTTAGGTCTTTCTTCTTTTCTTCCTACGGTTGTGATTCAAGTTGATAGAGGAGCGCAAGCGACATGCGATTATTTTCTTTTGCCCTTCTGAAGCATTTCCAGGCTCTGTATATTCTCCGCGTTTTACTCTGTTCGTCCTTTCATTTTAATAGAGCATTTACTCTGACAACCGCTCCTTCGTGAACCTCGGCCTAGTCCGCGCCGCCCGGAAGCTACATGTAAATACTGGCATCGCCCACTTCAATTTTAACCCAATAAAAGCCACCAGGACACTGAGACTAGTTTGCTAATCTCAGTACCATTGCCTCTACATGTGGCGGTATTTTCAACTTTTATCGTTCGAGATGCTCAGTCTCAGAATCTTGGAAATGCGCGTCCCCTCCCCTCGGCAATTCACCTTCCCTCCGCAACCCCGTCCCCCGAGTGCGGATCTCATCGACATCATTGATCTCATCAAGTTTGTCATCGCGGCTCCATGCGGCTCCACATTCCCCCACATCAATCAACGCAAATCAGGCGCCGTCTCCTGGACTTTACCGAAACGGGCATGGCCTCCTCGAAGCTACGGTCTCCGAGAATGAGGGGTTCGTCAAGGATATGCTTTTGTCGTGGCGTCCGAATTATTATTATGGGCAGATGCCACGCTTTCCGAGACAGAGTAAGCTAACGGTGTTTTTTTTTCGTTCTTTTCGGTTCGATTCTCTCTTTTGCAGGTTCTCCTGGACCTCGGCAGGGATCCAAACACAGGCAAGGGGCGGTTCACCTTTGGGAATTCAATGTGATGACACGCCACCACCTCCACTATCCCCCTTTGGCCCCCTTGGATGCCAAGAAAAGAAAGCAAGCTTCCTCGCAGTCCCCTCGCTCTCTCCCGCCGTACTATTCTTCTTGAATCTCGAGTCCATTTCATTTACAGCTCTTGAGCAAGGTGCTGTTTCGTAGAGAGTAGTACGAGACACATTGCCGTCAAGATAGACCAAACATCAAATATCCATTGATTTTCCTCTGTCGTACCCTGCTCCGTTCCACAAAGAAAATGGCGAGAGCGAGCTTTCGGGCGACTGTTGTCGCGCTCCTCGCCATCTTCCTCGCATCCACCTACGGTCCCGATGTCTTCCGCGCGTTCAAGACCCTCGGCATCCGTCGCCAGATCGAGAACACCGTCGTATCCAGCGCCGTGGACTTTGTCTCAATCAAGGACACGGCTCAGTGCGAAGATGTCCATGTACACGCCCCCAGCGGCCTCTTGTTCGCGGCGTGCGAGGACACCGTCGTGCCCCGATCCAAGTGGTTCCCGCCGTTGGCAAACTTTGTCGACCCCAGCGTCATTGGAAACGCCCAGGGGTCTATCCACATCATCGATCCCAAAGTACGTTCTGTGCCTGTTTAGCTTTTCTTATCCGTGAATGAAACAATTGGCGCTAACCAGGGCACTTTGCCTACCCACGCAGACTCTTCAGTCCAAGAGACTAAAGATTAAGGGCTACGACGACCCCTTTGTCACCCACGGATTCGATATCGTAGCCGACCCCAAGCAGCCTCAGGATGCCGTCTACATCTTCGCCGTCAACCACGTGCCGAACCCAGAGTACGTCGCCGCCAAGGCTGGCAAGGGATCCCGCGACCCAGAGTCCATCCCCGACAAGTCTCAGTCGCGCATCGAGGTATTCCACCACGTGCTCGGCGAATCTGCCGTCCGTCACATCCGCACCGTGAGCCATCCGCTCGTGCAAACTCCCAACGACGTCTACGCGCTCGCCCCCGACTCCATCTACGTGACCAACGACCACTTTTACCGCGAGGGCCACTTGCGCGGGGTCGAAGATGTACTGTTCCGCGCCAAGTGGTCTACCACCATTCACCTCCATATCACAGATCTCGCGGCTAAGGATCCGTTTGCTGGCGTGACGGGCCGCGTCGCCGTCGAGAACTTGCACAATAACAACGGTCTCGGCCACGGCCGTGTCGCCGATGAGATCCTCATTGCCAGTTGCGTGAGCGGCACCATGCACGTCGGCAAGATCCCTGCTGATCCGGCCACCGCCAACATCACTATCGTCGAGGATGTGTTGGTCGACACCATCGTGGACAACCCCAGCTACTTTGCCGATCCTTACGCCACCGCCGACGATGACCGCAGCGGCTATCTGCTCCCCGGCCTCTCCAACGCCATCAACATTGGCCACAACATCTTCGAGGCGGATGCTATGGACGGTGTTATGGTGTACTTTGTGCGCAAGGATCCCGCTACGGGTGCGTGGAACGAGCGTCTCATCTTTGCCGATGATGGGACGAGGATCCGCAGCGTGAGTGCATCCGTTCTCGTCGCGATTGATCCTTCCGAGAACGGCGGCAAGCGCCAGGGCTGGTTGTTTGTCACTGGTTTTGTGTCTAGCAACATGATTGCTGTCAAGGTTGATCTCTGAGCGAGAGTTCACGTTATCATGGGCGGAGCACGGGATTTCCCGTGCGTTGCGGGGAGGGAGGCATATCCTCTTGTATTAGAAGTGTATTTAATTGATGCTGCAATCTATGCGCTATTGGAGGCATTCAAATAATAAAAAATCAAAGGATAATAGTCAAGTTGGAACTTCACTTAAGAAAGTTGACAAGTACACACATGTGGTTGACCCTCGAGATGAACGCACAGCCAAAGATTTGAACACAACTACTACATCTATGGATATGGTTTTGCTTGGGGTCGACTCGAAAACAGAACGCATCGCAAAGTCAGGTTTGGGATCACGTTGAAACGGAAAGGAAGAAAAATAGTGACTCGCATCGATGGAAGTGGTGGTCGAAACCGACAAAGCCACTTCCCGTAGTTTGATTCAACTCTAATCTCAAATGAATTCAAATATTTAGATCCCAATATGTTCCCAGGTACGCCGGCCGTCCCGACCGGATAACTGCAAATGAACCGACGGGGGTATTTCAGAAATGCAAATGGATATATCCCAATGTCCCCAGATACGCCTTGGCCGTCCCGACCAGAGTCATAACTAAGACATTCGTTTTCATCACAGCGGATTAAAAAAACAAGAAAAAGTCAAGAGAAAAAGAAGAGACAAGAGTAGTAAAAGCACAAAAACATCATATCTGCCTACTTCCTTATCGAAAGAGAGATAGCGCAGAGGTATGAGAGAGGGTGAGCGGGAGGTAGGGGCGAAGCCGCGCGATGGAGCGACGCCGGCAAGACCCGCCAACAAGGAAGGGGTTTAAACCTTCTCGTGGGTCTCGACCTCGATCGACTTCTTCTCGCTGTCGCCAGAGGAGCCAGTGCCGGTGCAGACGTAGTGCCTGAACTGGCGAGCGGGGAGCTTGGCGTAGAACTGCAAGGAGGCAAGAGGGTTAGTGAAAACTGTCTTGGGCCGGGGGATATACAAAGGTTTTGCGGATAAAACTTACCATCTCGTCAATCTCCTCGAGAGTCCTGCCCTTGAGCTCAGGAAGGAAGAAGAAGACCCAAGCGGCGGCGATGAGGCAAGAAGGAGCCCAGATGAATCCGTAGCGGGGACCCCAGTTGAGGGCGCTGGGGTTGATGAAGTAAGGGGCGGTGAAGGTGGTGATCCAGGCACCGAGGAAACCGACGGCGGCGGCGAGACCGAAGGTGTAGGATCGGAGGCGCTGAGAGGGGATCTCGCCACCAGCCAACCAGGCGTACGGGGCAATCATACCGTTGTAGCTCATCATGTACAAGCAAGAAAGAGCGACGATGACCTTACCGGTGGTGATGGTGCCGGGCTGCTTATGGTAGACGATGGCAATGATGAGCTGGAGGATGCAGCATCCGATGAGACCGCTGGTGAGGAGCACACGACGGCGACCGAAGCGGACGACGATGAAGGAGTTGGCGAGAATGGCAATGATACCAATGGTGGAGAGAACGTTGCTCATGGCAAAAGGATCAGAGACCTTGGCCATGGTGAAGAAGTAGGCCTTGTAGGCGATGATGAACATGGAACCGGACGCGGCCTGGAGGGTGACGGAGCAGACGGCGAGGAAAGTGCGCCTCCTGTCGACGGGGTCGCGGAACATGTCGAGCACGCCGACGCCGCTGGTGGTCTCCTTCTCCTTGTCGATGGCGTTTTGGATCTCGCGGGCCTCACCCTCGGGGTCGCCGTTGACGGGGCGGAGCCAGGTGAGGGCCTTGACACCCTCCTCGTACCGGCCCTGGAGAATGAGCCAGCGGGGGACTCGGGGATGAAGAAGAGGGCGACGGTGAGGAAGACGGGCACGACGTAGATGATGCCGAGGGGGATGAGGTAGGCGGACTTGTCGGGGCGCTTGGCGGTGGCCCAATCGACGATGGAGCCGATCAAGGTGCCCTAGGTGGTGGACATGCCAGTTAGTCATTGGGTGCTCCTACTTTAATCCGCTTAAAGAGGATAGGAATGAGAGACTACTTACGACGGAGGTGAAGAACTGGAAAGCGGTGAGGAACAAGCCACGGTACTTGGCGGGGCTAGACTCCTGGATGTAAAGCTGGGAAAAGGTCATGAAGTAACCGTTGGCGAGACCGATGAGGAAGCGGCCAGCGTAGAGGGCACCGATGCTGGTGGTGGTCATCATGATGATGTTGGAAACGCAGCAGAGAAGGCAGGCAGCCCAGAGACAGTGCTTGCGGCCGAGCTTGGCGGCGACGACACCGGCGAGACCGGAGCTGATGAAGGCGCCGAGGGTCATGAGAGAGGCGATGAGCTGCTGGCGGGTGGTCTGGATGTTCCAGCCAATGACGGTGTTGGGATCTTCATAGCCGAAGACCTTGAGGAAGGCCACCATGGCCTGGAGACCACCGATGAGGCCGAAATCGACACCATACTGGAAGGGGAAAGGATCATGACACCGCAGGCCACGAACACCTTCCAGTGGTCCTTCCAGGTCTCTTCGCGTACCGAAGTCATGATGGGCAACGGTGAAATTAGGTTGTGTTTTAAAAAAGTTGAAGAAGACGAAAACAGAAAAAGGGGGTGGGGACGGCCAAAGGCTTGTGAAAAAGAAAAGGAAAAAAGGTTTGAAGAAGAAGCCGTAGCGTGAAGATGGATTGAGACTGTTAGATCCAATCTTGTCTTCCCAGATTCTCTTCAGATGAGATCCTTTCAAGATATCCTTCGGTAAGAGGAAAGAGAAGACAGGACCAGAGGAAACTGGGCCGGGTTGCCAACTTTATAACTCAAGAGACGGGCTCCTCAATTACCCCGGGCTGTATTTTTCTCTCTCTTTGGCTTTGAGATCCACGCTCGTGTTAGCGTGGTATTCGCTTCTGGGGTTTCTGGGCTTGCGCGGCGTATGGACATGGGGAATGTGGGGAGGGGGTAGGGGGTGAGAGTCCAATGGTGGAATTTACGGGACTGGGACTGGGGAAGGCAAGTGAATTGGCTGGGAGAGCAAGGCGGAAAGGCACTCCAATCCGGGCTTCTCACCAAGAAGGAACCGAAGTGCCGGGTGTCATTTTGGCGGGGACACATAGTCTGGGGGTTGCAGGGTGCTCAGTCGCCAGCAGGGCAGGGGGGAACAAGGTAGCGAGGGAAAAGCTATGTGGCAGGCCTAGCTCGAACCCAAGCCAGACAAACCACAGAGGTGGGTTTAGGTTGGGGCCTGTGATTTCCCCTCAGGTGGATAGAGACAGGGGAGGCAGAAAGGGGAGAAGGAGGGGGCGGAAAGTAATGGATTGCTGGATTGAACATTGCCACTGGACTGGGCTTAGCCCCGGCCAATTCCCCATGGGCAAAAAGCTGCACGCATCGCTGGCAGTGGATTGGGAAAACGAAGAGAGGACGTGGACGGATTAGGGTTAGGGGAACGCGGGGTATGGGGAATCCCCAGCGATACCCCACACCGGGAGATGGGCATTTCTGCTGTGAGTGGTTGGCCATCGCCTATTTCTCCCGTCTTTGATTGGGGTAACGAGATGGACAACTCGCTCTCTTCCTCCCCCGGTTTGGGCCCCGTTTCTCTGCGACGCCAGCACGCCGGAAATGTGGGGTGCTGTGGAGACATTTTCCCACGCCCAGCGCGCTCCATCGGACTATAGGACCCGATAATGATACTTTGGTCGAGGGTCAATGCGAGCTTAGAGGGCCAGCTTGGGGGGGACGAGGGATCATTGGGGGTCCACCGCCTGCAAGTGAGACAGGGGTGGGTTATCCCCAGAAAAGAAAGAAGGACGAGAGAGACACTATTAAAAAGCAATACTGGAGTGAAAGGATTTGGGTGCCGTGCAGGAGGACATGGTCCATCGTCGTCTCCGTGCTGATGATGCGTGACCTAAACTTGGGCCACAGACTGGTCGAGCCATCCACTCGACGCTTGTTGATTATTTCTCTCGCTCAAAATGTTGGTTCGAGCTCTCCTCGATAGATCTCTCCATACCACCCTAAGAGCATGAATTTCTGCACCTCTAATTCCTTCCTCTTGTCTACTAGTCGCCAGTGACTGACACACAGACTGGCGACCACCCCCTTTACCCCAAGACAAGTCTACCTAGTAGTACCGTTCCCTCCATCGGATCAACAAAGCCGTAGCTCGATCAGAAAGAGAGATGGTGGGCATGCCCTTGACCGGGAGCTTATTAGACATGCATCTTTGAGCCAAGACAGCGTCTGTCCAACCGTTTGGGCGTCCGAGCCCGTTTAAGTTGGGCTGTTTCTTTTGGCGCTTTTCGACGTGATAGGCAACTGCGAGCCTTCGTAGTGTCGGTAGTCGTCAAGCAAGCTCTAAATGCTTGAAGATAGGCCCGAGATCGCCTCTATCCAGCATTGAGAGGTACTTGCTTCACATGCTAGTTGAGGCATGTGAGCGAGCACCCCATAAAGGGGGAGATGAGTGAATGGGCGCATATCAATGAGATTTTGAAAAGGGTGGTGGCAAATTTGATTCGCCGGGGGAGCTTCCATACTGGGAGATTGCGTGATAACTTTAATCGTAGCCAGCTCCTTTCAAATCCATAGACTGGCCGCCGTTCCGTGAAGGGCCACGGCATGTGACCATGAACTACTGCGAGCTGGGACTCTCTATTGCTACGCCAGCACCTAGGAAGAGTACGAAGTAGACAGAGTGCGTAGAGATAGGACAGCGCCCCGGAAAGGCCGGCTGCGGTGCGCATATGGTGGGTCTCGAGACGCCTGGCATAGCAAGGGAATCACCACTCTTGGGGAGGAAGGATTCCGGGTTGCCACTGGCGGGGCCAACGCCCTGTCTTACCCCTATCCGATCGATGGCTTACCGCTTCCTTGGGTCCTTTCTTTCTACGAGTACTCATCTCTCTTGCCACATGGCAGATGATCAATATTGGAGGAGATGTAACCTTCTCGGCCTCAGCTCGAGTCCAGACGCATTGAGTCACAAAACACTTGACGGGGGTTCGGGATCTTGCGCATGACCCTAAGAGAGGGAATGGAGACAGAGTAAGAGAGGATCCAAAGAGCCAATGCTTCCTTCTTCGGGACTAAAGCCTTGCGGGAAATGAATGCGAGAGGTGCGCGCGCGGCTCTTCTTCCATCCTGGCCCTTCCTACTCTAGTCGACCGCCTTGTCCTTGCCCCTGTCGTTCTGTCTACTCCAGGTCTCTTCTTCCCTTTGACTCTGGGGTATTAATAAACTTGCTCACAGAGTTAGCTTGGCCTCCCGTCGGTCCTCATGAACCAAGACTTGGCATGCATCGGCAAGACACGCTTGTGGGGTGATCTGATAGTGCTTTGCTTGGAGTGAGAACTTTCATTGTGCTAGCAAAGCGGTGGCGACCAGCGTAGCCTTGGCTGAGTAAGGAAGATCTCGTGCCAGCGTGTGTTATGCTTTATTCCTTTTGGTTTGTTCTATCACTATGCTATCCCATTGCTGGAACTACTCTATTCTTCATGACAAGGCTCTCGTCGCTCTTGGCCTGCAAGCCACGGAGGCGAAGAACGAGGTCTACGAAATCCCTTCGGTTGATCCCCGATCACCACCCTGATGGACCCGAGATGTGCCGGCGTGTCCTGACTTGGCTTGCCTCCAAACTTCCCCGACGCAACGAAAGGGAGGGCCGGGCCATAGTCATGGCATTGATTGCGCGGCAGGAGAAAGATCGATATATTGAACATGCGTTCAAGCAAACCTGATACACCAGCACATGACTTGTTGTTCGTTTTAGCGGGAAAATAATTGGTGGAGGGTGCGCCACCAACCTTGGAGTTGGGGTAAAACGAGAACTCAAAAGAGAAGAAAAAAAGAAAAAGGGGGAGGGCATCGGAAGTGGTCGAGAGAAGCCGACGCCAGCGTTTGCAAGTCACTAATGAGAAACTCGCTAATGGTAATGTGTCGGATACTAACGTCCGCCTTCTAGCCTTCTAAGCTCACTGCGTATGTGTATGGCTTCTTACTTCCCCCTTCGCTTGAATACTTCCGAGAAATTTCGCCTCTGCTCGCCCCTCCCCCACAACGACCCGTAGCCCATCCTGAACGAAAGCATGCTCTCCGCTTGGTACGGCGACGATGGGATGTTTTTCACGGAACCATGGTAGCGGGGTGGGAAGCGAAAGATGGCCAGTTCTCCAGATGACCTCGCGACGATGACTTGTATATCATGAAGACGCATAGTTCGGTTTGGTCCCTTTTCTTTTCGTCCCCCGCGCAGTATCTCTCTCTTGCACGGACTTTTCAGTGAACAAGACAAGGTAGACGGGAGCAAACTACCAAACTGCCAAATTCTTTGTTGTTTTTCTCTCCCTTCCCTCTCCTATCTTTTTGCCTCTGGCCCCCTTCTTCGCCTTTCCAAGAGCGTAACAGACTGCAAGTCTGGGACGCACTAGTCGAGCAGGAATTCCGATAGCGCCTGGGCTTTGGTTGACTCAATCCTCTGTCATCCAGCCCGCTGTAGTGCAGGGTTTCTTATTCGACACGCACATACACACACACACACTACACACTACACTACCCCCTTCCGTGATTTACCGCCGCCGCATACCCCTTCCTAGCTAGCCAGCCGTTAGCTAGTAGTTCCGGTACGCCTTCAATTGGAAACATCCTTGCCGCTCGTATTGGCCGCTATTCCTGGGGGAAAGGCCACTGAGCAGGTTGCACAAGCACGCGCCACACTTTGCCACGCAGAGCCAACAAGCCAAGACGCAAGCCCACACATCGCCAACACGGCCGCGACCGTCGCTATATCGCAACACCTTGTTTTGATTATTATTACTTTTTTTTCATTCCTTCTTTGTGAGGACCCTTTGATTGTGGAGAAGAGACCCAACCAGTCATCATGGCGCACGCCTTCACCATGTTCCCCGGCGACCCCTCGGGGTACACCAACAGGCTCAAGTCCTCGGACCAGGCCAAGTACCCCAAGACGGCCTTCTTCCAGGGTCCGCTGCAGGTATCGCGCGTGGAGTGCGACGTGACGGAGCTCGAGACGTCGGGCGAGATCCCCAAGGAGATCAACGGCACGTTTTACCGCGTGCAGCCCGACCCCCAGTTCCCGCCCATGTACGAGGAAGACGTCAACTTCAGCGGCGACGGCAACGTGACGGCCTTTGTCTTCCGCGACGGCCACGTCGACCTCAAGCAGCGCTATGTGCGCACCGACCGGTTCAAGGCCGAGCGGGAGAGCCGTAAGGCCCTGTTCGGCAAGTACAGGAACCCGTACACCGACAGCGAGATGGTCAAGGGTATCATCCGCACCGTGTCCAACACCAACGTCTACTTTTGGCGGGGCGCCCTGCTCGCCTCCAAGGAGGACGGCCCGCCGTACGCCATGGACCCCAAGACGTTGGAGACGACGGGGCGGTACGATTTCGAGGGCCAGATGAAGGCCCCTGCTTCACGGCGCACCCCAAGATCGACCCGGATACGGGTGAGATGGTGGCTTTCGCATACGAGGCGGGCGGTGATGCGCATGATGCTTCGTGCGATATTGTTGTCTGGACGTTTGACCCCGCCACGGGGAAGAAGACGCAGGAGTCGTGGTACAAGGCGCCGTTCTGCGGCATGATTCACGACTGTGCCCTGACCAAGAACTACCTCATCCTTCCCATGACGCCCATCGTGGCGGACCTGGAGAGGATCAAGAAGGGCGGGAATCATTGGGCGTGGGACCCCACCAAGGACCAGTGCTACGGTATTGTGCCACGGAAAGGTGGCAAGCCCGAGGATATCGTCTGGCTGCGAGCCGAAAATGGTACGTCGACCTCATCCCTTCAATAGGAGAAAGGGGAGGGTGAACATTGGAAAAGTCTTGGAGCATCAAAACTAACATGTACGCTTCTCTCCGCCAGGTTTCCACGGCCACGTTGCCGGCGCATACGAGGACGAGAACGGTCACATTGTCTGCGATCTGACGGTCGCGGACGGCAACGTCTTCTTCTGGTGGCCGCCCGATGATGCAGGCGATGGCGCGGTACAAAAGTCGATGCCCCAAAGGCAAAGACTCATCTCAGACACGTTCCGGTGGGTGTTTGACCCCAAGAGCCCGACAGACACGCGGGTGACGCCGGCGCGTCTGTTCGGCACCAACGGCGAGTTCTCGCGCATCGACGACCGCTTCGTCACGAAGCGATACAGCCACTTTGGCAGCTCCAGTCGGACAAGACGCGGCCGTACGACATCCAGCGATGCGGGCCCCCGCCGGCGGTCTGTGGAACGTGATTGGCCACTACAACTGGGACACGGGGGCCAAGGACGAGTACTTTGCCGGGCCGACGTGCACGTTCCAGGAGCCCGTCTTCGTGCCCAAGGCGGAGGACAGCCCCGAGGGCGAGGGCTACCTGATGACGCTGCTGAACCACCTCGACGTGCAGCGCAACGACCTCGTCATCTTCGACGCGCTGGACCTGGCCAAGGGCCCCGTCGCGGCGCTGCACCTCCCCGTGCGGATGCGCATGGGCTTGCACGGGAATTTCGTGCCGCAGAGCGAGATTGATGATTGGAATAGGCGTAGGGGCGGCGAGGAGGGCCCTGTTCAGGTGGCGACGGAGCCCCTGCCCTGGCAGACGAAATTGGCGGAGGCGGCGGCGGCGGCGGCGCACCAAAATGGGAGCAACGGTGCGAGTGACACCAACGGCGCTACGAACGGCACTAATGGCGTAAACGGGACAAATGGGACGAACGGCGTCCATGCGTGATGAAGCGAGAGAAACAGGGTTAAATGGTGCCGATAAGGGGGAAAGGCACGGAGGGCAAGTGGCTTGGAAAACGGAGGGCCCGTACGGGACACGGACAACGTGTAAAAGACGGCGTATGAGGAGGATGTTGGAGAGTGCTGTCTTGGCCAGTCTAGGAAGTGGAGAACCTTGGTTGTCCAAGTGGAGAAGCGATGGTCGCATTCAGAGGCCAGGGCATGAAAAGGATGGGATTGGATCCATTTCGAGACCATCTCGTCGTCTCCACCAAAGCTCCAACACTAGCATTCCCACTCCACATTTCCTGGCTTGGAATTTTATCCTGAATTATTTATCAATTTGAGTGGGCTTCGCCAAGTCTTTTACGTTTTTATACTGAAAAAGGTGATGCATGTAGATGTGTCTTGTATTTGTGCATCATGATGCTTCTGTTCTCTCTTTTGCGTTGCTTGAAGGCCGTGATGCGGTTCGAAGATGTTTTCAATCATGGGAATATGCGAGGAGAGTCTTGAACAAACCAGGCAGTGAAGCCGCATGCTTGAGGGATTCGACTGAGGGGAGCCTTTGCGATAAGATACAGCAGTCGTTGCATATGCAAGTTTGGCCTGGTCTGGGTGTTGTGGGCCGTCACAAGATACAGGTACATGGTGAGGGGAGTGGGAGCCGTTCATGTTTCTCATGTAGTTGTGCACAAAGTCTTGGGCATAGAACTCGCCAGGGTGAACTTCATGATGGCATCCGCGTATAGGAGTTCTTTCATGCGCAAATTGTGTCCACCTGTCTTGCACTGCCCTCCTCAAGTGTTTTGTGGAATAATGGCAGAATAAGACTCCCATTGCTCGCTTTCGTGCATATCGTTTGAAAATTACTTGTAAAATTGCTTCACAAATTACCCCAAATGGCGTTGACCAGGGCCACATGGCAAGCAGCTTGCTGCCCATCGACGAGGCGCACAACTTGGCGCTCCTCCCTTTCCCGTCGCCAGCATCGGAAGCTGTCCAGCTTGACATGTTCCTTCGGAAGCCTTCATCCTTCCAGCCAATGTTCCACCGGAGAGAGGAGGTGGGGCAAAAAGAATGAAGGCGAACCAAGGGAACGGGGGAGGGGTGTATCTTGCCGATGGGGAAACGAGGACGGGGGTGGGAAAAGGAATCTAGCTCAAATGAAAGTATTGTTGTTTTTTGGCGAGCGGAAGCTACCAAGCGCACATGGACGGAAGCATAGGCCCAATAGCTTCGTCGCACGAAGCCACCCACGCGGACACCCCGGTCTCTCCGTTCGGGTGAATACTTCCGAATCTTCGGCACTCCCCTCCTCACAAACCGCCCCCAAAGGCCGCCGTGAGGGGAACGGAACGGCACAGCGCTTCACACCCATCTTCGGCCCTCCTCTGTCTCTTGGCCTCCTGTCCATTCTATCCTTCCGTATCGGCGATCGGAAGAGGGAAGGCGAAAGGCGAAAGGCAGACGAGACTTGCGATGCACCCCGCCTTCTGCTTTCCTCCTTCCCCACGTCCTTGGGAGGGAAAAAAGGAGAACATAAAACTGGCGACCCCAAGGGAAGACAGCTTGTGCACCGTCCTCCAATCGAAGAAGACTATCCCCGCGGTGTATGCAAACAAGGTCTTTGGTCCGTTCTGCACGCCTCTTTCCCGGTACGGAGTACTCACACTATTTACGACACTACTTCCTTTAGGAACCACACAGCACTCCCTCCCCTTGGCACCCTCCGCTTCCCGACCCCTAGACCCCTCCCTCCCCTCTAGCCCACTTGGAGAGCTTTTGCCCAGGGTTGAATAATTTCTTTGTCAAGCACACCAAGCCCACTTTTTGTGTCTTTCGCCATGGCCGATCTCACCCAGCTCCAGCAGACCGTTGAGGTCCTGCAAAGAGAAGTCACTCGTCTTCGCGGTATGTTATTCAAGTCTTATGATTGAAAAATGGAGAGAAAGAGGACAGGAAGAAAAATCAAAATCTAGAGAATCGCGTTGCTAATTCGAGTTGCATGAATAAACTGTAGACCAAGAGGAGATTCGAAAGCTTCAATACAAGTATGGCTACTACATTGACAAGTGCCTATACGAGGAGGTACGTGCAGCTGGCTCGAGAATGACCATCACACGCGACACGATAACACTCCCCCATCATCCCATTTTGACGCACCACGTCCAATCTCACCGCCACGCATTGATCACTATCACAAGGGTATACCCCTGGCTTCACTATGATCTTTCCTTTTGCTGTTCCATCCTTCATTCTAGCCCTTCACATGATGTTCTTCCCCTTTCAGTTGATACACCCAAAAATGCCACGATGGAAACGTGTGTGTGACAACCGATAAGAGTGCATTGCTAACTAATCCCCCTTCCCACCCATCCAGGTCGTCGAGCTGTTCTCCGAGTCTCCCGACGCCTACGTCCAATTCCTCGGCGGCCGCTACCGCACCAAAGCCGGCGTGCGCCGCCTCTACGTGAACCGCTTCGCCGGCTTCTTCGTCGGCGGCCGCAACGGCCCCGTGCACGGCTTCCTGCTCGACCACCCCCAGATCCAGGGCATCGTCGACGTCGACTACTCGTCCGCCGACGCCGCCACCGGCGCCGGCGCCGTCGGCAAGGCGCGTTTCCGCTCCCTCATGCAGGCGGGCGTGCACGTCAGCCAGGCCACCAAGCACCCCCGCGGCGTGTGCCAGTGGTTCGAGGGCGGCCTCTACGAGAACGAGTTCATCAAGGAGGCCGACGGCACCTGGCGCATCCTCAAGCTCCGCTATTTCCCCTTCTGGCACGGCGATGTCGAGCACGGCTGGTCGTACAAGGTGGCCGGCTTCGTGCCCTTCATGTCCAAGACGTTCCCCGAGGACCCCATCGGTCCCGATGAGGTTGTGCCCGAGGAGCAGTGCATGATGTGGCCTGATACCCGTGTTGTTCCTTTCCACTACAACCATCCCGTTACCGGGAACCCCGTCAGCGATGTTGACATGCAGGCGCCCCAGTACAAGGATGATCCGGCTGGGTGCAAGCCTGCGCTCAAGCTTGACGGGTAAGGTGGGAAGCTGTACATAGTTTACGAGTCATGGAAATAGTTTGTTTTTTCTCTTGTTTGGGCATTGAATCAGCATTTGGCATCAAGTTCATACAGGTTAGGGGTCAATGGGATTCTTTCATGACATGCTTAGGATCTTGGATCCCACGAGGAAATTTCGGTGCCTGTGTGATTCTCTGTACAATTGGTAGTGAATATATGGATATCCCGTCTTACCTTTCTGTGGTAGCTGAAATCCAAACCGTCATCAGAGTGATGATAACCTACTAGCAACCGTGCTGCTCCTCATGTTATCGGTTTCAAGACGCTGCAGTATTGAGTGTTGCCGCATCTTTTTTCCTTCAGTCTTATTCTTCAACTCGCCAGACGTCGTAGGCGTGCTGTCTTTGATCAGGCAACAGAGCATCCCTCTATACATTTTTGTATACAGGTGTAGTGTCCGCTAGCACATAAGCGTTTTCATAAGCTTGTGATATTTCACGTACACGGCAAGGCGAGCTTGATCAACGTCAAAATATCTCGTGAATCCATTCATAAACATAATATACACGTATCAAATCTCGAGCGGCAACTTGAACAACTTAATCGCGTTCGTCCTAGCCACCACCTCCTTTTGGTCCGCCGGCAAATCCACTCCCTTCCACCAGTCCTGCGCCTCCTTGATCTCATCGTAGGGGTAATCTAAGATGTTGCAATATCCTCGTTAGCATCATTGCTGATCACCGTAAAAGGGGCGATCGCGCGCAATTGTCAGGGTTTTCCACGTACCGATGGAGTAGAGGCACCTATCCAGGCCAACTTCCTCGATGCAGAACTTGAGGCCCCGCGTGTTGAAGTTGCCCGAGGTCGTGAGCGAAATGTTTTTCTTGAAGTAGTGGCTGTAGTCTTCCTTGGATGGTCTCGTGGCCTTCTTCACGGGCTTGTTGTACCAGTGATCCGCGCGCCACAGGTTGAACGGAATACTAACGATCACCACCTCGTCAGCTTCCATATCACGAAACACCAAGAAAAAGGAATCGTCTCCTAAATCCCCAAAGCAAGAAGAAAAACAAAAGAAAGTCAACTTACCCTTCTCCCAAGTGTCCACACACCACCTGAACCTCGGGAAACTCATCAAAAATCCCACTCGACAAAAGCGCATACAAATGCATACTCAGATCCAAATGAAACTGCACCGCCGCGCCCACAAGGTGCTTCCTATCCCCGTACTTGGACCCGGCCTCCAAATCCGGATTACACGGATACCGCGGATGCATGTACACCGGAACGCCCAGCTCCTGCACCGCCGCCCAAAACGGCCGATACGCCGCCTCGTCAAAGTAGCGCTTCCCGCACCGTCCGCGCCCACGGTCTGGTAATCGTTCAGGATGGCGCCAAACATGCCCAGCTCCTTGACGGCGCGGCGCAGTTCTCGCGCCGCCTCCTCGCCGTCGTGCATCGACAGGGACGCGAGGCCGCCGAAGCGCGAAGGGTTGCGCGCGCACTCGGCCGCGAGCCAGTCGTTGGCGTGGACGGCGAGGCGCTGCGCCTCGACGGGGTCGCCTTCGCCCTGGGGGCCCGGCGACGTCACGGATAGGAGCATGTACTCGACGCCCTCGGCGTCCATCTGCTTGAGCCGGTGGTCGTGGATGTCGGCGAGGCGCTGGGAGAGCGCGTGGTATTTGTTCGCCGAGGGGTCCGAGGCGCCGCTGCCCGGGGCGTACATGGCGGCCGAGTCGCCGAGCCACTCTAGGTCGGAGGGGTTGATGACCGCCTCTTCTATCGCAATCGTGCCTCGAACCATGTTTGCGGTGGATGGGATTTCTGTTTTTGGCGTCTCGAGAAAGTATATTTTCTTCCAGACAAAATCAAGTCAAAATAGAGAAAAGAAATTGTGTGAATGCCAGACAGGGACAGCGTGGGTGCAACTCGTTTTCTTTGGTCTTCGTTCGCTTGTTTTTGGCTCTCTTCACATCGTCAAGAATTAGTTCAACAGCTCTTCCAGAAGCTCCATCCCCCTTCGGAACGGCAGCGAGAGGGGAGGGGCAGCACAATCCCCACCATCTCGTGCCTTTACCCCATCGGCCCGTACTCTTGGCAGCAAAGCCGTTGGACATTTGCGGGGACGGTACCCGCGTCGGCACATAGTCTCCGTCGGGAGCATTCAACCGACGGCGGCCGACTTTTCGGCGGTCGGTCGGGTCGGTGCGCCTGGGGGCGTCAGAACGATTATCGATTCGATAGCTTCCGTCTGGTTCATGGCTCCGACGGGATAACTTGCCGTCGTAAATGCTTTCCGACGTGGATTGAAACCGCCGTGTTCACGCCTCATACACCTCGTACACACCCCTTGGGGCATTCTTCGGAAACCGGCAACAGCCTTGACAAGCTGCCGGCGCCGATAATGCAAGATGGAAGAGCGACTTGTGCTTTATCACGATGCTGACGCACGCACTGCTTCGGAACCATGTCGTATGGGAGAAAACGGAAACACAATCATTAATTTCGTTCCTAGAGTACATCAAAACGCCGCCCCTCCCCCATCGCTCTCCACTACACCAAGTACCAGCCGGCACTTTATCCCAAACCCTTCCCCTATTTCCCAATTCTCAACGACAACTTCTCATCATCCAGGCTCTTTCTATCCCTCTTCCGGTATATCCCTGGAACACACACCCCCTTCTCCGCATCCATGGGGCGTGTCCCTCACGACAGCTCCTGGTACTGCGGCGTGTGAGTCAGATGCACATTCATCTCCCTCCCAGTCCCGAGAGGTAGGTTCCCGAATCTACGGCACTACATGGGGTTCAAAGTTCCCGAGTTAGCCCCTTGATCCCTAGTTTGGTCCACTCACTTCCCCGCACGCAAGAAAGAACATGGATAAAGAGTAGCAATTGGGGTAACGCGGTACGGAGAGGAGAAACGCAAAACAGGGTGGGAAGGGGAGGCGGGGAGCAGGGATTCCCTGCATGCATGGCTTACAATTCGCTATTGGGGACGATATCCAGGAACATCAGGCTTGGCGTGCCCAAGCTCGCCGAATAGAGCCCGTGGTGGTCTCCGTCCCAGATGCCGTGCTCGTCCAGCTGCGCCAGGACCTCGGTCAGGGCATGCTTGGTCCACAGGATCTGCTCCATGCCCTGGAGGGTATGCAGACACGACTTGACGTTTTGCAGCTGTTCCGCCGCGTTGGTCTCGGTGAGGGCTAGGAGCGACACCTGCATGCATTCGAGGATGGAGGTGCAGTCAAATGGTAGGCGGCTCGTCAAGAGGTCGTGGGCGCGCAAAAGGCAATGATGTCGAGCGCCTTCTGCCCCGCGCCCACGCACGTGTTGCTGAACTCGTCAAACCACTTTTGCTTGATCGGGTCGCTCAGCTTGCGCCCGCGCAGCACGTTGTGTAGAAGGAACGGCCGCGTCGCAAACATGACGGTCCGCCAGTACCGCAGGTGCAGTACCGCTACGGAGCGCTTGTGGAAGCCAGCCACCTGGCAGTAGTCTCGGAGGTGGGGTGGGAGGTCGGTATACCAGTCCCCGAGTTTTGTCATGAGTCCCGACACCGTGGAGAAGGAAAGTTTCGTCTCGCCGGGGTGGGGACTCGGTACACTACCCGACTAAGGCTGCGCGTTAGCTGCGCGAGCCGGCATGAAACCTCGAGGTAGTCAAGGGGCATGTTGGATCCAGGGCTCAGAATCTGCCATGGTGTTAGTTAGCGCTGAGGAGAGCATGGTCTGCGACAAATGTTGGCTTCACAAAACTTACATCTTCGGACGGCAGCTTGAGCACGCCGGGAATGATATCCTCGCTGATGGCGGTGGGATGACCATAGCAAAGGCTGATGTCCAAGTCCAGCAAGTATAGAGAACAGAACAGCCTCAAGTCCACCTGTTTATGGAGACTGTGGCGGACACTAGCGTCGCCGTTAGTGTGGAGCCCTAGGGTAAAGGCGATTCTCGCTGCTGATCCCACATAAATGTAGGCGATATTTCCAAACATGGAGCTAGAGAGTGCAAGTGCCTATGGTAGAGTTAGAAACCAGCCAAGCGGGGGTTGTAGCTTGAGAATGAGCCATTCTTAGGGGCAGACGCACCAGTAGACACAGGGCACGCAAGCTATCGACATCTCCCGTATCGCACAACGCCGGCACGAGGGCTTTGGCCAGCGCAAGATACCGCAGCGAAGGTCGCGTATCGAGGCTGGGGCTCTCCTTTGCATCTGCGTTTCGCACGTCATGGCGAAGATGGCGTAGAGGGCGCATAACGTGGCAGGGGGCAGCTGCGGCGTCACCCCATATATCCTATCAAGACGGGCGTGCAGCTGCTCGGCGGAGAAGAACCAGTAGACAGATTGGATTTCCTTGAAGAATCTGGCAATGCAGCCGTCGCACAGATCTCTTCGCGGCAAGTTGATCTGGCGCGGGGCCTTGAGCCTTTGCGTGGTCTCCGGGGTGGGCGGGGGTAGGTGGTCGGCGGCGGTGAGAGGGGCGAGAACTTCGCTCTTGGGCGATGACGTGTCGAGCGGCGGGCGCTTGATGGTCCGGACGGCGTCCATGAAAAGATAGGTTGAATTCGCGCCGATATATCCTGGAATCGCAAAAAAACGGTAGGTTAGCAAATCTGTTCGTCTCATCCAGCCCCACCCACGCTTTCATAGCCCGAATGGCGTCCAAGGGCAGAAAATCTTACTGTACACGCCATTCGAGTCGACGCGCAGCCAGCCCATCCCCTTGTGCAACTCCTCGATCTCGTCCACCGTCGCGTCCATAGCGTCGCCCATGTGCACATCGGCGCGCTGCACGGCCATGCCCGGGCTCGAGCCGTTGACGGGGACGACTGCATCGCTCTGGGGCGAGGCCTGGGAGTTTTCCGAGCCATTGTTGGTGAGAGACTCGGCGAGGGCTTTGAGGGTGTGGAGGTTGAAGTCGGTGTTGGGGACAAAGTGCTCGAGGATGCGCATCATGTAGCGGAACTCCTCTTCGGAGACGCGGTAGTAGGGGCGCTGCCTGCGTCGCGCAGCGTCGAGGTGGCATGGGGCGCCGATGCTGGCGCAAAAGTGGCAGGGTCCGGGAACTGCAAAAGAGGGCATCGCATTAGAAATAGTTCACTATGACCTGGTTGAGGGAGAGGAGGTCGTTTATGGTGAAGGGGAAAAAGCCTACCTGGATCAACACACTAAAAAGCCAGAATAACCAAGATCGTCAGCAATCTTTCTCGTTTCCGTGGTGTTTTCTTTTTTTCACCATATCCCTCCAGCAGGAACTTTCTTGTCCATGCCATCCCATCTCTAGCAAAGTTACATATTCAAGTAATAAAACGAGTTGACTGCCGCTCACCTTTGTTTTCCGGCTTTTGCACCGGTCGCAGCTCATGGCTGTCCTGCGCCTTCCTGGCCGCTCCGCAGCACTCTGCTTTGGTGAGTGAGCTACCGTCATTGTGTATGTAACGCGGCTGCTTGTGCAGAATTGATGAGCTGCCAGCTACGAGAGATAGTAAGAATTTCTTTTCCTCTTGACCGCTTGCTTTTGCGAAAAGGAGAAGAAGAAAAATGGCTGAGAGCGTGAGAGGTTTACGACAGCAGACGGAGTGAGGTTGGATAGTTGGAGAGGGTCATCCCGAGTGGAGGTTGATCCCAAAGTCTGGGGTCTGGGGAAAATAGTCGAGTCTGGGGAAATTTCGTAAGCTTCTGGGGAAAACTGGAGAGACGAGTGGGAAATAAAACCAACAAAAAAGTCACCAGGAATTATGCGAGATATGGTCAGGCAGAGAGGGCGGATTAAAGAAAAAGAGCACTGAGGATATAGCTAAGGACTAGTCCGTCATTCAATACCCCAGTCTATAGTCCCAAGTTACGAAAATAGCGTCGCCACAGCGAAAATACTTGCAAACAGCTTCATCAGTCTGCCTGGGAAGCAACGAGGCACTGAGGTGCTCTGCATGTGACGATGCAGAAAGTCAAAAAGGGGGACTCTTGAAATGCCAATACCAATATCAATACCACGCCAATTCCATGGGTCCCGCATTTGCCCCAGTGCCCCAGCATGCCCCACATGGCTCATGGAATTACGGAGTAAGGGCGACCTGCTTCGCTTTGGTTGGGGTAGGAGCAATCCTTTGGATGACCAATGCTCACTGCAACTGGGGAAATGTGGAGGTACAGGCGAGCGAGGCAAGGAGGGGGTCAAACACGAAGGCGAGGAAGGAAGGGAGAAGGGGGAAGCAGGAGGAGGGGGGCGTTGGGGAGGGGGAAGAGGTAGGAAAGGGCACCACGCCAGCACGGGCAGGAAGGTGGGCATGTCAGTGTCAAGAAGTCGACAACTGCCGTGAAAGGACAAAGCGATGCCAAGTGGAGACCCGAGAGGACCTGAAGCTGGAACTAGCGCCTGCCGGTGCGGGGAGGGAAATGGAACATTGAACGTGGGAACACTGGGTACGGGCTGCTCCTCTTGCTCTTGCCTTGTTTTACCAGCCATTGATCAAGCTCCACAGTGCACATATTCAGGGCATACACCACATGAAATATCTCCCTGGAGCCACAACCGGGTACATCCCCACACACAATTGAGAGGACTGTATTGTTGGCGGCCGCTGGTAAATGCTCAACACCTTCAAGCCCGGGTTCTGGTCCCAGACCCAAAAATGCAGAGGTACTCTCCCTAAAGCTGAGGGCTGGCCGAGAAACAGCTCCGGTGGGGCCGCCGAGGCGACTAGAAGACGCTAGTGGAGCGAGCAAGTGTCTTCAATCTTCTCTCGCTGGCCATTCACTGCTGGTTTTTACGTCCTTAGCCCACGCGTAGTGCCTTTCTGCCTGCCAAATGACTGGTTGGGGGCAAAATGAGGGCGTGGCGGGACTCGGGGAGAGCGAGAGAGGGAGAGAGAACATTGATAGGACGGATGCGTTCGAGGCATGAGACTGCGTCGCCTCAATCCCGATACCCCGCCATTAGCGAGCCAACCCCGACGACCAGGGTTGGAATAAGCCGCCGGGAGTCCACTTGGACGAGGGAAATACTCTTCCGCTGGCCACGCACGAAACAGAGAGGCGGAGACGGAGAGAGAACCGCCGCTTTGCGGGACAGCTGGGGACAGAGCACAATTGCCATTGCCGCTCCCCGACAAGGCAATTGTCGCCAACCCTGTGGAGATTCATTGCGTCCAAGGGGGATTTTGGACTCCGCCGAACATGTCCTTATTTGGCCGCCCACCTTCCCTTCATTTGCGCCCTACCCTGTCCTAGTCGTCCCCTTTCCCCCTTTCCTCCACACTTATATTTTTCAAGATCCCTTGCCTCGTTTCGACCGAGTGTTGATCTGCTCTCGTAAACCTTACGAATCGCTAGCTCCCCTTGTCTCCCCGGTCCTACCACCCCTCCTCCTCCCCCAAAGCCAATCCAACCAGTCCCACAACAGACTCGGAAACCCGGCTCACCTCTTTGAGCTTTTCGTCGCCTTACGACCCTGACCTAAACGTCATCACCACTTCGATACCCCCAGCCTATACTTTTGTTGTTGTTTGCAATGTCTCAGTTCCAGCCTCGCATGTTGATAGGCGGCCAGGTAAGAGACGCCCCCAGGCAAAGCAGAAATACGGCCTTTCTTGCTCGAAAGTCCTTGACCAATGGGAGATGATGGAGGCGCGCGAAAACTAACACTTTGGCTGTCTTATTAGTTGGTCGAGGCCTCTGACAAGGCTAGCTTTCCCATTTACAACCCGGCCACGCGCGAGAAGGTCGCCGATGGTAAGTGAGCAATCTTGATGTCTTTTTTCCAGCTTTCTCCTCCAGCATAGCACTCCATTCGCATCGCCATCTTTTGGTTTTCCTTTTATTTTCTTCTTGCCTTTGTGTCTGCCCCTCTCCATCTTGCAGAATCGGGTGCCCCACCCTCAAGCTACCCCTCATCAAAGCGCAAACGGAGCTCAGTGAACATACCCTCACCCCTCTTTAATCTAATCCACCCATTGAACCCAACGTATCTCACAAAGAGAAAAAAAAAAAGAAAAAAAAAAAAAAAGGCTAACTTCGGCTTCCCCTTTCCCCTTGTTCAGTCCCCGAAGCCACAGAAGCCGACGTCAACACCGCCGTCGCCGCCGCCAAGGACGCCTTCCCAGCATGGTCGGCCCTCGACCCGGCCGCGCGCGGCGCCTACCTCAAGAAGCTCGCGGCCCTGATCCGCCAAAACAACGCCGAGCTCGCCCTCCTCGAAGCTAGCTCCATGGGCCGCCCCGTGTCCGAGTACATTGACGGGTTCGCCGCCGCGGGCCACTTCGAGCACTACTCCGAGGCCTGGCCCCACATCCAGGGCCAGTCCAGCCTCAACACCCCCGGCTTCGTGACCATGACGTGGCGTCAGCCCTACGGCGTCGTGGGCGCCATCATCCCCTGGAACGTCCCCTTGCTCTTCTTCGCCAGCAAGGCGGCGCCCGCCCTCATCGCCGGTAACACCGTGGTGCTCAAGTCCAGCGAAAAAGCACCCTGGCCGCCGCCCGCGTCGCCGAGCTCATCCACGAAGCCGGGTTCCCGCCGGCGTGTTCAACGTCATCTCGGGCCACGGCGTACCCTCCGGCGCGGCGCTGTCGGCGCACATGGACGTGCGCGTGCTCACGTTTACTGGCTCCGACGCACGGGCCGCCTGATCCAGGAGGTCGCGGCCAAGACCAACCTGAAAAAGGTGGTGCTCGAGCTCGGCGGCAAGTCGCCCGCCATCGTCTTCGCCGACGCCGACGTCGAGAAAGCCGTGGCGGAGACGATGCACTCGATCCAGTGGAACAGCGGACAGGTGTGCATGGCCAACTCGCGCGTGTACGTGCAGGAGGACGTGGCCCCGCGCTTCGTCGAGGCGTTTAAGCAGAAATTCGCCGCCGTCAAGGCCGGGAACCCCGCGGATAAAGAGGTGCATCACGGCCCGCAGGCGGACGAGGTGCAGTACAAGAACGTCATGGGCTTCATCGAGGAAGGGAAGAAGACGGGTTCGCTGGCGCTGGGCGGCAACGGTACGCTCGACGCGACGGGGGTACTTTGTCGAGCCGACCGTGTTCGTGCAGACGCCCGAGGATGCGCGCATCATGAAGGAGGAGGTGTTCGGTCCCGTCGTCAACATCAACACGTTTAAGACGGAGGAGGAGGCCGTGGCCAAGGCGAATGACACTGTGTTTGGGCTGTACGCGGCGGTCTACACCAAGGACATTTCGCGCGCTCTTCGCGTGGCCAAGGCGCTCGAGTCCGGCTACGTGGGTGTGAACACGACCAGCCCCCGCACGGGTAGGGATATGCCCTTTGGCGGGTACAAGATGTCGGGTCAGGGCCGCGAGGGTGGCTTCACAGCTTGGACAACTTTTTGGAGACTAAGAGCGTCATGATTGCCGTGGACGACCAGTAAAAGAGCCGCACGCAAGGGCAGGGAAACTGCTGCAGCAGCCCCATACCCGACTTACAGATTTCGGTGTTAGTTAGCGCCTCTGTGCGTGGAGTAGGCTGATGACAGGTGAGAAGGAGAGGGAAACGAAAAAAAAAAAAAAAAAAAGAATAGCAGTCAGCATCAGTGCGTGCGTGCATGTGTACCTAGCTAGCTAGCCTTCCCTTTCCCGCAGGATTGGATACCACGAAGAATAAGAAACAAGGTGGTGGGGGTGGGGTAAGTGCCGTACCGTACCCTGAGAGAGAGTGTGTGGGAGGGCATGGAAATACGGATATGGGGCGGAGTATGGCAAGGAGCAGGGAGGGTGGCTGAAGATCACGATAGGCTAGTGGAAATTTATAATGTTCTCGTCATGACTGGTGTTCCATCGGTAGTTCTGTTTTAGGTGCCTTTCTTCTTTTTTCCTTCTCTATTCCCTCGCCTTCGCCTCCTTATCACCCCAAAGCTGTGGGCGTGAGTGGCCCGAGTGTCGAGTGGCTCAAATGCCGTGGAACAGGGGACTCGTGGCACGCGCTGAGGTTGCGAACCCCTGGGCCTGAAAATCCGGGGTTCGGGGTCGGTGGCTTGAGTTCGGGGAATGGATGTGGGGGCGGGATTTGTGTCGCAAAAGCAACTATTTTTATTGGTGATGACGATTTCTCACGATGTCACGATGCGCATTGCAAGGAGGCGATTTCACATTGAACTCAAGGGAACAACAGTCTGCTCGCAAAATCCTAATATAATTCCGTGTTGTTGACGACCACTAAGTAGCTATCGCTTTGACAACGGCACAGAGAGGTCACGGAAAAGGCCAAAAGCGCAGATGATAAACCAAAATCCAAAACGTGATATTCATAAGTCTAGTAATAGGTGCAGTCCCTGCGCTATTCTAAGTTGATAATTTTTATAAACGGCTCTTGAAAGCAAAACGTGAAGCTTCTAGTAGTGACAGAAAAAGAGTGGTTCGTTAAAAAACATATTGACAATGCCCTCCGGGAATTATGTATATGGGGAAGTGAAGGGTAAGATGGTTGGTGGCCACCAGAAGACACAGATAAAAAATAAAAAGGCAAGGACACTGGAAAAGATAGAAGGTAGGTGGTGTTCATGATGCAGTAAAGGCGGGGAGGGGAAAGCAATCAGTCAATCAAAGGAAGCGGGGTTTTCTTCTTCCTCTGGACTGAATTGTCTTGCTTTCTTTTAGGCGGCGACGGGGGTGGGTTGGCACTCATACCCAAGGGAGCCGCGGCCTCGGCGTCGGCGGGGGCATCGACGTGAGCCTTGAAGACATCGGCAAAGTTGTCCTCGGCGTGCTTTTCGGCGTCGAACTTGTGGATCCAGTCCTCGCGGGGAAGGCGATGCTGGAAGGGTTCTCGCGGACCTTTTCCCAGTCGGTCTTGTGCCAGAGGTCGCGGGTGGTTTCGCCCGTCTTCTGGACCTTGCCGACGCGCTCGTACCTGGAAGAGTGAATGTTAGATGGTTCAAGACAGTCTCGATATAAAGAGGAGAAAAAAGAGAGAAGAGACAAAATCAAAGAGCTATACGTACCGAAGATCCTGGTAGGTCTTGACGGCGGCGGGGACGTTGCCCTTGCCAGCCCTCTTGAGGCACACGGCCATGGTCACACCGTCCTCCATGGACTGGGTAGCGCCCTGGGCCGAGGTGGGCAGGAAAGGATGGGCCGAGTCGCCGAGAAGAGCGATGCGGCCGTGCTTGCTGATCCACTTGGGGAGGGGGTCCCTGTACACGAGCTTCCAGTCGACGAGGGCGGAGGGAGGCGTCTTCTCGATGATGGCGGTGCACAGCGGGTCCCAGTCCTTGAGGACGGCCTTGACGTCTTCGATCTTGCCGGGGAAGGACCACGACTCGTCAATGTCGTGGTCGTCCTTGTGGGTCAGCACCCAGGAGCAGTTCTTGCCGCCCTTGATAGTGGAGAAGAGGAAGTGCACGTCCTGGCCGATCCAGCCGTTGAAGGTGTCGCCGTGCTCGCAAAACTCCTTGGTGCGGGGGTCCTTGGCCATCTCGGAGGCGGGGAACCACGCGCGCCAGACGGCGTAGCCGCTGCTCTTGGGCTTGTCAAAGTAGCCGAGCACGAGCTCGCGGGCCTTGGAGCGCACGCCGTCGGCGCCGATGACGACGTCACCCGTCACGCGCTTGCCGTTCTTGAGCACGACGCCGGCGTGGTTCTCATCCTCAAAGTACTCGGTCACGGGGTTGTCGAGGTGGATGGGGATGCCCAGGTCGTCGCGGGCGTAGTCGAAGATGACCTTGTGCAGCTCGCCGCGGTGGCCGTGCATGGGCGGGGCCTCGGGGTCTCGGGCGCGGAGGGCTGGTGGTAGACCACCTCGCCCGTGTCGTACTTGTGGATGCGGAACCCGTACCCCTTCAGGTCGATGGTCAGCGGCTTGAGGCGGCGCACCACCTCGCCGTCGCCCCACCGGTAGAAGATGCGGCCGGCGTTGGCGCCGAACGAGATGATGTCGCCGAGCACCTTGAGCTGGGGGAAGTTTTCGTAGATTTCCACGTCGTGGCCCTGGCGCTGGCACTCGATGGCCGCGCAGAGGCCGCCGAAGCCGGCGCCGACGACGATGACCTTGATGCCGGTCTTGGGGGCGGACATTGTAGCTCAACGTCTTTTTGAATGGGTTTTGTTGTGGTTTGTTCTCTTCGCTTCAGTGCTGGGGGTAAATAAGGAAAGTGTAAGGTTGGTAGGAGGAAAAGAAGAGGGAGGTAGAGAAAAATATGATGAGAAGGAGGGAGAGAGGAAAAGGGAGGAGGAGAGTGAGAATGGAATCGGGAAATGGTTGCACGAACGAGGTGAGACTGAAATAAATTAAATATTGACCAGTCTGACCCTCCCCTCTCCTTTCTCTCGCTTTTACTCTCGCCCTCTCCCGCCGCAACCGAGCCAACGTTCTCCAGGCAATTCCATGGGGGTTTGACGGGGCGCCTAGAACGGGGCATCATTCGACTCTCCCCACCCGCCCCCTCACGGCTCTTGATGCCGGTTATGGGCGGTTGCGACTTGCGACGACAATGGCGTTCCTCGGCTTTGCTCCGCCCTGGGAAAGAGCATCGACACGTACAATGTAGCCAGCACTAGCACTAGTACCAGGACCAGGCCAGAAACGCGGGCGCATGTTTTTTTTTTCCTGTCCGTCTGTCCCTCTTCCGCTGTCCTGACGTCGCGGTCCCCCACCTTTGCTAGTAGCTCTTGTTTAGACCCTTGGCTGCTCGACATGTGGGATCAATGTACGACGTGCTTGTAGACCGCAGATACCTCGACTTCACCCCACCTCTACCGTCCTCCTCTGAAGCTCCCTCTTGTCACCAGCCTCCTCGTCTCATTCCACGCACTCACTCTGACGATGAATCCCGGGAGACAAGAGGAAAAAGGGACTCAATGGCAAAGGCATCCCTGGAACCCTTTTTTCTCCCATCCTTCGTCTCAATTGCCTTGCCCGCGTGCCCCGTCCTTGCGTAGCGTGTGTGGGGACCCCGAGACTCATAATATCTTACCAAGCCCGCACCTTTCTGTCTTTACCCTCCCCTCCTCTTGCGTCGCAGTCCGATACCCCAAACTTTTCCCCACACCCCGCCTCATCCCTCCATCGGCTTCATGCTTCCTAACGGCACCCACTTTTTGCCCCATCTCGCTTCCCTTGGCACCTTTTTTTTTATTGTTCCCCTTCCATTGGTAACCGCTGACCATTTCGCGGGGTCCCCGCGTTTCTCCCCTCACTCCTTGTCTTCAGAGCAAAAGGGACAAGCTAGGCACAAGCTTAGCGCTCAGTTTCTTTCCAGGGACCCCCTTTGCCCCTCCCCTCCTTCTTCCCTCCTTGTTGTCTCGTCTTTCGCAATCCACGCTTGACCCTCTCCTCCTGGGACGCCATTCCTCATTGAGCTCGGTAAGTTTAGACACCATCGCGAAGCTCCGAACTATTCGGGAGTCAAAGACGAAGAAAAAAAGACAGGCAATTGAGCTAGACTAACGAATCGGTCATTTGGGGAAAGAGAAAAAAAAAGAAGAAAGGGGAAAAGAAAAACAGCTCATCTCCAGGACAGACACATACCCGTGATTCTTCTCTCGTGATCCTCCTCTCTTCTCTTACACGACGACATCTCTTGCTTTCTCTCATCTAGATCCTCACCTCTCCGTTGAAGCCATCACCAACTCCCCCATCGCAACCATGACATCCCACTCCAGCTACGGCCCCAACACCACGGCCACCGAGGTCGCCCTCGCCTTCAAGGACCAGATCAAGGGCAAGACCGGTAAGTCTCCCTCATCTCTTCTTTTCAAGCTCTCATTGTTTTTGTCTACTCGCTAACCTCCCCCAGTCGTCATCACCGGCGTCAGCCCCAACGGCATCGGCGCCGCCACCGCCCTCGCCATCGCCTCCCAACACCCCGCCGCCCTCGTCCTCGCCTCCCGCACCCAAGCCAACCTCGACGCCGTCGTCGCCGACATCCGCGCCCAGCACCCCACCTCCTCCCTCACCCCTGCCACCGTCCTCCTCGACCTCTCCTCCCTCGACTCCATCCGCGCCGCCGCCGAGCGCATCACCTCCTCGTCGACCGCATCGACGTCCTCATCAACAACGCCGGCGTCACCCTGCAGACCCGCGATGCCGTCACCACCCCGGCGGCGCCGTCGTCGACCTGCAGCTCTTCACCAACCATGTCGGCACTTTTCTCCTCACCTCGTTGCTGCTGCCCCGCATCACCGCTTCGGGCGCCGCCGCTCGCGTCGTCAACCTGAGCAGCATGGGCCACCGCCTCTCCCCATCCGCTTCAGCGACTACGCCTTCCAAAAGGACCTCTACGATGGCGTCCCCGACGCCGAGAAGCCCCCGTCCCATCCCCGACGCTTTCCTCAAGCACACCGGCGACTACCCCGGCTTCGTCGGCTACGGCCAGAGCAAGACCGCCAACGTCCTCCACGCCTGGGAGCTCACGCGCCGCGCCCACGCCCGCGGTGACGCCGTCCTCTCCCTCTCCGTTCACCCGGGTACTATTGTCACCGGCCTCACTCGCAGCCTCGACACCGAGGGTCGCGCCGCCATGGACGGCACCGCCCCCAACGGTATCCCCAAGACCCTCGACGAGGGCGCCGCTACTACCCTCGTCGCTGCCTTTGATCCCGCTCTCGCCCAGGGCGACGTTGCTGCCGGACCCCTCTTCCTCGCTGATTGCCAGCTTGCTCCTGAGAAGATGGCGCCCCATGGACAGGATGGTGCGGCTGCTCAGAGGCTTTGGGACGAGACGGAGAAGATGCTCGGCATCAAGTGCTTGTAATTACACGACTTGAAGCGTGAAGAGAGGTGTGTACGGTACGTCGGGTTTTAGCTGGACAGGGAGGTGTGAAGGGTAGAAAAATCCAGAAGGAGCAACGAGGTGGGACATAGAATTGCGAAATAGACATGTTTTTCAACTTTTGTTAGCTGCAGGGCGTCTAGTGAAAGCATGCGCTCTCATACAAGTTCACTTTGCATACCTAGGGACTAGGGAATGATGGCGAATATATATGTATGCCAATCTATAACTATGGATATCTTGATATTTATTTTTCTTCATTAAACGATGATTAAGAAAAGGGAGCATCAGCTCGTAGGATGGGGTAATAATCTAGTACGCGCAAGGAGCGGAATCGTGAAGCCAAACGCAAGTTCATACTGTTCGTTCCATCACAACCACAACACCTAAACAAGTCAGGCCATGGGGTAAAAGAGCAATTAGGAAACAGAAAGAAACAAAAGAAAAAGATGGACTGTAGAAATCAAGGAAAGAAACAGTGGTATCCTTCAAAAGCAAATGGGCGCGTGGAAAAGTCTAAACTTCCCCCGCCCCAACCTCACTTCTCCCATCTCTTCTCTACATCTCATCCTCAAAGAACTTGATCAACGTCCTGGCCCCAGACACACCTAGTCCCATAAAGGGGTAGCAAATGTACACGGGGTCGTCCTCGGTGCCAAACTTTTCCCGGAACTCGCCCTTGCCCGCAAGCTTGAGCTGCTGCGCAATCGTGCGGTAGGTGCGCGAGAGGATCTTGGCGCGCAGCCCGTTGAAGTTGGTGCCGATTTCGATATCCTTGGTCGCGCCCGCGCCAAACGTGACGCACTTGACGCCCATCTTGGCCAGGCTCTGGATGGCCTTGGAGATGACGGACTCGATGGCGCCGCCGGGCGACCCGGGAAGTCGAGCGCAAACTTGATCTGGTACCCGTGCTTGGGCGCCAACCGATGCAGAATCACCAGCGCCACCACGTTGCCCTCCTTGTCCTCGGCCCACACGTACTTGCGGTGGTCGACGTCCTGCCACGGCTTCACCTCGGTGATGTGCACCTGCTTGCCTGTGCGGTTGGCCTTCCACTCCTCCACGCGCTTGTCCACTTTTTCCCGCAGGTCCTCGGGTACGGGCTCGCCGAGGTTGGTCTCGAAGATGCGCACGCCCGCCTCCTCGGCCTGGCGCTCCTTCTTGGCCACCTTTTTCATGTTGTCCACCTCGAGGCGGTCCTCGGCCACGCAGCTAAACGTGCGCCAGCCGAGGATGCCGCCGAGGATCTCCTCGATGGCCGGGGACACGAGCAGCCAGATGGGGCGGAGATCGTGCACCTTGCGCAGGTCCTTGAGGAACTTGCGCACCACGAGCGGGAACTGCCGCTGGTCGCACAGCGGATCGCCCATGATGAGCGCGTAACCGTTGACGGCGGCGTACCCGATGGCTGCGCCCGACTCTTCGTGCCGCCAGACGTCGTACCGGTCGTCGAGCCATGACGTGTTGGTCGCGTCGCCGTAATTGGAGATGAGGTTCTCCACCGTCGGCATCGACACGGAGGTAGGGTCGCGCGCGTAGTTGGCGCCGTAGCGAATGGTGTCGGCGTCGGGGTGAGGGAGGACCTGCCAGTCCCTCTCGTGCGGCTGCAGGGACTTGGGGTCCCGGGGAAGAGGGAAGCGTTGCGGATGTCGCCGAGGTTCAGGAGGAGGAAGAGCACCCGCTCCAGGCCGATGCCGCACCCGGCGTGGGGAGCACGCCATACTCGAAGCCCTGCAAGTACTCCTCCATGTCGAGGGCCTCGACGTTGGCCTCGGCCATGCGCTTGCGCAGGATCTCGGGGTCGTGGATACGCTGGCCGCCCGTCGTAATCTCTTGGCCGCGCAAAAGATGTCAAACGAGTTGGTGTAATCCTTATCCTCGGGGTCCAGGTGCGTGTAAAGGGTCGCGCCGAGGCCGGGAATTTGTCAATAATGTAAAAGTCGGTGCCATATTTCTCCTTGATCAGTTGTCCGATGCGTCTCTCAGCCGGGGTGCTCAGGTCCTCCTTGTCCGAGGCCGGGTTGCCAAAGTCATCCTTCCACCCAGACTGGTTGAGCAAGGCGACGGCGTCCTTGAACCGGATGCGCGGCGTCTGCTCCAGCCACACGAGGTCTTCGTGGGGGAAGTGCGTCTTGATGATGTCGAGCTCCTTGCGGTGGTCGCGGTAAATGCGCGCAAAGATGCTCTTGAGCAGGTCATCGATGACGTCGAGAGCGTCGTAGTACGTGTCGAGAATCTCCATCTCCAGGTCCAAGCCCGTGTACTCGCTCAAGTGCCGGTGCGTGTTGCTGTCCTCGGCGCGGAAGACGGGGCCGATTTCAAAGACGCGGCCAAAATCGGCCGAGACGCACAGCTGCTTGGACAGCTGCGGGCTCTGCGCGAGAAAAGCGGTGCGGTCGTAGTAGTTGACCTTGAACACCTCGGCGCCGGATTCCGTGGCGGCGGGCTGCAGCTTGGGGTGTGGATCTCGATGAAGCCCTGGCCCTCGAGCGTGTTGCGGAAGGCGCTGCATATCGTCGAGTTGAGGCGGAAGATGCACTGCGCCGTCGGGGTGCGCAGGAAGCTGAGGCGGTTCGAGGTGCGCACGCGGTCCGAGGCGAGGTACTCGATCTCGTTGGTCTCCGGGTTCGTCTCGACGCGGTCAATCGAGTACACGTCAATGGGCAGCGACTCCCGCACGGGTACGGCGAGGTGCATGCTCTCGATGAGGATCTCGATGTTTTGAATTGTGCACGCCGCCACGGGCTCCTTGGGGCTCTTGATGGTGCCGGTGACGTGCACGATGCCCTCGGAGATGAGGTGCTCGGCCCACCGGACGAACCCTTCCGAAATGGCGCCCTCGCGGTATTCGAGCACGCCTTGACCGTGTCGATCCCCTGGCGGAGCACGACAAACGCCAGCCGGGGCCCCATGGACCGCACGTGGTGCACGCGCGCCGTGAAGCCAATGGTGGTGCCAATGGCGGGACCCTCCGTTTTTAGCCGGGCAAAGGGCACTTGGTGCTTGGGAAGGCTCACGACGTGGTTGCGGTCGGTGCCGTAGCGCTGGGCAATCTCGGGCGGGTCGACGGCGTGCGCCTGCTCCTCGTCCTGGTGGCGTTTGATCTGAAGAGACCGCTTCTCCTCCTCGCGCTGAATCACCTTTTCCTGCTGGGCCTGGATCTTTTGTATCTTGCGGCTGTGCTTTTCCTCGTCGAGCGCGGCAATGTTGCCAATCGTCGGCTTGGACATGTGGTTCTTGGCCGAGGCATGGCCGATTAAGCGGTTAAGCTTGAGGAGCGGCTTCTTGAGCGCGCTGGGCGACATTGTGATCGCGAAAGGGATGGGACCCTTGAACACTTTGCAAAAGTGCGTATTCTGTCGCTTCTGCTAGCTAGTTCTGCGCTCTGGAGAGAAGCAGAAAACAAAAAGGCGTTAGATTTAATTGCAAATAGGTTGTTCCGACTTTGTTCTGTGATAAATGCAGGCAACAAGCCAAAAGGCAAGCGATGCACCAAAAGAAAAAGAATCAATAGAAATTCAGATAGAACACGACGAACCTAAAGGCAAGAGTATGGGAATTCTGTAAGTTTTGTCGATATTTTCTGGTCCAGGTCGTGACGTAGAAGAGGAGCAGGGGAGGAGAATGATAAGGACCTTGTTGGTGGGCGGGCGCGGAGAGGTCGGAAGCTAGCCTTGGTGGGGAGGTGAGGGACGACTTTTGTTGGAGGATTGGCGCAGACTAAAAGGTGTAGGGCAGGCCTAGTCCAGATCCGGAATCAAGTTCTGGGTTGGCGCAAAAGCATCCGGTGAGAGGTTGCGGTGCGTCGGAACAGGAAAAACGAAAAGGGTTTTCAGTCTTGTTGTTCAGACGTGTGTATGTGTGTGTTGGGGCGAAAAAGCGGACTGGGAGATGTCGTCGAGATATAAAGCAGGAGTGACGTGCGCGGGTCGCTCCTGCCTTCGCGTTGGATGCAGGACACCGAAGCGGAATAAAAAAATTAAGGATTGGAAAGAGCGAAAGGCTAGCTTGCATCGGTGACCAAGGGGATGGGATCGGAGCTTGGCACAGCCGTTCTTGCCGGAAGCAAGGAACAGGTTTTGTGTTGTCCCCAAGGGGTGAGAGAGCGGATAGGCGTGTAAGAAGGGGGTGGGGTCTAAGAATGAGAGAGATATGGGGAATTGGCTGGAATCAAGTGGACGGCATGGGAACGAGACAGAATGCCCTGTCAGACCTTGTGTGCTTCACCACAAAAACAAGGGCGAATTGATCCGAGAAGGAATAGGATTCTCAATTAATGACCTAACAGTTCGAACTATGGCCGCCCACGTAGCTATTTTCCCCTCTTTTCCCTTCTCCCGTCCACCGGCGTCGCGTGGTTACGTAGGTGGGTTGACCAGGGCCAGTCAAGGCAGAAGGGGGCAATCGACATCCAGCGGTGCGCAAAGTCATCAATGGGTAGCGGCGGCGGCCCGGGACTTTGCTCCTCAGAAGCGCACTGGCCTTTGGTCATTGGCCAGATCTGGCGCCTGCCTCTGGCTTTTCGTGTCTGTCCCAATTGTTTGGTCATCCCTTCTCGAACCGGCGATTGTTGTGCCAAGTATCGAGGAGGGATGCCAGAAGAATGGCATTCTTCAAAAGGGGTCGGAGATGGCCGGGTGATGGGGTTTGGCCATTGCTTGTGGCTAGTCACTCATTCCCCACTGTTACGAGTGCTGTTTCTTGTTGCGTGGCTTGAGAGGGCATTCTGTGAATCCACCCCATGAAAATTCTAAAAGAGCCTACGTACACGTGGAACAGAGGAGAGGGGCAAAAAGGAACCAGAAAAGCACCTGATTCTGCACCGAGAAGGGAAAATCCAAGCGCCCAAAAGAGGGTAAAAAAGAAGCACACGGCGAAAGATGGAAATTTTCTTGGCTGCTGCGAATCCCTCCCTCCACCTGGAAGATGCTTCCATACACCGAGATGGTGGCTGTCGTTGTCGGCGATGACTACCGATGCCGTCCGTCGTGTCGACGGAGGTTTCAGTCCGGTAGACGTTGATACAGGCACCTCATTGATCCTTCCAACTTAAATCACAAGCCGAGCCATTTGCAGATGTCATGTTTCCTTTCGCTAGCCCTGCCGCATGAAACGTGCGATGTTACTGTGAAATTCGGGTCGGGAAAAACGAAAGAATAATACAAGTACAAGAGAATCAAAAATCTTCCCTCCACGTCGAAACCACGTCGAGACGACCATTCTCGAAAAGACCCAAAGGTCCCACCAAACCAAACGGTGCATGTCGTCATCGTCACGAATCCCGAGATCATGACGTCATGTGTACGTTTGCCGGACCAGAAGCGGTGGCCGCCAGCGTTTGTGCCTTCTGCATTCAAGCCCAGTGGAGACAAACGATGCTTATGTCATAACCTCATCATGATGCAGGTCCGGGCAATCTACAGCATTCGCACGGCTCTTGCAGCTGGGCCGCCCCACCACCGGCGGCGGGCGGCGGGCACACATTCACACATTACCATCACGGCCGTTGCCTCTTTCAGCCATCCATCTTTGAACTTGGCCTCACCCTTCTTGCTGTGCCACCAAATAAACGAGATTGACTTTCTTGAGCAAGAGATCCCCAAATACATAGATGTAGATTTCGAAGAGCAAGGTACGGTAAGGAGGGGCAGATGCGACCGTTACAGGCTGGCAGGTGCTCACAGGGGCAAAAAACCAAGCATTGGCGTTCAAGCGCATCAATGAATCGAATGGATCAATTGAGTCGTCCCAAGATTCCCGTCGCTAGCCCCGATCAAAATACAGGGGCCAAGCCCTGAATTGACCCTCTCCACCACCATCATTACCCTACAAAGTGATGTCACGCCACGCATCTGCTCGCCGACCTGGGCAAGGCCGCCGCAAGGAAGGCGCCAGCGACGGCCCCTCCTCTCACGACCTAAATATTCTCCATCGAACGACATCCCCGTAGCAAGACAAACGAATTCCTCTCCTCTGAAACTCATTACATCTATCAAGCGGCATTGAAGTAACACGCTACTGACCACTGAATGTTTGCTCTCCCCTCGTTTCTATTTCCTTCCTCGACACCAGGCGAGGAGACACTACACCCACCAGTCCGCGCAGTACGATACCCACCCCGAGCTCAACCCGATAGCAGCCCTCCCTAGATTCCCCGTCCCCGCTTTAGCTTTGCACTATCCCCATCTCGAGCGAATACCCTCCTTTCTCGAGACCCGCAACTCCTGATCCATTGTGGAAACCCCCATTGCTAGGAGAGAAACAGTCTACCACATTCGTTACCGAGCTCCGAAGTAAAATCGAAAAAACCACACCATACTTAACGTCCCAGCCCCCCTCTTCGAAAAAAAAAGAGAACTTCCGCCACGATGCCGCGATTTGCCAAAGTAGAGGGGATTCCCGTGCCGCTCGCCGACCCAGAGCAGAGCATGGAAGCCTCGCAAATCGGACCCCACGAGACCCCGTCGGTGGCCGTTGACAAGACGGGGCCCCGCCCTCGCGGTTCAGCCTCAAGCTGACCGCCTCGGCTGGCGCGCGCTGCAGTGCGTCGGCATGTCGCTGCACTTCCTGGCCCCGCCCCGCCCGCCGTCCCCGCCTTCACCAAGACCGTCCGGTCCACCATGGCCAAAAACGGCGGCGAGTTCATCCTGCACTTTTATACCCCCAAGGGCTACGAGAACAAGTTCCTGCACCGCAACCGCCTGTTCCCCGCCGTCATTAATTTTCACGGCGGCGGCTTCACCCTCGGCAACGCCACCGACGATGCCCGCTTCGCCCGCTTCGTCACCGAAGAGTGCAACGCTCTCTTCATCTCCGTCGAGTACAGGCTCTCCCCGAGCACCCGTTCCCCGTCGCCGTGGATGATGGTGCCGACGCCATCCTCTACGTTGTGGAAAACGCCGCCGACCTGCACATAAATCCCATGCTGCTCGCCACCTCGGGCTTCTCCGCCGGCGGCAACCTGGCCGTGACTTGCCCGATGCGCTTGGTCAAGCACATGAAGTCCATCCACGACCCCGAACGCCAGGTTCCCGGCCACCGCATCGTCGCCAGCGCTTTATGGTACCCCATCACCGACTATACCTTGACCCGCGCCGAGCGTCGCGCGAGCTCCTCGCGCCCTGACCAGGCTCTGCCCCCGTACCTCACAGATCTCTTTGACCAATCCTATCTCTACCCACCCGATCTCGATCTCGCGGACCCTTACCTCTCCCCTCCCGCGCGACCGACGAGATGCTCATTGACGGCGTGGCCTCGCACGTCATCTTCTACACCTGCGAGTGGGACATGCTCCACAAGGAGGGGAGCTGCTCGCGCAAAGGCTTGGCGCCGAGCCCATCAACAAGGAGATCCATTACAAGATGATCAAGGGCGTGACTCACGGCTGGGACAAGAGCCCGAACCCCATGTCCGTCGCGGATCAGTCCGAGGAGCTGTATAAAGAGTGCTGCGGGAAGCTAAAGGCCATCTTCATGAAGGAAGTACATCGCGTTGATGGAGCCCTACCTCTCGGTTGAAACCACGACCGCAAAATAGGATCGGGCTTTTCGCTGGTGCTCCTGCTTGACGAGCAGAGATATATATTCATGTACCACCAATTAGACAAACTTTTATGAGTAAACGAAATGAACTTCTTGTTGCATGTTTCCGTCTTGTTCGTTGACAACGAACGGCTTAACCCACGTAAAGACTACGCACCGTGATGTGTAATATTTGTAGATTCCTCGCCTTTGTTTGATTCTATGTCTTCCGCTCACCCGCCCACCAGTACAATTCTACGTTCGGCATTTCATACTCGCGCAAGTCGTGGCAATCCTTGAAAACAAAAGCCCCCATGGGCTACTATGTCCGCCCTTATTGCAGACTTGGCATCGACCTTCGCAAACACTTCCCCTTGGTGCAAATACCTCCCCGGCTGCCCTATACCCCGGATTTTTATTCTATTTCATCTCAAGCTGGACCAATGCGCGTGGCCAGACAACAATGGAGCATGCCCGAGTTGATGAATGCCGCATTCCCCGGTTTAACCATATTCGCAACCCGCCAATCGGAACGTCTGGTGCCGCCCACCACCGCATCAGGCTAAACGCATACGCTCACCAGATCCCCTTGCCTCTTTATTACAACGAAGCGTAGTCCCTCGACATATCGCGACATACGCGTGCGGTGGGAAGACTGCGTGCTGAGGAGCCATGGGAGGGGCGGGAAACAGTGTCTCCCACCCTCGAGCTAACCTGACCAGGTGAGCGAGAAACTCTATCGTCGGCACTTAGTCCCGGACTTTGGATGGAACATTTCCAATCCTTCAAGCTTGTTTTTTGGAACCTGTGGTGTATTTCAGGCCAGGAGTGCCCACCTGAGAAGCAGTCAGCTTCGGCGTTCCGCTTTATACCGCCTCCTTCGTCGGAATCGTCAAACGAATTTTGATCATTTGTTGCCGCTCAACCCTCACCTAGCCAAATATCGATACATCCTCCTAGTCCGAACAAAATGGTCAAAATCCTAAACTCGCTGCTGCTTCTCGCGGCTTCGGCCCAGGCCCACTGTACGTAGACATTGTCCTCCCCGTCCCGTCTCCCCTTCCGTGTCCAACGGATCCCTCCCCGCGTGAAAATTAGGTGGGAAGTACCATACACGTCGAGCTCGTTTTCCTCTAACAACCAAAATTCCCAGACCGCTTCTCCAAGATCGTCGTCGATGGCGTCGAAGAAGCCGCCGAGTGGACCGCCGTCCGCATGACCAAGAACTACCAGGGCAACCAAGGCGTGACCGACGTCAACAGCGCCGACATGCGGTGCTTCCAGGCCCGCGCGGGCACGAGCACCGCCACCATCGCCGCGGGCAAGACGCTCGGCTTCGTTGCCAACGCGGCCGTCACCCACTTTGGCCCCGTCCAGTTCTACATGGCCAAGGTGCCCGAGGGCGCCGACATCAACACGTGGGAGGCGGCCGGCAACGTGTGGTTCAAGGCTGGTAGCATCTCTGCTGTCAAGGCCGGTGCGGATTGGAGCTGGCCCGCATACAGTACGTATTCCCTTTCTCTGAATGAGCCAGTTATGGGCAACGCGTGCCTTTTTCTTTTTCTTTTCTACTTTGATGGTTTTCGTCACAGCTGCTAACTTGCTTTCTCTTTTTCTTCAGACGAGAGGGTCGTTGATTTCGTCATCCCCGCCGACGTGCCCAGCGGCAAGTACCTCATCCGCGTGGAGAGTGTTGCCCTTCACCAGGCCTCCTCCCCGGTGGTGCCCAGATCTACCTCTCGTGCGCCCAGGTCGAGGTTACTGGCGGCGGCAGCGGCACGCCCGGCCCCATGGTCTCGTTCCCCGGCGCGTACAGGGCCAACGACCCCGGTCTCCTGTGGTCCTACTACCCCGTCGCGACGACCTACACGGCCCCCGGTCCGGCGGTGTGGACGGCATAGAGGCTTTTGAGTGGGAAAAGGGGAATACGGAGTATGGGGTTGTTTCTTTTTTTCTTCCCTTCTTGATTCTTTTCATCATTTTTACCCACCGTGTACGAGGCTACATGTTGTGTGTTTCTCCTGGGGTTAGACTCTTGGAGAGAATTATTTCGTTTTACTACGTGAAACTACCTCAAGGCCTAAGGGGACGTCGGCCCATCATATCACACATGAGTGTTTAGTAACATTGAAGAGATAGACTGCGATTCAAGATTTGTTTTAAGGAACGCAACACTGGCCAGACTTCGTAGTTATCTTCAATACCTCCTGTACAACCTCACAGCCCATTACTACAGCACTAGCCTTTCGTAAGGATGATAGTAGCATGGACATCGCTTGGTAGCTTCTACAGCAGTACCATATAACACATCAAACAAGACTCTTCAAAGGACAGCAGTGGTATGTTAAGGCAACGCATCTACAAGGTCGCACGCTGACCAAACAGTTATTTGTACAAGGGGATATATTGAATCATATATACACATCTTAACCACTCGCATAACGCAACCAAGCTGTCTCCGAGGCAGACAACACGCATCTTTCGGCTGTCATAGATTATCTCTGCACAATCATTCCCCAAACGAATTTACTCGCTTATGGGAGAGGCTCGCCGAACTCGCCGCCATAGACAGCGTTGGGAGCGGTAGCGGGCTTGCCCTGGGAGGCAGCCTTGTAGGCAGCAATGGTCTGGTCCTCGCTGGGGTTGATGACGGCAACCATGCCATTGGCGCAGTGCATGCCCACGGAGCAGTAGTAGAAGTGGGGCTCGGTGGAGTTGACGACGACGTGGAAGACGTTGGTCTGTGACAGCGGAACGGAAAAGAGTTAGAGAGAGACGCTAGGCTAGGTGGGGTGAAAGGACCAGGCATGGCTATGTATATGTCTACTTACGTTGCCGGGAGTGCCCTGGATCACACCCGAGGAGAAGGCATCTTCCCTCTCGGAGGGCGCAGGGGGTATCGAACTCGGTGGAGACGGCATCATGGGTACCACCGACGAAGTGGAACTCGACAATGTCGTCAATCTCGGCAGTGACGGAGTCCGGGGTGAAGGTCAGACCGCCCTGGCCGACGTTGATCTTGTGGACGGCAGCGGTGGCGGCGGCCACGAGGGAGGCGACGATGAAGGAACGCATGTCTGCTTTGGTGCTTGGTGTAAGGTGAGGAGATATAACCTGGATGGAGAGTGGGCACCGAGGGATATGAGCAAGATTGAGAAGATTTGAGCAGGCTGTTTCCTTTTCTACTGTTCTTATGTGTTCTCCTGTGGGGACGCGAGCTACGAAATGTGCTCGACGGGGGTATATATATATACGCGTGCGGAACCCCAGACGAAGAGCTTGGCCTTGACTGACGCTGCTCCTTCTCCCTCCCGACATGAAATTGGCTTTAACCTGGATCCTTACCTGAAGGTTCAGGCTCTGGAGAAGAGCATCAGGGAAAGCGACTCGCCGCTTTTCCTCCAATCCCAGATTGAGCCCTCGCATTACCTCCTCGATGTTCAATTGAGCCAGCGCCAAGGCCGCCATTAACATTAAATGACGCGGCCGGGGCAAACCCCTCTCGGTATGCTCCTCTCATTTGTGTTTTTTTTCTTTGCCCCTTCTTTCCAATATTTCTTTTTTCTTGTCGGTGGAGTAGCAGGGATTCATCTGCCACAAAGGCATATTGCCACGCTAACAAGCTTATTTACTTGCATAGCAAACGGCAAGGCCGTCGTCTCCGCTTCGTCAACCTCAACTTGGCAATGACATATAGGTCCCCGAGCTTATACCGTGCCGAGCCAGCCTCAGACGCCATTGATTGGCCGGCATGAGCCCCGGAGCTTTCATCCAAACACTCAAGATGCTTTGATGGAAACCAAGTGGAAAATCAAAAATCAAAAAATTCATATTTGCCGATTAACCAAACGAACGAGCCGATTTGCAGAACCAACATTTCTCTGGGCGGGAGGTAATAAGGGTATTTCTACGCAAAGTAAAAATCACTTTCTCTCTTGCTCCAAAGTTTTTCTGCTTCCTTTTCTCGGAGCCCTTTGCGGGTGGGGGCCAGGCGATCAACCGACAAGGCCCTAACATGATCGCTCGCCTCTCTCCGCCTTTCCCCAATTGTTTGACTTAGAGTAGGGTTGCCTCCGGCATTCGAACCTCGCCGCCGAACCCAGGCCGAAGCGTCCACCTTGCCTCCCATTCTCTTTCGTTCGCTTACAATTTGGCGAAGTGAAAGGGGGAAAGGGATAGAAAGGGAGGGGAAAAACCGCAGATTACCGTGATTAAAAAGAGAGCGGCGTCGCATGGCACTCCGGGCTGGAGATGCGGAGATTTTCATCATTCCATAGCCTTTCCAAGACTGCTCCCCGCTCGACTTTATCAATCTTATCAATCTTGGCGCCGGCTTAGGAGGGCACCACCTCGCCTCCATTCCCCCTCCCCGGTGGCTCGCTCCTGTCTTCAACGCAACGCCCCTTCCCGCTGTCAACGGACCTGAGGTCGAAATGGAATTAAACCCTCACTTGCAACATGAGCAACAATGGGGGAAGAAACTTGATAAGACTGGGATTGTTGGTCAATTAAAGCGGATCCTTTCATCAGTTCGCCAGTCTTTCGCCCCATAGCCAAGCACGTTTCCGAAGCTTTGGGAATGCCAACGTTGGCCCACTACCAGGAAGAGGGCCAACATCGATTGATCGAGCATAGGCTCCATTGCTTGACCCATACCATCGATTCGGTAGCGGGGCAAACCCCGTACTTGTAGCTTTCTTTCCATTCGCGGCGGGGTCAGGGAGGTCCCTGGCCAGCAGGCGGACAATTAGATGCTTCGCCTGTCAGCCTCCGTCATACTTTGTACATCGGGACCCTTTCCCACTTGATCTTGAACGTAGACCCTGGTCATGTCAAGTGTTTCCAGGAGTGGACAATGTTTGTCGGTTTGCAGCCGTTGCTACGCCAGCTGAAAGGCTAAAGATCGGGCCTGCGCCAATAGTACATGAAGCAACTTTGCTTCTGCTATCAATGCCGGAATCTTCAGTCGATTGCCACAAAACTGATTCCTTTGGACGGTGGGAATTTCGTGGGAATTTCTCGTGGAAGCAATTGTCTTCCTTTGCTTGCATTCTCCATTACCATGTACAGAAGACAGGCTGTGGCATTTGTAACCAAGGGCTTTACTACCTCATCTTCCACCTCTCATGGCTGGAACCCCAAAGGGAGGCGTTTCGTTTTCATTCCTTTTTCCGGCGGACCATGCGCTGGCTTACCTCATTACAAATTCAGCTCCGGCCAGCGCCGAAGACCGAGATGGGGCTCGTTCACCTCATCTGCTGGCCACCAAACGTATCCTACCACACATCGTATTCCTCTTCCTGGCTTGAAGATTGAAGACATTTCATCCCCGTCAATAGTCTCGACTTGATGGAATACCAAGATTCCCTCCCTCGACGAAAAAAAGGCAGATGGGGATCAGAGCAAGCCTGCAGGATCGGATGACATTGCTCCAGGTCTTCCGGCGTGGTGGCACCTGCCCCGTCTCGTCGTGACCAGGGGCGAACCTAGCTCAGCCCCACTATTTCCCAGGGAAAACCAATCAAACGAGCGCCGGGTTCGGAAGGCTGATGGATTGGCACGCCATCAGCGTTGTGAGCTCGCCCATTCGCCTCATCGTCGTGCAAGTGGGCTGACCCCATCTAATGGAGCAAGGGGTGGATTCGCATGGCCAAGAAAAAAAGAAAGAAAAAAGAGCAAGACCCCCTTTCATGGGTGCCTTCCCTTTTGAATTTTGCTCACGCGTTACGCGTCTTTAGGGACCTGATTTAAGAGGTCTTTCCTTCCCTCTGTGACAGCTCGGCCGGTTTCGCTCCACTTCCTCCTTCCTCCCTCGTACACCCAAGCCAAATCTCACGATACCCCCATTTCCACCCCGATTTACGATCTCGCACAACAGCTCATCGACAACGACTCCCTATTTTTGACCAACTCCCCACCACACACCATGTCTACCGCATTCATCCAGCGCCCCGCCCCGGCCTTCAAGGCCATGACCGTGTTTGCCGGTGGAGAGTTCAAGGAGATCTCCCTCTCAGATTACATTGGCCAATGGTAAGCGTCAACACATTTTCTCACTATGTTTTTAATCCTTTCCATCATACCGCTCAGTAAGCTCACATCAGCTTTCTCTCTACAGGGTCGTCCTTCTCTTCTACCCCATGGACTTCACCTTTGTCTGCCCCACCGAAATCATCCAGTTCAACGACGCCCTATCCCGGTTCCGCGACATCAACACCTCCGTCCTCGCCGTCTCCACCGACTCCCACTACTCCCATCTCGCCTGGCAGAGCCAGCCCCGTCGTCAAGGCGGCCTCGGTTCCGACCTCGAGCTCCCCTCGTCGCCGACCGATCCCACGCCATCTCCCGTAGCTACGGTGTCCTGCTCGAGGAGGAGGGCATCGCTCTCCGTGGCCTCTTCATCATCGACCCCAAGGGTGTCCTCCGCCAAATCACCGTCAACGATTTGGCCGTCGGCAGGAACGTGGAGGAGACCATCCGACTCCTCCAGGCCTTCCAGTTCACCGACGAGAACGGCGAGGTCTGCCCCGCCGGCTGGATGCAGGGTGATAAGGCCATGAAGCCCGAGCCCAAGGCCAGTCTGGAATATTTCTCCGCTAAGGCTGATGACGCTAACGGCCACGCTAATGGCACGAATGGCACAAATGGCACAAATGGCACCAACGGCACTAACGGAACTAAGCGTCAGCGGGTCGATTAAATTCAACCGTCCATGGCTGTCATTCTAGAAAATGTTCGCCGAACCATTGCAGGTCGGCTTACCTATCAGCTTTCCAATAGAACAGGAAAGCGCCTTTGAAACAAGCGGAGGGTTGCGAATCGTGTTCGCAGTCTGCTAGACCTAGATCCAGCCTGGCTCAGGCTAGACCATAGAAAGGGAACCTTCGAAAGGTTGCCAGCTTATAATCACTGTAAAATAATTCAATTGTATTCTATCATCATCACCTGCAAATCGCTTTCGAGATCGTCAAAACTTGACCTTATCAGTGACATGCAACATTTCAGCGTTTACACAGGCCTACGCGCGGACTCTCCAGCTGGAGTATGGATGAACAGAAAGCCAGATCTGCACAGTTCACGATCAGGCATAATGACTCTGGGTCAACCAAACCCACATGGTTTTGCTATATGCGTCGGTATTGCTGTTTGACTTTGAAGCAGATGTTCCGTGAAACATGGGGTCGCTACTCGCGCGGTTAGTAAAACCCGCACGCAGCTCCCACCTTTTACCGTGGTCGCTTAAATAACTCTCGATCTCGAAACACCTGCTTCTTATCTTCGAGCCTCGATCCGTTCTCAGGTTCCCGCACTTAGTGAAGGTGTTTGTATCGTACCTTCTCTAGCCAACCCTTAGTTCAAATATCTACACAGAGATAAAGCAAGCTAAATACCCCTGATCAGAACTTCATTCTCTCGCCTGATCCAGTGGTCTGAGCTGCCCTAACCACTTACCATGTTCACATCACCAGTCGCGACTGCCTCGTCTGGAATAGATGTAAATAGTATCTAGTTATTGAAGTTTTATTCAGAGCTCAAGGAAAACCAACATTTACTCCTACCTCACATGCTCCAGCTATGAGGAATGAGGATTACATATACTAGATATCATCTTCCGAGTTTCACTATAAATAGGCGTGCCTTCCTCGTTCCTCTTCGACCAGATATTTCCCAGGAACCTCTTTTAGCAACCACACACACCAAGCCTTGATCCAGGTCGGGATACCAACTTTCGCCATGGAGCACTCATTGGGCCGCGTATCCGCTTCCAATGGCCGCACACTCCAGTCCCAAGCTGATTATCATGGCCCATCGAAACGGAAACATTGAACAGATACCCACGACAAGTTGTTCTTGAGCGTATCGACGAGGAGCAAGGGCCTAGGCCTAATGACCCTGCCGAATTCGCAAGCATGGGTATGTTCTTGGGTCCCATGATATGTTGAACGCATCAACGGTTGGAGGCGCGCATACCTGACTCTATCGTTGGTTGGCAGGTGCAGGAGGCAAATTTCCATGCCCAGATCGAAGTGACGAGAAAAAGGAAATCATCATGTACTGAACGGAGGAGAACCCCTTCCGACCTCGAATGGTAGAATTGAGAGAGGTTACGCCTTAAGAATCGACCCGGCCTAGGATGCCACGATTTATAGCAATCCATCAAATTCACGCCTACAAGCCCTCTCTACGAGGTGTGACGCTTCTTCCAACAACTCCAAGCCCATTCCAACGGGACTATACGAGACTGACTCATACAATCACTTGAATTTTGATGATGCAGTTATAGTTGAACACGAGGACGTGATGGAGGAAGATTGGGGGTCTTCCACATTTTCTTATAATGGAGAGAAGGACGAAGACGAGAACTGGGATGACGGCGATGTACCCGTGTTTCTTGAACGGTGCCACGATGAAGACGAGTCTAATGACTTTACGTTCCTCCCAGGACACGGGTCTCATCGAATTGAGGTACTCCTGGAGCGGATCACGGCCAAGTCCCGTTCTCAACTCATCATGATGGACGCAGTCGATATCATGAAAATTGTGCTCGAGCTGGCCATGGCAGTTATGATTTGAGGACAAGCAAGGAATTGGCTTATGATTAGACGATATTTACGCATCTTGGTTGGAGCCCGTGGATAAGAGGGCAGGGGTATCGGCATCAAAACAATTCCAAGATTTCTTTTTCCAATACTTTGCGATCCCAAGTGACCTATTCTGGTTTGTGATACATATTCCAGAGCGTGGCAGGCTGGGGAAAGTGGTTGCAGCTCAACTCGGATGTCTGTTAGGAACCGGTCAGCCAACGTTCACCCACCTTCGCTTGCAGGTAAGCTCTTCCGGGTCGGCCGCCGTCCTGGCGGGAACCCAATTTCGTAGCCAAGCGTTAGGGCAGACGTATACTACATGTGACAATATCGACCCTGCTTTTGGCCACGATTGAATTGCCAGATTGGGCACGTTCAGCAGTTGAACTCTCGCGATAATCAATTCAACTTTGATCACTATTGGTCGCTTTCGCAACTCGTGCGATATGCATCTGCAAGGGCCTAGTCTCATTCCCATCAGCATCAAATCCGACAGCTACATACATTCGAAGCATACATCGAGTATAAAATGACACCACGAGTTCTCCGAGCTATTACCATCGTAACACGCTAGCTTTCTGGCCTTTGAAACCCGGTGCTTAGTTTCGCGCCCATTGGCTGAGATTTGCAGTGTTGGTAGTCGTTGTGTTGCAAGGGTTCCTGCCGGCCGTACATAGTCCGGAACGACGTTGAGATATCCATGGATGATTTGCTTCTAAGAGTGTCGATCCGATACGGCGTGATTCATTGGTGAAGATAACTGCTATGTAGTTATCTCCCACTTCTATCATACCCATTTCCCAACTCTGACCTCCTTCTAAATATTTCTTCTTCTTTCAATTTAATGAGGACGAAGTTTTTGAGGGAGTGTTCACACAATATTTACGGGGTACATGCAACACGCCCAGATTTGTGAGGGATCACAAGTCCTGCCTAACAGGTCTGTTTGGGGGAAAACGCGAGTCAGCGCACGTGATTACGAGAAGCCTCAGTCAGTCCAGCTCGAAAACGGCACCTCGCGGAAAAAAACAGGGACTCAAAAACAAAACTCAACTCTTCACAGCACAATTACACAATATTTCACTATGGGTGGATCACGAGAGAAGCGCAGGAGGCACACAGTACAAGACTCTGGGTCTTCTGAAGAAGAATCGGAATCCGACGAAGTCACAGGATTCATCGACGATGAGGCGTCCGAGGAGGACTCGGACGCGATGTCCGACAACGACTCGCGTTTTTCAGGCGAGAGCGACACGCAGGAATATTTTCCGAATTTTGGGAAGCTGCCGCCAGAGCTGAGGATCCGCATTTGGCAGTTCTTTTGCCCCGATCTTCAATCGCGGTCCTTCATGTTCCAGTTCATGGCCGTCACGTCGTTCGAGAAGACGGAGATTTGGGAACACTGGACCCTGGAACGGCAAACGGCGGCCATCCGGGCGCTGTTGGCCGTGCACGGCGAGACGCGCGCTTTAGCTTTACGCAGGTTTCCCGATCCGATCCTGATACGGAACGGGACGGGACTTGTCCGCTTCAACAAGAACATAGATGTGGTGCATCTCAAGATCAACAAGAAGTGGAGGGTGAGGGACCTGCCGGAGGATTTTTGCGAGCACGTCCGCCAATTAGCCACGGGCCGTATCCTTTTCGACCCAGAAGGCACGGGGCCGGGCCGCATCTATACCAACGAGGACATCTCCCCCAATACGTTCCTGCGGGTGTTTACCTTTTTCCCGAACCTGCGCACCTGGTTCCGGTGCGTGGACGGCAAGCGACACAGGGAAGGGACGCTGGAGTGGCTCAATGCCGAGGAGTACGCGGGCGAGGGGCAGCAGGGGAGGGGGAGGAAGTGCACGCGTTCCACCAGATCAAAGCGGTAGACGACCCCGAGGTGGGCGAGGACGCGCAGCGCATGTACTTTTACCCCGACGTGCAGCGCCACCGGCAATACGCGGAGCTCAACGCGTCGCTCGAGGCGCTAGGCATCGCGGGGACAGGCTCGCGACGCGCGTGGCCAACCTGCCGTGGAACGCCAACGAGGCGGCGTACGACGTTGGGCCGTGGGCGGCGAACAACGAGGCCGAGGTGCTCACGCAGGCCGAGGTGGACAAGATCGCGGCGGTGGAAACGTGGCCGATGGTGTTTTTGATTATCACATGTACGAGGATCAGCGGCGCACGGCGCGGCAGCTCATCACGGAGCACGCGATGAGTTTGGGGCCGGGGAGTGGCCGACGGAGCCCGAGGACACGGATGAGGAGGATAGCGAGTTTGGGGCGGGGGTGCCGGGGTGGGCGCGCACGATGTGTATGAGAGTTCGGGGATCGATGATGCGTCGGAGTTGGATGAGTCGGAGGCGGATTCGGTGGAGCGGATGATGGATGAGTTGGATGAGGAGGAGGCGCAGTCGAGTGTGCGGCGTCCGCCGCCGAGGCGGAGGTTGGGTCGCGGGCCTTTGATGGGGGTCGATAGTGAGGAGGATGAAGAGGAGGAGGAGGAGGAGGGTGGCGGGGCGAGATTCTCGAGTCTTGAGGCTTCGGATGGGGAGGGTCGTGGGGTCGCTCCTGCGCCGCGGGGTCAGAGGAGGAGGGTTGTGGATTCGGATGATGAAGAAGACGACGAAGGGCAACGAGAAGAGGAGCCGGTGCGTGCGCGGCGGTCGCGGTCACCGCGGAAACATGTCGTCCTTTCTGACTCGGAGTATGAGGACGACAGCAGGAGGGAAGTCCCAAAGGAAGCGATTGTGATTTCGGACTCGGAGGATGAGGAGACGAGCAAGGCGGCCCCGGTTGCGGCTAAGCGGCGGGGTCGTACCTTGGTCCAAGATTCCGACGAGGACGAGGACGAAGACGAAGACGAGGATGATGCCAAGCCGTCTGGCAGAAGAGCCAGGAAGGCCGCTGCGCGCCGCGCGCTGGAGTCATCTGATCGCGGGAGCGAAGACGAGGAGGAAGAGTCTGAGGAGGAAGAGAGCAGCGAGGAGGAAGATTCGGAGGAGGATGAGGGCCCCGAAAACCAGTATCGCTTGCTCAGAGGTTTGGGTACCACAACAAAGCGTTACGCATGACGCCCGAACCGGACTCGGGAGACGAGGATGAAGATGATGCCAACTCCTCGGAAAACTCGTATGGGCGTGGCGAGGAGGACGATGACGACGAAGATGAGCGGAACCCGTTTTTGGATGGCCTCGCCGAGGAATCCGAAGATGAAGAGGATGACTGAGGTGCTCAACAATCTGACCGTACCCGAGATTCTGCTTCTTCTTTTCTCACGCCTTTGCTTTCTTTCGCTGCTTGGCGCCAGGGCGTTGCCATTGTACTTTTTCTCCTCTTCCTTTTCGCGGGGTACAGTCCGTCCATGTACGGTTGGAGCGATCCTTGGACCCAAATAAGATGGAATCCCTTGACGGCTGGATCTCCAGGGGATCCATCTGATGTTTTCTTTTACCACTCACACACACCCACGCCATCTCGCTACATATCCGCATTTGGGACTACCCACCAAGTTTTTGCTTCTCTCTCTCTCTTCTCGAATAGACAAATCCTAAACAGGAAATAGACTGCGTATGATCAATTTGCAACGCGTGCTGGGCATCATGCATCACGGACCAGTTCCCACCGTACTTTCCCGTGTTTCCGTGAACAGTGGTATTGGGGGTTTTGCGTCGAAACCGCGTCGTATGCTTTCCTTGAAGTCTCATTTGCGAGGATATAACCCAGGTCGAGCTAAGCGACTGATGATGGAGCTAAGAGCTAGCTTCACACACACACACACACCTGTGGCAAGCTCCCTCTCTTGTCCCTCCCCACGGCGACATGTGATTGGGTTGATTGGGAATTTGGGGTATGTAGGGATGCACGCGTCCGCAGCTTCTCCGCGCGCGCAGGCTTCCCCCACCCTTGGTTCTGGGAACGTTGGGGTAATGCACGGCTCGGCTCAGTGAGGAGAGGGTGATGCGAGGTGGGGATCAGATGTGGTCCGAGGCCATGGGAAGGCCGGCGCAGGTTGAGCTGCATGGGGACCCTCACGAACATCAAGACTCTCTCGAAACCCAAAGAAACCGAGGCAGAACTATAGCCAGGTCTCCATCTCTCTCGAGGAGATGACGGGAAGGAGTGAAGGATTGTCGGGTGTGGAGTGCGTTCGTCGCACGGGACGAGTTCGAGGGGAGCCAGCGCTCCGGGATCATCTCGTGATCAAGGGTGTCTGGGAATCTGGAACGGATGGCGCTTGTCTGGGGCAACTGGTGAACACATACGATCGTGGTGGGTTGGCTGCACGACAACGTGGAGCCAAGGGCCAAGGCCACGGGTGTTGCAGCCGGGGACGCGAGGGCGGGAACGGGCTGGGAGTGGTGCGGATATGAAGAGGCAGGACTGGCACATTGGAGGGGCAGGGGTGTGTGTGCGTCTGCATTTCCAGGTTGCACAGACTGCTCCAACGGCTCTCATCTGCCTTTGCCTTTCTCTCTTTTTTTCTTTTTTTCTTTTTTTTTCTTCTTCTTTCTTGTCATCCTCTTTGCTTGGTCTTGATCATCAATTGATGTCTTCCCTAGCTGGTCACTGTGCATGGAAGCCGCCTTGGCCAGTTCGTCAACCCCCAGTTCAGAAGAGGAAAACAAAGCAAGCAGCGGCCAACAGGTCAAGTAAGCTGATCAGGCGAGACCACGGGGAAGCGATGTAACTCTGGCAAACGCCGGTGTGAGAAGTCGGGGAGTCGTGCCCCGGATCGGGTAATTTTGCCGGGCAGGGCCACTAAAGCGTGCTTCCGCCAGCAGACAGGGTTTGGTGGTTTAAAAGCGTGCCAATGACGGCGCGGCAAACGGGTGGGCGAGGGTGAGGGCTCGCTGGGCATGTGCACATGTGGTGGCTCGCGGCCCGTTTTGGATTCACGTTGGAGGAGGGATATGGATTGCGATCGCTGATTAGTGCACCGCGATAGACGCTAGTTTGCTTTCTTTATCGTCGTTTCGCGTCGTCGCCTTGCTGTCAAATCAATATTGGGAAGAGGTGCATGGTATTCCAAGGGTTGAAAAGGCGGGAAAAGTTTCGTGGTTGGGGTTTCCCAAGTGTGTGTGGTGGTTGTGACTGGCGATGTGACTGTGACCTCAATCGATGCAGCCGACGTTCTCCAACGCATGTAGCGAGGGTTTGTCCCAATCTGACCCACTACTCTGGAAGCGCCTTTAGATTGTATTTTCTTTTTATTTCTTTATTTTGACTCTCCTTTTGGGTTTAGAATATGTGCATGTTCGAGGCCGTGAGCTTCAATCCATTCCATCGACAAGATCAAGCTTCAAGTCAACGATCCTTTCCGAGTGCTAGTTCGCTTGGCCTCCTCCTTCGCGTGGGGTTTACGGCAATGACAGCAGGGAGCTTGCCTCGGCCAAGAGTCGCGGCGCGCAAACAAGCTTCAACTAGGCAAACCGCTGATAGATGTTGGCGCCCTGTCTCCCCATTCCTTCGTAGAGCTAGCAGAAGGATCGATTCATAGGAGCCGCCCGCATCTGTTCCGCAGTGGGTATTTTACGGGGATGGCATGACATCTGGGGGACGGGCCCCGTCTTTTTCTTCTGCTCTCGAAGGGATCGATCGAGGAATTGAGTGCATGTGGGGAATGGCCGACCATCTTTTTGTTTGGGGCGAGCGATGGAGCGACAGATTGAAAATGGTCGGATCGACCGGGCTAGGGTTGAGAGATGGCATACAATCAGTTCGATTTCGATCTGTATTTCGGCCCTAGATGTCTCGAGCTCAATCACGGCTTGAACGGCGGCCGAGTAATAGCGCCCCAACCGGACTGGGCTTTGCGATTTTCCCAGTGCCGCTAGCAACATTGAAATGTCACAATGCTTGAGCCGCAGGAATGTTTGGTTTTCAAGTTGGGTCTTGTTTGGCATGAGCCTAATCTGGGGCTACATGTACGCAACATCAATCAATTGAAGCCCGCCCCTGCGCGCGCATGTAGCTTCTTGATGGGTGGGTTCTACCTCGGTAGTCTCGCCCTTCTTTCCTTCTTCTCTATCTCGGGTGATTGAAAGAGTATTCCAGCGGGGAATGGCCTTGGAAACAGGATGGCAGTGGCTCGACAAAGCCTGCGAGGAATAGAGTACATTCCCGTGCTTTGCCCTTTGCCCTTTGCTCTGCCTGTCACCTTCGGCACCTAATCCCGCGAATGAAAGCGGCCGAGAGCAAAGAATCCGGGGTTTCGCCCGTTTGTAGGCTCTGATTGGCGCGCATCGGAGACTTTTGGAGGTGGCCGGCGCCATGTGGAGAGAGAGGAGAAAGGGACGTGGCCCCCCTCCTCCCCCTGCCAAAGATTGAGATGTTGGGGTAAACCAGTGGTGTTTGTGCTTGTTCCGTTGGCGTCGCCTAGTCTCTTGTTTTTCTTTGCTTCCTTGCTTGTTCTACATGTCAACTTTCTTTGCACGCTTGTGAAGGGGGCCCTTCGTGTTTCGCTCGGGTCAAATCAACGGCGTGCTACTTGCGTGTACGAAGTACAAAACCCCCAAAGCTGCCCAATGCGCTGATTTCGTCTCCAGATGGACGCGGAACGAGGTGGTGAGATGGGAATAGCGCAGAACCTCGCCTGGACATGGCTACCCCGGTTTTTTTCTGGTCGTCTTCTCACACGACCGCCGGAGAGGGCGGCTTCGAGGGTGACATCCAAGAGGGTCGCGATGAAATATACTTGCAGATGACGAGGGTCCGCGCCTGCACTTTATATAAAACTGTGTCCCCGACCGCCATCTCCGTTTGCTTCTACCCTTTTTTATTTTTCTTAGTCGTACATATCGATTGAAGCTTTTGGTTTCTTAGAGAGTGAAGTGACTATCACTTGAAATTTTCTCTCTCTTTCTCACCTTCTTGGGTTTACCCTCCTCGTGTACGAGGGTCGAAAAACAAGACACCCGACCCCTCTAGTAACCTTTGGAGAGGCCGAGAGAGCCCTCCCACGACATCAAAATGGCGCTTCCGCCTAAATGGTATCAGGTGCGTTCTAATCGCGTTTGCTTTTCGTTGCCGTTTCTCGTCGTTTTGTCTCCGGTTCGGTGTAGAGCGGTCGTGAATAAACAACCGGGAGGAGAATGGCCAAGACATGCAGAGTACGACAGAAGCCAAGGAAAAACATCAGCTAACAAGTTTCGAAACTAGTTCCTTGTGAGCGTCTTCGCCTCACTCGGTTCCCTCCTATTCGGATATGACTTGGGTGTCATTGCCGAAGCCATCGCGGCGCAATCCTTCAAGTCCATGTTTGGCGACAAGCCCAATGAAATGTACGTTGCTCCCAACGACACAACCTCTTTTTCCTCCCAATCTCCATCAACGCGCTCCCTAACACTTCTTTGATCTTCTAGTGGTGCCGTCGTCTCCGTCTTCACCGGCGGCGCCTTCTTCGGCGCCATGTTCGGCGGTCCCGCCGGCGACCGTTTCGGCCGCAAAATGACCATCCTCATCGGCGCCATCGTCTTCTGCCTCGGCGGCGCCCTGCAGACGGGCGCCAGCAACATCAACTTCCTGTACGCCGGCCGCTGCCTCGCCGGCGTCGGCGTCGGCTTCCTCACCATGATCATCCCCTGTACCAGGCCGAGCTGTGCCACCCCAGCATCCGCGGCCGCGTCACCGCCCTGCAGCAGTTCATGCTCGGCATCGGCGCCCTCGCCGCCGCGTGGATCTCCTGGGGCACGTACATCGGCTTCGCCCCCACCGACAACAAGCAGTGGCGCGTCAGTCTCGGTATCCAAATTATCCCCGGCGGTATCCTCGCTCTTCTCATCCTGCTGTTCCCCGAGTCCCCCGCTGGCTCATCGACAACGGGCGAGTCGACGAGGGCCTGCGCACCTTGGCCAAGCTCCACGCGCACGGCGATATCTCCAACACCTTTGTGCAAGCCGAGTTCGCCCAGATCCAGAGTCCATCGCCATCGAGCACGAGCAGTCCGCCAAGAGCTACCTCGAGCTTTTCCGCGACAAGTCCAGCTTCCGCCGCCTCTTCCTCGCTTGCGCCCTCCAGGCCTCGGTCCAGATGACCGGCGTCAGCGCCATCCAGTACTACTCCGTTGCCATCTACGAAAAGATTGGCATCGCCGGTGACGAGACCCTCAAGTACCAGGCCATCTCCTCCTGCATCGCCCTCTTTGCCCAGTTCCTCTGCATCCTCTTCGTCGACCGCTTCGGCCGCCGCTGGCCCCTTATCCTCGGCAACCTCGGCAACATGGTCACCTTCATTATCGCCACCATCCTGCTCGCCAAGTTCCCCGCCGGCTCTCCCCAGGCCAGCGGCAGCGCTTCCTGGGCTTTCATCGCGATGACCTGGCTGTACAACTTCTCCTTCTCCGCCACCTGCGGTCCCTCTCCTGGATCATCCCCGCTGAGATCTTCGACATGAAGGTCCGCGCCAAGGGTGTCTCCATCGCCACCATGACCTCCTTTGCCTTTAATACCATGATTGGCCAGACCACCTCGGTCGCTCTCGATGACGAGCACGGCATTGGCTGGAGGTGGTATATTCTCTTCATCGTAAGTTCTTTGTTCCTTCCATTTCATTTGTATCTTGAGGGACTGGAAACGTGATAAGAGCTTACCTCGACTAACTTTCTTCCTACTCAACGCAGGTCTGCAACTTCACCAACGCCATCTTCTTCTGGGCCTTCCTCCCCGAAACCGCCAAGCGCCCCCTCGAGGAGATGAGGTACCTCTTCACCGAGGCTCCCATCTTCGTCCCCACCATGGACATGGAACAGTTCGCCACCAACGAGCTCGAGCGCAGGGTCGTCGAGGTCGAGACCAAGCAGGAGCAGATGGCCGGCGTCGCCCAGCACGAGGCTTAATCTTGCCCCGAAGTCGGCAAAACGAGTTGATTTCCTGGAACCTGCGTGATACACTAGAGCGCATGCGTGTATCTGTATGTGTGTGTGCGTGGGTGTGTCCCACCACGCAGCATGCAGGCAAGCTATGCACATCGTGACGCGGGGCTTTTGACTTCTTCCCATTGATCTTCATTTAGTTGAGCACTTTCTTTTCTCAATAATACCACTCTGTTCATTCTAGCGGCACATAAACTCCCATGTCCCTTTTGTGAACAAGAAAATGAAACCCTCAAAACCGTACAAAATCGTAGTGTACAGGAAACAAATGCATCAAGTCCTTTCTTCACCCTCGAAATCCTTCTCCGAAAGCAACCTATTTCCTAACATGGCCCCCATATGTGTCCGTGGGGATGCCTGCGACCCGTATCGAATTTCCATGAGATCCCTCATTAATCGAATAGGACTCTTGTAAAACCCAGACTTGCCACCAACACGCCCCCTTTGGTCCTTGGCCATGAAGCCATCCGCGTCCAGCTCCTCTCCCTCCCTCGCCTTTTGCCACGAGAGCCCCAAGAACCTGCACGTGGCAACGTACATCTTGTGGTCGTTGAAATACAATTGGCCCGCAAACACGTTGAGCCCCACCGTCAACACCCGCGGCACCTTGGCCTTGACCGGCTCGGGGTACGTGAAGAGCCTGAGATTGTCGAGAGAGGGTACACCGAGTTGGCCCTCGGGCAGTAAATATGCATGCGTGCGGTTTGACTCGACTTCATCGTGGGCAAGAGTTGATTGGCCTCGAAGGGGCTGATAATCATCACCACCCTGCGTCCGTCAGCTACCTTGTTGGTCACAACCCACTGCACGGAACGAAGATAGTGGTCTAGAGCGATTTTCTGGTGTTTAGGGATCGAGACGGTCGTGGCAAAGTCGGACGACACCAGCAAGGTCGGTGCTCGGGTCTCTGGGAAATATGCCATGCCAAATTCCTTGCCAGCCTGGGTGGAATCTAATGATTTAAACGCTCTCATGTACCCTGGTGAACTGGACGGTAGAGCTCCAGTGAGGACAAACTGCTGCACGTCGCCGTGAAGCGAGTGCTTTGCTGGCGCTGTCGGCGGTGGCCTCTCCAGTTCGCGCTCTCGCTCCGTCTCCGGGTCCAACTCACGCTCCTGCTCTTCCTGCAGCGCTGCCGCGCTGATCGTGGCCGCGCCGAAATCCCGAAGCCGCCCCAAGATGGGATCGGCCCCTTCCTCAGCGGTTGTGTTACCCCCAAGCTGCCCAAGTGGCGCTCGCCGGGGCGCTCGGGCTTGTATCGCTGGAGGATTGTGAGTGCTTCATCCTCGAGGAAATGAAGAGCTTCGTTCTCGGCCAGAGGCTCCTCGTGCTGGGTAGATTGGACCCAGAGATTTTGGTGCCTTTGGTGGCGCCAGCCCTGAGAGGCCCATAGCTGCACCCCGCGCTGCAGACTTATCCACGTCTCGCGGATGGACCAGATCAATATGTCCGAGACTTTGATCTCCTCTTCGGTATAGTCGGTGTCGCCGTCTTGGCTTTGCTGTTCCCCGTTCATCAACCGCCGGATCTTGACTCGGATCTCTCGTGGTACGCAAAAGACGACGGATTGTCCATGTCAAGCTTTCTCATTCTCATGCATCCTAGATAAAGAAAAAGAAAACGTTAGCTAGTCTCTTATCAGAGTTATGTACGATCTTGTTGGTGGAAATTGTCACAAACCCTGCATCAGTCCATCTTTTGTCTGATTCGCGCCCAGGGTGACGGCCGCACGATAATCTTTCGGGAGTTTCAAATCGGTTCCGCGTGTATGCGCCTCATCGAGAAACACGAGACACACATCCAACTTGGAAGCAAATGGCGAAGTCTGCAGCCTCTCCACGTATCCGCTGCGGTCCAACACGCTTAACTCGTCGTTGTCGTCGAAAAACACGACGCCCTGCGTGCGATCATCCATCACGCGGCCGAGCCATTGCTGGGCGACCTGGAGATTGCTCAATTCCAAAACCTGGGCGCCGACGTCGAGAATTACGCGCACGGGCGGCTCTAGGCCCACGACGAGGTCGAGTAGGGCGTCGGCGTCGGTAGCTTGGTTCGCGGACCGGGCGGGGATATCGGTGACGGATGTTTCCGGCTGTAAGAGGTAGCCTAGCACTAGGGCATTCGTGTGCTTCTGCTCAGCGAGGTCGAGCTGGGTCATATCGAGAGGCAGAAGTCGCCTCGAGTCGTTGGTGCCGCTGAAGCCCGTCGTCGGGTGTTCTTTCTTCTCGCCGAGGTCCCACCCCGACGCCGAGAGTTTGGAGGAACTCGCGCATCTCCTTCTCGAAGACGATGCGGTCGAGGAAATAGTCAATGACTGACTTGGTGCTGCGCAGGTGGGGGAAGATGTGGGCCATGCACTGGTGACGGTCTTCCACGTTGACGCCCGCCAGCGACCTGAACTTGGGCGGCATCTGGGGGTTGTCGCGGGCCCAGGCGGCGTACTCCACCTCGGGCTGGTCAGCTTTGAGGAGGTGGTCGAACACGAGGAATAGGTCGTCGTCGCTCAGCCCGGAATAGTAGTAGGAAAGACAGGTCAGGATGATGACCACATCTGGGTGGCTAAACTCGGAGCGGGGACTGGGGCGGTCCTTGGCGAGGTAAGGGACGGCCAACCTGGTCGCTGGCGTCCTCGTCAGTGCGGTTCCGTAGTTGACCCTCCATCTCTTTTGCATAAAGGCAAATGACAGGACATTGCAGGCGATCAAGCCGCGCAGAAGCACGAGCGTCGGCTTGACGGCTTCGGTCCAAAACCCACCGGCGCCCTCGCGCTCCACGCACTCAATCTCCTCATCCGATAGGTCCGGCTTGGTCAAGTATGTACGGACTGCTTCTCGGAGGGCTGGAACCTGTCTCGGGAGAGGAAAGTCCGTCAGGCCCTGGTCGCAAATGTAGGAGACGATGTGATCGAGAAGCTGGTCCATTGCATCCGACCTCAGGACCCTGGTTCTGGGGAAGCTTCCCGGTTGTGCGGCTAAGTCGTAAATCTCCATGGAGTCGGGAAATCGTTCGAGCACGCTCGGGGCAGCCGCGCGGATAATGTCGAGAACCTCTTGTATCGTCTTCCACCGCTTGCTGCCGTGGTCAATATTCTGCTGCTCGCCCATGGTGTACACCAACTCAAACTTGACACTGAAATTCTCATCGCTCTCGTCCACAATGTCCCTCGCGTGGCGGTGGAGGAAGTGCCGCGTCATGGTCAGTGATCGACCGGTGTCGAGCTTGTTCTCATCCATCGCATACTCCTTACCCATCAACTCCAACGATAGGATGTGCTCCGGCTGCACGAGAAGGACCCCACCTTCATCGCGGCACCGCTTGAGAAGGGACTGAATGGCCTGGGCCTCAGAATTAGAGACCCGCAAAGCGCGCGAGAAGGGCATCTGGAACACGACGCGGTTGAGCATCCCGCCGAGCTTGGAAGTGAGCATCTGCAGCATCTGCTGCGACTGCGGCTTGGCCACGATGACTCGCACTAGCCTGGTCCCGTCCGCCAGGGCCGCGGCGACGATGGGCACGATGACGGACGACTTTCCCTCGCCCATATTCAGCTGCATCACGGCATTGTCACCTTCGGGTGGGGTGCGCATCTGCGCGGCAATCTCCTCTTGCACGTTGCGGATCGTGAGCCCGCTCTCCACCTCCAGCAGCAAGGAGTCTGGGTGGTCGACTGGGTCCCAGTTGGTATGACCTGGATTGTTTAGCTCGCTCGCCAAGGCGGCGTGGTCGTTACGCGAGGCGGCGCATACTATGCGCTGGAGACGCTGGACGTCGTGAATCCTCTTCGCGTATTGGACAAGGCATTGCTTCCACCCCTCGGGAAGGCAGTCCCATTTATCCCTGGCTAAGAACTGTAGTAGGTAGCGGGGAGACACGCGTGGCCGGTGGGAGGCTAAGTAATCCTTGCCAGTGGAAACGCCGCTCTCGAGACACGAGGTGCTCGCCATGTAATAATTTAGCGCCTGCCCAATGCGATGGCACGTAGCGTCCCTGTGTGTCTCTGCCTCGGTCAGATGAATGCGCCAAAGGTCTTGGGCAGGAGCACTATCAGTGCTCTTGGGGCCCCTCCTGCCAGCGGCTAATTGGAGAGATTCGGCACTTTGGCGCAGCGCCGCAACATAGTCCTTTTCAAAGCCAGCTTCGGCCATACTTGCCAATGTGTTAATTAGTACACCCACTGAGCTCGGCGTTGTTCCTTCGTCAGCCTTCGCCTTTTTAGCAGTGCAAGACTGGGCCCACTGGTACGTTGTGTCGAGACCGGAAACCTCTTCGAGGGTGGTAGACTGGAGAAGACGTCGACCTCGCCAACGAAAGCCGATTTACATGGAACCGAGGGTAAGATGCTTGAGACGGAACGCGCTACAGCGCGGAGGTTATCCTTGACCCTAGGTAGTGGAGAGGTTGACGGGATGGTTTCCACAATCTCGTCGAGGTACTCGTACAACTGGCGGTTCTGGTGCCAAAGCTTTACACGCTGATTGATGACTTCGCATGCGGCGTTGAAGCGCAGGTATGTCTCCCACCTGGCGTAGTGTGTAGAGGTGTAACTGAACTCGGCCCTCCCACAAGGCCACTGTGCCATGGCGTGGTCCACGATAGATTCAATTGCGTTCCGTTGGCTACTTTGCCAGCCACCATGGGCGGACCAATAGGCCTTATTTTTCTTCCTGGGGGCATTTCTGGACTCTGGGCACTCACTAAACGAACGATGCAAACTGTCGGCCTGGAGTTTCGATATCAGCTCACCTCTCCTCATGACATATCCGTCCGCCGGAGAAAAGCTTTCACCCTGGGGGCCTGTAAATGGTAAAGAGCGGCCACGTTGACGAAGCAAGCGAGGAGCTGAATGATGTGCATGTCCGCGTCTGGGGAATACGCCAGGGTTGCAAGCCAAACCAGGACGTCAGATCTCTTCTCGCGAGCGAGGCTGCTAGGAAGGATACAGTGGTAGGCAATCATCTTTTCCGCCAGCACTGATTTGCTGGAGGCCAAAAGCCATTTGGCATCGTACATGGGCGCCTCCCCTGCGCCTATGCCAAATTGCGGCCCTTTAGATGGCCCGTACACCAGTTGGCCAGCCTTTTTTCGAGGAATTTCCAAATGTGCGCCGCCGTTCCGTTGTTCGAAATATCGAATGCTGGAGCTTCCCTCTCGCTGAACACGTATTGGGCGATATCGAACGCTCGTTGGGCCCTAGCAGACTCCTGGCCTTTGTCACGAGATGTGTAGGTCTTATCCAGCGTGGTGTCGTGCTTCTCGGCGCCGTAGCGTGATATGCGAAAACATGAGGTTCGCATCTCATCGCGCGCAATGAGGCGGTCCTTGTGCTTGTCGAACCTGGGAGGTTCCAAGTACTGCTCGCGGTAGAAGAACTTTCTCTCAGCAGCGGCCTGGAACAGCGCGGTAACGGCCCCGAGGAAACCCGGATGCTGTGCCATGAAGCCAACGTTACTGGCCCACGTCACCGTCTGCATGGACTGCAGGTGCGAGGGTAATATACTCGTCCGGGCGTCAACCTTGCGATCTGTCCCAGCTTGAAAAGGGTTTCCTGCGAGAATAGCACAAACGACTTGACGGCCGCAGACCTCAAAATGTCGAGCGCCGTCTCCGTCCCGGTATGCATTGTCAGCGGGTCGGGAAGACAGAACGACGTCAGGGCATGGATGTGGCATAGAAAGAGCTTGCTTTCCAGGCTCCCATTGTCCACTAGCCGGCAAAGTTGGGGATCCACATCGTAGGCGTGGGCGCGGACGACGTGGCTTTTGTTGATGAATGAGGAAACGTGCATTCGTGACATCTGGGAAGTGATCGGACCTTCTGCGAGAAGGACCTTGCGAGTCATGAAATCAGAGTGACTACTACACAAGACGAGCTTGTTCTGAAACCCCACCAGCGTGTCGATGGCTTGATTTGCGTCGATAACCATCCCTCGGAATTGACTTGACGCGACGGTGCTAGTGCCCTCCTGCAGCGTGAAGGAAAGTTTCAATTTCGGCAGTTCCATGTCCAAAACCTGCAACGTAGGGTGGTAAATCAAATGGAGGTCGGAAACATCGACGAGTGGCCCAAGGAGCCTGCTGAGCAAGCCTGAGGTGCGGCTTTTGCTGTTGATGGCCTCGGGAGCTATGAGTACGCGCCCGTTTTGCACAAGCTGCCACCTGGTGCTCTTTTTACCTTGGTCAACCTCCAGTTGTCCTGCGATGTGCTCCAGGGTTCTTTGACGGGCCGGAATTCGATGATGTTGGACTCCATGTCATACCAGTGGACGTAATTATCGACAAATTCCGTGGGAAAGCCCGTAAACAGTCCCGGCTCGATAAACTCCCAGGTTTTCCCTCCCTTTATCGCCCTCACAAGCAGATGGTGCCGACTAGGTCCTTGTTCAGGCCCCGAAGACCCGAAGTGAACCTCGTGGCCCATGTGCAGCTTCTTTCCAGAGAACCCTAGTCCCGGGTAGCATCCGGGCATTACCTCGATAGCCGTCCGTCCAAAGAGCCTCTTGTACATCGCATGGTTCTCGTAACTGGCTGGAAGGCGGTTTAGTGGGTACCCGTTAACACGTAGCTCGCCAGTAACCAGGCAGTAGTGAACCACCATCGCGTCACCAGTACCATTTTGGGACCCGCTCTTGGTCGTCAGCCATGTCCTTTGGCCGTGGGAACACCACGTCTTGTCGACGGCGCTTCGCCAACCCTCGCCGCTTGGTCGATATGCCGCCCAGGAGAACTCAATGGCGTCGTCTAGGCAGCTTCTCGACCTGTCAGCGATGAGACTGTAGAGTATGTCGCATGTGCGAGCGCAGAGAAGTTGCCACCTCCAGTGGAGCATGGGCTGCAAGGCGTCGGTACAGCAGTTTTCAGAGTAACTCTCCTGAATTGTGATGCAGCTCTTGATAAAGTCTGCTGCATTAGAGTCTTCTTTGAGAATGAGATGCAAGACGGATTGGCCATTTGCCAACTTGTCATCGAGGTTGAATGAGTCGGCGTGTACCAGCGCTGCGTGGGCGACCTTGGCCCGCAGGCTAATTTTGCCCTCATCGGATATTGTGTCGTTGACGCGATCCTTGAGCACCTTGATCCAGTCCCAGGCTATTATTCGGGCCTTGGCAAGAAACAGAGGGCCATATGTCGGACTCGGTCGGATTCGGCCATGGTAAGGAGCCGGCGGGCCACCATGATATAAGTCGATAGCTCGTGGATGCACTGCCAATTATCCTCGATTTTGGCGGTGGCCTCGCCCAAACTCGCCAGCATAGTTTCGCAGAACCGATCTTCAAAGACGGGAATTGAGTGACTGTCACGGTACCACCTTAGGTCGTCAGTACAAGGCCCCGCTTGATACATGCATTGGAGGACTACTTGGGCTGTCTCAATCTTTCGAAAGTCGACACAGGGCGCCGTGACTTGCGCGAGAAGATTTTGCCACTGGATCCGATGCCCCAGGGGTATGGAGCAAAGCGCCTTGTATTCATTCAGGGACATGTGATCGGGGCAGCTGTGCTGCGAGGCTAGCACCGTGTTAGGCGAGGGGCCATCCGGAGAGGCTGGTGGTCTCATTAGGTATACTTGGAGCGCACGAGAGACGGCCGGCAGCTTGTAAGTTGCGGAATCAGCCGTAGCAGTAATCTGAGACGCCGAGTCGATCTTCCCGACGAAGCGGGAGACCGACTCGTCAAAGTATTGGTACTGCAATGCATTTTGAAAGATTACATCCTTCTCGAATTCACACTCGACAGGCGTTTGGAGATGTAATGTGACTTGACGTTGGCTTTGGCTTGTGAACCGAGACCAATGCGTCGCCCTCCCAACCGCTGCGGCGGCGCCGAGAAGTGCTTTTGAAGATGGACATCCGCAGAAAGCAAATAGACTCTCTCTGGTTTGGCTCCGCTGGTGTAGTCATGGTTTAGGATATCAAAGATGACAAAGTTGGTAGCTTGACGCCAAATGGCGTACCAGTGAGGAATCTGCAGCTCAAAGACAACGGCCTTGGCAGATGCCTCCTTGGAGGAGTGGCCACTCGAATATGTGAATCTCCATCCCCTGTGCCTGCCGTAGCAGGGCACATTTTTACAGCCTCCCTTGTGTTTGATATACTCGTCGTCGTCAACTATTTCAGTATAATATTCGCACGCGGCCGCATAGTATTGAGACATGAGGCTGTTGTGCTGTGCCAGTTTCGTGCGAAATTCCTCCCGTTTTCTTTCCTGACATTCCGTGGCCTCCTTTTGAATGGATCGGAGCAGGTCCTGGTGTTTGGAAGATAGATCAACGTACTTCGCAGCGAAGCTGTCTGCCTGGCCGAATCCTGTCCATGGACAGGGCTGCGACGCGCCAAAACTGCGCCCTCGCACGTACTCCTCCACTTTGGCAAGTCTCTCCATCTGGGATCGGAACGGGAGAAGGAGGACCTGGAAATGATCTGGGTCAATGCATGGGTCGTAGGTAAGCAGGAGAGGGCATTCCTTCGTGGCTGCCCGGTCACAGACGACCCAGAGCTCGAGAACGCCGAGGACCATGAGGGACCACGCTTCAGGGTTGTGGGTGGCGGAACTAGCCGCAGGGCTGCTGTGCGACTGCATTGCCTCGAAACAGATTCGGGTGGTTTCATCTGTGGAATTTATCGTGGCAGACGCACCTCCTAGCTCCGTCATCATCACCGAACATCGGTCGAGGGTGGAAGCACAAAACACTTTTTCCTTCCCAGTAGATAGCATTTCCCATGGTTTTCCCTCCTTGGTATCGACAAGGGGGCACTGCGGCTGAAACAGCTGCCCCATCGCCTCGCCCCCGCGCTCCGAGATTGTTTGGATGAAGCGATCCACCGCGGGGAGGTAAGCTCGGGTATCCTTCTCAAAGTCTAGTTCCGCGAGACCAGCAGCAGAGACACGAGCGCTATCGGCCTCGCGCTCCTTGTCTCGCACAGCCTGCCAATGAGCCTTGAGCAATACGGTTGCATTTTTCATCGCGGTGCTGATTCTCGATTCCAGCGGCCGCGAAAGGCGTGCGTCGAGTTTGTGAAGACGACGGGAGACCTTGGCCTTCATTGCGTAGACAAGGTCGGTCCACTCCAAGCAGTTGGTATCAGACTGGAGGACCTTGGATGCTTCAGCGAGTGTATTGGCTGTAAAGAAGAGCATAAATTGCTTGTAAAGGCTGGACGCCTCTACGGCAGGAAGGCCAGATCGGACGAGTGCCAGCTGGATGGAGACCCGCATGAGCAGCCACAGAGAGGACCTTCGCCACGGCAAGAGACAATCTTTCCATAGGACCTCGTCCCGCGTATGTTTCTTGATTCCCTGGACTTGAACAGCGCTCCCGCGGGTGAGAGCAGGATGCTGGCAAGGAGTTCGGTAACTATCATGGGATGGACCGGCTCTCTGGTTTCGTCGTGGGACTGGTTGGCCTTTTTCTGGGTTGGCGATGTCCCGTGGGCAACCTGGCCGCTCATCCTCTGGATCGTGTTGCAGATGGAAACGAGAAAGTCATCGTCGAGCTGCTCCATAGGGACCTCGAGGGCGGCTCCGGGAAACAACGTATGAGACGGCCGAGGGTATCGGTAACGGCGGTGTTGCCGGCCACTAGTTCAAACATCTCGAATCGGATCGAGTCGTCTAGTCGATACATGAAGATTCCGGCGTTCTGGTCGGAGACCTTGACAGGGATAGGGAATATGCCAACTAGCTCTACATTAGAGTCATGCTACAGCAAGCAGCCGGGAATCAACGCCACGGGGATCAACGCAAGGAGTTACACCTACCATTATCATTGCCAAGCAAAGGTTGAAACTGTTTCAGAAGCTCATTGCCAATAACCGTAATGTCCCGGTTTGCCGCTGTGAAGTTGTGAACTGCAACCACGTTGGCAGTAGCATCCATCGCGGCTTGCAAAGCTCGGACGACCGAGGGTTCGGCATCCTTTTGCGTAGTACTGAAGTCTTTCAAGGACTTAAAAACCTTGGTGGCGAGGAAGTATTCGTGATCACCGTGAGTATCGTTCTCTTGAGGCAGCTTTGGGGGCAAGAAGACATGATTGACGAGGTACATCCACTTCTTGGATGCTTCGGAGCAAAAAGCCATGTCGACTGGCGGAGAACAAGGCCGTTAAAGCTCGCGTTGTTGGGAAGCAGCAGTTAAAAGAAGCTATCGATGGAGAAGATGAGGGTATTAGAGAAAAGTAGAGGTATCAGAGACAAGGGAAGATGGGGGATGAAGAATGGATGTGTAGGGAATCTCGAGAATAGAAGGTGTTGACTGGAAGCGAGGATGAGAAGAAACTGAGGTGGCAGGTGGGAAGGTCGGCGCCACAACACTTCTTGGGAGGAAAGTAGGAATAGGTAGTAACCGATATAGGGAGTAGCCGATGGGTTGCGGATAAGAAGTCGAGCAATGAAGCGATGGAAGCCAGGAAGAGAAAAGTAGGTTGAACCAGTGGGTATTTAACGCGTCCCATGGACAAGGCAGGAGCAACCAAGGAAGGTGAGAACAGAAAAGAAATCGAGAACCTTCCCCCACCACATATCCGTTGCCGGTGCTTGAGGCGCCCCCTTCGCCTTCTACGAGTATAAGTCACTAGCCAATGGGGTTGCTCCTATCCGTTGGCCTTCCGCATCACGCCTCCGATTTCCATTGGGCCCGCGGGCCGCCACGCCAAGCAGTGTGCTGTCTTTCGTCCAGGTAGAAAGAAGAGGAATGAGGAAAAGAGGAAAAAGCAGCGAAAACGATCCGGAGGACGTCAAAAACGATGGCTTGGGAACAGGGGAGGGCACGCCTAATCAAAAGTTCTTGTCGGAGACGAAAGTAGATGCTGGCTACCGGGAATGCGTCGGAGACTTTGATATCCATAGATACGGGCTGTATACACTTGGGCCTGGACCCGGGCCTGGCTTTGAACCTCCAACCGTGACACCAGCCAGCCCAGTACCCCGCCGGAGGCCAGGAGTCAGGTGAGTTGAACAATTTATTCGGGCAACATCCATGCCAAGTGCGCTGGATCCGACACACGATGGGGAAACTCATATAGGGGCAACGATTAAATTGCCTAGGTTTTTCATTTTGGGTTCCTGAAAACTTGACGAGTCAAATACAGATAATGGCACCGCATAAAGATGGATGTGGCGATGCGCAACTGTAGAAAGCTTGAACCAACACGCGAAACGGGCCGGGTTTTCTGGCCGCTCCCTCGGCTTCGGAGGGAGCGCCAACACAATGAATTGCCAAGGAGAACTTTGGACCGAATCCAGAACCAACATGAACCCGAAAGTGGAATATCTCGATGGCCTCTTAATTGAGGCATTCGGGCCTGGAAACAGGACCGCCGACACACACATCCCACTCCGTAGGTGGCACACGCGGGAGGGAGCCTGTCGCCCACATCCAGGCAGGATTGCTGTCAAGAATCGACAAAGGCTTTGATACTCACGCACTCTCGGGACGAAGGGGATAGTTAAGTAATTCTGTAATTTTTTTCCTTTGATTTTTTTAAAGAAAATAGGGATCCGTGTCCACGATACAGGGCTGTGTGGCTCATTTCATAAATAATCATACACACATTCTTTCTAGTAAGAATGAGCTCGTACACACAAATTCTTTCAAGATCAGGACGATACGCCACCAGATATGCGTTCGACACATGATTAATAACTCCCCTTTCCCAAGCCTGATGGATGAAAATATCCTGAAAAATCTATCCTATTAGTAATGTATATTTCCCCTATCCGTTTGTATTGTTTCAGATTCTCTTTTCGTCACCACAAAGGATAAACCCCAGGACGATGGGAACCGAGTAGCACCCGCTTTCCCTCTAGACCCGGGCTACTTTCCCCTTATTTTTCCTGATCGGCACTGCGCCTCGGCTCGTCCCTATGGCACAGATACCCCTCCACCCGCCTCGCCAACTTCACCGCCGGCGCATCGAGGGCGCGGGTACCCAAGTCCGAGACGATGACGAGGATAGTGCCGAGGATGGCCAGCCCCGCGAACCACGTCATTGTGCGCTCGACGGGAGTGGTGTTGCCAAAGGTGCCGCGAACACCCCACGCCGGCTCGGCGGGGTTCTTATTGGAGGCGGGGCGGCCGGTGGCGCCGAGGGTGTGGTGCTGGAACATGTTGAGGACGGCGTGCTGCATGAGGTAGAAGCAGAAGCTGATGCGGCCGGCGTACTGGGGCACGGGGAGCTGAGGAAGCGCCGGATGGCCGGGGTGCGGCCGACGGACCAGACGGTGCCGAAGGCGGCGAGGGCGAGCCAGAAGCGGGAGGGGAGGTCGCTCTTCTCCTTGACGAAGGAGGAGAGGGTGAACCGCTCGAGCCAGAGGTAGGCGGGGGTCATGTCCTCGCGGCGGGGCGGGTAGGAGAGGATGAAGAGGGAGAAGACGAGGACGGCGTAGCGGCCGGCGACCTTGGCGGCGGGGAGGTGTTTGGCGATGGGGACGTTGGCGACGGAGAACTTGCCGCCGCCGATGGGGAGGAGAGCAGCGGCATGGGGAGGAGGGATTCGGAGGCGAGGCCGTCGCCGTCGTGGCCGGCGGCGTCGTCGTCGGATTCGCGGGCGTGCTGGGCGCAGTAGTGGTCGGCGAGCAAGGCGCCTCCCATGAATTCGAAGGCGGCCCAGCGGGCGGTGACGAGGAGTAGGCCATGATGAGGAGGAAGGCGAGGCGGCGGGCGCGGGCGGAGCGGAGGGGCGCGACGGCGAAGAGGACGAGAAAGAGGAAGAGGGAGTGGCTCAGCTCGATGGGGATGGTCCAGAGGTGGGGGTCGTAGCGGGAGCGGAGGGAGCCGGCGTCGAAGTTCCAGGGCCAGGCGAGGTTCTTGAGGGCGTCGTGGGCCCACTCGTAGAGGGCTTCGAAGACGGTGTCCTTGGGTTTCATGAACCCGTGCAGGAGGTCGAGCTGGATGAGGACGGCGACGGCAAAGGTGACGGCGAGGGGGGCACGAGTAGGCGGATGGGTCGGCGGAGGGCGGAGGAAGAGAGGATGGCGAGGGATTTGGCGACGGCGGCGGAGGTCGGGGCGGCGGAGGAAAAGGAAGACGGCGCTGTGGAGATGGCGGGCCGGGCGTAGAGGGCCTGCAGGGGCCGGCAGGATAGGGCGAAGCCAGAGATGACGAAGAAGACGTGGACCATGGGGGCGCCCGAGTAGATGAGGCGGAGGAAGGGCAGCTGGATGAGGGAGGAGCCGGCGTCGCCGTTGCCGCCGTAGTGGGGAAGGAAGGATTTATGGTTGTAGTCGGTGTAGTGGAAGGCGAAGACGGCGCAGGCCGCCAAGCCGCGGAGGCCGTCGAGGTAGGAGGTCGGGTGGAGCTTCCGGGGTCGGCGGCCCCGTCAGCGTTGATGAGGTCGACGATGAAGCTTGGCACCAGGCACGAGAGGAGCCATATGGCTAGGTTAATGAGGGCCCTGGGCCGGAGGGTGGCCGAGGGGAATTTGAGGCCCATGATTGGCATGGACGTGGAACTCATTGTTTTCTTCTTTTTCGTAACGCCTCTCGTTCTTTCCCCGCTATTTTTCCCTCTCTTTCGGGGTTTCCACCGAGTCCTTGTTTTAAGGATATCGTCGGATTACGCGCCTCGACTTGGAAAAGGAGAGAAGAGTAAAACAAGAAGAAAAGGAAAAAGGAGCGACAGGCAAGAGAAAGGGTAGGAAAAAGGAGGCAAGATGCGCTAGCTCATTCGCCTTCCAGGGCGATAAAAAAGGGGATGGTAAGCACGCAAAACTAACCCCCTCACTGAAAAAAGACTAGAAAAGAAGAGAATGAAAAGGGCCACCTCGAGTACAGATCAGTCGTCTGCGACAGGATCGTTGAGGCTACACCACTCGAATGTCCAGTCTCGTCTCCTCAAAGTCAGGACCGGCGGCGTTCTCTCATCTGTCTCGTGAGGTTGTAGAGTCCCGGCTTCCAGCGTGAACTTTGAAGATGGTGGCCGGGAAGGAGCGGGAGAAGGTCGAGTCCGCTTGAAACGACGCTGGTCCCGTCATAAAAAGGTACGTCACTAGTGTGCCGTTGTCGTTTCGTCCTCGGCGTGTTTCCGTATCAAGAGCGAGCGATCGTTCTTGGCCTTGTTCGAACCAAGAAGAGGAAGAAAAGAAAGAGGAGGGAGGGTAAAAAGAAATCAAAGAAACGAACAAAGAGAAACCCTCAAGATGGTGGTTCGCGTAGTCTAGTGCACTAGTGTCCTGGCTAAGGGATTGATGCAAGTGGGAGAAAGTGGGGATTTCGGACAGAGGTGCGCCAATGTAGGCCTTGTTTTAAGAATAAAGTACTTGGAGGTTCAGACGAAACACGACCTTGGACTGCGCCATTATTATTAACCTGGTGGATCGCTACTTGCAAAGCAACAAGACGGCCATTGTGGGGTGGAGGAGCTTGAGGAGATGGATGCAACAAAGTAATAACAGGACAGGAGAGGAGGACTGCCTGATCGGGCCATGATTTGTGAGTATCTGTTCTGCTGCGCTAGTACTAGTACAACAAACAAGTGTGTCTAGACCCACCTCCTCTTGCTCCTGTCCATCTCGCTCTTCTGTGTCGCTGTCTCTGACGACTAGAAAAGAACATTCAAAGCTGGTGGAGATTCTTCAGGGGAGAACTGGCAGGAGATGCCCCAACCAGACCACCAGAGCTCTCTGAACCCTTCAAGGTATGAGGTACCCCCTTGTATTCGCAGGGTGCATCAAGGAAACAGTAGAGTATTATCCAAAAAGGCGGGCTGGACTTGTCGAAGTCTGGCCGTTTGAGGGATAGGAAGCTAATAATCACTGCGTCGTTTGCAATATGGGTCTCACCAATTTGGAAATGAAGCAGGTGTCCTCGGCCCCTCTGGAGGCTAACATGCATTCAATTGATCAGGGATGTGGCGGAGGGTAATCATCAATTGATGGTGCGCCGTCGTCCGGTCCCTGCCCCTCCCCCTGCTCCTGGGAGGAGACGGGCAAGACGCCCGCTCATCATTGAAATGGATTGGATTTGATCATTGATACCATGTACAACATCGACACACCAAACAACATTGAACCTAGCAAATGAACCCGAAACTTGGCTTGGTACTTGTACCGAGGTCGAAGCCGGGCGTGCCCCCACTTTTCTGTTCCCCTGCTCCTTCTTTTGAGTGTAACTTTTATTTCCCTCCTTCCGCTTTTTCTTTTTTTTTTTTCTTTTTCTTTTTCTTTCCTTTTTTTTTCTCCTTTAGCTTGCACGTGTATTTTCACCTTGCATCGAAACTTCCCTGTTTTCAGCACAATCTGCGACAGCAACGACGTCAATCCCCTGAACCGAAAAGGAAATGACGAACAGTCCAGGAGTCGAACCCAGTCAGCCAGCGCCCGATATTGACAATGCCCCCTTCCACACCAGAATGACACAGTGAATCAATGAAATAGCACACCCAAATTTCGATATCGCCCACTGTTGATGGATCCATTGGGTTTGATGGATGTTTCCGAACAAGCCGATACTTCATTGCATTGACGTATTGTATGGAAAATGGATTTGGGAGAGACCCCTCGCTCATGCTATATTTGGAAAACCAGACGCTCGCGTGCCATTTGAATTCTAGAGCTTCTTCCATGTAGCGACTGTAATGGCTGAATGGCTTCCAAGCTCTCCTCCATTTTAATCCGTGATGAACCTATCACTCCATCCCTCGATCCATTCAGCTCGCAAAGAGCAAAGTGGTGAAGACAGGTTCCGTGTGCGGCTGTGTCTCGCGTACCCCAAGGGTGAATCTCACCTGCCCACTGATAACGCTTACTTCGAGGGCGAGCTAACGAGAGCTAACTCGAGCGAAACCAACCCAGATTGATTGGATTCGTCGAGATCCATCAGTGGCGCCTGCCCACTTGCCAATTTTCATCTTATCCTGCGCCGTACTATTTATTCCCCTAGCCTCAGCAAAGCTCCTCCAGTCCGCTCCCATTTCTTTTGTGTTCAGGGGTTGCAAGTCCCCAAAGTGACAAACAAAACCAGTAGATGAAGCCCAGCCATCAATAGCGGGTGTTTTCAGCCACCCCCTTCCGTGAAGTCCAAGTTGGATGCGCCCACGGCAGCACGCGAAACGGCAGGAGAGTATGCGTGAGCGGACGGAAGTGACCCCTCGCCTCCCCTCCCCCTTGTCCGCTCTTGATCCTGCTTGTCACTGCTCAAGCACTATTCCTCGGCTTGAAGCTTCCAATTTCCCCAAACGCGCGCACGGTCCCGACGGCGGGCCCGCCCTGAAGCCGATCGCCAAGAGATGCAGCTCTCGAAAATGCAATCTTCAAGCTTCTCTTTGTTATGTCTTTGCTCCATTCCCATTCAGCAGCGAAAGCGTGACCTCAAGCCAGGCTTTTCCCACGATCAGGCGTCATGAGGGCTAAATCTTGTCGGTATTGATGCACCATCCCTCTGCACGTCTGGTCATTGCCCCATCGAAGAGCAGCTGGCCGGGTTGAGCCCACATCAAAGGCTCCCTCGCTCAGCGCTCACTTTTCACGTCCCAGTTAGATTTGATTTGATGCATGTCCAATGTAATGGTGTGCAAGAACACCCTTGTTCTTACATGTATTCTTATTAGGCTCACCTCAATTATTAGAGCCCTTGCTCCTCCACCTACTGCCCAAAATGTCGCGTGCCCACGTCAAATCCAAATATTTCTCTTTCCCCGAGGTGTTCCCGGGACGAGTCGCAAGGCAGTATTGAAATGCATCTTGACTTTTTCTTTTCTTTTGATTTATTATGCCTGGAATCCCTCAACCGTTCCGCAACGCCTGATCAGGATCGTGCAAGCGCCTCTGCGGCTATCCGAACGCGGGGGCGGGTGAGGCGCTTTGTTCATCTTGGCACCCAGGATGTGACGATCGAGGCTGGGTCCGCCCAATCCTTTGCGACTGACCTTCCATGACAAGCCAAACCAGTCAACGAGATGCATGTGAGACTTGGACGCCACTCACTCTCGGCGATGCGATTATTATCATGATATTGTATTTCGCATGTTTGACAACTTGCTTTTCTGGTGTAGTCTTCCACTGTGGTGGCACTAGCCCTCAAAATTCTCCGAAACGCCGTCTTTTGTTCTTTGGTGTTTCTAGCTTGGGTTTAATTGTGCTGTTGAGGAGCAGTTCGGATATTCAAACAACACACACCACCATGGAAACCCAAGCACTCAATATCAACCACCTCCCCTCACCCCCAAAAATCCGGAGAGAGGTGTCTGCAGCTTCACAAGTAAGCCTCTCCCGGCGGAGTTGAGAACCGAGCTTGCAATACGCCTTGAGGACTTGTTCAGTTTTGCTGGATGAGATCCACGGATCCCGTTGCTTTGGTGGAGACTGTCGAACAAGCCGGAGTTCCGCGTCTCATCAGATCACGATCAAAACACAAGCACAAATAGAAAAAAAAAAAAAAAAAAGAGGTAAAAAAGGAAAAAAGTTAACAAGGGGAACCACGATATGAGACTGGCCGTTTTTTGTCTAGTTCTAAAGTCGGGTTCTCAGTAACATTGGGATTCCCTCGCCCACCACCCATCATCATCTTCATAATCATTCATCTCTCCCCTCTTGACCCAAAATGACACCACCCATGCAACGCAATGATAGTTCAGTGGGCGTTTGCCAGATGCCGTAAACCGCGTGAATATCGGCCAGGTGCAAAAAGGACCAAGTCTTTTTCTTCTTGAACGAAGGCAGTCTCGTCTGTTCGCAGAGTAACGTGTGTATATATGTAGTCGTATGCTGATGCAAAATTTGAAATGCAATAAACCAAAAGAAAGAGTCCAAAGCTCGAATAAGCCCTCATTTCCCATTTCATCGGCGACAAAGTCGGAACTCTAGTGGTACATGTAGAACATGTATCTGACCCAGCGCTCGACCTGTCGCAGCAGTACCCTCTCCACACGGCCCTTCTGCCTTCACCCACTCGCCCCTGCTTCGTTTCTCGCCTTCCACATGGCGCAGTTCGCCAGTCTAACTAACTCCATGATGAATTCGTTCATGGCTTGCAGGTATCCCATCTCCTCCTCCGTGCCCTTGCCGACTCCCGATGAGACCGTTTGCGAGATGCCTACCGACGATGCGAGGAGCTCGAGGTCCTTTTGCGCCAGCGGGGCTAGCGGGTGGATTATGATGTTGACGAACAAGGACATGGCTGCTACGGGAGGGTAAAAGGCGATCCGCCTATGTGTAGATGCAAGAGATTAGCAGCGCGTTACAACAGCATACCGTAATGACGCTTCCCCGCGACTCCCCTCCTTCCAACCCCTCCTCCGGTAAGACTTACCAAAACGGCTCTTCCGCCAGCCCCTGATCATTGCTTTTGAGAAGAGACAGGGTAGATCGGCTCGCCTCCAGCGCGATATCCAAGCTCGAATGGAACACCGCGTGCAGGTCCTCGGGCAGCTCCATGCCCTCGGCGTACTCCGACCCACATCGCCGCACGGCGGTGTGAATGGTGGTGATGAAGTGCAGATACTCGAGCTGCAGGTTCCGGCACCGGATGCGCTGACCAATATCCATGTGAGGCGAGATGATGGTGGACCCCGCGGTGATGGACAGCTTGGGCCGCAGGTCCACGGGGATGGACTGCCGCCACTCCTCCACTTCGTCGTCGAGCTCGCGGATGTACATGAGAATCTGCTTGTCGGGTACCTGGATCGCGTTGGGCGAGAAGAGGAGCATGTTGGCCTTCTCCTTGATGAAGGCCAGGACGATGTGCGCCGAAAAGTGGCTGCGGTACTTGCGGTCCCCGCGGCCTTGTCGCCCCGCGCCGAATTGGGGTGAAATGTGAACGCGTCGGCGACCATGTCGGGCACCGACAGGTCGCACGAGTCCGCCCTGAGGGTCGGGGGTACCCCGGCGGATGCAGACCCCTATTTCGACCATGTAGCACAGCCAGAAGAGATTGCGCGTCTGCCGGGCCCGGCGCGTTTCGTGCGACGGGGATCCTCTTGGCGTTCTGGCTGGGGGTAGTGACCACCGAGCTCACATACCAGGCGACACGCCGCTGCGAGCATTGTAATCGCATTGTCTAATTCCCCGGATATCGACCGGAACATGTACTACGCCGCATCCACTGTTAGCGTTGAACCCACGCAGAAGATCTCCAGGAGGCCGGTAGGGGTGCCGAAAGAAAGGAGGACAAGAAGAAGATGAAAGGGAGACGGGGGACCGTAGCCTAGCCCACTCTACCTACTATCATCAGATGCGTCTGGAGGATATCCAAGCTCACTTCCCGGGACAATACCCCAGAAGAAGCTGTGCCCTGTCGGCGTAGCTGCTTGATTGCGCGCGGCTGCCTTGCAGCGATAACCGGGAACAAAGGCCATAGAGTACGAGCACGCATGCCCTAGCCGACACCCGGATGCCGGAGGAGGACGATTGCTCGTCAGCGCCGCGATAGGCTAGGTCCATCGTCTCCGCGAACAGCACAGGGTCGATGATGGGGTAAAACAGCCCCGCGGGCAGGTTGAAGAGCGCATCCACAGCCCCGGCGACCGCCGCCCGATCGGGTAAGTGGCACAGCTCCTCGAAGGAGTAGCAGGTGGGCAGCACCGTCTGCTTCGAGCCAAAGAGCTCAAATTTTCCGAGGTCGACGGCCTTGCCCGTCCGAGACTGGATCCACTGGTACCCCTTCTCGGACAAGATGGGCATGCTTCTCTGATACCAGGTCGGCCCCAAGTAGCGGCTCACGTCCTGGGGCCGCCGGGGTGGGGGTTGAGAACCGCCGGCGACTTCTTGGCGGGCACGGGAAAGGGGGACGCCAGGCTGGACGGAGTCGGCACCGACCGAGGCGCGGGGCCGGGGCGGTCGGGGAGCTTGGATGCGCGGACGGGGTCGTCGGGTTCTGTCGCCGGCGTGGTGGAGAGCACCGCGGGGCTACCCGTGGTTTCGCTGACGGCTGCCGTCCAGGGGCTATGCTGCGCTGAGCCCTCAGCCGAGCGGTGGCGATCGGCGGGGTCGCAGGATGCTAGGCTCCTCTCCAGCAGTTCGACTCTGCGGGACAGCTCTTGCACGTGCTGGGAAACATCGCGGCTTGGCAGGAAGAAAGCGAGGGTAACAAAATGTTAGTTTTGGACACGGGCTACTTTGTCAGAGTAGTAATTGAAGCTATTGGCTAGGTATCTTGACTCTTGGATCCATTTGCTGGGACGGGAGGAGGGGAATTTATCGGATCCCGGCTCGATTTGCAGCCGTAGCTGCACCACTGGATGCCGGTTGATCCCGTTCTACTTACGTTGGTTTCTGCCTCTTGGTTGGCTCTCTCACAAAAGTGCACGCTAAATCGTGCTCGTTGCACCACTCACACGGCTCATCAGGACATGCGATGGAGCACTGGATCTATGAGCGGCGGAGGCAAGAGAAAAACAAAGAGCTCCCCAGGTTAGCAAAACGACCCGGAACCAACGCGATCAAGCCGGGAATAGACCCCGTGGCCACGTATAGAGTCTTACCTTGCGCTTATAACACACATCGCACGCCCGCTTCGGCGGCATTTTTTGGGTCTTTTTGTCGCCGCCTATTTCGCAGAGAAAGGTCTGGCGAGATTGAAATGGGGGAGGGGTGGGAAGGTGTTCCGACACAACGGGTCGGGGTCTATCAACTGATGATACACAAAAAGAAAGATTTATGCTTTGGCGGGACGAGGGTTCGCATGCGGGCGGACCGTCCGTTCTTGTGGACTGCCACACTAGCTCAAAGTAGATTGGACCGAGAAAGGCCAGAGAAGGGTTGCGCACTGGCCGCCTAGGATTCGAGAAGCCCCTCATGTACGGCAATCCAGATCCGGTCAGTAGCCTGATAGTAGTGCGGCCAGGCCAGGAAGTGCAAGACCGCCAATGGATCGTTCAAAAGACCCGTCAAGGATGTGTATGATGGAGCGCGTCTCGCTTGCTGGGGAGAGGAGTGGGATAGTGCCGCTGTGTCCGACCGCAACCTCACCACGTCATTCAGCGTGAAAAATATAAAATCAAATGCAACATGATCCATTGCAGTTTCCAGCTCTTAGTCATGAAAGTAAAGTCAACAGAATTAGCCGAGGTATATGGTGTATGTCTTGGTTTGCGAAATAAGGAGACCTTTCAGTCATGGACCCGGCTAGGAAATATGCATGCTCTGATGATAGAGTATCGGAAATAGCTCGTCTCGCAAGTTATCAAAACATTGCTTTTTCCGACTATCGCATGGTCTGTACATGTAGCTACTCCTAAGAATCTGTTGCTCAAGAAATTTGTGTAGAGACTAATCCGATAGTTCCAGTGGAGACATTAGCGCACTAGACTTGACAAACGCAAAAACCCCCAAGCCACCCCAACAATTCGGCCGCTAGTTGGAACTATCAAAAAGTGCCGCTGGCGTGCTAGCTAGCCCGAGCGAGCCTTAGCTCCCACACATCCCCGAGCCTCGAGTTATCCTCAGCCAGACCCCCGTGAAGAACCACCACCGAAAGACCCCCTCCTGATCCGTCCCCGCATCCGCCGCGAACCAGCCACGAGGGCAAGGTCTCTCCCGGCCCGCTTCCGCGCTCCCGACCTCTGTCCACGTGTTCTCCTCCATGTCAAACGCCCACACGTCCCCGAGCATTTTCCCCGCCCCCGCGTGGCCCAGGGCGCTAGGATCGCACTCCCCGAACAGAGTGACGAGGTACGTCCGACCCCCGACCGTGACCGGCACGAGCGCCGACACGCTCCGCGCCGAGGGCCCGTGCACGTTGTCCGGCTCGTAGGCTACCGTGCTCCACGCGTTGGCCGCGGGGTCAAACACGTCGACGCTGCCTCCCTGCTCCGTCTTTCCGTCAAAACCGTGCACGCGGTATAGCTTTCCACCTGTGTACGCGATTGACGGCCCGCCCCGTGCGAGACCGGGAGCGGATGCCAGCTTTGTCCAGGTCTTGGCCGTGACGTTGAAACGCCAGAGGTCGGCCAAGCGTCCGGCCTCGGGGCAGCCGGCGTGGATGTAGATGCCATCCGAGCCGTCGCTGGCGGTGCAGTGGTAGCTTCTCCTGCCGGATAGGGGCGGAGGAGTCGGAGGGCTGGATCAGATTCCAGCGACTGTCTTGAGGGGTGTAGCGCCAGACGGCGCCGTTCTCTTCGATGGGGCGCATCTCGAGACCGCCGCGGCCGGAGAAGAGGAAGAGGCTATCATTGAGGGTCGCGGTGTGTGTGCCCACCCGCGGGAGTGGAGACTCATCAGACCCGGATTCAGTCTTCAATGCGGATTCTAGTGTACGCGTGTTAGACCTTTCTTCATTCAACATGTGAGGGAATATCAACGGGTGAGGTGACGGGCTAGGACGCACCACTCTCTACACCTAGAGTGACAATATCTAGGCCGCTGTCAACGGGCTCTCTAGGGAGCAGCTCTCCGCCAAATACATAGGCTTTCTGGCCTATGACAGAGAAGGCTTGGGAAGAGCGACAGAGACGTGGGTTTGAAACCACACGGGTCCATTGGCCAACGAGGAGCTTAGAGGCCATGGCAGGGAAATATAAGAGACGGTTGACGGCAACTGGTGAGCAGAAGGCTTTGGAGGGAGATGGATCTTTGAACGATTCGGTAGCGACACATCTAGGAGTTTTATGGGTTTCCAACTCGAGGGAAGCTGCGCTTTATATCCTCCATTCCCCCTCGTCCCACCACTGCACCAGCGCAAGATCTAATCAATCGCGACCTTACTAGGCTCATCACCATGCGATATCTCGCCCGATGTTGGGGCGCTCCACCTTCGGAGTCCGAAAGTTCCGCTTACATAACACGAGTTTTATTGGCGAACTACTCCACTGTGATCGTGTGGCTTGAAGAGTGTGTGGCTGGTCGCCTGCGATGACCTTGACCATCACTCTTGAATTCAATGGATGTCAATTATTGATGGTTGAGCAGATGGAAATTGTTTCCGTAACTGGTGGTATCTGCCGGTAGCGCAGATAGAATCTCAACTTCTCATTCTCTTCCATCGCACGATTTTGTTATAATATCCAGGCATAGATCGTCTCTCCGCAATATAACCTGCATCTACCCGTCGCATCTGATGGCGATTTGTTGATCTGAAGTGGCATGTCCCCCACCTCTGCCTTAGACCTTGGATGGTGATCGTGGAGGCATGTGGGGACGGTAAGGGAGCAGGAGGGCAGGTGAGGAAGAGAATGGTAGAGAATGGCTCATGATAACTCCCTAAGCTCCATCGGGCAAACCATGTTCTTGGTAAGACAGGGCATCTTGTTACGCAGATATGCAGCTGCGAAGGATCATTTCTGGAAATCACTACCTAAAGTAGTAACTTAAGACAGGATGGATAAGCAAGACCAACGCTGTGTAACTTGGTTGCGGCTCTTCCAAGTACACAACATACTTTAAGCAGTACATGAATGCAAGGGAGAGACACAGCGGCAAGGATTTGAACAAGACCTGTGTTATCCAAAGGCCCTATTTTGTTTTCACATGGGTGTAACCGAATATAGGTATATGTACAGACTAATGATAAAAGAGAGGTCCTGCCTCCGCGGCGTCGGCGGAAGATGTCAGTCAAACGCTGCACTGACAGACCGGACCTCAACCCGGCGCGGCCTAGTCTACGTCACAGGGACAGCCGCGTCGAGTGTGGTTTGATTCCTCATCCATATGCATTCGCCTGCTCTCCTCCCACTCGACTTTCCTGTCCTTTCCCACCTTCTTCTTCCACTGCCCTTTCTTCTCCCGAGGGGCGGTAATACCCCCTCCATAAAATTTGTGCAAAACATGCCAAGAAAGAAAACAAAGAAAAAAAAAAAGCTCCATCATCGTTGTTCATCATCCCGTCCTTCTTCGTTTAAAAATGGAAAAACGGATACGCGTCGAACCTACGCCATGAGCGCGGCGAAGATGAGAGCGCCCGCAACACCGAGCATGGAAGCTGTTGACGACGAGGCACCGGAGACGATCAGAGTAGCGGGATCGATGGCACCGGGGTTCGCGACGAGGTTCTCGGTGTTGACGCGGACGGGGATGCCAGCAGGGCCGTAGGAGGTGATGGTGTTCTTGTAAGACTCGAGGTTTTGCGTAGACGAGGGGTTAACGACGCCGTACATGCCGCGGGTGCAGTGCTGGCCTGTGGTGCAGTAGAAGACGAGGGGGTTGGTGTTGGTGAGGCGGATTTGGAAGACGAAGTCCTGCGAGAAGGTGGGAATGTTAGCAAAGCGAGCAACGACGATCTAAGAGCTCAAAACAAGACGAAATCGGGTGCAGGGTTGTCTCCTAGGACACAGCGAGAAGAAAAGGGGCGACGTACAGCTTCGCCGAGCGTCGTTCCGGGAGCGGCGGTGACATTTCCGGAGAAGAAACCACCAGCAATGGGCTGGCAGCCCTTGTCAAAGGTGCCCTGGGCCACGGTGTGGTTGGAAGGGAGGAAGCCGGTGGGAGCGAAGTGGAACTCGAGCATATCGCCGGAGTCGGCGGTTATGGAGTTGGGCTTGAAGACAAAGGTGTCGGGGAGACTGAGGTCCTGGACCGCGAGGATCTTGATGGTCTTCTGGGCGACAGACTGGCTCGCGAGGGCGAGAGAGGCCACGACAAAGGACTTGAAGGAAACCATTGTATCGTTGTTCTTGGGACGATCGATGTGTGCGGTGTCGTGAGCGAGAGAGGGTGTTGCGCGTTCGGCAAGGAGGGTCTTGATTTACTCGTTTTGCTGGAAGAAAACAGACTGCAATCCGTATGGCTGAGTTGAAAGTCGAGTCGGCTCGGAGGCTATGCGAGGGAGACGAAGAAAAGAGGCAGGAAAAAGAGACTTGGAAATTAGAAATAGTAGATTTGCAAAGAATGGATTTCCAGCATCCGAGAATCAAAGAAGTGAACGTGGGGAGGAGAGAGAGCTGAAGGGCAAAGTTCAACGATGCACAGAATCGTCGGGCAGTTCTCGATCAGATGGGATGAAGAACAAAAAAAAAAGGAAGAAAAAAAGGGAAGCAAAGGGAACAAAAGAGGAAGAGAAGTAGGTTCAAAGGGGATGAAGAGCGTCAGGGAGGTGTGGAGGATTTTTGCGAGAAAGAGGCGGATTGCCGCGAATCCGAGCGACGGTATTGGGCCACTACCACCCCCTCTCCCATCCTGCGACCTGTTGAAGATCGAATGTTGTGCTCTCCTTGCACCGTTGCAGTTTTTCTTTTTACAGGCCAGGTGAGTGTCTAACCATTCTTTTGCCAAGCCTTTTCCCCTTGGCCGACAGGGTATGAAGAGTGCCTCTGCGTTGAAGACGGCACGAGCTTCAGCGCTCTCAGTAGCTCTGACAATAGTACGGTGACAGCGCCAAAACCATCAAGGGCAAGGTGGAGGAGCGCTCAGGCGTGTCGGTGGGTGGCCCACCCCGTTCCACGCTTGCTTTGCTTTGCCAATCATCGATCGAGCGGCGATCCAGGAGGCGGAGCGGTCGCAGACCCTTGTACCTTCCCAACCAAGAAGCAATTTTGCGAGCTAAATCGCTGGCTTCCCATTGGTCGGAATGAGTGGTTTATCGTTAATCCGCGCCGAAGGGCGGCTCGGGCCTGTCGCATTAGCCTCTGAAACGCCGTCTGCCTCACCACGTCCGAGGCTCAAACCCTGATGAGAAGATCATGGACAGGTCAGTGATCGGGGGTGGTGCAAGGACAACATGGCAAGGGGAGGGAAATTAACGTGAAAAGAAGAATTTAAAGGGGGAAGGGGACGGACTGCCATGGAGAGAAGTGGTGAGATGGGCTGGCAGGTGTCAAGTTGCGTCTCTGCCCTGAGAAGAAGGGACAAATATCGTTTGGGGGTCCTGAGAGACCAAAGTATCATGAAAAGGTATACCCGGTGCAGAATTATGAGTAAAGATACCTCGTCAAAGCTAGCGACGCAGTCAGGGCCCAACTCCGTCACATTACACTAAATAACCTTATTTTCTTGGCCAAATTCTCCTTGCCGCCGAGCCTGGCAAATGACAGCGCTGGACGAAGCTGCTCGCGCCGTGATGGGGCGAACGGTCACAGGCCCTAATGCACCTCGTCAAACCACCTGAGCCCATTTAGCGGAAGGAGCAGCGGACTCTCGAACTATTTGATCTATTTCTGGAAATTTACTATGATTGATACCATTCTTAGCAACTAAAAATGGCACCTTTTTGGTCCGACGCATCCGCTCACCGTTCGTTCATCACAGTTGTGCCTCTCTTGGCTTGATGTGAGAGTTTATCAGTGTTGGCACGAGAAGGGGTTTATCCCAAGTCGTCTCATTTTGCCTGCGTTGTAGACTCAATGTTGTGCCCGCACGGTTGGATTGAGCCCTTGTTAGCCTCAAAATCCCCTCGATGGTGGCTTGATTCCCTTCGAACACAGCGTAGAGCATGTCAAAGCACGCCACAGACCCTAGTCACCCCGAATGGAGTAGGAAATATTGAACCAAAAATCCCCTTTCCTCTCATCGTGCCAAGGGTATTTGAGCGATGAGTTGATACCCAATGGCTCCCCTTTTTCGTGTGACAGTTAACGACGTCATAGACTCCGTGCCGCGTTTTGGAGTTTGCCGATGAGCGCGGTTGCGAGCTGAGGGAGATCAAGCAGAATGAAGCTGAGGCTCGAGAGACGATTCGCTACAACTAATTGGGATTCACCATGGCCTTGATGCATCTTGTCGCCCCCAAAACAATGACTAGCGACATCTAGGCCAAGTATAAGGGAGAATGAGCTCGCCGGCAGTTGGAGAAATTGACAAGAATAACATGAATAAATATCAGGATATTGAACAGATGCTAGAAATAAGGCGAGGTGAAGGGATTTGGGATAAGGGAACGTCGTGCGATAATACCGCACCAAGATATTAAGCTTACCTGACCGACTTCCCGAGCCCCCGTTCCCCAAGTCGTGGTGTTACAGATCTCGAGGCCAGTGTCTCACCTCACCTGGGATTTATTGGCCCCAGCTCGCCGTGCAGCGACGGGCAATATGCCAGCCATGTGGGCATGGGTCTAAGAGATCCTCGACTTCGTCACCCCGCCAGTCAGTGTATTTCAGACAATCCTCCCCTGCCGCACCCCTCGCGGCCGTGGATCCTGTCGCTCGTTGCAGCAGATCTTTGCCTCCCTTTCCAAAAATGTGAAATGGGAGATCTCCGTGGAGATGGACACCTCTGAAGAACAGGATCATCCACTCATGTTGGGATTCTTCGGTCCCCAAGACGGGAGAGAATTTTTCAGCAATTTGACCTTTGAAATTTCGCCGTATCCATCTAAGCGACACCATGTGTAGAAATAAAAGAAAGTAGGAGAGCTCAGAGAATGGTGGCTATGCAAAGCTGGACATCCGCGGAGGGCAGGATCAACAAAAGGGGTCTTGACATTCGTTCGCCTTGGCTACCAAAAAATTGTTAGCTGGAAACTTCAATGTTGACATTTACCACTCGATAGCGACTGCTATTCCTTGCCAACTGTACTTACCGCTTCCTTGTTTTAGTGACCTCCACACATGGTTAGGATGCCGCCGAGAATGTGAAGTGCGAGGTCAAGCTAAATCGCGCTCTTGAATTACCACAGTGTCGCCTCGATGTCGTCGGGTCCTATTATGATCACGTCCGAGATAATTTCATGTAGTAGCCTTCTAAGCTATTTTGTACTCTAGTCTACACGTGGCCCAACCTGGAGATGCGTTTCGGCGGCGGGTATTTACAACAACCACTGCCTCGTAGGCGCAATCATCGTGCCCAACCATAGTGGTTTTTGCTGTACCCTTCGAAATAGTGATATGCTGTGAAACGTCTCTGATGCTTATGTAGTTGGTCTCCAATCAGCGAGAGGTTGCTTACATGGCAACCGAACAGACGTGGCTTGCCCAACTTGCCATATTCTTTCCCAAAGCTCCATGCATCAGGCGCAGCCTGGTCATCGCACTTCTACCCCGCATCTCCAACCTCTAGTGACAATCTCATGATACATGTAGCATCCAAGCCCGTCTATTCAAGCTCCTGAAAGCATTTCAACATTTCAACCTAGGGTATAGGATGTCTTCAGAACAGACAAGCTCAGCTCCGGTGAAGATTCTCTCTCTCGGTAGGCCTCCCCATCGAATCCCACCAGGCAAATCAACACTAGCTCACGTCAACAGATGGCGGAGGAATCCGCGGTCTATCGAGCCTGCTCATCCTCGAGCACATCATGGAGCGTATTCGTGATGTCGAGGGGCTGGCTGAGGTACCGCGCCCATGCGACCACTTCGATATGATCGGCGGGACAAGCACTGGCGGGTAGGTTTTTGTCGTATGTACCCCTACTGCCTCCAACTAACATCACAAGGATAATCGCAATCATGCTCGGTCGCCTGCGTATGACAGTGAACGAATGCATTCGGGCGTACCGGGATATGGCTGAACGGGCCTTTACCCTGAAGTGGACTACCTTTTTCCCGGCTTCTCCAAGTGGTGCATTCTCAGCCAAGGCGCTCGAGGCTGCGATGCGTGATACGGTCAAGGGGTTTTGTCCAGAGAAGGAGTGTATGGACCAGCGAGCCAACCGTAATTCGACACTCTCCACATGCACCCATCACGAGGCTGAGTTCCGCGACCCCTCGTGTACACCAACGTAAGTGTGACGTTTATGACGTTTATCTTCTTTGTGATAACACTGACGTATTTAGTGTCGTTCTCGCCATCACGAAAGACAATACCGATGCGCGACCGACGTTATTCACGACGTATGATACCTCGGCTGCTCTTGCAGGGTGTACGATCTGGCAGGTCGCACGCGCGACATCAGCGGCTACGACTTTTTTAAGCCGATATGTGTTGGGCGCGACAATATTAAGTTCATCGATTCTGCGCTGGGACATAACAACCCCTGCGAGGTGCTAATCGAGGAGGCGAATCGGCGCTTCAAGGGGCGTACACGGATGCAGATCCTCAGCATCGGAACAGGACTTGGGGGTATAATCGATGTTGGTGATACGCGGGTCAAGGTTATCAAGGCCTTGAAGAAGATGGCAACATCATCGATGGCCGTGGCAAGCCGACTGGATGACCGGTTTGGAGAGAGTGGTCAGTACACCCGATTTAATGTGGAAAAAGGATTAGAGGGCACAGTATTGTCAGACTGGGACAAGGCGAGCCAGATCTCGGCCCACACTCAAAACTATCTGAAAGATAATAAAAGAGCAATCCATAAATTTGTGGATGCGTTTCTGGGGCGGGGCCAACAAGCGGAGAATGCAGAAGATGGCAGGACTGCTCTTGTTTCCGGGCCTTGTTCACGTAAGTGCGGGCCTAGTCCTTGTGGTGCTGCAACTAACAAATCGTAGGGAAGCCATGTCGGTACCTTCCTCTACCGGAGAACGAAAATTTTGTTGGCCGGACATCGGTCATGAATACAATTAGGAAACAGTTAATCGGCGACGATGATCAGTTGCATACTAGATGTAGTCGTGTTGCCGTTGTGGGGCTCGGTGGGGTCGGTAAGACGCAGATCGCTCTACAGATGGCCCGCTGGACGATGCAGAATAAACCCGACTGGCACATCTTTTGGGTACCGGCAGTCAGCTTGGCTAGTTTCGAGCGGGCATATAGTGAAATTGCCCGAGAGCTGGGACAGGTAGGAACTGGCAACAAGGATGTCAAGATGTTGCTTCGGCGCTACCTTGAATCGGATGCATGCGGCCGCTGGCTCCTCATAGTCGATAATGCCGATGATGAAAACTTGATGGGGAGTGGAACGGAGGCAATACGTGACTTTCTTCCCCGTACCGGACGGGGGCGCATCTTGTTCACGACCCGCACGCGAAAGGTCGCCAGCCAGGTGGCCGGGAGTAAAGTTGTCGACCTCTTGAAGATGGATAAGGATGACGCCAAGGAGCTTCTGGAGAAGTCCCTTGTGGAGAAACCCTTGCTGAAAGATGAGGGGCTTGTGGCGGAGTTATTGGAGACCCTGACCTTCCTGCCGCTGGCCATCGTTCAGGCGGCAGCATACCTAAATGAGACCAGGACCTCGTTGAGTGAGTACATACGGCTTCTGCATTGCTCCCAAAACGACATGATTGAGCTATTGGAGACAGAGTTTGCAGACGACACGCGGTACCGCGGGGCGCACAACGCCGTTGCTAGGACGTGGGTTGTATCTTTCGAACAGATTCGGGTGGACCCAGACGCGGCCATGCTTCTCAGCTTCATCGCGCACGTTGAATCGAGAGCAATACCACGATCGATGCTCCCACCGGTGGGGTCAGAGCAGAAAATGACACACGCGATTGGGGTTCTCTGTGGCTATTTCTTCTTAAACGTACGAGAGGATGAGGCAACCTATGATATGCACCGGCTGGTGCACTTGGCATCTCAAGTGTGGGTGCGCCGACAGGATAATGCAGTGAAACAGAGACTGCATGCGTTGGATCGTCTAGGGGATATATTGTCACCGCCTAGGTGGGAGCGACGCGAGACGTGGCGCCCGGTGCTCCCCATGCCATAAAGGTGATGGAGGTCAATGAGCGAGGGAATGACCTGGACACAGCATACTGCCTTCTTGGGGACCAGGTAGGTTGGTGTTTGCTATGGGAAGGTCGAAATCGAGAATTCGTGAATGTCTTGGAGAGGGTAGTGGCGATTCGAAGGGTGACACTAGATGAGACTCACCCATATCGACTAGAATCGCAACATCAGCTTGCAGTAGGATACCAGAAGGATGGGCGGGTGAAGGAAGCAATTCCACTACTAGAGCAGGCGGTGGCGATTCAAAGGGTGACACTAGATGAGAGTCACCCAGATCGACTAAGATCGCAACATCAGCTTGCAGTAGCATACCAGATGGATGGGCGGGTGAAGGAAGCAATTGCACTACTAGAGCAGGTGGTGGCGATTCGAAGGGTGACACTAGATGAGAGCCACCCAGATCGATTGTTGGCAGAAAAGAACTTAGATCTTTTTCTGCAGATGGCTAGTAATGGTCATTAAGTCATGCCCTTGAAGGCTTCCTCTAGGCGAATGGGCCTATCTAACTGATCCATGGATGTATCCATTCATCGAAACCAGTAATTGAACTTGCCGGGTTAAGGAGGACCTAGTTGCTTTTCTCTTTCTTGGGGGCGATCCCTACCAAACTTCACTGATGTTTCTAGTAATCTGATTCAGCCTACATGTACCAGGTGAGTGTATCATCTCAACAGCACGCTCGCATATGCCATGGGGAGCGCGAAGAGGGATCAATGGGCGTTTGCCGAGGTCTGTTAGGCCAGGTAAGGCTAGTCGGGGCACACAATAGGCTTCGGCAATGTGTCATAAAAACAAATCAAGCTCGGCAAGGATGGCTCTGATCGGTACACATCCGCTAATTTTTAAGGTGCGAGCCTAGAATAAGTAGCTCGACTTTGCGGAGAATGGAAGAAGCCCACCTCCCGAGATACGTTCAAGGCAACATCGCGCTAGATGCTAGACATTCTGTGCGGAGAGTCAATCAAGGAAGCGCCAAATAGCAAACGGGGCTGATTAGTAGGTACTCCAAGGGGTTCCACTAATTCTGCGTGTTAGAGCTGGTATGGACGTGAAGAAGCGCCTAAAGCTCCCTTGTGGGTGTTCTCCTTCCACTACCGGAAATGCTTCACCTCCAGTCTCTGAGCAAGGTTTTCGCTTGAATAGGAAGAAGTAATAGGTTCGCGACATCAGCAGGGGGCATTGCAGGGCTGGCGGCGCCAGCTCGTTTCATGCGCAGACTAACAGAATGCATTCAATAAACCACATGACATTATGAGTGCAACTAGAAGACCTAGCTAAGAAAGGATATACATGTACAAGCCCAGTTGCTCAGGCATGGGGTGAGTGGGTATAGTCCAGCGCCAGTCTTCCATCGCTTCGTCGTACATATCCTCTGTTTATCTTCCCATAGAATTCCCAGTAGTCCCATTTTATAAGGCTCGAAGCCAAGTGTGCGCCCGCCACCACCCTTCAAGGCACATAGGCGACGTATCTTTGGGGAGAGTACACGATAGCCCCGAGGGAGGGGAACCGTCTGCCATACCCAGCAAGGAACAAATCCCCGACATAACGCTTCCAAACGCGTACCTTGGGGTGGAAGATGTCGTCGCCGGTGAGATATCCGAACTCGGGTCCGACACCCCCGCTCAGCGCGCTCGTGATCACCATCTCGCAACGGGGGTCCAGATTTTCACCGACGGTCGATATCGCTGCGTCCAGCTCGTGGCGCGTGAGTTGGTGGATGGCTCTAGGCCTGTGGGACCAAAGGCGTGGGGAGGCATGTAGAGTTGGCTGTCGATCCAGATATTGATCTGGCGACATCTCTGCAGCTCGGCCACCCGAAGCCAGTGGAAATCGTACTGGGCGTGTGGGAATGAGGACGTGTCCACGAGGGGCGGGGACAAAAGTTCTCGGGGCGCCAGTGCCCGTGGTTGGTGTCGAAGTTGTAGCTGCATCCCTGCAGCTGGGTGAAACTCACGGGGAGGGATATTTCTACACGCGGGGTATATCGCAGGAACGGGCTGTTGGCCAGGGTAGGCTTCGCACAGGTTCCGAAGAATCGCTCTAGCGTGACTTGGTCTAGGAAGACGAATGTGATCGACTTGTAGATAGATTCGACACACTCCATGTACCTATGAGCACACGATCGGGTCATTGTTAGCTCTCTGTAACAAGGCCACATTACCTACCTCTGGACTCTTTCACATCGGGTGGGCAAAGTGTGGGTGCGAGGGGGAGCGCAACTTACATTTGCTTGCAGGTGAGAAGCATGGGCAGGAAAGGCTTCTTGGTCCTGAACTGGGCCATTGCGCACCCACAGAACCACTCTTCTTCGGGGGTGACGCGGCGAGCCATGAACGCGGCCTCGAAAACTTTTGCCTCGCACTCCCAATGGTTCATCCACATCGAATTTAGCTTTTTCGCAAGCCGGGGAGTTGAAAATGGCTGGTTCACCCTTGCGCTGCCAGACGGAGTGGCAGGCGCTCTGAAGTGTCCCCTCGACGGAAAAACTCGTGGAACATGGCCACGTGCAATAAACGGCCTTCTTGTAGTTCGCCGGGTCTTGGTGGCAGAATACATGTTGAGCGAGACCCTCGCTTTTCCAAAGCTCCTGGTAGACCAGTTCCCTGATCTCGAAAGGGAGGGCGAGGAATGGGGGCTGACTTGGAGAATGGCTGGCCTCCTCGCCATTTTGGTCATTTCCCGTGGTCTCACTTACATGAGAAGCCATGACGGCTGTGGAGGTTAGTAAAGTTGTGCGGTCCAGTACGCTAAGAATATGAGGTAAGGAATAATGGTGATCGTCAAGGGAGAATGAAGTTAGAGATAGGGAATAGAGGAGATATTCGGAGGAGAGTGAAGAAATTTCCAGCTCGTTTTATGTTTGGAAAGGATACCAAAATATGATAAGGAAGGTGCGATATGATGAGGATACTGATGTTTTCAACTTTCTAGAAGGGACTATACTTAGTACTTACTCAACCTATAGCTAGTTGTTCTGACTTCAAGTGAGTTTTCAAAGTACATATAGACCAATCATAAATCTGCCTTTCACCCTCCGCCCTGTTGCTCCAGTTGAAAACAGAAATAATGAAATTCTTCCTCGAAGCAAAACTGATAGGCCTGGTGCTCCAGTTAGTTTTTGTCTCCTTTTCGACAACATTGAAGACTTGACACTCTTATCCCTCTAAGCATATTTCTTTTAGCCAATCAATAGCAACTATCTGGTTATCCACTCCCCCTTCAACCTACTCTAGATCAATTACTTTAGTTAGGAGGAAGGTAAGAGATATATGACCTCTTATACTATATTCAAAAATATGATGCTAGTGATAGAGTCGGTCCCTCTTGCTCCAGTCTTGACCTCATCTATAAACAATATTAGTGACATAGTCTTCTGAATTCATATAACACTATTACTGTAGGTTTGCCCAAGGCTCTAGGTAGAGTCATTGTGCCTAGGACGGACTAGCCAGGTTCATTCTACTTTGGAGCAAAGCACAGAGCGCACCATTGCGGCTTGAGGTTAGCTTCGCCTCGCCATGCTCTTCACAGAAATGGTACCGAATCCCAGGGTGAGCTCACGTTGTACAATTTCCTGCCAGGGCTCCGTGTTGACTGACCAGTGGTTTTCGCTCACGCCCTCAGCTCATGCAAGCCCGCCACCATGCCAAGCCTCACCCTCCAGACTCTTCGGCCGAGCCCAGCCTGTCCAAATCCGTGTTACCCCGCTCGATTGCCTGCCCCTAAAGGTTCATTTAGGATGCGAGAGGGTGAGGGTGAAGAAGAGAGGGAGCGGTGGTGTGAGAAAACAGACAAAAGTTCGCTCGAGCCCTGACCAGCACGACCTTTCCCTTATCCTCCATTTGGACGCTTCCGCTTCCACTTCACATCGTTTTCGCCTTATCTCCTTCCCCATGTTCTCATCACTTTTTTGGGCGGCCCTCATCCTCACGGCGCAAGCGGTATCTAGGGGTGAAGTTAGCCTCTACGAAGAGTCTCTTTACCAAGGCCAGCGGCCCTGCGCGCGAAACTGCTTCGGACTCCTATACTTAAACACCCCTGATAAGATGGGGTCCGCCCTGGGATGCGACGTGCAAACCATGAGGAACGACTGCTTCTGCCGAGCTGACCTGCAAACGTCTGCCCACTCCTGGCTGAGCAAGTGCGTGCCGACGTCCTGCGACTCCCCCAATGTCGACATCGCGATCGCAACACAAGTGTACGACTCCTACTGCTCGCAAGCGTCGAGACCGCCGTCTGGCAAAGGCGTGCAACCCCGACAGGTATAATCCACTTCCCGACCGCGACCGTGACCGCGACCGTGACTGCGACCGTGACCGCAACTGTTTTCCAGACGGTCACTGCCATGGTGGCGACGGGGCCTGCTGCATCCGGCGCATCGCCACGATGGGAGCTCGTTGGGGTCTCGGTTGTCGCTACTTTGCTCCTTTTGCAGCTCATGGAATGCTGACCAGCTGGCTTTCTTTTCTTCTTCCTCTTTCTGCCTGCATTAGACACTCCAGCCGATGGTGTTCCGGAAAGCAACGGCAATGCCGCGAATAACGATGGTCTCGACACCGGAGATATTGTGGGTGTCGTCGTGGGTATTTTGGGCTTCATCGCCACGGCGACAGGAGTGTGGTTTGGGTACAAGGCGATCAAGGTGAAGAGGGCAGCCCATGCTACGCCCGCGGCGACAACGGCTCCCCAGTCCGTTCACTCTCCTGCTTTTAGAGCTTCTGCTGGCACTTGAAGAGAGTCGGACTAGATGACGCCCATCAACCTCAATATCGTACGAGCGCTAGTCCAGTGCAATAATAATGAGGCAGATTCTTTCCTCACCCGACGGTTGCGTTTGAGCGAGAAATCTGTGTGCTATTGGCCTTTCATTCCTTCAGGATATATTGTTACTACCGTCTTTTTGGGGTAATGGGACATTGCGCAAGACGCAGAGAACCCCCTCACAATTTACTGTTTGCTCTTTCTACTTATTGTCCTATCTTGGAGGTAGTCTTGCAGGATCAGGCTCAGCAATGTTCATTCCATCGTCAGATAATTTTTCATTTTAATACCCTCACCTGTTAGTGATTAGTGGCCCCCTAGTTAACAAGCGGTTCCACGTCGCTGCCCCGTGTCAGTCCATTAGTGTAGCTAGCCATATCCGGCATTGATGAAGTGATTTGCACGTGCTGACATGTACATGCGAATGTGATTCGAGATGGGAGGAGAAAAGTAGACAGCTTTGCGCCACTGTATCAATCTTTTATACTGAGTTGATCTTTCTCGAAGCAAGACGTTTCGATACGTTGGCAACAACAACACGGCAAGCACGTCTCGCAGGGGAAGTGCTCCAACCTTCGCGTGGTCTGCCTAGGTAGTCCGGATCTCTTAGCTTCTTCTTTTCCTGGGATACATCCGCATATCTCTCTTTAAACCCCTATATAGGAGGGTATATGGTATGATTAGAAAATCTGTACAGCTTTATACCAACTTAAGCGTTAATTTCGTCCAGCTTTGAAACTTTGAAAGCGGGTAAGGTGATAGAGAAAGAAGGCCAGCTCTTCGGTATACTTGACACTTGTCATCCCTCTCTAAAACTAGACATTGGCCTCCCCCGAAAGTCCTCGCCGTCGCTTTCATCTAGGAACTTTGCTACTAATAGAGCAAGATATTCCTTACGTGGGATTTGGTGCAGCCCTTTTCGAAGATATAATTCTTCATCGAAGAAATGATTCTTTTCGACCTTTTCCACCAACCTTGTCCCAAGGTTGTCTGGTTGTGATTCCTCAAAGATTCCTCTGTTTCCACTATATGATACCTCGCTTTCGCTTTCGAGGCCAGGAAGCGGTTCATCCCAGGAAACTTGGCTCCATCTGTAATGAATTTCGCTTTCCGAACCCGGCGTATGCGCTATCTCGAGGCTCCGCCACAGCGGAATTGTAAAACCGACCACGGTAATGTACGCGGATGCAACTCCACCGTAGCAGTTATTTTCGCTTTCGAGCTGAATGCCAAAGTCAACTAGACGGAGGCTATCCTGTCGTTGATTTCTCTCCGCAAAATTGAATAGAACCCTGTCGTCCGTGACGACCCAGGACCATGAGGGTCCTCGATATCGCTCAACGTGCTTAGCCCACAGCATCTCCTTAGACCACAAGATGCCGCCGTGTATATCACAAGACCACACTCCGGCTAGATACGACCCCCGAGCACATTGTGGAAACGCCGGGCCAAGCCCGAAATGGCGGGCAATTTATCACGGTGAAAAGTGAGTTTTCTGTGGCTAAACTGCTGAAGCATAGAGTAATACTCTGCTAGTAGGCTGTCAATATCTAGGTCGGGCGGATAATCAGTGTCAGCGCGAAGTATAGTAGAGGCAAAAGGGGGTACGTTGAGTCCGATTCCGGAAGTCTCCGTCCTGGACAGGCACTGTCTGCGGACTGGCAACCAACTCCACATTTCCAGTAGATGCGAGATTCTCCATAGTAGAGAGTTCGTGGTGATAAGATAGACTCTTGTAAGCACCAGCCTCTACGAGATAAAGGAGCCGACATGTAAAGCAGTTGCAGGTCCTCCTCCTCCAAGATATCTCCTGATGCAAGGCAAGATGCATTCAAAAGTGTAGGATCATTTTGTGCAAGTTGAACCGCCACCTGCTGATTATGGGATGGGGTATGCTGTTCCCCGCGTCGCAAGATCCCGTGGCCGCTCGAGGGCGACGAGATGGCAGAGATTGTCGTGACCGAGTGTCTGTATATGTCTGCCATTTGTGTAGATTGCTGCGCCCAGTCTTTCTCGTCATCTTGGATTATGCAGAGAGTCGATCCAGAGATATCTAAATCCTAGCTTCCGCGTAATGATGATCGCATCCTGAAAGTTAGCGGCGAGACGGTTCCATGGTAAAGCATTCTGGAATTCTGCCAGCGATCTTTTCTCCAAAACGCAGTCAATATGGCCGCCCCAACAATGACTGAGGGCCATGTAACGTGCGAAAATACGTGTCCCGGGAACAAATAGCTTGATATTTGCGGTGCCGATGACTCCAACATCGATGACCCGAGTCGGGAGGAAGGAGGGACTAGCAATGGAGCAGCTCGCGTGGTTCGCCATACAGTGATTAATCCACGACTTTGCAATCGCATAATTACTGTCAGAGTTCAGGTCGGTATCAGTTGGCCGTCGCCCAATTGAGATATTCTCCAATTGAGGAGGCGTTTCTATCGTATCATACATGTAAGAATATGTTAGCGGTCGGCAGGTCCTAAGAGTCCTGAATTCAAAGATGGACTAACCGCTAGCACTTGTTAAGAGTAGGTGAACCGTTGGAAGGTGTGGTATCCAGTCGTCCTCGTTCCAAAGATTCTCGTCCTCACCTGCCGTGATTTGCAAGAGGTCAAAGCTTCGGACCTCGTCTATCTTCTTTCCCATGAAGACATCATCGGACTGAAGCGAAAGTCGGATTGTCCACTCTCCACCGATAGACTTGAGAGCTTTGATCAGGTTTTCTCCTTCGTCCCTCCATTTCCAGTCGAGTTTGGAGGAAGACTCATCAAAAGCTCGAACAATGAGTCTACATAGGTCACACCCCGCCTCGGTAGATCGCTCCAGGTCCCGGATAGAGGCGTGATGCTGATAGTATGCAGATATCGGGCTACACCTTCCATAAAATTCAATTCTTGCCAACTGTACAAGGGTCTCAATATTCAACTGATCACAATACCGGCACCGCATATTGGTTCGGTGTGCGGCGACGAGAGCTCTTCATAGCGGTGTTGGAGACTCGAGTCGAGCAGGCAATTGAAAGCCCCGCATAGAAATCACTTGAGGCAGCTGGAGATACACGACGGTATCTATGGATTCAGACATTTTTATCCTCGGATTAGTCGTTGGTGAATGAAGACGTACAAGGCCCTCTCTTAAGCAGATGTCATTGATTTGGGCGAGGCACTCGAGCAGATGCTGTAATCGCATGCATGAATGGCTGAGCTGCGGTGTGACATCAAGGGAATGACAGTGAATTGAGCTGCGAATCAAGAAACCGTCAGGGTGATAAAACCTAATACAAGGGATGTGCCCGAAGGATTGGGTGATTACTGCGGCGATAGGCCTCATCCGGCTTGTGGCCGCCTATGACAAGCTGGTCTCGCTGTAGATTTTAGGTAAGAGCTGTTCTTCTCATATACCAGCTTTCCTACCCCTGAGAACTGAGATGAACTCAGGTCAGGGGCCTTGCTTGTTATCTTCCTGAATGCTGAATGCCATTTCAGTCCCTCCTGCTGAGTTACTGGAGTCGTACAAGGGGAGCAGCTGAAACCGAGAGATTTCCTGCACGCGCTCGCTGCGATTAGAAGGACGGACATTTGGATTCCCCGTTTGAGGTCGCCACACGTTGGCTACATGTTTGCTTCCTTCCCCATACGATAGCACCAATAGAGACGCGGTGGATTGTAGAAGAGCGCCACTGTCTGAGACATGAATGGAAGGGGTGGTCTTGATAAATATCCGAACCTCAGACAAAAGGAAGGTGATGGTGGTTCAGCGCCCCGCCCCGTGGGGAATTCGCAAGTGCTTGTAATAGGATTCGTCTTCACCTTCTCAAAGAGTGACTTGATGGGATGGCGTCAGGGCTAGACAGATAGGACGGGGAGCTCGGGGTTAAAGCCGAAGCATGGGGGTTGAGTGGCGCATAAGACTTGGGTAGCTTACGAAAAGGGAAGGTCGCTCATCTTTAGTCAACCTCTGGCCACAAGGGACCTGCCGCGGTGCCGAGATTCGTTAAATGGGGAGTTGAGGCTATTACATAGTGTTACTGAGCTGTTGATAAAGAGACATGAGACAACGCTGATGAGGTGAAGAGGTCGAGAGGAAAAGGGGTGATTACTCCTTCTTCGGGTCATCAATGTTTGGTGGTTGCCAATAAGCGAAGAGCCGGGAATTGGCAGTTGGCACAACACCGCTCATCGTAGCGTGCCCTAACTTCCCACTACTCTTGGAATATCTCGCGAAGCTGAAGTTGCCCTCTCGTCGCCAGAATATTCCCCTCCCCTCCCGACCTTGGACGATCATGTCGCACATCGCGGCCGTCTCTGATCACGAAGGGTAGGACAAAAGTCGAGAAAAGCCCCTAAAATTGACAATGTTCCAAGGTACTGACATACCTCTCGACCAGGCTGCGTCGCGTTGTGTTGTGGCTGGCCCAGTGCTGTCCCGCCCCACCCCTATTCCCACTGCAGCCCTTGCAGATAATCACCCACTTCCAAATCCTGGCTTTGCTTTGCTGCCGGGACGGGAAAGGATCTCTGCCAAGCAAAAGGTGAGGGCGGGGAGGGATACCCCTGTCTCCGCGGACGACCGGTGAAAGGGGAAAAGGCGTGAAAGGATGACGGGGCCTGGACCAAAACACAAATGCTTCGCAAGCTGGACGCACGCCAGGCTCGGCACGATGTGTCGACGGCCGATCAGCGCCACTGCAAAGCTGCAAAAGTGCGAAACTGCAAAACAGCCCGTAGGATGTGCTCCCGCCCGTCGGCTTGACGCCACGAAAAAGCGTCTCTCCTTGACTTGCTTTCATTTCAGGTAATAAGAATAGCCCTCGTTCCGACCCGAGCGACGATGTGGGGCGACAAAACCTTAACGATGCCTTGGGACAACCTACACTAATAAATCTCCTCTTTTCCCCGAAAAGCCCCTAGTCCTATTCTTTCCCAGACCCTACCCTCACCAGTTGCTGCTCGCACGCGCAACATCCTCCCCTTCCCCGTGGTGATCATCAGGTAGCAGATCCCGTTCGGAGCAACACAGAGCAGCTGACGTTTCCGGCGCGTCTTCTTCTCTTCTTCACCCTCCACGCTGCAAACGATAAAAGGTCTCCGATCTCCATTGTATCGTGGCCGATGAACACATTGACCCCCGGTTCACGAGCTGGTCTGTTCTGATCTTCCCAGAAGACACCAACTGACGGGGACGATGACGACCGTATCATCTCATTCTTGATCTTCACCATTCCCCGCCCCCAAGGCTAGTGCAAGGATGACAAACGAGGGGCTACCACCGAATGACAATCTGGGACCGGCGTTGCTTGGGACGGTTTGGTCTTTCTGGGGCATCGCAACAATCATCTACATTATTCGCCTCTGCACCAGGCCGTCCGGTCGATTCGACATCACCGCGGCAGAATATACCATTACCGCCGCGCTGGTGAGTTCTGACCAAGCCCTTTTGACCCTTTGAAGTTATCATCGGGAGCGCTTCCCAGTAAATTAATCATATCAACTTATCCTTAGATTTCGAAAACGGTCTCGGTTGGGTTTATGACAGCGGCGATATCGAAAGGGTTCGGAAGACATAATGCCTACGTCAGCAAGGAGAACCAAGGCACCATTAGGCGATACTTGGTCGGCGTCTTCATGTCAGGGTGCCTGCCTCTTGCCTTGCGAGAGTGTCGATTGCCTGTATGCTATTACGGCTAACGACAAGTCGAATATGGAGGGGAATCCTCAAAGCTACCATCATTCTCCAAGTCTTGGTCATCCTCGTCTACGAGGTATCCCAATTCGTCCAATGCAACTCGGTCATTACGGGCGTCGCACCTGCCGATCGCAAGTGTCTCCCCAAAGACCAGGTCTGGGGCTTCACGTTCATGTCCTTTTGTAAACAACCTCACCTTGACCCGAGCCCGTATGTTCTGAGCCCCTAACTAACCCGTGTATATTCGAACCAGCTACGGCCATGCTTAGCGATTTTATCTGCGCGACAATACCCATCTTCCTCTTCCGCCATCTGTCCCGGTCTCGCGTCGAGAAGGCCCTGATCTATGTTCTCATGGCTTCCTCCATCATCGCCACCGGCATGGGCATACCCAAGCTCTATCACGTCCTCACCTACGAGTATGGAGCAGAAGACTGGCTCTGGAACCTGCTTCCCGAGTTCTTTTGGTGCCGAATGGAAGAAGCGGCCATTATCATTGCCGCATGCGCCCCTTGCTCAAGGTCCCTGTTGAAAGGTTCTTGCGACGCATGGGCCTGCCAACCTTCAAGGTCCCTACTAGGGGACTCAAATCTATACGATCACAGTCTCAACCTACAGGGTCTCGGTATAGATTAGGAGTTCGGGGCCTGACTCTTCGGATTCAGGCTGCTGGGGAGAGAGGGTGAATCCCGATGTTGAGATGGGTGCGATGACTACTACCGAAACCAAGTCGACGAATCAACAAGAATCATAAGGCGTTTTTGGGACCCCTCGCAAAGAGAAGGACTGTTTTATTTTTACTCAAGGGCTGTATATTTGAATGGGAATTGGGCTGGATTTAGGATACCCGAACAGGATGGTAATTTTGGCGCTGGAGCTAAGGATTTGGTCACGGAAACCTTGTGGACACCATTTGAGTCGAGGAGTCTCGGACATTTGAAGAAAACATAAGGCTGGAGAGCTGGTAATTATAGGATAGTCCCATAACGACTCCTCTTCACCACGCGCCTAATCGCACTAACGTGATAACCACACCAAATTCAGCCAAATACATGTGCTTGAAAAGGCTCGGACTAGAGGTCTTGGCCTACCTATCCATTTCTCTCCACGACCGCCGGGGCGAACCTTATTTCCCTGAGGGCGTCAGACAGAGTGTATAGCCGGGAGAAAAGGAGCAGGCAAGAGAATCAGTGCACGCCACAACTTTAGCATGTGAGGCATCTCTTTTCTAAGCCGTGCTAGCTCTTGGATCCCGTAATGTCGTCGCAGCCTAGACCGCCAAGGACTGGCCAAAAGTAATGGCGCCGTACATGTTGTGATGAATTTACTGCCTTTTGATCGAGGAAGAGGAAGGCTTTTGGATCAAATCGGTTTCAACCAAGTTGTCGCGAGGTCTAGTTTGAATACATGTATTTGTTAATACCACAAAGAAGCTACTAGATTGCCATCTAGAACGCCTACCAGTAGCTACATGCCCTACATGTAGCCAGTTATTATTACTTAAGAAGGGCTCCGAGATAAAATAAGAAAAGAAAGTCTTCCAAGTTTATTTTAGGACCACATTCAGGTTATACTAGCAAACCACCGGTCCGAAGCTCGCGGCCAACTCAAGAAAATGCGGATCAGCAGGCGCGTCATGTTCCACAGACGGCAATGATCTGTGAGGAGAGCGGATTGGATAGGTGGAATATTCCCGAACAATAACAATGGACGGAAGGATCATGGCATAAAAGGAGAAGAATGGCGGGAACATCACCAACATAACCCAACAGGATTGAACCTTTTCAAAAAGGGGCGGACATGGGGGCTGATTGACGTCGGGGTTTGGGCGTGGGCTGTTGTCGTTCATCCTCTGAATCGAGAACTCACCTTCATATTCTGCACGTATCCGAATGCTGTTTGAGCGTAAGAGGAAAGGGTCAATTGGTTACATGTACATGTAAAGAAAACAAGACAAAACCAGGGTCATCCCAAAGGAACATTGAAGCATAGTCTCGCCAAATTGATTGCGGGCGGCACGGCCGGCACTCCGTGCCCCATCCCACATTTTCCCCATTGGCATCTCGCCAATAGATTGACCTGCCCCAGAAGCACCATGCCGCCCCAGTTGAGCCTCTGATCCTTCTCGATCGCGACTTGGAGACTTGATGCGAATTCCCCAAGAATGCCCAAAGGATGAAGTGATGGACGACTCACCTCCGCTCTCCGTCTAGTCCACCAGCCCCACTGTCCGGCGTCGGCACAATCGCGCCCGCCCCACGAATTGAAAGATTCAAAGCACAGTCCGAAGAGGCGAGAAAGGAGGGCGCAAGAGTCGGATGCGACGCTAACCCACCATATAAATTGGGCGTTAATATATTTACGAAACGTCCAAGACCCAGCGAGTGTCCGCGAAGGGATCGATCTGCGCCCATCCCAACGCAAGAACTGTAAACTGGGTCACTACTCTCGTTGGTGCCTTTTCGTCTTCAATTTGGCTCTATCTTTCGCCTACACTTGCCACTGGCCGATTTTCCATGAGCGAGGCCTGGATTTTTGTTTGTTTCTGTTCATAGTTTACATGCAAGCGCAAGTGTAATCAGAGCCATGGATGCGGCGGTTTAGATGTGACGTACATAGAGGTAGCCAAGCAGCCTTGAACGGGCCACCTCGAAACCAAGAGGTACCGCGCGGCCAGCCAAGAGCTTGTGTGATGGATCTTATTACGTGCGGAGGAGTAAATAAGAGCCAAGAACAAAAAAGACAAAAAACCAGCTTTGTAAATCAAATGAGAACAATGACGACTCTGGGCGGCCCCGCCCTCGATATTAAAACTCGATAACGTGGTACGCTCATCGCCTCCGGGACAATGTCCCCGAAAAAGATGCTCCAACGACGATGCGAGAAACCGTCGAGATCGGCGAGGTCGCCGCCCGTTGCTCACGGGAAGGAAACCCGGGTCAAGAATCATGCGTTCTTGGAAAGCGTATCGAACATATTAATGTCGCTCTTTAGCGGGAACGTGGGGAGAGGCACCGACGAAATGATCGTGCCAACTGCGCCGACAAGGTCCTCCTCCCTCTCGTCATCGCAATGTCCGTGACTGAAGCATCTTGACGACATTTCTCTATTTATACTCCATGATCTTCCCACCTTGTTGATCTCCTTTCCTGCCTAATAACTCAAAACCAACATCCACAAACCCACAAGCACCTCGAGATACCCCCATCTTCTCATTTCCTCTTCCGTCACTCACACCTTCCACAACACCTTTTCCTTCCTTCCTTTGTCGCACCCTTCTCCTTTAGATACCCCTACAAACAGGTCTCAAAGCCCCAGCCCCTCTTCACAATGTCTCTCAAGGCCGCCACCTTCCTCTCCCTCGCCGCTCTCGCCAGCGCCCACGGCCACGTCGCCAAGATCGTCGCCGGCGGCGTCGAGTACCCCGGCGCCGTCCCCGGCAACGTCCCCGCCGACTCCCCGGCTGGGCGGCCCAGAACCTCGACAACGGCTTCATCGAGCCCAACAGCTTCTCCAACGCGGACATCGTCTGCCACAAGTCCGCCACCGCCCTCCGCCGCCGCCAAGGTCGCCGCCGGCAGCAGCGTCACCCTCGTCTGGAACACGTGGCCCGAGTCCCACCGCGGGCCCGTCATCGACTACCTCGCCTCGTGCGGCGGCGGCGACTGCTCCTCGGTCGACAAGGGCTCCTCTCCTTTGCCAAGATTGCCGAGGCTGGTCTCGTCTCGGGTTCGAACCCCGGTACCTGGGCGTCTGATGAGCTCATGGCTAACGGTAACGCGTGGACCGTTACCATCCCCTCGAGCGTCGCGCCCGGCCACTACGTTCTCCGTCACGAGATCATTGCTCTTCACGGCGCGGGCTCCGCCAACGGCGCTCAGGCGTACCCCAGTGCATCAACATTGAGGTCACCAGCGGTGGCTCCTCCAGGCCTTCGGGCCAGGCGGCTACCGCTTTCTACACCGCGACCGATCCCGGTATCCTGTTCAACCTCTACCAGGACTTCAGCTCCTACCCTATCCCTGGACCTTCCGTCTGGAGGGGATAGATTGGTTAGGGATAAAGGCAAATTGAGGGTTGTTTTTCTTTCTCTTCTCGTGTATATATCGCGAAGCTGGCTTTGTACAAAATAGATATTCCCCGACTGTGAGACAATGACATAACTGTATTCCGTCTGTTAATCTTCGTGCTATCTGTTGTATCAGCCCTGGCGTATCATACACCAACGCTGTTCCCTGCTTGATGCGTGTATCCAACGTTGTAATCAAGTTGACTCCGAAACTTGGGCAGGTTTTCCTTCGTTGCGAGATGGTGGAGATTGATCAGCGGAAATCCCTGGTCGGCGGGAGCCAGCAATAATATGTGCGTCCAGAAATGGACAAGGGCGAGCAAATTGGCGGGAGTTCGCATTTTAGCCGTTTACGCTACATAGATTTGGATGTTTCTAGAGCTTGGTTCGGCTAGCTGGTATTGCACCATCACGACCACTTCAAATTGGGGGACTGCAGCGGCTCGGCAGTCCACGCGGGTCAGACAGCGGGAAGTGGACGGGAGCAGGCATGCGGGGTATTCCTCACTAACAAAATGAATACTGACAGCGAAACCTAGAATATGATAATTCGCGATCTTGGGTGAAGCAGCACTCATAGTGCCACACATAGTCATAAGTCAAACAAGAGCCGGGCGTAGAAGAGTACATGTATTGTTGTGGTGGTGGCAGACGCGAGAAGCGTGGGGCATCAGATGGTTGCGATGCATCGCTGGGCGACTTGGCGTACGTATCGGATATACACCAGCAATATTACCCTGCGGAGGATGTTAACTGTCGCCGTAAAAGGGTGCCTTACCACAGCGAGGTCAATCAAGGCCCCATTGATGTAGTCTCACAGCAGGGTCGCACTCCTCGTCATATACACTACAGTCACTGCAAGTCAAGGAGAGAGTTTTGCATGAAATGGTGGTTGCGCAACCATATATGAATCGGCAGGTAGTATCTACCAGGAAATATAAAATACACAGAAGAATTGAAACCGCATCCCCTCTCTACAAAAGAAGTCTCTCCCGAGAACAAGGTGTCTAAAAAGAACAAATGAGGTTTTGGCGGCCATCTAGGCATGAGGAAGGAAAAAAGGAGAAAAGGTAGGACGCAGAGACAGCTGCAGGCCACTTAGGCGGTGACATCACGGGCGTGGCGGCGAGCGTTGTTGTTGTTGCCAGCAACGCTGGTGAGCCACGCGATGAAGGTGTTGAGGGTGAAGGTCTCAGGGAGAGTGGAACCGTTATCACCGCCGGCAGGGGTGGTGGGGGTGGGAGTGGCGGGCTCCTCGGCGGCCTCAGTCTCCTCAGGAGTGGGAGCGGCAGTCGAGGTAGCAGAAGGAGCGGGGTAGTGGGAGTAGAGCCGCTGCCGCCACCGTTGTTTCCACCGGTGCTGCCAGCCTTGTAGAGAGCAGGGCCGGGGATGGTGTAGCTGGTGATGGTGGTGTAGGGGTTGAAGAGGATACCGGGCTCGTCAGCGGAGTAGAGCTCAGTACCGAGGACACCAACGGGGTTGTCGGTTCCGGAGCCGGTGATCTCGATGTTCATGCACTGGGGGTAGTTCTGGGCGCCGTTGGCGGAACCGGCACCGTGAAGAGCGATGATCTCGTGGCGGAAGACGTACTGGCCGGCGGCGAGGGTGGAGGGACCTTGGTGACCCAGGTGTTGTTGTTGGCAATGAGGTCAATGGCGGCCCACGACTTGGTGGACGCGTCGTAGCCGGCCTCCTCGATCTTGACCCACTTGAGGGCGGCCTTGTCGGCCGAGGTGCAGTCACCGCCGCAGTTGGCGACGTAGGTGATGACGGGACCGATGTGAGACTCGGGCCAGTCGGTCCACTGGAACTCAATGGTGCCACCGGCGGCGACGCTAGCGGCGATGTTGCCGGGGCTGGCGTTCTTGTGGCAGATGATGTCGGGGCTGCCGTAGCTGTTGGGCTCTACGAAGCCGTTGTCAAGGTTCTCGGCGTACCAGCCAGCGGTGTCGGGGACGGGCTGGTTGTTCTGCTTGGCATAGTAGTAGTTGAGGAGGAAGCCTCCGTTGTACTTGCCGTCCGTGACGAAGCCCGTGACGGTGCCGTGGGCGAGGGCGGTGGCGGCAAAGGTGCCGGCGAGGAAGAGCTTGGTGGCGAGAGACATCTTGGGCTACTTTTGTGCTTTTTTATTGTTCCTCGGGTGGATGGTTGTGAAACGAAGGGACGCCTAAACAGGGTCTTGTAAACACAGGAAAGAAGTTCTGGGGAGTTTTGTTCAAAAAAGAGAGAGAGAGATTGTTAAAAAAGCGAATGGTCCCAGCTTCACACAGTGAAGACGACGATGGCGAGGCTTAAAGCGAAAGAATGGAGGAAAATAGAAAAGAAGGTCTGTTTGGTCCGACTGAAGGATGCGGCTTGGAGAGGAAAGGAAAGAAGAAAGACCATCTTGGGGGCGGATTCGACTTGTATTTATTCCCAGTCGACGTTGAGATCGAGCATCGCCCTCTCCTTCAACATCTTCACCGAATGGATGCCGTCCCCTCAGCTCACCGATCCGGCTTATGGAGCCACGAGAAAAGCACGAACCGGGCTCGGGAGCGCACTCGGGGCTGGAGAGGGGAGACCCTTGTCTTGCGGCTCAAGCTCTGAGTGGTGGAATTTTAACAGTCGCCCGAGCTGCCAACAGCGCCAACGTTTTCAAAGAAGACCAGTTTCGGCCATGGGGCCGAGATGAAGGGCGGCGCTAGGCTGCAGGGCACGCCTCGCCCCATTTTCGTCTTTGGGGGAGAGGACGCCTGGGCCCGACAAGGTTGCTGACAGCTCCTTCGAACCATCTAGCGTCGGTCTAGCGTGGTTCATCTCATGATTGAGAGACGCCTGGTCTCTCTCGCGATGCAGGGGCTGGGAAGGAGTGGAGCATTCGGAGAACCTCAGCGCTGCGGGCTCGATTATCACGGCGTCTTCCAAACGAGCCCGACAAAAAAAAAGGTCCATCTTGGGTGAGGAGCAGTGGAGGATTCCATCGGATCCTCTCCCAAGATCGATCTCCATCTCCAAGCCCAACGGCTACCCACTTGTCAATCCTGCCTCCTTTCCGAACCCTGTCTCCCGCCAAGGCTAGCCACCAATACGGGTTGACGCTTGCCAATTTTTCTTGTCTTCTCCGGGAGGCACTTCCAAGCATGATTATGCCTCTTTTCACTGGATACCAATGCTTTTCTCGCATCTTCTTCCCACTCCGACTTAAACAGCGCTTGGCTCGCGAGCATCTGTCTGGCTATCGAGCACGCACTGGTGAAACAATCTCGTCATGCATCTTGCGCCCACCAAGGATTGGGCCCCGCCGTTTCCTTTATCTGTTTCAGGTTTACCCCACCACCATATCCTCGGCACGCTCTCGCTGAGCTGGGAATTGATTACGGATGGTTGCATTTCCTCGGGTCTCCTTTGCTTTGTTCACACAATCTGACGTATTCCCCTCCTCTTCTTTGCGATGCCTGGTTTTTGATTCTTTTGGGAGGGGCTTCGTGCTGTGCAAATTGCCAACTTGTGTCCTTGGCGCATAATTTTCCATATTGAATCTTTAAGCGCAGGCACTCCATGCCAGGATGATGCGGTGGCGAGGGCCAAAGGAGAGGAGCCACGAGAGCCGCCTTTACATGGCTGGTTTACGGTGGGAAGCGCGAGGCGTTGGCTACTGGCCAAGACGCTGTCAAACGATAGCGCGATATTCCATGCAGGGCAGCGCAGGGCAGCGCAGACAGGGATGATTCACATCGCCGTCGCCATCACCGTGCCTGGCGGATGCGTGCGTGGGGGTAGTCGGCAACCTGAAGACCGAAGCGAGTAGATGCGTACTCGGGCGTGACGCCGGGAGCCCAAAAGTAGTAAAAAAGAAATACAAGGAACGCTTAGAGCTGGTTCGCCTCGCTGGGAATCCGCACGCGAGCTTGGCAGAGGATCTCCTGATCTTTTACTAGGATTGTGCGGGGATCGCATTGACTTGGCTGGTGATCAATGCCCGCTGTTTTGCGGAAATCTTGGGATGATTTCCCGCTGGGAAGGATGGATGCTAGGGAGTCTATCTGCGAGAGTGGCTGGGCCGCGTGTTCCCTGTTGGAGGAGATGAGAAACGCCCCTTTGGCCCTCGTCGTGCTCTTAGGTATAACATTCGATAGATGGGATGAGGGAAAGGAGGTAGTCAGAAAAAGAATTCGGGTCGTGGACACAATTTTTTTCTTTAAAATGTGATAGCTTTTCAGAGCAGCTAGTAAGAAAGTGAACCTCCATTGTGATTGTGCTAGTTGGGCCTCCTCTATGACGTTGTAAAAAGATCACGAATGTTCGGTTCGGCCGTGAGTCTTTGGCGTCACGAACTAGTGATCATCGTGTGCCCCAGCGTTCTGGGTCAGCCGTGCGCTCGTGCGGAAATGATTGGGACGCATAGCTAGTCCGGTAGTCCCCCAAGCGAACCAGACGGGATCTCGCGCCGAAAGCCCTCCATCAGCACAGGGATCAAAATCCCACGGCTTCATTTTTTTCTTTCGTCTTCTTTTCGAAGCTTTCAAAAATCGAAATGGAGCAAGGGGCCGGGCCCGAACTTCGAATCCTACGAGCGATTCGCCTCGCGGGCGAACCCTTGATGGTTCCCTCACCACGTTCGGCGAGCTTGGGCGCTTCGTTGCATCGCTGCTACTTGGACGGTGGCAACCGATCCTGGCGATGGTGGATCGCACGAGGAGAAGAAGAAGAATAGGGGCGACTTGGAAAGAATGGCTGTCAACGAGCATCCCTGGCTAGTCTTCGTCCGATACTCGACTATACCCAACGTCGTCTAGTCGGGGGGACCCCGCCCGGTCTGTCTTGCCGGGGTAGGTGGTGAAGTGAGAAGTGAGGTGAGAGTGGTGCGTGGGCTGTGCGTGCCTGGCTACGCGGCAAGACATCAACCCCACAATCGGTTTCAAGCGAGTGGGTGTCGGTGATGCACTTGCAGCATAGATACTCGCGTAAATATTCCTCGAGAGCGCAAATCAACCCGAAGGAAGGGCAGGAAGTGATAATTGCCCAGTTTATTTTTATCTATTTGTTCAATTCTTTTAAAGAGTAAAAGAAAGGGTGTCAAGCGTAGCGTTGGTGTTGTTCCTAATCTCTCGTGAACCTAGTGCTGCCCCCGTTGATTGCCTTGGACGAAGAGATCGTGTCAGTCTCGGCAGGAATTCCGAGTCAGGGGTTGGAGCCGTGCTCAGGAGTCGGCGTTGTAGGGCAATAAGCAAGGAGAGCTCCAGCCTTGGCATCTTGGCCAGTCCTTTCGTCGAGCCCCCAAGCTAGCCGGAGATGGCAGCATGCAGGGGAGAAGGGGCAGATAGAGAGGTACGTGGGATACTCTAATCTCCTTGGAATGGTTCACGAGGGATTGTAACATTACGCACGGGATTACGGTTGCAGCCCAGGGGCAGGAGATGAAGGGACAATAGATCACTAAGTATGGCCTCCATGTCCTCGCCGCTGAGCTAGCAAAGGAAGCAAGCTTACATGAGGGATCTTTGATGTGCAATTTGTTTATTTACTCCTACTCTACGCAGCGGAGAAAGGCACTAGACTACGAGAAAGGCAGAAATATATACCTAGAGAAAAAGACAATCCAGAAGGCACGGTACCCCCGTCAGCGGTTCGGCCCAGCGCGAATAGGCAGGGGCCGTAGAGGCATCCCACGTCCCGCGAGCAAGGGTTCGTAGCCAATCTGATAGGCTTAGATGCCGCCAGTGTCGTGGGTTGAGCCAACGGGTCCGAAGCGGATGTTAGACCAGATGACCTTGGCGCTGGCGTGGTTGGAGACGACGTCGTCGGGGTCGCGGCCGGTCTCGGGGCAAGGACCACGGAGGGCTCCAGGGATGCCTTCCTTCTCCGGGGGTAGAGAGAGTCGAGCCAGAGCATGCTCGCGTAATGCTGAGTGAGAGAGGGAGGTTAGTGGCTAATCTTTTTCTCCTCTGTTTCTCTTTGGTAGGGAGATTTTGTTTGGTTCTTTCATCCTTCCGTGCTTGGAGGGACCAATCACTTGTAGAAAAGGTCCACTCTGGAGAGAGAAGAGAGGATGGAAGACAAAAAAGAAAAGAAACTTACGTCGGCCCAGATGGACAGGACAAGCACCATGGGGAGGCGGAGAGCGTCGTTGAGAGCGGGGTTCCTCCAATCTCGGCGTGGCGGTCAACGTCCTGGAACAGAGGGGGTAGGCCTCGCAATACTCGGGGGTGATGGCGTTGGAGAATTGCTCAAGCCCCTCAAGCTTAGGGGTAGGAACTTCGATGACATTGCCGTCCTGGATGAACAGCATGGACAGTTTGTCGACCTCGTATCGGGAAATGACGCTAGCCGGGTCCAACGTTAGCTTACACGGAAATCTGCAAAAGACGGGGAGATTGAAAAGTGAAAAGAAGAGGGTTTGCGTACGTGAATTTCTTGGTCGTATCAACTCCGGAAGAGCCCTGGCCGTAGAAGTCGTGGTTTCCGAGACGGTAGGGGTTGTAGTCGCAACCGTTGGCATCGCACTTGCCGTTGAATCGGTCGGGAGAGTATGTGCCACCGCACTCATCGTCGCCATTGCAGACATGGTAGGTGTTTTCCTCGCAGGCATGAGGAGTGAAAGCATAGGCGTGGGCGTTGGACTCCCTGAATTCCCAGATTCTTGTTAGTTTCTTCTCTCTCCTTTTCGCTTCCCAGCGAGGCCACTTTTGTAAGGGCGGCGTTCAAACTCTTCTTTTTCTGCGCATTGTACTTACCAAACGTCAATCTCAGCACAGCAGGAACCGAGGTTTCCGAGACCCGAATTCTCATCCGTGTCAGACTGAGTCCAGCCCTCGATATTGGCCTGTCGCGTTTTGTCAGTCACGAATATGTCCAAGCCGAACACGGCAGATCCAGCTCCTGGATAGGAGTCGAAGCAAATATCGGGTTCAAAGAAGACTCACCTTTCCGTTGATGAACTTGAGATCACGCGCGCACTGGGCATCACAGTATCCAACACCATACTTGGCACCGGCCGCGTTGTCGGGCTCATCGCTCATGCCGCCATCAGGCTTCATAGGTACGAGGTAGAGAGCCGAGTTCATGCCACACTCGACAGCAGACAAGTCCACGTCAAAGGCCAACTCGTTATCCATGAGGGTGAACATTTGGTACTTGCTATCACTCTCCATGAGATAGGTACGAGCACCAATGTTCTTGCCGTACTCGTGCTCATTGACAAAGGAGAGCGTAAGGGCATCTCCGCTGGTGGAGATGCCGTAGGTGGCCTCGTAGTCGGCACCCTCGACGGCGCAGTTCTTGGCGCAGTCAGAAGCGCTGGAGCACAGGTCGGTCCACTGGTTGCCGTCGTAGCAGTTCTCGTAGCCGTCGACGCCGTGCACCCAGCGCCAGTTGGCGTCGATGACGATCTCGCCGTTTACCGAGGTGCAGGACCCGGGCGCGGTGCAGCGCTGCCAGGTGATCTTGGGGTGCACCTCGTCCTGCTCCGTGCCGACTTGCTGGGCCCTGGCGAGGGCCAGCATGGAAAGGGCAGCGAGCATCAGCATGATGGGCGTTTGAAAGCAAAAGGCTTTGTGCCACGTGGGGAAAAGAGAGCCAAGAGGAACGGATGGGTGGTGCGGGCAAGGAACCTGAAGTATCCTGGCGGACAGAGTTCTCGAACCGAGGGAGTGCCAAAAGCAAGGGGGCAGGAAAGATGCAATTGGAACGAAGAAGATCCTGGTGGTGAGAATGGTCCAGGGAGCTCAAAAGAAGCGATTCTCACGGCCTCTTATACGCTCGCCGTTTCCCAAGTCGCTCAGGAACGCAGCTCCCACTGGACCATCCCATGGCCACTTCGGACGCTCTCTTGGCATCCCCGCGTTTTCTTTTTCCATGGTTTGGCTCGTCATGCTCGTCGCTCCGGCATCGAGAGAGTGTGTCTCCGCAAATTTCGTCGGTCGATCTATCCGGAAAAAGTCATGGCGATTAATCAACAAACACATCATCGGTGGTGACCCAGCGCCATCGCCAAGCTGCCAAGGGAAGCCAAGGGCACGACGTAAATTGATGTGTAGGGAAAGGGGCAAGCAGAGCTCAGAATCGTGGCACAAGAAAAGTCTGGGCATTCTGCTACCTATAAGAAGGGAGGAGAGGGAGGGAGGGAGATGCAACGCGTGGCGGCCGGCTCTACTTGCGGGGTGGGTGGGCGGTGCGGGATTGTCGCCCCGATATTGGGAACATGGGAACTTTGGAGAAGGGAGAGATATAGGGAGAGCTCGTTATGGACATTCCGTATCGAGACAGGTCGACATGGTGTTGCGGCCGAGATGGGTGAGTGGTATGCCAGGGCCATCAGGGAGAGAGCCGGTGCTAAGACGATGGAGTGGAACCGTCCCCGAACTTCCATCCGGCATGTAGGTTCGGAAGCGGGGCCACCGGACTGCGGGGTGGGGAGACAAAGGAAGGACTAGCAGATAGAGGGGGATGGCAATATACCGAAACCTGCGATATAGCGAAGGTGCCTGATGTATTCGGCGGATGCAATCTCCCCGACCCTCCTTCATCTCCAATCTCGCCTGCTACCTATCTCTCTTATATCATCGTGTAACCCAGTCAAACGAATATTGAGGGGATGCGTCACGAAGAAACAAAAGAAATAAAGAAACAAAGAAACCTAGGATCTAGTCTGGAGTTGGGCCAAGTACGTGGATATTTACTTGGTGAGGCGCCAAGGCGCGGGGTCGTGGTAGTGGAGGGCATCCAGTATATTATGCCACCATTTGGACGTGGTTGGCAACGACTCCTTGTAATCAAGAGACTAGAGCGCGACGGGGGCTGTGCAAAAGTCACGACTGATATCGCCCAGGAGAGAGGAATGAGTGGATGGATGGAACGTCAAGGTAGCGGCGGGCAAGACCCCAAGAAGTGCCCCTCCCCTTCCCAGCCAAGCCCGTTTGGCAAGTTCTGGTGATGATCGGCCGTGAAAGTGACCCATTCCCGTTCCATTCTGCTCCACAATTTCGGAGTGGGTCCCGGACTTCCCGCGCGTGTCGTCGTTCAAGGCCTCCATGGCCCCCGTGTCCGTGTTTCCTTCCTCCTGTGTCCGCTACCCGGATCGGCATCAAGCCTAGTGCATTTTCCACCTGTTAGGGACTTCAACGGCGAGATAGAGCGAGCCAAGCATCGTTGTTAGGATGCGTTTGTGATTGCTCCCTGCTGAAGAGTAGTGCAACTTCTACGTGATCGACACAATTCACAATTCACTGGCCACATGGTGTCCAGATCAAATTAAATAAATCCATCGGATGCTATGCTACCGCCACTATTCTATTCGAGAAGGGAAAAATGATGGAGGGGGACCGAGAGGGGATGGAAAAGAGGGGGAGATGAATTGAATGGAAAGCCATCATCTACGCAGCTGTTGTGCGACTATGCCCAGACTTACCTCTGTATTGCAATAGTCTGGATAAACGCACAGCGCTCATGTTGTCCGCTGGACAGTGGCGGTGGTCCTTGGTAAGAGCGAGCACATGAAACTTGCTCCCCTGACCAAGGGGATGTCCATATAAGGTTCTTGGCAACTTGGGATCTGGCGATGCTCCTACCACCCAATCTATTTCCCCGCCAATCGCTGGCCACCACCGATATGAGCCCGGCATCGAGCGTAATTACGCAGCTCGCGCCCGGGTCACGAACGGTACAAGACTCATCTAATAGACCCACCCGCCCGCAGACGTCAGTCGGTCGAGGGTCATGCCCAGCGGTGGAAATTGGGCGGTCGTCGTCATTGCGTGGATCCGTAACTCGAACCCCGGTGCCCACGCAAATAGAGGAGCTTGACGTCGATTGAGACAAAGATGCAGAGATCCACAATGTATCCCGATGCAGTCAAATACCGTGCACGGTTCATTCTTTGGAAGCCCCACCGAGCTCGATCCCGGAAACGCGGTCACTGTTTGTGCGCGAAAGCCATCCATAGATGTATAGAAAAGGGCCAAGCTACGAAATTGGTTCGCGGTGTGTCAGCATATAAATCGAGCAGATATTTGCGTGTGTGATTCGAGCACTGCCACTGTGACGTACAATTAGGGACAAGAGTCTATATAGACATCAGATGGCAATGGCTTCGCTTTAATCTATGTGCGTCGGGCACCCTTGATTATGAGGTGTAAAGTAGGTCAGGATGGATGCAGAAAGTCTCTTCGTTTGAACTGGATAGTAACGGGGTTTGTCCGGCGTGATGCGATATACTTCAAGTTACAACTCGACCATGGTGATTGATACACCAATGTCTTGTTTTTGGTGCTTACTTGGCGCAAATATAGCCTACTTTCGAGACCAACTAATACCCACCAAAACACTCGGATCCAATATATATGGCGTTGGCACCAGGCTATATCACCTCGGCGGGCCAACGAGCGTGTCTTGCCACCCACCACGAATGATCAAGTATCGCGATGGCAAAGTGAGTAGCTTCATCCGTTTCTAGGCAGTCGATATCAAGTATCGAGGGAGCTAGTAGGCTAGCTTCGACTCCTCTCCATTCGGCACTTGGCCCCGATCGCACCGTCGACTTCCGGACCAATGGCGAGGAAATACTATACACGAGTGCTCCGAGAATCCCCTCGTTTGACTATCAAGGGACACTTGACTTGAGGGTGCTTCGGCCATCCTTCCACCCCCACACCACTATAGCCATGCTTGTGCAACACACCATGTTGAGCCAAGACAAGTGCGAGTGTAGTCTCAACCAACTAGTCGAGCCCCCCATTTGCGTCGAGTGTGACAAGAAGAGGAGGAGAAAGAAGGGAAAGAAGAAAAAGAAGGGGGAAAAGAAAGGGGGACACAGCCAGGATCTGCCCTAGGGAAGGGGACGACGGCGCATGCATCGTCAGATGGAGATGGCATCGGGTTCGCTTGAACCGTCAAGCTTTTCCCAAGACGTGAGAAGAGGTGTATAGCAGATCCATGTCCTCGGTTGCTCACCACACCTACATCGACTATCTGTGAGCGGTGTTTTGTGCTCAGGTACGAGGCAAATCATCGAGCAGCGTCGCCGTGTAGATTCCGGTGCCGAGCTCATGCCGAACCCCGTGAGGCAGCTGTACAGTTTGGGCAAAGATCTGCGAGGAGGCTAGGCCCAAGATAGAGATGGAGAGATGCAGCTACTGCTAGTCGTCTTTCGGTGGGCGAGATCGTGGGCCTGACGGCAGCAGTGAGGAAAGGGAAATAATAGAAGAGAGAGCGCGTGAGAAAGTGCAGCCCATCCCGGACTAGACGAGGCGGGCGTCCATGTGCTTTTTCAGTCCGCCGCTCGCCGGAACACTATTGCCTCGTGCGCCGGAAAGTAAGGAGCGGCGTTCTCGGCGATAGCTTCACGGCGGGGAACAGTAAGGGCTAGAATGGTCAGTATAACCACTAGAGCATCGATATCGGAGGACCAAAGCCCGCCTCGAGCCCTTCAGGCGCGAACCACCTCGTTCCGCGCCCGCTCGCCTGCCACCCACTGTCATACATCGACGATGCGGGAGCGGGCGAAACACAGTGAGCAGCTGCCCTTTCTCTCTTCTGGGCCCACACGAGAATAGGATCCAGCAAACGCCACAGGGTCACGCCGACTCATGTGATATTGGCAACGCAATGCAACACTGAGGAACTAAAAATGGGGTTGACCGGCGAGGGAGTGAGGCATGTAAGCCCACGCTGCTTGATCGCTAGACTCGAAAGAGCATGTTTTACATGGGCCGATGGGCCTGTTTCGGTATCATCTTGAAGAACACCAGATTCCACCCGCGCGTTAGGCTTTGTGACGTGGTGTATCGTGTATCGTCTGCCAGCCGGCGAAACGACAAGGACAGCAACCGCATCGTACCTCGATGGCAGGTATGCCGTGGGAAGCCGAATGTACCGTGGTGATCGTGACATTTCCAGTGCGTCCTTTGCTACAGTATCCACCAACCACGTCGGCGGGCCTGACACCGGAGGCGAGGATTTCTTCAAGTGCGTTCCCTCACCCCACATATGCAAACGACGTGCCTATTGCTACTGTCCAGCGTGATCATAGCTTGGCTCCATGTGGCCTTTTTCCAGTTTTTCTTTTGTCTACGCATGTTCCTTCCCAGCCGAGGCTTGGGCGAGAGAAAGTAACGGAAACGAGGGAGGGAGGGGATAGGATCTCGGACATGGACAGGGACGGGGCGGGATATGGGAGGGATGTGATATTCATGCACGACTGCCCCATTGCTGGCACCACACCACGAACAACAAGGGGTGGAAGCAAACAAAGGCCGGAGGAACGGGGTCCAAGTGGCCCAAACTGGTTCTTGTTTTCCTTCCTTGTGCGGTCTTGGTATGGGGCTTGGCAAGCAAGTGGGTGGTAATCCACAATGCAATTGATCCATCTCAAGAGCATCCCCCTCTTCTCCCCAACGCATGAGTGGTCCAATTGTACCAAGGCACCTTCGACTCGGGTAGTCGGTTCGGCCCACTACCGAAACCAAAAGTAGAAAGAAGAAGAAGAAAAATATGGAGCTGCGTGAAGGCAAGGTACGAAAAGGAAGATGGATGCAAAGGATCACCGACCAGAGACTGGTTTAAGCTCGAAAAGAGATTCAGCCCTGATGAGCTATGCTCTTGTCTTTCAAGACGACTAAAATCTCCCTGGCGCTAAAATTTGACCAGATGAGCGCTTGCACTTCGCCAGCGGACAGCATTTTCCAGGGGGCCAATCTCCGAGATCGGGGGCTGAAGGGCTGACCGAAAAGGCATTGGTGGCGGTTCATGCCACGCCGTGAAGCTAATGCAGAGGTGGACTAGCTATTTTGTCGACGTATATTTTTCATTTCCCGTGTTAGGCCCGTCTCACGACGACCGCGTCTCTCAACGGGGTAAGGCGGCCAACACGAGGTGTTGTAGGAGGAGGAACGACAGAGCATTCTAGATGGGGCGAAACCTACCAGCTAAAGTCCTAGACCAACGCTGGTCACGCAAAACTGAGGAGAAAATAACGGCAAAGAAATGTATTTGGGGTTTTTGATAGCCAAGGAAAAAAATCATTCGTGAAGAGAGCAGAGTCGACAGGACTCGATGCTCAGGAGAAAGGATCTCGGCACACCGGTTCATCCGCCACCCCCATCTCTCATACTTCCCTCACTTCTCCGACCCCTGTCCTTTCGGTTCCCCTTTTGTCCAATGACCTGCAGGAGCGGCGCTGACCATGCTGGCAAAAACAGAAGCTCGTACCTTTGGCGCCGAAGGATCAGGTACCTTGGAAGAATAGCTACCTTCTCCTGGTCCTGGTCTGGTTTTCTCAGATGATCAGATAAGATGCTTTTCCTGATGCCTATTGGCCGCCATCAAGGCCATTTCGACCAGGATATTCGAAAGCCTACTCAAGTCCGAGGAGGTTGGGGGCATCCATTCTTTCCCTCCGCCCAAAGGAGGGGAGCCTCTAGCATAGTTTTATGTTATTGGCAAGGTCGGAGGGGAAAGAGTCCCGCCCCATTCTTCACTTCTTCGCCCGCTAAGATCAAGCCTCTGACGTCGAGCTGCCCGATTGCACTTCCGTTCCGCCTGAGTTAGCGTGAAGAAACCGGGACTTGTTTTCTCCGCAAGCGCAAGCCTCGAGGTGCCGCTCGCTCCTCAACGTTTCTGAGGCTCGGTACTCGGGACTCGACGTCGTGCGGTCCGAATAATAATCAGATTGGTTGCTTTTCTCTTCGAAGAGGGTCCCCAGAGAATAACCTCTGCGAGAGAACGCACAAGGTATCACTGAAGCGGTACGTCGGAATCAACCATTTCTCTTCAGATGCGGCCGGGTGCAGCGCCGTGGGATCACACCTCGCACCTCGGATCGCCTGATGAGTAAACGACGTGGTTTCCCCAAGCAAGTCCATCTCCAAGCGACCTTCCCCCATTTCAACTCTTTCGTGGAGGGGGTCTTTGCATCTGCATTCACCGTTTCCCTGGCCACCCCCTCCTCTGATCCTCCCCGACCCATCCCATCGCCACTTCAAGGACCTGCCCTACCGCGAATGGTCTTGTCCCTCCTGTCCCTCCTTCACCCAACCCCGATGAAGACCGCGGGCAGAGGAGGAGGGGAGGCGAGGAGGACCCGGCATCTCACTTACCCCATCTGACCAGCCTCACAGGTCGACTCTAAGCGATGTCGTCCACGTTGAATCGATCCTCATGCATGATGGCTCAAAAACTCACATTCTGCCCTCCCCAAGAGCCGAAGGACGGCTAGGGTGGAGCGGAATTCTGCCTCGCATATGGATGGTTTCTGATCACCTCTCCACCAGACAAGGCTTCGATGCGCAAGCGGGGTCGGGTTGCAGAGCTAGGGTCCTGCATGGTTGAAGATTTTTTTCTTTCTTTCTTGGTCCCTTCGTTGTCTTCTGCTTCCACACTCCCCTGTCTTTGGTCGGACACGTCTTGTTCCATTACCTCTTGTAACAAGAGAGCTATACTTTAGGGAACCATGACGGCGACAAAAGGACGCAGCTACACGCCCCTGGTAACCACTCTTTGTGCCCTTTCGGGTGGGATGGGGGAGGAGGAGGGGTTGGTGAAGGTGGGAGAGCGGGGTATCCGCCGATGGTTGAGGCTCACGATCGTGGGCTCGGTCGAGGAGTGGGTTGCCGTGGGGTGTTCCTGAGTTCAGAAGGCGGCAGGCTCGTCCACGAGCCTCGCTTTTCTTTGGCCAGGAGTAGGCGAGCTACTAGACACTTGTAGAGGGCATTTCGTTCCCCTCTCCTTTCCCTGCCTCGACCTTTGTCTATAAAGGTCGACGATGATCCTCCTCGTCGAACACTCGAACAGAAAGCTCCCCTCTTCTCTCTCCCATCCACCGCCTACAAGTCTTCTTCTGAGTCAACGTCCTGCAGCGACATAACCCAGATATCCCCCAACAGACAAAATGAAGTTCTCCACCGTTGTCTTTGGCCTTGCCACCATGCTCGGCGCCGTCGCTGCCGACCCCGTTGATGCCAACGGCGATGGTCTCCTGATGGCGACATCCCCGGCTGCGCCGTAAGATAGACCTGTCCCTCCCAAGCACTGCTTCTAGCCCTGCGCTCTATCCATGATGGATGGCATGTAACTAACATCGGAGACTAGTCCACCTGCTTCCTCAGCACCTACATGAGCAACCTTCCTGCCCTGATGGCTTGCACCGAGGCCAACCTCTTCCTCTGCTTCTGCAAGAGCTCTTACCTGCCCGTCCTCTACAAGAACTGCATCTGCAACAGCTGCCCCGGTACCACTGCCCAGAAGAAGGCTTCTCTCCAGTTCGGTCTCGACACCTGCACCAGTACGTTGATATTATCCCCCCCATTTTCCCTTACCCCGCGTCCCGCCTCTTCGGGACATGAAGAAAGCTGCGGTCCCTTGCGACGTTCATCTAACACGGAGTGTCCAACCAATAGTCAACGGTTCCCCCATCAACTGGCTCGGCAACACCTGCTAAGCATCGAAAACCCAACATCTCGATGTCTTGGCTGTCAACAGGGGAAGCGAGGACTCGGCAGTTTGCCCGGCGTAGGATTCCCCTGTCAATCATGTCCCGCACATGGCCAACCTCCAGGCGTCTCATTAAGAGAATCCGCCTGTCGATCCGTTTCTCTTCCAAGTACAAATAGTAATTTTAAGGTTTCGATCATCAAAGTAACATGGACCCTTTCCAACGTTGTGTGGAGCGTGTGTGACGTGCATCAATCCCCTCTTCCATTCCATTTCGTTACATTTTTTTCTTTGCTCTTTCTCGGCTGGGCCCAGGGATTACCGTGGGTCATGTCGTATTTAATCTCACAAAAGAGTCAATGTGTAATGCACGTGCAGAGAAAGGGGCAGTTGCAGTGAAGATCAGAGGTTGCTCTCCTTTCCCTCGGTACAAGTATTATAGCAGTCTCCCGGAATGGTTACAATGTCAGAAAATGCTCCAGCCTTGCCGAGATGGGTGAGTTTGTTATTTGGATTCGAGACGTCGGGGAACTCCCCACGCTCCCTACATGTGGATACAATACCCCATGCGAGAAGGTTGTGTGCAACATGCCAGCTTTGGCCGCCGGAATCGGCCAACACCGCAAAGGTCAAGGGGGACTAGACCTCGTGTGGATATTGGCCTCAAAACTGTTAGGCGAGCACGCACCGGCTGGAAGGCCAAGCAAGAGCTCCCTCCCACACATTCAAAGAATCAAGCCAACGAAAATGATGCGCATAAACGTTGAAGACTGCAAGGACAAGTCGCACCTCTTACAGCATGTAGCGCGTGGTTCAACTTTTGGCCGACGGACTCCAAGGAGCAAAGCTTCCAGATAGTCCGCAAAGCACTGCGTTGAGACGTGTACCCGCCATATAGAGCCTCCTCGACACCCTCGCTTTCACGAGCCTATAGTAACGGGACGGACCGTGGGAGGCTCCTGTCCCGCCAATATATATATGTACCTTGACTTTTCGAGACTACCCTACCTTTGCATAATAATAAGAGAGCTCGCTTGCCTTGCCCCACGCATCCTTCGTTCGGTTGCATCGCGTCGCCTTGTGCTGACCCACGATCCCACCTCGTACTGAGCTAAACACCAGTTCGAACAAGTGAAGGCAAGCACACAACCCATCATTGCGTTTGTTTGTTTTTTTTTTTACCGCTTATTAAACCGTAACATTGAGGGAAAAAGATCAGGGAGAGGCCATTTCTTTACCGGTTTCTTCCATAGGATTGCTCCTATCGTGAAACTTAAACGCGGGACTAACAAAGGGGAAAGAAATGCTCAAACAACCCTTTCAAGCCTATGGGAGAAGGATTCGAAGCAAAAAGGCAAATGGTGTGGCTCACTCCGTATTCGCAGAAAGCTCGCATGGCCTTGGAAGAAGGAGGAGAGAGAAAACCTGTATGTACATCCATGCGGGAGCAGAGACGAACCGGGGCAGACAAGTCGAGTGCGTGTGACGCGGGATCCGTCCGCGCCAAAATAGCGTGCGCAAATTCCGCTCTAGCAGCCAATGGCGATGCTCAGCACCTTGGAGGGCAGGGCTACCGCTAGGGCCGTTTCCTATTTTGGCGACGAAGGAATGCGCGCTGGCCTGGACCCGCCGAGCTTGATCCTGGTAAGATGAGAAAATGGATCGAGGCTGTCAACAGAGATGGGATGGGGAGTGGGGGATTTTTCGGCAAGCCGGAGAAGGGATAAGATCAGAAATTACGACGAGGGGAAACCGAAGCGAAATACAAGTGGTCTAGTGAGGTGATAAGATGGTTTTGGCTACTAGTTGTCGACCACGAGGTGCGAGAGGATGGTGGCCTATTTTGCGTGAGAAGAAAGGAAGACATGTATAAAGAGAACATACTCTAGAACATCGTGCAAAGGTCAACTGAAGTTGGAATGGAGAGAATCAGAGCCTAAGCAAGCGAGAGAAATGCCAAGGAAGCTCCTCCACCTCAGAAATGAGATGCGGACTCTTCCACAGGTGACGATGGTGGGCTTGAGTTTTATCAGATCATCTGATTGATTGATTAGATTGATCAGATTTTCCCTCTGGGACCCCCTGCTCTTGCGCGCATTAGGGTTGGGCCACCAACCGTGAAGAGTCGTGCGCTAGCCCCCTTTGGATCGAGGACAGGAGCGGGAGTCCCTGGAACTAACACGATTATTGATGCCGCTTGAAATTGTCCAGCGCCACAGGGCCTGTTTTTATGTGTCAAGAGGCGACGACACCACGCTCCCCGTCCAGGCATGGCATCAGACAGCCCTCGGTTTGTGCTCGATTCGCATTCGCGGGGAAGAGGCCATGGGGAAATCCCCGTCTTCGGCCAACCGAGCTGAGTTTCACGCCACCCTCTCTCCTTGACCGTGCCACATCCACATGCCCAAAAGGGGCAATGGACACAATAATACACATTCTTGCACAGAGAGTGTGAGAGCGAACGGAACGAGGAAAGGAAGTGACGAGAAATCATTTCGTCGCGCTCCTCCCCCCTTTCCACCAAGGGTCCCCGGTCCCTACCACTTAATTCTTGGCAAGGACGATAGCGCGCGACGGGCTGCCACCATCACACCCACCGAGATGCCCCAAGCTCGCGGGAAAATCGGGCAAGTCGCAAAAGGGCTGGAAATATTAGGAGTGGGATGGATTAGTTGGTGGCAATCCGGTGAAGCCCACGCTATCGAAGAAAAGAAATTGCACTCTGCCACCTACCCACCCCGTCGGCTCCGAGAGCGCGCACGGCTAACGTGATCTATCCCCTTGCTGCCGCACCGCACGCGCTCGCGCTGGTTCTGGAGGGTGGTGGTAAGGAGGGGGCCAAGATCTATATCTATTCGGCGATCTCTCACCCCTTCCTTTCGTCTCCCAAGACCCTCTCGTCCAAAGCTCAGTCTCACACCACATTCGCTCTTTTTCCACGGTCCACTCGTTTTGACCTCAGTCGTTCGCTACCAAGTCACTCGCTTTCTTCCAAACCATTCGCCTTTTCGCACCAACTTCCAACCCTTTTTAACCATCACAATGAAGGCTTCTCCTCTCACCCTCGCCATTGCCGGCATGGCCAGCATCGCCGCTGCCCAGAACTACATCCCCAACTGCGCCGTACGTAGATGTCTTGCTGTCTGGTCTCGCTCTCCCGCGCTCTCAACATACTGACTCTCGTTGTTTCTTTGCCTGCAGGTTCCCCTCCTCGACACCACCATCAACCAGTGGGTCAAGGACTGCACTGACATCAACGTCTACTTCTGTTTCTGCAAGGACCGCGTTGCCCAGTGGTACCTGACCCAGAACGCGCCCACCATCTGCCCCAACGACGTTGACTCCGAGGCTGCCATCACCTTCATGGGTACCCTTTGCAAGGGTGAGTACTTTTTCCGCTCAAACACTACCCGTCGAAATCAGAGACCTCGTATCACAGAGGAACCTGTCGCTAACCGTGTCGGCTCTGCCCCTCTAACAGAAATCGGCTTCCCCGTCGAGTTCCCCATCCCTGTAAGTTTCCCCTACGGCCGTCCTGCGCCAAGGTCCATTCGCACCATGACCCTACGAATGCCATGCTGACGACCGGTTTCTCTCACCAGGAGCCCGAGACCCCCACCACCCAGGAGCCCGAGCCCACCCCTGAGCCCACCGAGGACCCCGAGCCCACCGCCGAGCCCACCGAGGATCCTGAGCCCACTGCCGAGCCCACCGAGGACCCTGAGCCTACCGAGACCCCGGACCTACCGACCTCCCCACCACCATCGTTACCGCCACCCGCGACAGCACCACCACCGTCAGCTGCACTCCTACCGCCTCCGGCACCGAGGGTGTTGATGACGACGGCGCTCACTGCACCTGCCAGGACACCGAGGTTACCCCTACCGGCACCGCCAAGGTTCCCGTCGGCACTGGTGGCGTTCCCGTTCCCTCTACCCCCGTCCTCGTCAACATGGTAAGCTAGCCCACCCAAATCGGAAAGAAAAGCGAGAATCTCGCACTCCTGCGCCCCGGTGCACATGATTCGCCATAAATGCACCTTCATGCATGGAGGGAAAGCATACACGTGTTTTGCTGTCGACTAATCATTTTTCTGTTTTTAGGGTATGACCAACTCCCCCAGCGCCCTCATCCTCGCCGGTGTCGTCGCTGCCGTCGCTGGTCTCTTCTAAGTCTCTTGACCCACCCTGACATTGGAACGGAAGTACGGGCGTTGGATGGTTAATGTGTACGACGCTATTGTGTGTGACTATCGGACTGGCAGTTTGGCGTTCGATGCGAATGTGGGAAAACGGACGTGATTGATTTCTGTAGAACACCACGCCCGTGGAGACGGGCACCCTTGGCCCTCACCATACCCAGGGATCTTTTTATTAATACATAATAGCGAGGACTGAGCTTCCGCTGCTCGTGGCCAGAAATACTACTTATCTCTCTCCCATTTATTGATGATGCGTGCTAGCTCAATTAACGCGTGGCGACGAACTGTTATTCCGCCTTCACGCCCTTTTGGCCATCGTACTCATCACCACAATGGTCTCTGCCTTGGCCGTTATCGACCTATCGAATTAATTAACATGCATCATTCTTTCCGCTTAGTTTTCGAAGTTCCATGGAGAATTCAGTCCCGGTCTCCAAGAAAGCCCCAGGATACTGGAGCGTCCAATCTATTGCGGATGAACTACTCCGGCTGAATCAGGGTCGGTGAGGAGAACAAGTCTGTCTTGTCTTGGCAGCGCAAAACCGCTCGTGCTCACGACTATTGGCAATTTTCTCATCTTGCTCTACCATTTGCAATGGTTTCTATCTCGCAGCCTACTTTTCCCGCATCTCACTCGCCGTAGACATGCTCAAAGCAGCCCTCGCCCTCGCCCTCGCGGCGCTCCCGCGCAGCGCCCTAGCCCAGGCGGACCAGGAGCAGCGAACCTTGCGGTACATGCCCTTTGGCGACTCCATCACGGACTACGGCTGCTGGCGCCCGTGGCTAGCCGAGAAGCTCAAGGCCGACGGCCACACGCTAGACTTTGTTGGCGGCCGGCGCGCCGAAGCCGAGTGCGACGGCCTCGACTACGATCGCGACCACGAAGGGCATCCTGGCTTCCAGGCTGTTGATATTGTCAAAGACAACCAGCTGGCCGGGTGGCTGGCCGATAACCCCGCTGACATCATCACCATGCATCTTGGGACGGTGGATATTGTTCGATCGAGCACGAAGGCGGACGTGATACTTCAGGCATATGATGCGCTTGTGGATGCCATGCGCGAACACAATCCCGCTATGAGAATCATTGTATGAATTTTCCCATTTTCCACTCTGTTCATCCTGCCCGAGCCGTCCCTGTTGCGAATGACCAACAGACCCTCCGTGTTAACCTCTACACTCCAGGTCTCGCAAATCATCCCCTTCCCGGCCAACGACGGCCTCGTACAAGCGCTCAACGCGGCCATCCCCGCCTGGGCCGAGTCCAGAAACACGACCGAGTCTCCGCTCTGGCTTGTCGACCAGTACACAGGGTTTAGCGGCACCGCAGACTTATACGATGGACTCCACCCGAGCGAGTCCGGCGACGTGAAGATTAGCGAAGCGTTTTACCCAGCGATGCTGCAGGCAATCGAGAGTTTCGAGGCGGAGAAGTAAGAAAAGTAGACGGGCGGTATATGGTACACGAGCACTGGACGTTCTGTAATTTTCTACCTCGGTAGAGTCACTGCCACCTAACATTTGTGAAGAGAGAGCATTGTTGGTACTTGATGTATCGTTTAATAACAAGCTGCGAGTATGTAGCGAGCGAAGTGTATGTAATCAAACTTGTAAATGGGCCATCATGTTCAAAAACACAAAGATACATCACATGGAATGACGATGCGAAACGAGACTCAGCGGGCAATGGCTCAAGATTTTGGTTTATCTTGGCCGCCATCCGGTCCGGGTGTAAGCAATCAGCCCTACAGGGACGATCGAACTCTCTTCATAGACCGCCGTCAACGGGTATGTGACCACTCCACCCTGGGCTTTCGTCACCGCCTCGACAGAGTCGTGTCCGCAATCGGGAGCAACTCGATTATGCTCTGCACGCCACAATTTCTGCGAATGGCCTACGAAGACACGACACCAAAACATCACATGCATGGAGGAATGGATACGAAAATTTTTCGCGTTGGAGTCGGCGTTCGAGGACGCAGAGGTCGAGTAGATTGCCGGACCGAATATCCGCGGGCGATTCCTTGGTCCTGCGCTAATGTTAGGGTGGGCTAGAGAAACGGGGACAAGCAGGGGCAACGAACCGGTGGTAGTATGGATTTTGAATGAGTGCCGGAGTATTCCGCAGACATGGCATTCGCTCTTGTGACAGGCCTGGAGTGGCCCACTCGATTCAGCAATGTAGCACGCTCTCTGGGCCCCATGAAATAGATATTGGTATCCGGCTTGCGGCGAGAAGTCGTGCTCTTGATTCACATAGATAGCCTGGATCGAGCTGCTCTTTCGTGTATCGAGCCACCCTCTCAGGAATTGCTCTTTGGCCGTGTGATAGATGTGGTCTCCGCTCTGGAGCTGCATAAGCCTACGAGGCGTCGAGCTTCTCGCCCTTTGCACCGCTCTTGAGTGCTGGCGTGGCCGCGTGCGAACGAGCGCCCCCGTAGTGGATGCCAGACTGGAATCTCCTGATGAGCGCTCCGAACTTCTTGTGTACTGGCTCTGGTCGGTCCCGCTGTCAAGCTGTGTTGCCGTATCCCCGTACTCACTGCTAGTGTCCTCACTGCTCGTGTCCTCATTGCTTGTGTCATCACTGATTGTCCGTCTACTCTGCCGAAAGGTAGAGAAAATATGGTATGGCTCATTGTGAAAGTCTATCTCTGTACCCGAATCGCTTTCGTCGTCATCAAAGTCACCAGAGGAACTAGACTGCCCTGAATCTACTTCGTGGGGGCTCATAGTGCGCATACTCCGTGCTAACCGCCTGTTTCCTCTAGCTCGACGGCCTTGCTCTGGAGCAGGTAGGGTAACGATGGGAATAACTTGGTCGCCGGGGTGATAGATGTCGTCGGCTTCCTGCTTGTCCTGGTCCGATCTCGCCTTTTCGGGGTGCTGAGCGAGAAAATAGTCGATCAAACTGGAAACTCTGGCATGTTGAGTGGTACCTCTGACCTCTTCGCGACACATCGGACAGGTGAAAGCAGGAAGGATGTTTCGGGATTGGGCCTGTTGGCCCTGATGCTCAAACCATGTCTTCACGCATGACCCGCAAAAGGTATGTAGGCAGTCGAGGAGGGCTAATGGCTGGTAGAATATGCTGGAGCATATCTGAAAGATGGTTAGGCCCCTCTTAGTATCCGCGTTCTATGGGCTGCAGACCTCACTTACCGAGCATATGAGCTCTGACTCAAGTCCGTCCTCCATGGCGATATCTCTGGTGTATTGAAGAAAGCAAAGGAGATGGGTCAGCTTGGGAGATGATGGGTTTTACTCCTTTGTCGCTAATCCAGTCGGCTCTTGGATTCGCCCGGTCTTGGCTATTGCCAGTCAATATAGTTGATGTAAATCTAGATGATTGGGTGTCGAGGGTCGGTTTAGGCTGCAACGACTGGGCACACACTGTTCAGGGGCTGACATTGGAGACAAGGCTGTCCGCAAAACAACGGTGTCCAGACCTTGTCAGGTGAGCTCAATACAATGGATGTTTATTCTTAGTACAATAAACAAGGTCTGAGGCGGGGCTATTCTGTGGTAGAGAGTGAATGAGCGGCCTCCAGGGGTGTGGATGTGTGTTACCACACTTGCTGCGTCCTCGTTGGCATCCTGTCTTCCATATCCAGACAATCCCTAGCATATCCATGGATGTAATTCTACTTCGATCGACCCCTAAATTAAACCGGCACGTCGTCACATCCGCAGACGAATGGTCTTTCGGTTTTTAATAACCCGGTATGCAGGTGAAGTCACGACGAAACGCGCCGCCGTGCCATAGAGGAGTGAGCATAGGCGGCGGGCGGTGATTTGATAGTCGGAAACCAAAAGTGAGGCTGATGAAAATACTGCCCAAGGCATCGAGCCTGGGAGGATAGGAGTTGACTAATTCTCTGGTTATTTTATAGCCAGAGCTCGACCATTTGATATATCTAGATCCGTGAACCCGAGTGTCTAAGACATGCATGCCGCCTTATCACACATGCTAGCACTTCTCGCTCTCCCCTCAACAACACAACTAGTCATCCTACTGTGGAAGACGATCTAGGATATCGACAATACGAATAAAGAGGAGCTGACGTTTTAATTCGTGTCCGATGTTTCCCGCCGTTTACGCCCCTGCCCAGTACCCTCCGCAGCCCCCGTTTGGTACCCCCAGCCCTACTACAACCCGCAACCCTACTGTCCTCCCCAACCCTACTACAACCCCCAGCCGTACTATCCTCCCCAACTCTGCTATCCTCCCCAGTTCTGCAATCCTCCGCAACCTTACTATTCCCCCAACCCTACTATCCTCCTCAGCCCTACTGCCCTCCTCAGCCCTACTGCCCTCCTCAGCCCTACTGTCCGCCCCGGGTCCTCATTCTAAACCAGCGTATCGAAATATGCCTATCCCACACGAAATCGCGCCCGTCGAAACCACGCCCCAGCCCGCCTTCGTTCTCTTGCGGCACTTATCACGATTCCCGCGTGGCCGCCGGGATACAATAACAAACCATAAACCCAAACCGGCCTTCCCTTGTGATTTTGGTTCTTGCACGAAAAAGTTCCACTGCGGACACGCGGTAGAGCGTCACCAAAGGAAAGACCATGCCAAACCCCGTCGAGAATCATACCGGTGCGGTGTGTGTGGCAAGGTCAAGGAAAACGCGCTCCGGCTAGTTCGTCACTCCATCATCCGGGAGCACGGGAACATACGATTGAACAATTTCCGACTCCTGGGCAACGGTAGCTGTGCCTTCTCCGGCATCAAGCAGAAGTTTACTTCGTCTTGGGAGCATCTGAGCAAGACGAGTACGATCCACGCTATATACCTTCATTCAAAACACAAGTACTCTGACTTACCTCCGGGATACGGGTACTATTTCCACGGCACCCGGCGAGCATGCTACATAGCGGAGAACTCCGGCTCGCCGTTGGCTTCTTGCACGGATGCAAGGTGCAGTCTATGTAGCATCCTCCGGGGCTCTTTCGACACCGATTGTGCAGGTTCGCTTTCACTCCGCCCTCCCTCATCCTACCTATTCGTTTGAAGATATGACAGTCACTAATCAGTCCGCGTCTAATATTGCATATAGGTACCAAAAATTCTAGCGGCAACCCAATGTTTGGGGAGGGGATTTATACAACGCAGACCTCGTCAAAGGCAGATGATTACGTGCTCAATCACCGCATCCGTTCCCAGAAGCACGTTATGATCTTGTGTCTCGTCTATGTCGGGCGATCACAAACTCTCTACCAAGCGGACCATAACAGGACTTCAGCAGGGGCCGGATATCACAGCGTCACTGCCGCTACTACAGCCAACGGGGCGCGGTGCGATATGACGAAACAGTCGTGTATGATGACTGCTCTATAGTTCCGATAGGGCTGATCGTCTATACAAGGACTGGATGGACAACTTGCTAGAAACACAGTTACATCCACGGGTTTTATATTCTCAAACACGTTTGCCGACTCCTCTCTTTTGACACGGCGCCTTTTACGAGCGAGCGTCACGGGCATCAAAGATACTGAACTATCTCAATCTCCCTGCACGTTGAAATGTCTTGTGCCAAGTCACCGCTATCTGCATGCATCTCAACTCCTCGGGCTCTTCAATGGCAAAAAGGAAGCCAGGGACCATGCGAACTAGGCTCGTCGCCACAAGGACCGGGATACCACGCTTAGCTACAAGGCAAGGAACGAACAATAGAGCTAACATCTTCACAGCAAAGACAAAAGATAGCTCTAGTAGCGACAGTATTCAAGGAAACATTGAAACTTTTTCGAAAACGTACTTGAAGCAATTCACACCACCAGGCCATCATACTCCAGAAATACCTCCAAAACCTTGAAAGGCCACTCAACGCCATAACAAGATATGATTCGTTCCGTTCATACAATACGTGTAGCAAGCGTTCATTCATTCACACATTCATGGCAGCTCCTCGCCTTTTTTTCAATCAAGTCGACTTGACAGCTTTTCGGACGACGCCCGGAGGAAAGATGGGATCGAGGTCGCTACGATTATTAGAGTTACCTCGAGGGATTCCCACAAGACAATCTTGGGTGGGACATCTACATGGGGCGAATTTCTCGTTAGCCAGTGATGAAGTGAGATTCACTTTGCAGCTCGGGGGAGATGGCGCAACGGATCAAAAACTTACAAAGGTAACTCGAGAGAAACGGAACCTCGATAACCTTGAGCACGGCCATGATTCCAGCGCTGTGTCCAGTCAGTCTTTTATGCGTCTATATCCAATTTGGCCTATACAAGTCACGTACCCTAGACCAACAAACATGGCAAAAATGGCGCCGAGCTTGTCGCGCAGACCGGGATCGAGGTCCCGGTAGAAGAGGGGACAATGGAGAACCCCACGAGAAGCAGGTTCACCAGCCCCGAGTAGGCTAATTCCATCATGGTCAGCACAAATCAAGCACCGCTAGATACGACGCGGATCACCGCGTTTGGGGCCGCTCCTTACCGCCATAAAGGTGCCAAAGTTAAGAATGGTGCGGAGTGGCACACAAGAGCCCTCATTTATCTGCACATGGGCTCCGACGACATCGCAGTCGAGCCAAGCGAGGACGAGCATCGGGACGGCGAGCACATTCACCGTGATGAAGATGGCCCACATCATGCTCCGAATCCATCCGTTGGTGACGCGGACTAGGAGAGGACGAAGGCGCTCTTGGCCCAGGCGATGGAGACGACGGCCAGAGTCGTGCGAATAGGACCCATGAGGCTCGATGCGCTCGCTTCAATCCAAGACTCGGTGCTGTTGTCGCCATTGACCGAAACGGTTAGTCGGATGATGAGCGCCAAGCATCCAATAAAGAGGGCCTATGGAAATTAATCATGGTCAGTCCGGATTGTCTTGGCTTTCGGCCTGCTCCTCCCAACTCAAGCCCTTCGGCTCCGCGCCGTCGGGCGACGCACGGGGCGAACTTACCCATGATGCGACTATGAGGCCATCATCCCACCACACGCGTCTCTGTAGCCACCACTTGCCGATGAACCGTAGCCCTAGAAAGATCGATGCGACTCCCGCCAAGACGCTGGTAGTTATCGCGAGCCACGGTTCGGACGCCATTGCTTCACGATAAGGTGGGAGAAATATGATGATCCACGGTGCGCCTGTGTGAAGGACTAGAGACTGTGTCCGCAGAAGCAAGAAGAGAGGTGGATTTATTTGCGCGGATTTGTCGCGAAGGAGGGAAGTTGGCGAGAATGTTTGGCGCAGCCGTAGGATAGACAATCGCATATATGGTTTTCCCGACTTCCTTATCCCCCGGGACTTTTTTATTTTCCTTCCCTCTTTTCCCGACAGCCACCAACTCACCCGAGTCAAAGCTCTCTTTGGAATGGGTCGGATCAACTGTGCCGCAGGTTTGCCGTCCTTGGGCTTCTGCCGTGAAGCAACCGTCAAAGCGGACGGGATCGTGCAGCTTGACGCGAATTTCCTGATTGGCCGAGTCAAAAAGGGTGGAACGAGTACATCAACATTGTAATGCATTTTGTGTGGCGGAGGGTTGAATCCCCTTGCTGGCGGTGCCTCTCCATGCGGTGCAAGCGATCATCACAGATCAATTGCCACATTTGCTCCTCGTTTCGCTCGTCAATCCAATTGTCCCGCGCGCCATTTAGATGGGGCACTGACCGCTCGCGCAAAGTAATCCAGGGTAGCGAGCGTTGCACAGTCCATGGGCGTCGGCACCTCTTCCACACGCAGTGAGGATTCTACAAGCAACCCGGGGTAAATGGAGCCGAACTACGCGCGTGCTGGCGACGCTCCTGCCCCGCACCTTGGTCGTCGATCCTTTGGTGCTTGGTCGTTGCAACAAGACCCCAGTGGCGCAGGCAGCCAATGCAACATCTTTACGGGGTAGGCTACCCGAGACTTGATGCCACTGGCAATACGTACGTTTGGTTTTAAAGGAACATGGTTTTTCCCGAGTCATCATACCGCCGTCTTTTGCACATGTCAAGGAAAGAATGAAAGAAGCTCGAATAGTGAAAGACCAATCAACATAGTCAGCGCTAAGGAATATGTGTTGTGTTCGTTGAGCCGCCACCGGAAAGCCCCTTGAACGGATAAGGGGTGGAACTCGGTTTTGGTGACATGATCCTTTCATCATGAGGTGGCAAACTCTTTTTCCGATTCCAGGCTATGTACGAAAGGAAGAGAGTTCTGGGCAATTCAAAGCAGCTGTTATCACAGCGTTTTCATGGTTTGACACTCCATTCCTTGCAGGGTTACACAGCACGATCCAGGCCTCCTTGCTTTTTCAAGGTGAAGACGTACCCTTGGATTACATCATAAATGCTGTGATTTGGTGTACCCAACCACGTACTCGATGCTAACAACCTCGGCGAGGATGGTGTTAGCCAAAGCTGTGGATATGAATCTCGAAGCCAGTTCTTCTAAGTACCAGTAACTAACAGAGATCCAAGGAGCTCAGTCCTAGCTCGATAGTGATAACGCCGGGTCCACTCTTACAATCTGTCCTTCCTCATGAACCCTCTCATTGGAACTTGGTCAAACCACAAAGATTATGAATTCCAAGAACTATGAAACTTTAATACAACGACGTACAATAGAACCGCAGCAGACTTGAGCATTGAGCGATTTGACGCCCCTCGCTAAGATAGGCACCATCAACCCAAAAGCGTAGAGCCGGCGGCACGCGAGGCCTAACACAACCATGCGAAGCCTAACACAACCACGCGAAGCGTGACAAAAGCAAAGAAATGAAGATTATTCGGGGAAAGGGACAGAAAACCAAGCTTAGGTAGAATCGGGCAAAGCATTTCGCAGTAACCGGCGACCAAGGGTGCACTCGGGCAAGTATAGGCAACACTAGGCAGTCCACAACAAGATCTCGACACTAGTATCGCGGCTTACATATGATTGTAGATGAACTTGGATGCGCTTTCCGTTGATTATCTTCGTCAGGCAGAAGCGTAGTAGACTAAATTGCGATTACTATTCCACTATTTCCTTTGTTGCCATCGCGGCTAACAGACTACTTCGTACGTCTTTCCCGCAGATACTCGCAAAACAGCTGAGCATGGTAGGTACATGCACCCCACATATACCAATATCCCTTGTGAGCATTCATTACGCTATTACTCGTTTCTATGCCGCGGAATGGTATACCGCACCATCCTGTCTAGCTTAAAGATCGGGGTAGCACAATAGTACCTTCGCCACCTGTCACGTACTAGCCAGGGGATCAATCAAGCAAGGGGTAGCCCCATTGCTCGCAGCTGGGATACCGGTAGTCTGCTAAGAGTTAGATTGTTTCGTCGCGGCACTACATCATGCAGGACATGACTTACGATCCCAGGGTGGAACCCAAAAGTCGGTCCCATTCACGTAACACCAGTCAACGGTAAGCTGTATTCCCCATCCCACGCGTTAGCAAATTCGGGATCAATTCAGAACACTTCAGCACGGGAATCTGTGATGATAGCCCCTGACAAGCATGGAAGTGATAGTGATAGAGAGAGAGAGAGAGAGAGAGAGAGAGAGAGATGCGGGCGGCAATGACAATTTGAGGGTGAGTAGGGGGCACGTACCATCCATCGACCCTCATCATTGCCATATGTGCACTGATTTAGCACAGTCTGGTTGTACTCGTACGTCTTGACCACCTCACACGTCGCGTTGACGCTGCTCGGGCAGGTCAAGCAGTACGAATACTCCTCACCAATCTTACCCTCTTCCAGCCATCGCTTGGCCAGACTATTTCCGCCCTCAGCGCCGTTCTCCTCTGGGACCGGAGCCGGGTCCCCAACCGGCTCCGCATCCTCCAGGTCGGACTTGGGGCCACAGTGTTCGATTTTACTTCGGTCTGGTCTCTGTTAGCGCTGGGGTGGATTGTCGCAGCTCTTTCTCGCTCAACCTACCGGGGGCCTCCCATAAGCCGGACTCGCTGACGTAGCAGTTGTCCGTAGTCTTGTACCAGTATCTAGTTCGCCAGCGTCAGTTGGTTTGCGATTCCAATCTCGTGTTTTGTTTCAAAGCGAGATAATAGGCAAAGGTGTAGTGGCGAACTTACGGGTTGTTGTTGACAATATCGTTCTGGGCCCAGCATAGCACGGTCAAGTCGAGGTCTCGGCCGTAGTAGGTGGTTGACTCGGAGCTGGTGGAAGAGGATTCCTTGCACTCGCTAAGATAGCGCACACGCGCAGGCTGCTCGGTGATCTCGAAGGGGATATCTCCACATCCTGGTATTTCCTCTCGGTCTACATGAATTGAGATGCGTTAGAGGGTCACGATTTCCGCTGATAAGTTGGATTCTGCTGATGGCAAGGCTGTTTGCTTACAATCTCCCTCATGCTCGATGAGATCATACTCGAGACGAAGCACCCAGTGTTAGTCTTCACTATAATTTTTAGCGTCAGAATAATTAGCCTAATACGATTTCATCAAGTGATAGTCTTCGCTTGGTAGGCAAACAATGAGATCTGGCGACTTACGCCACAGCTGAGAGTCCCCCACAAGGTCACCGCTATCAACATTGGCAGTGTTAGTAGGCTATTCCTGGTGAATACCGCAAACAAAAAAAAATTATGGAAGAGAACATAGGATTAGGTTTCGATGATTGGGGGTATACATACTAGGTCCAGCATGTCAAGGGCAAGACGGTACCACTGTAGACCAGCTCAGGGTTGGTGCACATGATATACGGACATTTCTTGCAGTTGGTAAAATATTCCGCCGTCCCATTCACGTTAGTTTCTCCTTGTCTGGCACTGAGAGCAACCGTGTGACCCAAGGCCGTGGAGAGGCCCATGAGGAGAGGGTTCCCAAGGTTAAGGAGCGCATCTTCGACGGGCTAGCAAGAGAAGGACGTATCGGTTAACAGCCGCGGCGCGTGGTTTATCGGACGCTACGAGATAAGAAAGTGAACAGGGATGGATAATTGAAAGGGATAGCCGACCGTTATAAATGAGGATTCACAATCGATCTAGGGCAGGGATGGATGCCACAGCAAAAGAACCGATCAACAAAAACCAAACATAAACTTCGCGCAGGCGGCAACGTTGCTGGATCCTTCCCATGCGATGTTTGATTATTTTCTTTTGATTATTTTCCGAGCTCATACATAACGCAAGACTCCACTCCAGAGCAATGACTCGGGCAAGGTGAGAAAAGTGTAAGAAGAGGAAGAAAAAGGAAATGGAAATGGGAACCGATAATCCCTCGACTTTCCCGGTTTACCCATCAGCAGATGCAATTCATCAAACAAAGACCTACCATTGGGTGCTTCACCTCAACTCACAATAGTGATCAGCTTTGAATGGGAGCACGAACGGCCTCTAGCACATATTTTTGGGCAGGTGCACAAGGCCATCCACCCGATACGAGGATTGCAGCAGCACAGGTGCGCGTCAGGAGCAAATCAATTGATGGACAGTGGGCGCATGCAGCATGAGTATCGATTGCTGATTACTCCGAGCTCGGTCATACCAAAACAAGGATACCACGAGCTTTTCAATCAAGCTCTCGCGCTCGTCGTTGGTTCCGACGTGCACTGAACCAACCAATCTGACCGGGTAATTCCTGACAATTTTCTGTGGAGATTAAAAACCCCGCAGGGTGATCGTCGCTTCGTACCTGCAGCTGAGGAATAGTGTCGCGAGGATGGTAGGAGCACGAGGAGGCGGCCTCGAGATAAATGGGGCAATAGATTGCCACGTCGAGAGTCAAGGGATACGAGTCGATCAGGGTCGGGGATTATGTGATACCTGCTCCATTTATACCTCGGTATGAATGGAACTAGTTGGGAGTATGAACAACAGCCCCAATTGTTTCGTCTACTTCGATAATGTCGTGAAATCGAATCGACCACGCGAGCCTACACACCTCGTGCTCCCTACATCCATAGGTATATCCACTGTCGCGGCTCGTTGGGTTGGTCGCCGTGAGGTAATGCTTTCATTTGGAACAGTCACCATGGGCCCCTTCAAAATGGGATTCGCCACGCGATGGCCTAGGCGTCGAAGTGGGTAAAACCCGCAAAGAGCAGTGTGGAATCGAACCGCCACGCTCTTCGGCTAAATGCGGGGAGAGCAGTCCAAGCCCACAAGCGAAGGAACGAGTGACGGATCGGTGCGTCTGTCGATGTTCATCATGAGTATTCGAGTGGTCTATGATAATCTGCGCTGCAAGGGACACGCTGAGGAGCGGCGTGGATTCCGGCAGCTCGCAGTATCCCGCTGCCGATATGTAGAGCTCGCCACCAATACATCTACTTCTGTATTGGTCAACACTCCCAAACGGAGCTTATCAGACAGTTGCTGTCGCGTTGCAACACTTCGTCAAGCTTACCAGCTTGGATCAAGCGGCCCGAGATGGTAAGCGCAGAATACATCAATTGTACATAATGTAGGCATTATGGGTCCTGATTATATACTGTCTGTCTATAGCTCCGCCCACCCTCCTCGAGATCGGATTGGCAGATCAACGGAGCGTTGAAAACAGACTGGCGACACTGGCGAACATCCATGGCTGCATCCATAAATTGGTTGGGAATATAGAACCCCATCGCCGAGTGAGCCTTAATCCTCGTGTTCATAGGACCCAGGAAAGCAAACTTTACCAAGAACCAGGAGGCATTCGGTTTTCGGAGTGAAATATTGATATGTTTCGGAGGTATTTGATTCTATAGTTCCAACGAGTGCATCTCACGCCAACGACAAGCCGGCTTCCGTATCCAGAACTCAACTTTCGCCTCCGGATTGACCTCCTATTGTTCCGTAAAATTGAACCGTGGTAGAGCTCCAACGCGACATCATGCAGTTTGACAGTGGGCCAAAAGCCGAAAGTGCGTACCCACCGGAATACACGTCGTTGGTAAGGCGGTAACGGCTAGGAAAGAACTAGGCATTGATAGATTGTTGGTGCCTACCCATGCTATCAGGGGGAGTATAGAACAACTTTGCCCTCCAGCTCGTTCAATTTAGGAAAGCTCTTCAAGATCCAAGAGTACAGTCTGGCCATCACCATATCCCATGGCAACTATGCAGCCATGGATTGCCGTACATTCTGGGTTATAATTAGGAGGAAGCCCGATAACGTCCTTTCCCTTTAGGGATATCCAGCCCTTCTGAACCGTTATCGCCGAAGTGTGCCAGTATTCTAAGTCCTCCAACATATCTCTGACCAGCCAGTTATCAGAATGGTCTGCGCCTTCCCCTTGTATTTCTTTATCACTATAACGTGGGATTATCTTATCACAAGGTAAGATTCTTACCGTTCTCACTTGGCTACCAGGCTCCGGAAACCCTTGGCTGACCTCAGCTGCTGCAGTATCCCATAGCTGCAGTAGCCAACCCGAAACTGACGCGAGTATCTTACCATCCGGTGAGAAGGCCTCCGCTCTCGCCTGGCCATCAGGCACTGGAAGCGTTTGGCAGACCTTGGCTGTTGCAGTATCCCAGAGCTGTATAGAGCTAAACGAAACCACGGCGAGCAACTTGCCATCGAGTGAGAAGGCTACCGCTCTAATTTGAGAATCATACTTTCGTGCCCTTTTGCGGACCTCGCCTGTGGTAGTATCCCATAGCTGCAGTGAGCGATCCGAAAGTAAAGCGAGCATCCTACCACTAGGTGAGAAAGCTAATGCTCTCTCCGGGTCAGCAAGCGGGAAGTTTTTAATTTCGCCCAGGGAGAAGGCGCTCGAAGCGTTTGGCGGACCTCAGTTGTTACAGTATCCCAGAGCTGTAGAGACGAATCAGAATCTAGTAGCGCGAGCATCCTACTATCAGGCGAGAACGCTACACCTGTCACCAAGACAGTTGGGCTTGGGATTATTTGGCGGATCTCGGCTGTTGCAGTATCCCAGAGCTGTATAGTCGACTGGAAAACCGACGCGAGCAGCCTCCTGTCAGGTGAGAAAGCTAGAGCTCTAACACCATCATTCTTCCCCTCATCCGTCTGGCGGGTTTCCACTTTATCTATGCTGTAGAAACGTACTGTATTGCCCGAGGCTGATGCTAGTATCCTCCCGTCAGGTGAAAAGGCCATTGCTTGAATATTATGGCCCGCATGCAAAGTTAGATGGGCCGTATTCATCGATATATCCGAGAGCTGTATAGTTCTATCCCTAGTCTGACGCGGAGTGAAAAGTCCCGTCGGACTATACGTAGATAAAGCTGATGCGAGAATCCGACTATCGGGCGAGAAAGCTACCACGAGAGAAACGTCGTGGAAGAAAAGGGGGAGAAAGGAAGGTCGGCTCCGTTTCCATGCTTGTGGGGAGTTTGGTATGCGGCGCCCGTTACTATATCCCAGAGCCACAGGGTCCGGTTTTGTAAGCTTAATGCAAGCATCCTGCAATCAGGCGAGAAAGCTACTCCTGCCACACCGGCAAAAGGTTTTGGAAAGTTTGACAGGCTGCGCCGGCCACTACATCCCAGAGCCGCACTGACACAACCCCTCTAGAGAAAGTGGCCGATGCGAGTAGCTTACCATCCGGTGAGAAGGCTACCGCTCTATGCCACCCTTTATGTTCGTACGTTTCACGGACCGTGCCTAATGACACATCCCAGAGCTGCACCGCTCCATTTTTCCAAGTCGACGCGAGTAGCTTACCGTCATAAGAGAAGGTTGCTGCCTCAACGTGGTTAAATACACCCTGCATTTGGATTGTTTGGCATGCCGTACCTCCTTCTACATTCCATAACGTTATGGTTCCCCGCCCCGATGGTGAGGAGAGCATACTCCCGTCAGGTGAGAAGGCAACTGTCGCTGCAAAATAGCTGCGTGTGTATATCTTACTCTGGAACGTAGGGCCAGCTACGCCAGTTGATGTATCCCACAGCTGTATAGCGCCATTCCCCGAGCATGATACCAGTGTCCTACCATTAGGGAGAATATTACCGCTTCAATATCGTCCCCCTCCCCTTTAACACCAGCGGCCGTTCTTCCCAGTGGTCTCCAATACCCACAGCTGTCTTGATGAATGGCAGTCTGTTCTTCCAGTATAGCTTTTGACTTCGCTTCTGCTTGGGCTAAATATCAGAGCGGAACCATATATCTGTAACGGAGCTCTAGCAATGATTTGCCCGTGGTTCCTGATAAAGCTATGTGTATCTTCTAATAATTGGATGGTGCCAGGGCTCATTTCCGCTTGTGACTAGGGACGATCAGCAACCAAGTGTCACTACTATCCGTGTTATCCGATATACCATACCTGAGAGATATGTAACAGTTTTCCTATCAACACCGCACCTTGCGAGACTTGACCAAGGAGAGACAAACTTTCAAGCCAGTAAAGCAAGTGCTCCTTTAGAAATGGAAGGACTGATCCTCCGTCTATCAGCTCTTTATTAGGCGCGGGGCTCTGGCCGTTGGAGTAACAGAGATGGTCAGCCCAGAAGGTGCAGGAGTACCGGATAGGGGCTAGCGGATCCGGCTCTCCGGGAAGCGGGCCCCGTGGCTCGTCACTGAAATCGAGTTTGTACATATTGCAAGCCAGAACAAGTGACATCGCTTCGATAGCGCGCCTGCCGATATCCCTATGCCCTTGGACAAGTCCTTCCGAGTGGAGCCTAGATTCGTAGATTCTCTCTAGATAATCCTTTGCGGACTGGTGGGTCAGGTTGATGATTGACCCGGTAGTTATCGTGAGAAAAGAGGTGCATGTATTGACGGCTTTGATAGGATCTACCTCAGCTCCCCAAGGAACGATTGCGGCAATTTCGTCAAGAGACAACGGGCGATATGCAAGTAACACGGTTGACAAGACGTCCCTGCAGCGCTGAGCATGTACCCCCGTCTCCTTACGCTCAATTCTATCCATCCTATGGTCGTACAGCTGTGACAATCCAGAAGGGTATCCAAGAACTTGGTTGATGGCGTACGGTCCGCGCATGGTTTCGAGGTCGTCAAACACTAGAGAAACCCAAAGGAAGTTATCTTTCGCTCGCTCTCGGACCTCCTTCAAGACAGTCTCCAAGATTGCCTCTGTGTAGGTACTGCCGACATTCGACGACCTCTTCAGTTTTTTCAGCCTGTGTTCGATATAGGCGCTCGCGGGGGCTTGCAAGCTTTCGGTATCTAGTTCGACTAGAGCTTTTGGAATGCATAGGTCGGGTAAATCGTATGTCTTTAATTTAGCAAGGACGTCAACTTCTGGGCGGCTCGCGAGCAGCCACTTCACCTTGGAGGAGATAGTGAGGGACGTTGCAATTATCTTAATGAGGTCGGATTGGTTTTCGTCGCACTCGTCAAGTGCGTCGATAGCAAAGTACATGGGTGACATATTAGAATCTTTTAGCATTGCTTGAAATATTGCAGACAGGGCATCGAAGGAATTTCCATCGGTGAAGAGTTCAGTTCCCGACACTTTATACCTCTCAAGTAAGGGAGACATGATGTCTGGCTGTTGGACAGCGAAAAGCCAGATTAGGGAGCGGAGGACGGCCGTGGCATTGTTGAGGGCCTTATCGGTGCCTTGGCAGAAAAATAGCTAGCTGGAGGGCCAGCCTTGGCGGATTGATGGGATATCTCGCGAAGAATGCCAATCATCAGCATCGTCTTGCTGGTGCCGGCATGTCCCTTGATCCAGAGCAATCGGCAATGCTGGCTGGTAGGCTCACTCTCATTCCAATTCGTAAAGGACTTATAACCCGGGTGTCAAGGATCCACTTGAAAGCCTCCTCGCATAGGCCGCCCTTTTTCCTTTCAATCCCCGCTCCGTGGTCTCGCGGGTCCACAACCCGAAGACGGCTTAAACACACCTTTTCCAGATCCGACCCGACCTGGAAAACATCGCCTTGGTGGACAGAGGCATTTCCTGATATGTGCGTTTGATTCCATGCGTTTGTGGAACGCACGCCTGAATGGGCGCGGCTAGAATTTTCCATTGCGATTGTTATGAGTCTGGTTGTAGCTTCTATGTTGCTCCGCATAGCATCGACTTTGTCAGCTACTTCGTCTCGGTCTGCCGCTTTGTAGTTGGGTATAGCAAAGAGATCTCGCCGCGATGGATGGCCTACCTGGCCCGTGGGATTTTGGGCGGGAACCACCACGGCAGTCAACCCGACGATAAACTACATGTAGGCGTGCGAAGACTTTTAAATGAGGGGTTGGTATTCGGATGCATGGTCAATTCTTTGCGAAAGGCGCAGATGTGGCCGCTTCTCACAGCTAGAGAAGCTGCATAAATCACATGAACGCCGAGCAGTCGAGCGAGAGGTTATTGGCTGGCATTCTAACCATTCCGTGATATTGTGGTGTGGCGTCGCGAACCTTTGCCCCAAAGACAAGCCATTGGCTCAGCTCGTCTTGTTCAGAGGTTGACTCAGCAGACAATAATCAGCTGCATCTAACATTGTTAATCCATTGGATCTTGGCTTGTTGGAGTTGTTGGTGCCCAAACAAGTCGAGACTTCGGTAATATTGACAGGTCTTTATACACGCCATGGCCAAAGCGAAGCATTAGGCAGGCCGTTGTTCTCGTCCCCATAATACCATATCCTTGCGGAGACTCATCGTATCAATATATCTTCCGAGGCGCACTTGGATCTCCAATAACTGGTCAAGTTGCCGAACGACCGGGAATCACTTCGCGGAGATATTAAGAAACGACACTAGCTCTGTAATTATATAAAAGATAAGATGAATATCCATACTGAAGCAGTTCCAGTCATCATTAGTAAGAGTAAATGTACGCACATACGAGGAAATGAAGGTAGTCATATATATACCAAAACATAATACCAACTATTAATCACAGGTTCTCAGGGATACTCGACTTCGACCGCAAATGTCTATCTCTTCGAGGCTGAGGGTCGGCTGTGACCCGCTCGGCATAAGCTCTAGGCTCTCGAACTATATAATATGTGTATAGCACCTTAGTATTGACTCACATTTCCTCGACTGAGACGTAGAAAGGCCAAGCGAAACCCCCAAGATTAGATAATGCCTTGTATCTTTGACACGGTGCTTGCATGGCCTCTCCAGGCTGTTACGCGAGCCCAACTTTTAACCGACTTCTCTTGGATTACTTCATCCTCTATTTGTGAATATTCAAATATTCAGCCTGTTTCTAGATTCAAGTATTGTTAATGGGATGACCAGCAAATCCACAACGTATCCTAGAGGGTCAGTTATAATGCATGGAGATCTCTCAATTCGACCCGCAGCCATGAGTTCGTCATACGATGCGAGCAATACAACGATTCCTGGGAAGTCGCCATAGGAACTCTTCTACACCAGGCACGCCATGAGACTGCCGCCTCGCCCATTGCCTATTCTTCATCAGCAATTAAAATTTTGGTTAACTGAGACGATGGACGATTAGAATGGCCACACCGTCTATCTATCACAATGATGATTAAACACTTGATCCGCCCTCAGAATGACAACGTCAAGTTTAAAGTAAATGAAATTGGGATGGAAGGTCCGTCACTGCTGAGACGGTTCTGGATCCTCCAACCTATCCTGAAAAACTGATATCATATCCAAAGCCAGTTGAGGTGTTGCTGTGGGAGGTATTCTAGTTACTCAACCCCTAGATATATGGCCTTAAAGACGTCTAGCTGTGTTTTGACGAAGGCTAACCATCTATCAAACTAGGGGGCTAATTTCTTGGTGCCGTACTCTGACGCTGCGACTGAAATACACACGTAAGGGGCAAGTCTACAACAGCATTGGGACCGCCAATCCAACCTCCAACTCTGGCCTCAACCTACAAGATGCTCTTCTGCTGTGGCTTAGGAAAGAAGTTGGTATTGCCATCAACACCATTCCAGTCAACTCATTTCCTATGGGGAAAGCCAGAAAGGCAATTATACCTCATGGCAAATTCGCCGGCACCTGATGCAGAAACGTATTGGTAAAGGGGATTTGTATCATCCTTTTCTTCAGGATGAGTGTTGTACATTCGTCGATGTTTGCATCAAAGATATGAGAATAGTCCCAACAGCCGTCCTTTCACCTTTAGCTAGAGTCGGAAAAGGTAGGGCGGAGACGAATAACACCAAGGTGATGGACAGGAGATGGCGAAATATCCGCTCACATTGTCTGTTTGATTCATTAGGGCTGGCCAGACAAGTCAGAGGAAGAGAGATAAGGTGCACATATAGACTCTCTACCTCCATCCTTGAAGGATTGGGTTTCAACTCTGCAACAAGTTCAGGCCAGGGCTGAAGACATAGGCTGTCGGAACTTGATATCCTCTGATGCTGACCTCTCAGGTAGGAGGATAGGACCTCAACGCGAAACGGAAGATGGCTCAAGGACTGACTAAATGAACCCGTAGACTTAGTGGCCAGGGGCGAGGGCCGTAAGAGCAGTGGCGGAATTTCTCTATGAAGCTATTCACACAATGTGAACAAGTGGTGGCCCCCGAGTGAGAAAGATGTCGCTAGAATGAGACACTTCTGCGCCGTTGCCCATAAGTCTAGGAAGCACCCGCCTCACGCCATGAGAAAGAACATCCCTCTAGGTTCTCCTCACATCGTCCGTCTAGCTGAGGGGAGTGAGTCCCAGTGGTGCCGCATTTCACCCGCACCCACTTTCTAAAAATTGCCATTTGTAGCTTGAGCTGACTCAAGGCGCTTAACCGCACCGCTTACACATAGGTCACAGGGAAACTAGCTACCGGGCTGACCTGAAAACAGGCAGGCTAGATGGTGAAGCCGCAGTTGACAGATTCGTGGGGCCCGATCACGAAGGTAATGCAACATATTACGTCGAGCTGGATGTGAGATCTCCCCAACAATGTGGTGCCGCCCTCATGCGGCCAGTCCACCTAGTGAGATGCGCCGGTGAGTATAAGCTTGGACAGAGGACTCTGCTGAGGGGTCAGTCCGCACTTTTACGTGTCACGGCTACCAGATCTATCCAGGGGACCCTTTCCGCCGCCGACCCATCGAGCTGGCTTGGTTCCATTGCGCCGGAAGCGAGCAGTTCTTCCCACCGCCTGGGTCGCTTCCGAGCTGTCAGGATGCCGAGTCATAAAAAAAAAAAAAAGGAAGGGATTGATAAAAGGCTGCTCTTTAAGAGGGGGTGTAAGGTCTCATCACTTTGCTTGGCAAAGAGCTATAAGCTATCATTGGGCTGGACATAAAAGAAACGGGATGGAGATAAAGAAAAAGAAAAGCAAGGCGATAGCATAGGAGAGAAAGAGGAAGGCAGGGGAAAAAATGACATCAAGCAGCGGCCAACGGCTTGACCCGGGCGAATGGCTTGAAGGTCTTCGCCGCCACTAGATCGTCCTATCCTTCGACCCGGCGATTGGACGTTTCTGTTGAGGAGGCCGGATATCTTGCATAGATTCGACGCAATTGCATCAATCTCGGACTTCTTGGCAGTCCATCACCCATAAAAAACAAAACAAAGATTCGGCAACGCCCACCCCCTCCTTTTCCCGTCTTTCTTTCCTTGATCCCCCGCCCTCCAGAGTACGGGGAAGGAAGAGAGAAGGAAATACTTTCTACATGTACTTTTTTCGGGGCCGCCTTGAATCTAAAGTTTGGCAGCATTGCCCACGTGGAAAGCTAGATGGCGGTGTCTCACGAGTACGACACCACGCACGGAGAGCCAAGGCGTCCGTGTCGTCGGCTGAGCGTTTTGCTTCATCCTTTCAACCACTTCGCCGGAGAGGAGAAACAGAGAGACTACTGATACATTGCATCACGGCGTAACCCTTTCCAGGTTGTATCTTGCCCTTCCACTACCTGTCACTCCCATACCCTCCTCAAACACAGCACCCCCGTGAAGATGGGGAACCCTCCCCCTTCTCCAGGCGCCGGTGCCCCGGATTCGTGATGCTATATTGGGCGGTGCAACCCGGAATCACGGATAGGTCGTCGCAAAAACACCTCGTGCCTCTTTGTTGGCCCTATCCCGCATGTCAACGATGCACAAGAAAGGGAAATGGGTTCGATGAACGACACGGCCTGCACAATCGCCGTTCGATACGACTGGCGAGGCGAGGCATCCCCACCCCCAGGCGCCAAGCCAGTTCCCAAAAAGATTTCCCCATGGGGACGCGGATATGTAAAACCCCCACTATTTTTGAGCTATCAACTTGGCCAAGTTTTTGTTTTTTGCGCCTCTGCGGACGTCTATCCGTTTTTGGTGGCGATCTGGCATGGGTTTTCCTCCCCCTCCCAAGACAGATGGCCAGATTCATGCAGCGCGTTATGGGGAAAGGGGCTGGGGAAGAGAGGAGCTCCCCGCAGTCGATTTGCTTGCTTGGAAGTGGTCCGATACGGGGTGCGCAAAATGACAGGATGGGGATGGGGAAAATTAAAGGCAAATTACACTAAGCTAGTGCGCGTGTTGGAGCTTGAAAAGAGGAGACGATGGGGCGGACGGCGACCCCGTCGTCTTGCTTCTTTCTTTTCTTCAATGTTTCTTTGATAAGCCCAAAGACGGTCCATCTGACTGGTCGAGCGGCCGGGGACGATCCTTGCGAGGGAACCTTTTCTGGTCTGCCCATTTTTCGGAGCACAGCTGATTTGCTTGCCCCGGATTCTCGTCGCGGCAGGATGACCTCTCCGGGCTTGACACTAAAAGTCTTAAAGTCAACGACAACTGCTGCCCGTTTTTTTTCTTGGGGAAGGTCGGAATCCGAAAAAGAAAAAGAAGAATTCCAAAAGTTGGGAAACCCCATCTTGGTACGAAAACGAAGGAATGACGCGACGAGGAGTTAAGCCAAGAGAAAAAAACACTAGGTCTCAGCGCAGGCGAGATCACACAATCACACGCCCCCTTGGCATTTCGTCGTGGACCCCCTCCCCCTTCCCCCTCCTCACCCCGTTCCGCAAACCCCAGCCTTGGCAAACGAATTGTGAAAAGAACTCAGCTCTTTTCGTTTCTCGAGGCTCCTCCTCCCATCTTGGTCGGGACGCCC